ATATGCACTGTATAGCAGTCAAATCATGATACAACATCCAAAAAATAACCAATCACAAAACACTTTAGTCTATAAAAGGTGTAGTGTGAACAGCTCACACAATGACTGTTTTTTGACCTGAGGACGGGATCAGATTCCAGATCCCGAAAGATTGTGTATTGTTTTTTACCATCGTGATGGAAAATGTCCGCAATAAACCTTTGAACATTAACTCACCATCACCAACAATGAACTTCAAACAAAGAAATGATTTGAAAGTTAGTAGCAGTAGCATTCATGGTTGGTTTTTTGGCAAAGAATTTTGATGATAATATAGACATTTTTCTGTAAAAATAATGTTAATTTAATTTGTTTTTTGTGTTAATTTTGTTACAGGTTAAGTCTATGAAAAAATGCTTATTATAATTTCTAAAGTTTTTTTTTTTTTGTCAGTACACCATAACATCCTTATTTCTTCATCAATTTTCATAAATGCGGTGTCATTTTAAAGCTTTCATCTTCCTCTACATGGTAAAATATAAAAATCATTCAATATTTAGTAGTTTTTCATAAAAATTACATATTTTCATATCATATCATATTACAAGTAATTTAGACTTAAAATGTTTATTTAAGTCACTTGGTACTTGGGCACCTACACATTTTCGTAACCATGAGGACATTATTAACTTTGCAACTATCAAAGCGAAGTTGGCTGTCTCTGGCAAAACTGTTAATACTAAGCAATCCTTTCAAACTGAACTTTTACTTTTACTTTTATTAGAGATAAAAGTAACCTTTGCCAAATAAGGCACATGGACAGACGCTAATGAAGGAAGGATTGTACATTGTTGTACCTGTTTTTTTTTTTGTACACATTGAATTGTTTGTGGCTTTGACAAAGATGTGATTTTTCAGTGAAACTATCTGTGTAAAAACAAAGCTATCAATACAAAAATCGATATAGCTATATTATTAATTCAAAACATATTGTTCAAAGAGGTCCTATAAACATATAAAAACCTAAATAATTTTACATTATACATATAACAGTCAAAAAGTTCCCGGAATGAATTGGGTATTGAGAGTATAGCTGACGAGCCGTAGTCCAGCATTGGAAAGCACTTTTCATGTAGCTGCAAGTATATTATCGGTTACTGTCAATCGTGTGCCTGCATTGAAAAATGGCACAAACAGCGTGCTAACATCAAGTTATGTGTTTACTCAAAAAACCACCTAGACTCTTGAGTTGTTAATTCAAGCTTATGGAGAAGAGGCGACGAAGAAAAGTCAAATTTATGATTGGCACAAACGGTTTTGTGAATCGTAAAGGCCGTGAGAGCGTTAAATATGACCATCGTAGTGGACGTCCTTCAACAGCAGTCAATGACGTAAACATTGAGCGAGTAAAATTTCTTAGATTGTTAATTTATGATTTTCAGGCACAACTTGTTGTACTAGCTCAATATTTATGTCAAGAATAGTGTGGGTTTACAATTTAGGTAATGTTCTGAATGTTTGAAAAAGTTTATTATCTAAAATCTAAACCCACACTATTCTTAAAGTAAGGATGAATACTTAAATCGACAATGCATTTACTATTCAGTATTAACTGTATGTTGTGTACTTCAAAAAGAGGGATTTAAGAAGGATTCTGTGTGAAAGCTTCTCACTGGTCGGCTAGGTATTTATGATTGAGAAACATCTTAAGAGGTGTAAATCTATATATATAAAATCCAATGTATGTTTGTTTGTATGTATGTTTGTTTGTTTGTTTGTCCTTTATGGACTCCAAAACCGCTCGACAGATTGTAATGAAACTTTCAGGCATTATTAAGCATTATTCAAGGATGGTTTTTTGTGAAGTTTGGTGCAGATCTGTCAAAAGGGCTCCGCCCCAGTGGCTCTGGAGTTTCCCATGTTAACCTTATGAGTACTCATATTTAAATGGACTTAAGAATCTTTAACATCTGGTTCAACTAAACAATTTGATTCTGTGATGTTCAATAGCATTAAAAAGTTAATAGGTTTACCAACAGGGTGCAGCACTATTATTTTTTTAAATTTATGACAACAGCTAATTTGCAACCAAAAGGTGAGTGAGCGTAGCGATCGAACTTCAACCTGGAGGCGAGTTAGCGCAGCAAACGAGCTAACCTGAAGGCAAGTGAGCGCAGCGAACGAGCTCCAACCTAAAGGTGAGTGAGCGTAGCGAACAAACTTCAACCAGGATGTGATTGAGCCATGCGAACGAGCTCATCTTGAAAATGAACGAGCATTTGACATAAAACCACATTAGGACAGGATGACGTCTGTCGGGCCAGCTAGTATCTAATAAAAATAGGCTAATTATTATAATCAGCTGGTGTCCAATTAAAATATGTGATGGATGATATCCCATTTGATTAGGCAGGTGGTAAACAGCTGTTTTCAAGGTAAATCAAAGCATTCAAAGTCCATTTTAACAGGGTAGTGTGCCAAAATACATTTACAATGTGTGGTAAAAATGTCATGGCAAATCATTATGAGAATCAACGAAAGTCAGAACGGAAATACCATGGCTATCTTTTTATCACCAAACCCAAAATGGGGGGAAGAGAAATTTAGGATGGAATGAGTTCTGTATTGCATCAAGGTAGAGAAATACTACATTCCAAGTTAAGTTTGCCCCTGAGGTACTGAAAAAATACAACAGAATACATGAAAACAACACTTTTAATGTTTTACCATTGACTGTTAATAGACAGTACTGTAGTTGTTTATTTTATTATGTTATATTTATTTTTCATCCATACAAATGTGTGCATACAATGTAAACAACCAATCAAAAGACATAATTGAAATGTGTGGTTTTTATGTTATACGTTTGGTTTTTAAAGTGAATATCTTTGGTAGAACCACTAAAAACACATTCTCATATTTTTTATGACCTCATACAACAATTCTCAAGGATGGAAAAAGAAACAGGATTTTTAAGGTTAGGCAGTGGTGCCCTTTAAATTACAAAACGTTTCTAGTAATTCATAAAAAAGTATTTAAGTATCATAAAAAAGATTAAAAGTCAAAAACTAAAATTGCTTAAGTTTATGCAAAACCAATATTTACTTCTGTTTTACATGACTATAATAACTACATTTTTTGACAGATCATAAACTACTTTAATTAAGAACTTTACACTATCAATACATCAAAACAAAATCGGTCACATAACAATAGCCTACAATGGTTCTTTTTATTCTTACAAAGTTAGCCCTGCCATTTTTATACCCTTGAACCAGCGACCTCTTTACCTATACTGAAAGAAACCATAAAAAATATCTCAAATATAAACACACCAAAGACATTAAGTTTGTGTGATAATAAAGTACAACAGTACACTCTCGATTATCCGAGCAGGTTATCCGAGGTCTTTTTAGGCATAATCAAAAGGCTGCCAGGAAACAATAATTACGTTTTTAGGAAAGTTTCTTTTGAAAGTAAAGTTAAAATAGTGTGTAAAGTGATTTCCTAAAATTAATACTTTAAAATTATATGTTTGTATGTAAGTTACTACTTTTTCCTACAGTTACCTAACAATGTACATGTTCGCTCACTGATTTGAGAAAGCAAAGTGGCCAATTCGCTCACCAGTGAGACAATGTTAACATTGTCTCACTCTAATTACTTTGTCTCACTCCAGATTTGCAACATGCAGGCAACGTCGTATGCGTGCGAAATGCGTTGGCAGCACTGGCTGTAAATCAGCTGGTCAGCTGTTGTACTGTTGTATTTGTCACTTCACATTAAATGTTATATTAAAAGTTCACTTCTGTGTAAAAATAGGTTATGTTTCTTCCCAAATTTATTTGTTTTATGGTAATTGTAGGAAAAGTATAATGTGCAACTCGAGTTCAAAGTACAATTGCCTCACTCGAGAAACCATTCCTCACTCGCCTACGGCTCGTGAGTAAGGATTTCTCTCGAGTGAGTCAATTGCTCACTTTTCTCACTAGTTGCACAAATAACTATTTACTTAACTTGAATGGTTAAGGTTTTCCGAAATAAGCTGTTTGATTTATTCTTATTGTTTTCCTTAGGAACACTAACTTAAAATACCATCAATTGTATTCACTATTGTCTTTGACTCCCTAATGAGGTATGCCTACTACTGTAACCCCTAACCTCCAAATCTAAGAGACCTCTGTGTTATCCAAGTTTTTCGGTAACCGAGGCAGTGTCTGTCCCAATAAACTCGGTTAATGGGGAGTGTACTGTACTAACATTTTGTTAGAAAAACATTAAACATTAAACTCAAGATCATGGACACTACACTTGGAAAATTCAAAAACACTGACATAAGAATTATTTAAAAACACAATTTTAATTCCTAAATTACAACTACCATGCATCAAGACAAACTTCAATACATTAAAACTCAACTAAACTTAGCTTCTTTACCATCTTCCTAAGCAATTGAAAAATCCAAATAAACTTCAAATAATACTTTTATGTAAATCCTGATTCATAAAATCTTGCTGTATTTAAACTATTTTTACAAGCTTTGTATAATTATATCTCTTATACATTCATTACTTTTTCCTTTAATCTTCTCCATACATATAGGGGTATTTTTTTAAAGTAACAACCAATTGCAAAGGTTGTAATTCCCAACCCGGGCAACCTTTGCCCGATTTCCCATTGCGATTCACGTCCCTTCAAGTGCTGGTTGTGTGATAATACTGCGTTTGTAGTTTGTCTTTAAGTAACCTTGCTGATTCTGAAGCGTATGCCGTTATTCAGTTTTTTAACACAGTTATCGTGTCTGTCCTGCTGAACTTCAACTGCAGCTTGTTGAAGTTGTAATACTCTATGGTAATGTGACTAAAAGGTGCAGGCTTTTCAATGAAGGAACAAATCTTCCTGATACAATATAGAGGGCCCACTGTCATGAATGAAGAATTGACACAAAATGTTGATAGAGAAATCTGTCAAAAGAGGTGCTTCACTATTGCCCTTTTTACAATGTTGTGACAAATTTCACTACTCAAAGATGTGTGGCAGACAGATGGTATAAATGTTGACAGAAGAACACAAAAAAGTGAATGTTACATTCTTTGTATTTTTTGGACCCCTACAACGATGTTATGGAGATGAAACTTGAATTGTGCACTACAGAGACAAAACACCAATCCAGTGAATGGCGTCTGCTGTTCAAAATTGCTAGAGTCTAGCGGAATTGTTCTGCTTCACAACTATCAGCTGCAAGAACAAGAACAGAACTAGAAAATGTTCACTTGGAAGTACTGGATCATGCATTTGCCTTACAGCCAAGACTTGACACTATTATATCATAATTTTTTCCGAAACTGGAGCAATGTCTCGGTGGGGAGCACTTGGCAATGATGACAAAGAAACAGTTATATACTGATGATGGTCAGACGGCAAGGTTATAATGATGAAGGGATCCAAAAGCTAGAGCCTCGGTTTGACTACTTCAAATGTGGATGGAAACGTTGAAAAGTAAAAAAGTTTCACATTTTAATTTTTGATACATTTTAGGTTGTTAAAAGTCTCTTAACTATTATTTTATTACAGAACGGTTCCTACTTAAAAAATTACCCTCGTATCTACGTTTTGATTCTTAAGTTGAGTTTACAGTACCTATTTGTCTATCAACTTCATTGGTCCTTTTTGCTGTTTCACTTGCTATGCACTTAAATGTCTAAACACTGAGCATACTCCACTGACAAAATTTAGCCTGTTATAAGGGAAGAAATCTATCTCCTCCACTTGATCGTACCTTTAAAACAATAGCCCAACAGCTGTTTTCCAAAACGTCAATCGACTGCAACATATACATTGAACAACAAAAGTAGTGGTGGCACTTCCTCTCAAACCGGCTAAATTTTGTGAACGTAGCATAGACTTTTTTCTTAATTCGTTTGACTTCTGTTCAATTTAAGATAAACATTACTTTCACCCAACTGGCAACAAAAAGATTCTAGCAAATGTTTTTAATTCATTGAAAATAGTTTGGATACTCAAATTAAGCCTTTGTGTTTCTGTTTCATAACAAACGAGCAATACTGAGCTCAAAAAACTACAATTTAAACTCAATTTAGTCAATTGTCAACATTAGTTGATCAATCGCTTATCCTAATTGAACTAACTAAAGATCATTTTTTCAGGTCTGTGGTTAATTTTATGTTAAACACAAGTATGACAATTGAATCAATTGCTCATTATAATGCAAATTTGTGTAGTTTTTCTTTTAGTTGTAGAAAAACAACTACAATTGTTCTTTTAGTTGTTTTTCTTTTAGTTGGATACAAATAATCCAAACGTTAACATTTTTATTGAGATGTTGGACAGTAAGTTTGTTTTACCTGTTGTAACATTGATGTGAATATAAAATTTTAAGTAATCAAATATACTAAAGAATTATTTGGAGCTTATCTGTGGACTGATAAACTTCTTCGATTACCTGTAACAAAACAGAATTAAAAAGACCATAAGAAATGTGAAAGGCACAAATTATTCAAACGATAGTGATTTTAAATTTTTTTGTGATATTATAATTTAATATCAATTTAATAATTCAGCTTACAAGAGTTGAAACTGTTGAAAGCAAAGAAAAAATTGATAAGATATCAATAAAAACCATACAACTCTGAAATGAAAATATCCACAAAAAGTGTAAGAGGTAAAGATTTACCTAGAGAAGCAAAGGTGGAAATCTGATACATCAATGATGACACATACGATATAACTCCTTAGGAATAAACTAGCAGCGATTAAACAATGCTCCTTGTGTTGCTATAGTTATACAAATTCAAAATCCCCTAGATTTATTAGACTACAATTTTGTATAAGAATAACATTCTATCGACAGTTAGAATTATATTAATATAATTAAATAATAATAATGACTTTTTAAGGTTCTGAATTTTGGTGATTCTACGAGAAATGAATATTTTATTTTTCAGTAGGATTTCAACCTCGTGATTTTTTTTCATGGCAGAAATCTTGTTATATTATTATGTTGATAGGATTGCAAGATATTCCCACAGATATGCGATCGCTGTTATGATCACAAGAACATCTATGTTTTAAACAGCTTTTAAAACTAGTTTTAAGTTTTAGATTCGATTAAAAATAAAGTAATTATAAGTGAGAATCAATTTAACGCTGTACTTCAACTCAAGATTTGGGACTTTTTTTAGGATTTGGATTCAAAATTCCTGGTTTTCACCATTACTTTACCTGTGCAGAGTTCACTCAAAAAACTCAGACACCTCCTGCAGTTCTCGGTCGCGGGCCTGCTGGTGAGCCCATCGAGCCTCGGCCAAGCGCTCGCTCACCTTCCACTTGTCATGGAAGATCTGCTTGGCACACTGTGGGCATTTCTTGCCATCTGCAAAAATGTAAAATAACATTCAATGATTCAATATATTTTAGCGGTAAATAAAGACGATGTAGAACAATATTAAGTGAACAAAGAAAAAACAACTAAATATTCTAGGTTTTATGGATGGTTGTGTGTGAGAATAGGAATTTTTTTTGCTCACTCTGGCAAAAGAACAAAAATAAATATTTCACTGTCACTGAAAATTATATAGCCTAGTGTAAAATGATGGTTCTCCGGGGAAATCCTTTCCTATTCTGGTAAGCATGATCTCCTACAAAGTGTCTTTTGCTTTTGACGCTAAGTTTGTTTCAGCACATCTAAATGACACAGTTGCCATCATTAAAAATCAAAATACTTTTGCATACAAAAATTAAATTTGAATTTTTAAGTATATATGTACATATAATTTAAATTATAATTTTTAATTATAACACTGAATACAACACAAATATGCTAGTTAAAGAAACCGAAAGAAAATTTCTAATTAAAGAAATTAGTGAATTAAGTAAGTTAAGGTTGTTCCAATGAAATATTTTGAAGGTAAACCTGAAAACTATTATTTTGTAAGGCTTTTATAATCAGCCACCTTGGTAAACTGTAAGACTGGATTCTGAATATGCGTTTTACAGTGCCAAGTTAGGAAAAAATCTATGAATAATATGAAGAACAACAAATATTTTTACAACAAAATCACACTTCACAAAGCTAAATGCAAAGTCGGTACAAAATTCAAACCCTGGTGAACTATAGACCCAAATGTTCTTACACACACAAAGATAAGTTTTTTTCCTTTTCAACAGCTCTCCATAAAACCAACCCAATATCATAGACTCAGTGAAGTTTTAAAAAACTAGTAGAATCTATTTAAAGCTAGATTAAATTATTCCTGCAGACATCACTACCCTCAGTAATAGCCGTTTTACAGTTCAAGATGTTGATAAAAATGCCTATGAATATGCTACTTTTGGTTGAGGGAGGACTTTTAATACTTTTGATTACAATGAAATGGCGACCATACAAAGTAGGTATTTTAAGCCAAGTAAATGGAGATGAGTGTAGGATGAGTGGCGCGATGATCTTCTAGTCTTGTTAGTGACTAAGGCCGACATTCCTTAGACACAGCTGTTACTTAATAGCCCATACAGCTAATGGCAACTAAGGGACCTACAGATAGTTTATCCATGTTTGCCTCCTGGATTGAATAATAATAATAATAATAGGTTAAATACCTTGTATACGTCCTCAATCCAAGTCGTCTTTTATAATGACTATAGTTTCGGGGCCAACAGCCCCATTGTCAAATTTTCTGTCTTGTTAATTATTGTTTACAGCATTGGTCACCGTTGAAGTACACATATACACATACACTGACACACGAAACATTTATATTTACACGTAACATTGAAAAATTATACTTTTGGCCGGCCTAAACAAAAGTGATTACATCATTGTGCGGACCGGTACACTGACTGACTCAGTCAGTGTACCGATACAGACATGTACCGTTACAGACTTTGAGTCAGTCAGTGTACCGGTCCGCACAATGATGTAATCACTTTTGTTTAGGCCGGCCAAAAGTATAATTTTTCAATGTTACGTGTAAATATAAATGTTTCGTGTGTCAGTGTATGTGTATATGTGTACTTCAACGGTGACCAATGCTGTAAACAGTAATTAACAAGACAGAAAATTTGACAATGGGGCTGTTGGCCCCGAAACTATAGTCATTATAAAAGACGACTTGGATTGAGGACGTATACAAGGTATTTAACCTATTATTATTACTACAGATAGTGGAATCCGAACCACATGTTTGCCTTGGTATATACAAATTGGTCTAATTATCAGGATAGTACTGCGGATAGTCGTAGTACTCACTCGTGCGGACGTTAATCCACACCAGGGAGTATCGCATCCACCGTGCAGGCCTATAAATATCCACAATTCGGATATGTTGTATGACATATCACAGTTGACTGATGAGTTACCTTTAAATGGAGGGGTTTTCATGTGGGTGATGAGGCATAGCAGATGAAACAAATGTCCGCAGTAAACTCTCTCCACATGCATATCTGCAGACTCATCAGGCTCCACTTTCTGTACACAAAAAAGTTGCTTTGTTTTTTTTACTCAAATACACAATAACTATTTCTGAATAAAGTCATCAATGCTCATAAACAATAAATGCTGATATTTTACCACAATTTAAATTAAATTTGTTGAGAACTTGTTTGTGCTATCAACTGTGAGAACTCTTTTCCTTGTGAGAATTTAATCTTTCCAGTTGAGGCTATTAAAGTAGGTGACATGGTAAGACCTAGACTGATTTACTTTTTTTATGTCTAAGAGGCCAAAAACACCATGTTCAATCTCATGTGAGTCTACATCACAAAAATAACTCGAATAAAATCTATGCGATTTTGACGAAGTTTTGTAGAAACTGTGTTAAACTATGTTTATTTTAACAAGTTCGGTTTGCGAGCTAGCTTGATTGGACTATGGGATTAAGGATTTCCCATTTTTCAAAACGAACAATTCTTCAAAACATAGAATTTTGTTGTACTGCACAGAGTTAATATTTACAGAGAATAAATTAAATTTAACATTTTTACTTATTTATTATTTAATACATCATTTCATTAACACGTTTGCTGTAAGAATCCCATTGGCGGAGTGGTCGGAAAGGCGACACACCCTCGGCGTGCCAGCGAATCAGCGAACGCAATTAACATTAAAATATTTCAGTCTTGACAGAGGCAAAACAACCGTGGTGATGGTGCTATGTAATCCAGAGTGGATGTAGTTCACTGAAAAACTCACAGCAAAGCCTGGGTCCATAGCCAGTGTCTTCTACAGGGATTTTACAGGAAAATTTACTAACAACCTAAAAAACCCAACCTAGACTAAATTTAAGTGTAGGGCCAGCACAACATGCTGACATAGTTTAGTTGATCCCCGATAAATTCGGAGGTCACAGTAGACCAACTTGTGTACGCTGCACCGTGACTCTGACTATAATTGTACGCACACTGTCAGCAGGAAAAGCACTTTAATACCTTGTGGCAGCAAAACCCAACAACCTGTTAAAAATAATTTGATTTGACTAGGAATAAATCTAACACCTTTAAGGAAACATTTTAGTACAGTACAAATCTAATGTTAATGTGCAGGTTTGATGAGGCCAGGTATTAAAATTATTGACATACCTCTTAAATCTTTTTTGGTTGATAATGACAGAGATGGTGAAACATAGAAATTCTTATGTAAAGAGCATTTTTTTTCTTGAGCCAGGATTGGTTGGTTCCCTTACCTGAGGATCGGTTGGTAGACATTTTTCTTTGCACAGCTGACATTTTTCTTGAGGAAACTTTTTGACTGACTCAACAAAAAAGCTAGCGACTGGAAGCAGAGAGGGTTTGGGACTGAAGGGGGGGTCTGTAGTCTTCCTCCTGATTGGAGGTTCAACACACTGTCTTGATAGTTCGTTTGCTTGAGCAACAAAGAACCGGTGGAACAAAGGTGGAAAGTTGGTGTCCACATATTCTACCCTGTAAACAAACTTCATTGTAATAACCCCAGGTCAATCAATGAGGTAACTCCTCAATATCGTATGACAGCTCCATCCTGAAAGGACATGTCCCTTGTTCATACCTGTGTTAAAGTCGGAGTGCTATCTTCCTTGTTACCGCCTTAAGAGTCCTTGCAGCCTGGACGTTCTAACTCATAAAACAATTAAGAAAATTTTTTATCTCACAGTATACTAGATATTTAAATTACAATCACTTTGGTATTTGAAAAGATATTTTGAGGTGGTAAATAACTCTTCAGCCGCTATTTGAAAATAACAAAATTAACATTGCTCTTATGGCAGGCAAATCCAAGATGGCCGTTGGCTTCCATGGACTCCCCTGGAAATACATTTAACACAAAAAACAACATTTATAATCTCATAGTATACTAGATATTTATATTTTAATCATTTCTGGGTTTGAAACACTATTTTTGGATAATAATTAACTCTTCAGCAGCTGTTTGAAATCATCCAAGATGGCCACTAGCCTCCAAGGACTCTTAATGAAGATGTCAATGAGTATAAGGTCCAGTAAACAGTCAAGATCTGATCCAGGACAGTTGTTCATTGCTCCTGATGATGAGGTCAGCAAGTCTATGGACTCCAGCAAAACCTTCACCCACCAGAGCAGCAGACTCCACCTCAGGCCACCATACAAGCGATCCGTCTGTCATAGACCCTGTCCCACTTACTAGGTGAGGGACCACAGCTTGTACATCACGGTTGCACTCCGTGAGTAATGGTATTGATCCTAGTTTTGAGTTTTCTTGGCACACCTAAAAATCCCTTACTCTTTTCCAAAAAGCTATTTTTGCCCCGCCTGAGTAGGTGCTCACATGGGGCAGTTCACCCGTTCGTTCACCTTCAGCCATGATTACTCTAAAATAATCATAAAAATATTGAGTTACATTCGCATAGATAGTTAGTGGAATTTATATTTTGTTAATATCAGTGAATATACTGTGCATTGGAGCTCAAAGGGTTAAGATAGTAGATAACTAAGGAAATTAAGGTATTTTTAATTATATATCTTCAATGATCACAGCATAAATGTCACTTAGTGCAATAGTAAGCTTTATACTAAATGCAGCAACTATCTTCAGATGTTTATGTAAACATAGTAATGTATAATGAATTTAGCAGGATCCAGTTAAAATTAGGTATTGTTTCAAAAGATTCTTAAGATCTAACTTGGGACCTTTGGATGACTAGGTAAGCACTTAATCCAGAAATCATTGCCAAGTAAAAGTGTAATGAGCTTTTAACAAAGTATTATCCTCACCTAACTGAAGCAAGTGGATAGTCGTCAGGCACCGAGATCTTAGTCTTCAAAAAGTAACCGTCTTGACTAACTTTAAGACTCAAAGATGATGTTTTCTGACGAACTTTTAATTCGTCGGTCTCACTGACCAATTTATTTTTTAAGGTGACAACTTCATCGTAGCAGCAAGAAAGTAAGTTATCTTCAATAAAACTCTTTAAAAATTTCAGGACCTTGAGGATCTGAAAATAGACAAACAATATTATTTGTTTATTTAAAATCTATCGCTTAGTTGTATTGTTTATTTAAAGTCGCACAGGGCAAAACCCGCGGGTATAGTTATCTATAGACAACAAAAATCTAAATGGAGTGGAGTTTGATTCAAACTTATTATGTCATCTAAATGTCCTCATTGCGTAACCTTGTAGCAGCAAAACCCTGCTGGTGGATCACGTTTTGGAATGTGACGATATCTAACATTCAAAGAAATGTGAAGCTATCACCAAATTTATCTATGAGTGCCTCGACAGTAAAGATTGGAAATCCCATAGAAAAACCATGAAAATAGCAGCAAACCAGCACTAGCACCGCAAATGCTAGGCTACCATTTAAACAATTGTTAAGTCCAACAGCAAAATAATTTTAAAAAGCAAAAACCGATTTTGGTACCTATTTTTAATTTGTTTTCTGTAGATACATGTAATATGACACTCGAGTTTTAAGTTTGGTATAGGTACTTTAAATAAAAGATATATTCATGTTTTTAGGAAAAAGCATTTAGCTTGGATTAAATTATATTATCGTGGACAAAACTAATTTGCTTTTCAATATACATATTACAGTATATGTAAATACAATATTGCAATGTGCCTGTATTTAGTGCTTTGTGTAGTGTCAGTTGGACAACCTGTCAGACATTTTGAATTCAAACTGTGTCATCCTATTTGTTGTTCTTGTAACTGCCATCTAGGCCTACTTCTGAAGAAGCCTCTGAAAGAGGCGAAATATCAAGTAGGCTATTATTATGTGTGTGTTTTATGTGTTCTATCTTTGACTCGTCTGCAACCTTTCATCCGGTGAGTTAGCTGAGTCCTCTCCAAAAGATATATTCAAAAATTTTTGATTTAAAATAAATTTGTATCTATTTTTCCCTCAATATAACAACTAACTAGAGCCAACCCAGAATTAACCAACCCAATTAATAAGAAAAATCAATCATCCAAACACCACCCAATGTTCTAATTATAATAGACTTCCTACTGTATATTCTCAAACTTTACCTGAGGCTTTCCTAGATACTTTTTTGCTTCCTCCTCGCAGATTGAGGTGAGTTTTGCTAGTAAGTGGTCTGACAGAGTTTTAGATTTCAACTCAATGAGCAAAGGTGACTGTGGATAATCCTTAGGAAACTGGATACAAATCACCACTTGTTTAAACTGTGTTTTTCTGCAAAAAATAAATAAACATCAACAAGTAAGAACTGAGTTTTAAAATGAGTGTAGCACCAAAGCTAGTAAAATTTGTCTATCTTCTAGCAAAATGGAACCTTTGGAAGACGTACGTGACCTTTTTTAATGGTATCTGACCTGTGGAAGATAAAGAAATGTGAAATCATAGCCTACTTTATTTTTAAGTGGTAAGACTGTACAACATTTTAGCGGGTGTGTTGAGACAACTCCTTGTTGCCCCTGACTGTACTCGCCAAGTTTTTTGGGCCAGTTATAGACTGCACTTTTCAGCAAATTTCCCATATGGGGAATAAGAATAAGCTATTACCATAGGTCTTCATGGTAGGACCGGTCAATAGAAATATAAATGTGGAATGCTGAGTTAATGCAGCGAAAACGAGCTGGCCACTGAGGGCTCTCCCCAACATAAGTCAGTGGACAGAGCGGCACTATCCCATGTATTACAATGGGCACGTTCCGTTTTCAACACATTTTGTCATATTTTCAAGCAATTTCATGATTATTAAGAACTTGACTGTGGTGTTTTATTGTTGGGTGATGATGATTCCTTTGTGACATTATTAAAAATACACTTAGTGTTTACGAGTAGGTTAGATTGTTTGTTGTGCATTCGCATTGAATGGCACACTATGCTAAATGTTCTTGTATTTCATCTGCTCTGTTTTAAGAAAAACTTACTTTATTTCGACGCGGACCATAGACTGAACACAGGAGATGAGCCGACTACCAGAGATGAGATGTTCACAAAGCTTATGTACTTCTTCGAGTTCATTTTCAATCAAGCCCATCTACTAGTCTAACCTGGAATCATCTATATATATAATACGCTAAGCCGATTTTTGTGAACAGAACTCCTCCCTCATTTTTGGACCGATTTTGATGATTAAAGTGTCAAAAAAATTGCCCTGATCTGTAGTTTTGCAAAGTCTTTTTAGTTTTTTGATATCTTTATTAGTTTGGGCAGGATCTTCCATCAAAGTTGGGGTTTCTCCCATAAGATTAACATGGGGGAATCTGAATATTCAATTGGAAACTTTGTCTCCACTAATTTGAGAGAACCGCTGGGCGTAGAAAATTGGTAGAGGTGTCCAAAGAAAGGTCTTGGTCTGTAGATGCGTTATCAAAAGAAAAACGAAGTAAATTCGCTTAGGGCTCTGCCCCAGAAGCCTTTAAAGATCCCTCCACATGTTTGTTTACATTTTGGCCATGTTGATAATATTTTTTTAATGAAACAGCTGTTAATTTAAAAATTGTATTTTGAACAAAAACAACACACATTTATTGGGAGTTACTGAATTGTCCAAAAGAAGTATTTGCAATGTTATTTTCTGATTTTAAAATTGACTTTCTTCCGTATCATGTTATGTTTTGCAATATAACATTCCATTACGAAATCAGTGGAAAATCCTTTTATCACAGTAACTCTTACAATTATTTCTTATTGAACTATCTTATATCTATTTTACAGGTCGGTGTCTGCCTTTTTCACACATTTTCCCTATATTTTATCATATTATTCTAGACAGATCATCATAGGTTCATGAGATCATTGACATACATGTTTTTAATCATTGGAAAAATCTTCGATTGTGTAATATAATACAAAATAATACGGTACAAGTGCAGAAAGGCACGGTGCCCATTTGAGCCGTGTCCATATTTTGTTAAATTAATAGTAGTTTACAGTAACTGGATAAAACATTTTACAATGTTTATTTAGAAATATGTGCATGATTTAGAAAGTCATTAAGCTGGAAAACTGCAATATACTGCAGATTCTTCAGAGAGGTAACTTCGATGTATTCATTCAGCTTAGTGAAAACATAATAGCCTATAGATATGTATACAAATAAGAACTTGAACTCTTAGAGAGCCTTTGAATGTTATTAGACTAACGAAAAGGGATGTGCATGTTTACTAGCGCTACTCAGCAACAAAAACCATTTAATTTATCTATAAAATATACATTTTTAAAGTGCACTGAGCAGCAGCCTAAAAAATCTTTGTAACTTACCCATACTTACAAAATGCTCAAACTCGCATTGTGACATTTATAATTCGGCTTATATTTGTCCAACAAATAATTCATCTGCAGAAGAATTTTGTGCTCTTACTGTGTCTAATAGCATCCAAACACAGAAACCTTGCCTAAAATGGTACCTATCTTGACAAATTATTTGCAGTGGACTATATTACGGACCGTGGCCGTAACATTATTGAAAATAACACAACATTTTGGCTGTAAAAAATGGCCCAATAAGCAAATACTATTTAATCAGCTACTGTCATGCATGACAGAAAGGTCATATTCCTTTTAAACTAGATCACTTCATCCTTCATAAAATACGTTGATTAACAATGCATGTACACGTCAATATTTACGTAACAGCCAATTTACATTATTTTTCACTTTTTTGAAATGCCATATTCCTATGTCATTTGTATTATTTGTTGCCAATGAAGCCGCACGACCATATAAATGAGGAGGCCCCTTAAGTTCAAGAATAAAAGCCAACTTCACTTCAAGTAAGTTATATTTCACTACACCTAACATTCTGTAGAGAGATTATATTGGCAAAGTTATGTAATTGATAAGGCTGAGAAAACTAACTGACTTCCCCCATGTCAAGGAATTCCAGCTTTAACAGTAACCTCACAACCAATTTAATTTCTCAAAACTGTGCTAGAGGGTTATTCATAGGCACAGAAGTACGATATGAACTGACGCGACGTGACGAAGGAAAAATCAAACTTACAATGTAACGGATATACCTCCCTTTGAAGTTAGAACGTGTCTTCCCAACAAACGGATATATTTTTTCAAATAAAATCGTAGATTAATCTGCATTACACTGATAAAATCACGGAAGTGTTTAACTACAAAAGATCTACCAATACGATTTTAATACTATTTAAAGGTTCTTCCAAAGGAAGAGATACCAGATAGCATACTAACAACTCCGATGACGTACAGTATGGGAAATATTTTATTCATTGAATGATCAACCATATTTTGTTAACTAACCCAAGGCAATTAATATCATTATTTTTTTTACTCTTATTAATCTTTAAACAATGCTGAATGCTCAAAATATTTATTATTTCACTCAATTTATCGCAGTTAGTTGAATTAGTAAGCATTGAAAGTAACCGTCGATTTCGACGGGTTTCACCTAGTTTATTTTATTTTACTTAGCCTATTCGTTCAATCAACACCATTTTTGCAATAAATACATAGGCCTATGGACAATGTAAACATGCTAAATAATAGTTTAAATATTTGAAAAAAATAAAACAATTACCGGTAGGTCTATATAATTTGCTGCTATGATAAGATGATTAATCCTTTGAGTGCTAGGCCAATAATTCGTATTTTGCAAGACTTTTTTGTTTGTCTTTTAATTCAACTAACTGTAACCCACGGGCTTTACCCCGTATGACTTCATAAGTATTAATAAAACTATTGATTGGTTAGGTTAAGCTGAAATAAACAAAACAGAATACAGTAATACAAACAAATAATCTCACCTGATTTTAATAAGGTAATAAATTAAAAGAATAACATTCAAATGAATACAGCTGAGGTATTTTTAACACTAACTTAGGTACCTATATGGAAAGTTCCCTTTGGAAAGCAATTACGACCTTATAGGGAAATTTAAGAAATAATGGATAGTTTTGCGCAAGGTTTCTCGTCATGACGATCATTTTAAGTGCTTCACGGGGTTTAGAAGAATCATAAAGCCCCGTTCACATGGGGCGAGTTTACAAGCTACACGCCGGCTTTTTTACACGCAGCTAGTAAAATAGCTCAGTGTGAACGAAGTACTCGCTCAAAAGCTGCTTGTAAAAAAGCTCTGGAAAAAGTTAACGCTTTCGCTACTTTACACGCCAACTGGTATTTGTTTACTTTAGGGGCTTCTAATGAATTTAAAAAAAAATGTTATTTTCTCATTAATTGGCCTATTTTGAACACTTTTTACATTTGGCACTTTTGGGGCAAACGCCTATTTCACCCTAAAAATCGCGTTTGAAAATTGCAAAAAGTGCTAAAAATTTGAGTGGTACTTTTACTCTTAATGTGTTTTTACTATTACTTAGGACCTACAGAACTGAATATAATCCAACCTAACTTTATCTAATCTAATCTAACCTAACCTAACCTAACCTAACTTAACCTAACCCAACCCTACCTAACCAATGCTTAGATTAGCAATATGCCGAAAAAAGCGGATTATTAGTTAAACCAAGGTTAGGTTAGGTTAGGTTAGTTTAGGTTAGGTTAGTTTAGGTTAGGTTAGGTTAGTTCAGGTTAGGTAAGGTATGGCTAGTTATTAAGTTATTATTTAATTTAATTAGCCTAAAATCACCTGAATATTTGAAATCTAACCTAACCTAACCTAACTTAACCTTACGTTTAAACTAACCTAACTATTTTTAAACTAACCTAACCTAACCTAACCTAACTTAACCTAATCTAACTTAACCTAACCTAACCTAACCCAACCCTACCTAACCAATGCTTAGGTTAGCAATATGCCGAAAATAGCGGATTTTTAGTTAAACCAAGGTTAGGTTATAATAAACATAACATCTGCTTATTACTACAATAATAAAAACACATTTAAAGAAAGGCAAGGGGGGGAAACCCTGATTTTCAAAGTAAAAATGGCAATTGCTGAAAAATTTTCGCGATTTTCAAACGCAATTTTCAGGGTGAAATATGCGTTTGCCCCAAAAGTGCCAAACGTAAAAAGTGTTCAAAATAGGCCAAATAATGAGAAAAAAACATTTTTTTCAAAATTCGTTAGAAGCCCCTAAAGTAAACAAATACCCGCATGTTACTCAAAGATGTGTGAGGATTTGGTCCGAGTCAGCTAGGCCTACTGGAAAAAGCATCGTGTGAACGACTAAAAGCGCACTCGCCGACGTCTTTCTACACGTTTGCAAGTTGGCGAGTGGACAAGCTCCGTGTGAACGAATACAAGCACACTCGCCAACTCGCCGGCTTTGCACCGTGTGAACGAGGCTTAAGTTAGGCTCTCTTAACTTACCAACTAATTAAATGTAATACAGGTTATCTAGTATCAAAGGGTTCCAAGCTCTTATGTCTATTGTTCTCCTAGGCCCTAAGTAAAATTCCAGAAGGACGATGCAATAAGTCCGATTTTAGATTATTTTGTGTCACACAACTAATAGCTTGTAGTGACTTAGGCCTACTAGTGGATCGAATAGAGATTTCAGTATTTCACTATTAAAGGCACATTGCGATTGCACAGCGAAGCAACACAAACACATACATAACCTTAAAAGCATAACACGTAGGTACCATTATAGACAAAAGGGAGGTAGCACTGCCATGGCAGAAGTCTGTCAAAAGCGTGTCGCTGATTTTGTTAGGTTGGTATAGCAGTAAGTTTTCTTACCATAGCAATAACATGGCTTCTATAACTAGGTTGGTATAGCAGTGAGTATTTTTGTCATACTTGAATACTTTTAATACTTTAATAATTTTCTTTGAAATGGCGACCATACAAAGTAGGTATTTTAAGCCAAGTATAATAATAGTTATAGCAATAATATGGCTTCTTATGACACCAGACTCACGCAAACATGGCGGCTGGCGACACGCATCTTTGACATTCAGTGCTACCTCCAGTTAGAATTATAGCTCAGTGCAAAAGAATTGTACCAGTACCCTTACCCTACCCAAACCCAGTACCACTACCAAGAACTGAAGAGAAGAAGTGGAAGCGAAGTAGTAGTGAAGAAGAAGAAACTACCACCAAGTAGGATGAGCATTGATAGTCGATGTTTTCGAAACCTCGATGTTCGATGTTTTTTACATCGATGGTAGGATACTGATGTTTTTGTTACATCGATGCTTTTGGCCAACTATTGAGATACCAATGTTTACAGGTTACAAAAAGCAGACGAAAATCTGAAAAAAAACTTCGAAAACATCCATGTTTTACTCCCCCAATAACATCGATGTTTTGCAACGATGATATCGGTGCATTGATGTTTGACCTATCGATACCAAGATCAAACCATTAACCAAATACCAAAATAAAAAAAAAAACAATTAATTACCAAAACAATCAGAAAGAACGTAAATTCAACAGCACCAAGCAGGGTCGCTTTCCGGACAGCCTTACAGGAGCCATCCGTGACGTCATATACTTACTTCATACTTTTCTCTTCATCATTGACCAGTATAACTGGACAGATGGCGTCAAAAATACTATTACTAAAAGAAAACATATATTTACAGCAAAAAAAACTTTGACAAATTAAATTCTTGGATCTTGATTGAAATTTGGCGGCAGGTCACTTTATTGAGGAGTAGTCGGCTTCAAGATACTCATTAATTGTGTAGAAGGGGTTGTTTTTAAGCCAAGTCCCAATTTTATTTTCAAACGTCCTTGGTTCTAGTTCTTTGACGACAGCCGCGAGTAAGTTGAAAAATTTCATAGCCAGGACAGGGTAGCAATCTTTCTTTTTAGTAAGTCTACAGAATGGTATGTCAATGTGTTTTTTTTCTGGTATTATAACTACGCTGGTCTGCTCGTATTGGAAGTGTAGGTAAATTTTGATAAATGTGGAAAAGGCTGACCAAAATATAGTGGTTGAAGATTGTAAATATGCCCAATTTCTTGAATATGGGCTTTCAGTGCTCTTCATCGCTGGCGGAATCCATTATTCGGAGAGCTTTCTTCTGTAGGACTAGGATTTTTAAACAGGCTGACGCATGGCCCCACAGCTCGAGACCATAGATGACGTGGCTATGAAACAATGACAAGTAGACTGTAACAAGAAAATCCTTGGAGACAAGCCGTTTCAGCCTACGAATGAGACAAATCACACGGTTCAGTTTTTTGCAGATGTAGTTAACATGCTTCTCCCAAGTTAGTTTCGGATCTATTTGGAAGCCAAGGGGAGGGGGGAGGGAAACAGGTCCACAACGTAGGAAGTGCTGAAGGAAGTAGTCAAGGCGAGCAGTGGTGTGCTACAGCACGGCCGCCTTTAACTCCAGGCCGCGGCCTGGCCGTGGTTGTAGAGTAGTGTCGTGCACAGTTAGTATAATATTATTAGTAAATCAGCTGATCGCCCAATGCAAATTTAATGGAAATTACAAGTTACAAGTTGTAGCTTGTAACTTGTATTTTATTATGAAATGGGCCCCAGGCCCTGTTCATTGTTCTTTATTTCAAACATGCATGTCCTCATGTAGTGGTTGTCTATTGGTTATGGATGATCAGGATGCCCAGGTTCTGGAAGAAGGGTTTGCTTTGCTATGTGCATGGTGGTGGCTGTTATAAATAAAAATAATATAATCGATGGTGGCACGGAACGAACGGTAATTTGGAACGAAATAAAACTAAAATTTAAAATTGCTCAGTCTGGTGGTTAGTAGAAAGAGTGGAGTGGACAGTGGATTGGATTGAGAATGACTCACAGTGACAAGTTTTCGTTTGATGGTTTATGATAATGACATAAATGATAAAAAAAAAGATTACTTTAGAAAATAGAAATAGAAACTTCCATTATTATAGGGATTAGGCCTAGTTTCAGTTTGTTTATGTTTAGTGTTATAGTGTTTAGTAGCGTTTAGTAATAGGGAGTTCAGATTTTTTCATTTGTTTGTGTTTGTAATCATAAAATCTTGGACTGTCCGTGTCCCTACTAGATCTACCGGCCTAGCCGTCGTAAACTCAGTCCTAGTCCTAGGTCTACGTTATTGTTAACATCCTTATTTGGCTTTAACTTATCCTACTTGATTGTTTTTTACGTTAGAACTGAATATTCCTTAGTGACATGAGTTCTTCCAGTAACAGAGAATCTCATAGTAAGGAGTAAGTAAGCCAAAAAACTTTATCAACTTATTTCAGGCTAAGATGAGGTACAGTTTCTTAACTGGGCTATTATAAAATGAAACTGTCAAAACCTAACCTGGGTAGACTTCTGTATGAGTTGTTGAAAACCGAATCAAAATATTGATCAATATAGCCCAGCTATTATTTCATTCGATATATCGTATGAAACGATTGATATTTCCATTCGGTTGTTTTTGACAACAGATATGGAAGTCCACCCCCCTAACCAACCAAACTTGCTGATAATGAAAAAATCGAATGAAGGTTTACTAGGACTAAGTTTAATCGAATCTATAATTTCAATCGATATTAGCATAGCCTAGCCCAGTTAAGAATCTGTAGGCCTACCGTACTGTACCCCTAAAATGATTAAGCCTAGGCTAGTGGGAGTCATCCATATGAACATAAAGTCCACTTTTTTGTAGGCCTATTTGTTTTGTTAAGGCCAGGCCCGTTTTTGACAATGTCAGTGCCCTAGGCACAACTAATAGTAGGTAAGTTAGCGCCATAACTGTGACTGCAATACTTATACGGTAGGCCTATAGAAAAGGGTGACCACCAATCGGGTAATCTGGGAATTAGGCTATTCGTGGATTTGTTTGAATCAAGAATTATGCGTGAATGTTGTATTTCTACCTATAAATGTCAATTTAGCCTACTGCAATCGCGCATGACAACAGTGACTGCGGGAGACGACAATACAGTATGTCTACACACGACCTCGAGAGATGATCAGAAAATTGGCTGAAATCAACGATAACCGCAGGCCACGAAACCCCGGGTACTCATCAACAGCCTCTAAGAGCCTTTTTTAGAACATAGCCTAACATTTTAAATATTTCTGCCCAACATTTCAATCAATTTCTATGAATTTGCCAATTAAAGTTTTTTTTTTATAAAGAATGGTCAATTTTATGCCCCTCCAAAAAGCTGGAGTGTGCGGCTGCATACATCGCATACAGTGACGTAGCCAGGATTTCAAAATATGGGGGGTCGACCGACCGGGGGGGGGGGGGGGGGCGTTGGTCCGGGGGTAAAATGGGGGTCCCGGAAAAATTTGAAAAATATAGGCCCTAAAACTGTCTTTTTTAGCTCTCTTGTCATTGAAAATAATCAACCCCAACGTCAATACAGTATGATTATATAATTTTACATTAAATTTTACAGAAAAATATTATATTTAAGACCGGAAGGGGGATCCGGACCCCTAGGACCCCCCCCCCCCCCTGGCTACGTCACTGTCGCACACCCCTCAGGCCGGCCCTGAGTAGGGTCACACATTGAAACACCAACCAATTTGTCCAATCTTTTAAGACTGTGACAAAAATTTGTGGGGACAAAGGCTCCGAGAAGTCAAATTAAATTCTTCTGCGACTCTTTGAGGCTGTTTATGTTCTCGTTCTTTATTATTTTATTAAAAGTTGCAGTTTTGCTTGATTTTGAGCAACTGTCTTGTTATAATTATTTTAGATCTTATCTGCAACCAATGATACATAACTCCATTTTTATTTTAGTTATTTTATATGTCTTGGTCTTAAAATACTCTTAGTAGTAAGGCTTTCATTATGAGATATTGATCGTTTGAATCGGTTAAGTTCAAGATAGGCTTACTGTATTACTCAATAAAAAACATAAATTTGATTACCCTATTTCTCGGATATGGAATTTAATTTTAGATATATTTACTCAGTTCTATTACGTTATCTAAGAACTTTCAGTGAAATACCAGACTTCATTTGAGTTAGGTATTGAATATTAAGATCGGAAGTACCTAAAGTACGCTGCCTAATCACAAAAACCCCAAATCGTTAAAAAAATATAGTGATTTTTCATTTATTGATATTTAAATGATTTTGCTAGAAACATCAACGTTAACCGTCGATTTCAACGGGTTTCACCTAGTAATTATAACATTTTGTTCACAGTATTAAAATATCTCCTGGAGCAGTTGTATGCGTTGAATCCAAACTCAAGGGCAGTGTTTCCATTGGAAGCATGACAATAATCCATCCTAAAGCATCTATAATTGCTGAAGCAGGACAAGTCATAATAGGAGAAAATAATATCATTGAAGAACAAGCATCAATCATATACAGGTAAGCCTTCTTAGAGAAAATAATGGTTTCTGTTATTTTGTAATAAATGTCAAGGATTACAATATTTATTTGATAGTTATATTATATTATTTTTTACTCATAATAGTTTTTAATTTAGAAGGAAGCCCATGTCTACAGTCTAAATAAAATAATATCCCCGCCGCAGCAAACCTGCAGACTAAGCGAATTTCCATTTGCCTGATTGGATTTACTCTAAAATATCTCCTTAATACGTTCAGTGCTGAAATGGGTTAGTATTGCGTGCCTAAAGTGTTAAAATATGGTTATTGATAAATCTCCAAGTAAATGATGTGAATGAATCCAAAATGCCATTAGAAGATCCCCAGGCCTCCATTTTGGTCAATATTGGTGACGTCACTTCCGGTACATCAATTGATGTAGTCCGCTAGAGGGGCCGGTTTGCTGAGTCCCCGCGAAGAAGAAGTAGTCCGTTTACTGTCACATTTGTATCTAACGGGACAAACTTGTTTCTTGACACAAAAGTTGGTAATTATTGGAATAATAACCACAGAAAATTATATACAATCAGTCCAAGTGTCATTTAGAACGATCGGCAATGCAAAAAATTAGTTCACACACACAATGTCAAAGAATGAGTTATTGTTATTTATAAAAACACTGTTCTTACAGAGTAAGACAATTATTGAGAAATTTAAAAACTATTCGAAAACTATATACAACCCCACCCACCGCATTTACACACACCACACAAAAGTACAAGGTTACCACGGTCCCGTGTCGAAGTTAAAACCCGGAGCTGAAAACGATTCGCGCCAAAATAAACTCGAGAACTGGCACAACAGGCTGACGCGAGATACAACGTTCCCCGTCTATGTCTGAGCTAACACTGTACCAATATAGTTGGAGTGGTGCGACTACAGTTTTTGATGTAGTCCGCCATGGGAGCTTGTGACGTACTACATCAATTGATGTAGTCAGCACTGAACGTGTTAAAAATATCACATTCATTCCCTATTTAAATAGCATTGGTTTAACGAGTACTTAGGTTTGCTGCAACAGGTAGGGTGAAAAAGTTTTTTTTTTGTCAAATGTTAAAAGTTTATTATGAAATAAATACATTGTAAAATAACCAATTGATCAAAATATGTTCATAAACAAGCAAATTACATTTTATTATTCTCCATAAAAATAACATGGGAATTTTGAATTTACAATTTTTTGGAATTTTTCTCTATAAGTTAACCATTAGGCGCATAATAAAGCTTCAATATACTAAATTATTTTTTTTATCTCTACAAAATAGTTTGGAAAAAAATTACTTTTTTGAATCTGAACGGATGGTTTTTTTTGCCTCTAGGGACCTCAAAACGAAAAAGTAAATTGGTCTCAGGTCTAGGTCTTACCCCTGTATTCCCTATATGGAAAATTTGCTAAAAACAGGTGAATTATGACACAACATTTTTGTTGGACAAGCTTGCAACAAGAAGCATAAACAAATATGACTTTATTTATTCAGTCCATCACTTATTTCAGGTCTAGGGATGACACATCAAAAGAAAATGCTGTGCCATTAAACATTGGAGTGAATAATGTGTTTGAAGTTGGATGTGAAATACATGCCAAGTCAATTGGTGATCACAACGTGTTTGAATCTAAATGTAAGTCCACTCATATTAATATCTGTCTATCTAGACATTTATATAAAAACTTATATAGTTGCCAACAAGTGTGTTGAGTTGGTTGTTTAAATCTGGTGTTTTTACAATGTCTTGAAAATATTAGCACTTGGCATGAGTATCGATAGCCGATGTTTTTGAAACATGGTTTTTTTTATCAATGTTTGATGTTTTTTACATTGATGGTCTAGGCCTTTACGATTGTTATTGCTACATCAAAGAAAAAAAAAAAAAAACATCAATGATTTTTGGCAAACTAGGCTATTGAAATATGGATGTTTTCTCCATATCTGAAATGGAATTTCTGTATTTCTTCCCTTGAAAGGCTATTTCAAATGTAAAAGCATTGCGAAGTGGACTGGACTTAAAAGAAAGAAGAGTAGAGTGAGAATATGTAAGACACTGTAATCGGAAAACCTCTGGAAATCAATATCTTCTGAAACGGTTAATGACAAAAACTAGGTGGAACCTCCTCTTGTATAATTACTTTTATCAATTCTCTTTTAACTTAACCCTCAATTTCCTGAATAAATTTCACATACAGGCCCAAGGTGAAATGCATGTACTTTGGAGGCTACCAACCAGCCTAAAATCCAATATTACCGGTACTATAGTTAGTAGTGTAGGCCTAATGTCGTTGGGTTGCTTCATAAAACCACGATAAGAGTTTTTTATTAGTTTTAATCTAGATTTAAGATTTTTATTTGTTATTAAGTAATACAAGTATTACAATACACATTTTCAATGTTTTCTTAAGTCTTACAAACAATTAATTTTCTGTTAGAGTAACGGCAAAAATGCACAGATTGAGTAGCAATCTCTCTTTAAAACAAAACTGTTAATATAAATATTAACTCTAAAATAAATTAACAATTTACACGCCACACTGCATTTGAAAATAGTCCATGACCATAGCAAATTACCCAAACAATGGGAAGTTTCCTCATCAAGATCACTTAAATATAAATTAAATTAATCCACTCGGGTGTGTTGCCAGCCTAGAGGTAAGCGTCTCGGACTTCGGTATGGGAGGGGTGGGTGTACTTACCACATCCACAAAACCTTAACTTTTGGACTTGGACCAGTTTCCCTTAATAGCGTTTGAACTAACTCTTGGAATTCAATTTAAAATGTCACTGGCAACACATAAGCAAATAAATATAAATATAAGAAAAATAATGGAATTTGTGTGTTTAAGTATCTGACTACAAAAGTAAATGGTATAGGCCCAACTGTGTTGTTTTGGTATAAACTAAAATATCTGATAAATACAAAAATGACCTTAGTATTAGTATAGTAATATGCATTGTGACAATATATATTGTATGTCATTGTTAAATATTGTTTGTTGTCGATTCTAAAAATTGTTCAACTTATTGAGTAGTAATGAATGAATATACTATTTTTACCGGCCCTTTGTCATTGTAAGTGACTGATTTTATCATGATTATTTACATGTTGCGATGTCAGTTCTATTGTAATTTTTTTTTATTTTAAGGTTATGTTGGCCCCAATGTGGAGATTGGTAATGGCTGCATCATTGGCGCCGGATGTCGCATCACAGTCTCTGAGAGGTTGCCCGACCTGACGGTGATCACAGGACAAGAGTGTGTGCGCCGGCTCGCCTTAGATAAGCCACCGGTAAGTTTCCAATGTTATTAAATTAATTAACGTCTTTATTCTAGAGCGAGTTTCATTGTTATAATGGTTAACAACCACAAGTTAATATAAATCATAACTAGGCATGTTTGCATTCACATTTACAACATCTCCGTTTTTCCTCCTTGTAGTCAACAAACACAATAACAACAAATCAAGTCTTGAATTGGGATAAAATTAGAATGAGTTTAGGACTAAAAAAAATCATTCGGCATCACAAAAATAGGTACTTGGTTATTGGCTACTAGCTGTTACCTGCGGGCTTCGCCCCATTTGCCTTCATAAATATTAACTATTGATAGCCGTATTGGGTTGGGTGGCATTTCGAGTGGCTTTTCATGAATAATTTGAAGAACAACATTGGACTTAATAAGCTGTCAGGGCAGAGCCTTAGGAGAGTATTTAAATAAAAAATACTATCCCCATTAATTCTGTGGTTATATTGGCTCTTATCGTGGAAAAAAATAAGCTCAATTGGTCAATTAATTTTCACGTTATAGACACACTCCAAACATTCATATCTATAATATTAATTCCTTCCATCCAAGCCATTGATTTGGAAGGAATTTGAATGAAAATTTAAATTTGAATTGAAAAATTTGATTTCGGATGAAGTGCTTTAAGGTCTTGACCTGCCCCTGTTAGATAAGATAAGATAAGCCATTGATTTGATCAGTAATGCACTAAAATTATTTACACGCTAGGCCTACTCCGTTTCCCAGGCGTTATTTTTGGAAAAACAAACACAATACAGTAGGCCTACTTTAAAAAAAAATTCATTAAGTTGATGAATTATATGCACTTAAAAATAAAATTACCCTATTCGAACAATCACAACAATTTATAATTTAACAGTTTTCTCTTTGTCTATCACAGCTTTTTTTTTGTTGCTGCTTTGTTCAATAGCTGTTATCTTAAACTTAAAAAAAGTTAATCGCTCTGCACCAAAACCTTGTAACTTTATAATGGTATTGAACATTGAACATCATAGAACCAACTTGTTTAATTGAAACAGATGTTAAGATTCGTTTATTCCTTCTAAATATTATGAAAAGTCATGAAAGGTTAACATGTTGAACTACTTAGTTTTCATATTTAATGCCTAAAGAATCAGTGTACCAAATTTCAGTCTTCTAGGTCAATGGGAAGTAGCAGATTTAGTGATGTCTGAGTCAGTAAGTCAAACAGTCAGTGAGGGCTTTGCATTTAATATGAAGGTATCTTGAATTTTAACGAAACTAATCTATCCATCTATCAATACAATAATAAAATTGATGTGGTGTCTGTCTGTCTGGCTGCCACGACTAAAATACTAAACTGGCACAGCCCAAATTAAGCACAAAGATTGTCCACGTACCTAGGAATATCATAGGGCTATTCACTTCTCTGAGTTCCTCTCGGGCTACGCCCCTTGGATGTCTAAAGTTTTGAGGTGAGGTTTTCAAAAGAAATATTAATTGGTCTCCACTCCATGGAAGCTTGGGAAATTTCACAAACTTTGTTTACCTTTGCGTAGACATTTCAATGTTAACAGTCAGAACTGCTAAATGCTTATTCACAAATTCAGACAGCTGATCCAAACAAATTAAATAAAAACTATTTTACCTAACCCGCCATGTTAAACTTCCCTATCCCAAGCGTGATGTATACAACTTCCTTACTTCTCGAGTGATGTAAAGTTGAAAAAAACTCACTCGGTGATGTAATAAAACCCATTTAAATAACATTGAGTGGATAACTTAAAAAATATACCTCTATGGAGCCAACGACGTTCAACGCTAGAAATCAGCTGTGTTTGAATTTTATTGTTATGCTTTGAAGAATTTTCCTAACCTAGCTTTTGTTTGTAAATGAACGTTACTGTTAGAAGATGAGTGAAATTGGTAATGAAGCATAATATTGCTCGTGACCTCCTGAATATTGTCGGGTCAGGTAAAATCTTGTACGTTACACGTTACGCAAGAGCGTGTTTACATCACTTCGGTGAATTATGCAACTCGCCTTCGCTCGTTGCACAACATTCACCTGCGTGATGTAAAAACGCGGACGCGTTGCAGAAAGTCAACAGTCCCGGAAGGTCAAATAATTTATACCTGTGCCGCTAGGTCAAAAACTACAATGTTTGCAGTGTCTGTAGATCAAAAATCCCAGTAAGTCAAATAGTACAGTCCGGGCTAAAAACGTAGTCTATGTTAAAGCAATTGACTTATTGGGAATTTGACCTAATGCAACAGCAGTTTTAATATAACGAAATAAGATAAAATATAAGTTCAGTTTCGCTGAGTCAACAGTGCCGGAAGGTCAAAAGTATAATCTGTTAAAAAGAGCGATAGTCCTCTCGACGCATGACTTCAATAATTTCGTGTTTTGGTGTACTTAAAGTTGTGCTAAAATTTTGAAAATTGGCACAGAACTTCTTGGTTAGTCCTACTCGATGACAGTTTTGTTGGAACTTTAATTATTTACCAATCTAATTAATAAAAATTGATATGTATGGTGAAATATTTTTAAATCGTGATTTCTAACATGAAAAAGTTAGCATGCGAGATTTTTTTTTGTTTTTGGGTTAGAGATGTTTTGTCTGTGGCAAAGTTGTAGCTAAAAGTGTGATGCGTAAAATATATTTTTTTTAAATTTTTTACAATAAGTGGTTCAATAGATAACTTGGGTTGAAGAGGACGGCAAATTTAGCATTTCGCAACGCATGGAAAGAACTACATCGTACGATGCGACTGCTGAGTGGACTTTTAATTTACAGTTCTAAGGACAAGAAAAAGATGAATATACAGATTACCAGTACATTCATATTATATATAAAACATCTTTCTGTATTACCAGCTTACATTTTTCACTTATATTAATAAGAATACATCATAAACAGGGTGTTAAAAATAAGCGGAGAGATACTTTACCTAGTTAGTAATTCCTTGGGTCAAAATAAACAGAAAATGAAGGATAAGATTTTTTCCAAAATCGTTTCGTTAACCAGATATCCGCCATTTTGTATTTTTTACATACCGTATTTATCTTTACACTTTTTCAACCGATGTCTATGAAACTTGGTATGTATGTTAAGGTAGGAGAGACCCATGTTATAAAAAAAGATTCATCTCGATTCACCCTAAAATTTCTACATTTAACACTTAACTACAATATAATATACTTTACTACACCACAATATTTACGTATCACCATAAATCTTTAATAAAATAAAACGTTAACATTTTTATAATTCAAAGTAAATCAATATAATCTTTCTTTTTTGAAAAATATAGTAAAAAAATAAGGCGATGTTAAAATAACGACAGGCGAGTTTCGATCTGGGTGTTTACGGTTTGAACCTAGGAGGATTTAACATTAATTAACATTAATGTTTAATCCCCCTAGGTTTGAACTAATTGAGAGGAATACATGAAACCGAAGGGGGGAAGTAGCAAAAAGTGCACTAGTACTTACTAGTGTCCAATTACAATTTGATGGATTTAACCAAAACCTTTTCTATTTCACTTATTTTCAGCTGTTAAATTTCAAACGATACGTTTTAGCTACATCATTAACATTATTATCATCATCATCGTTTGAGTTTGGGTTTGCGGCAATGTATTTTTATGTATAAACCCTTTAATTTGATACCTACCAAACTTGACCTCTGCTGCTATTAATTGACTGTATGGACTATTAATTAACAGCTGTGTCTAAGGATTATGTCGGCCTTAAGTCACTAACAGGACAACAAGATCGCTCCACTCATCACACACTCATCTCCATTCATACTTGGCTTAAAATGCATACATTTGTATGGTCGCCATTTCAAAAACAAGTAAAATAGTATTACAATTATATAAGAATTTTGTCTTAGTCTTTGTGGTCCATCCCTCTTAAGGGATAAAAAAGTGATAATAACTTTTCAACCATACTGTATAACGCCAACACAAAATTTTTCCGTTGAACTCCTCCGCATTTCTTAGGCGATTTTGACCATTCATGTCTCATTAGAGAGAGCGTGTCACGTAAATTTGCAGACCAACCTTACATTTTTAAATCCCTTGGGCTCAGCCCCAGCGGCTCATGTTATGAACCCATGCTATGCCTATGAAGAACATATTGATTTATTTATATTAGGATCAGCCCAATTAATTGCTGTTATGCAATTCAAGGAAATAATGTAGGCTACATTATTAACATGTTACTGATTTGTTTGAAATACTATATTTACTATTTCAATTTGGGTTTGCTGGATAATTTAATCCATTTTACCAAACAATAAAAATTAATGGACAAAGTACTATATTTCATGAGCAATCATTGAAAGGACCGATTGAAGTCCTCATCAACCAAAAGAATGCCTACTAAAGCAAATAAAATTGAGACGAACATGTAATGCACAAAATCAGATGGTTCTTAAGTATGTGAAAAAATGTATCGCTATTCAAAAACAGACGGAAAACTTGTAAACATATTCGTGACAATGGGTGTAACCATGTTACATGGCTACATTATCAATGACAAACGTGGACAACCTTATACGAGTGTGAGTAAGTCCGAAAAACTCTAAAAAACAATAAGCAATAAATTGCAAGAACCGTTGCGCCGTTGCTTATATCATTGGGTATACACGTATCCACTGACGTGTATACTCAATGCTTATATCGAACTGTTATATGTACATCGTGAGTTGTTCCATTAGTTGTTCCATTTAGTTGTGTGTCCATTAGTATAATATTTTAGTTGACTCTTTTAAAGTCGGCGGAAATTGTGACTGTTATTACCCTTGAAATAATGTTTGTGTAGTACTTTGCAATCCTACCAATGCTTATAGAATCATATGATTACAATTTTCTGGTTAGAATATGTCGCATAGAGTGGTGACTACTGTATATTTTTGGTTTGCTTGTAAAACAAGATCAACAAAGATTTTCCATCGACTTAAACAATACGATACTCCCAAATTGTTCATTGCAATAACAAAATATCACACAGTTTGATGAATATTTGTGTGTAAACCACATACAGTACACCTGTATTCTATCTATTTTACCTTTTATTTTTCCAACACTTTATAGAAAATCACACATTACGTGATCGGTGAAGAAAGGCTGTATCCCATGTGTTTTATAGGTAAAGAAGACAAGGGCGGTCCTAGACATATATTTTGGGGGGGTCACCGGGGGCCTGGGGGGTATGGAATACCCCCCAAAAAGGAGGGGGGTCCTGGGGTTCCCCCCGGGAAAAATATATAAATAAATAAATATAGGCTATACAGGGTGATCAACTCAAGGAGGCCACCATTGGGATATCGGAAACGGTAAGAATTAGAGAAAACTCAAAATGGAAGACATTCCTTTATTTTTTGTGGCAGTTAAAAATATGATTTTAGTTTTTTGAAATTCAGCCACCATTTTCCAAAATGGCGGCCAATTTTGAAATTTCTTATCGAACCCTATATTTTATCATGTTTTCGGATAGAATAGGCAATTTAAAAACTTTTTTATCCTTGAAATTTTTTCGATAAACCCACTCGTCTAGGAGTTACCGCCTATGGAAAAATGACTTCCGGTGTACATATTACATCATGTAGCTCCTAAACAAGTAAGTTTATAGCAAAAATGCGAGGAGTAAAAAAGTCTTACAATTGCATCCACATTCAAAAAAGACCATAAAATTCATAAAAAATATGAATTATATTATTTAAGAAATGGCAGCAAACTTGAAAAGTGGAAAACTTTTTATTTTATAGTCTTTAAGGAATGTAGATGCAATTCTAAGACTAATTTACTTTTTGCAATTTTGCTCTAAACTTACTCGTTTAGGAGCTACATGATGTAAAATGTACACCGGAAGTCATTTTCCCATAGGCTGTACTCCTAAACGAGTGGGTTAATCGAAAAGGGTCAAGGCTAAAAAAGTTTTGAAATTGAATATTCTATCCGAAAACATGATAAAAAAACTAAAATCATATTTTTAACTGACACAAAAAATAAAGGAATGTTCCCCATTTAATGTTTTCTCTAATTCTTACCGTTTCCGATTTCCCAATGGTGGCCTCCTTGAGTTGATCACCCTGTATATATGAATTTGAACGGATGATGTTTTTGGCCTCTAGGGAGCTCAAAACGAAAAATGAAATCGGTCCCGGGTCCAGGTGTTACCATAAGTACTACGGTAATAGCTTATTCCCTATATGGGAAATTCTCCAAAAACCTAATAGTTATATTCAACCAGCTGTTAGTTAAAACAAATTATATGGGACTAAAACAAATCGATGATTACAAAGATTCCTTTAAAAAATAATTTGAACATCCTTTTATTTTACTATGCATATTTAATTAATCTGCCATCCTCATACCTAAGAATTGAATGTATCAATGGTCAGCATTACACATAGTATAAATAAGTCAACTCTAATTATATCTTTAAATTTGTTTCCAAATGCTGAATTTGTGTCACAGATGCTGAATGTTTACAGCTGTTATGTTAAGCAAATTATATTGTACTAAAAGCTGGCTTAGAAGGTTAGCGTCGGCTGCTAGACTTTTTAAAAATAAAACTTAATTTCTAAAAAACTGGGACCCTTAATTATAATTATGGCTTTGACATTCCCTAGTTCTCAAAATTATCTTTCTTTCAACACAAAACTAATGAAAATCCATCGTCTGGTTGATTCAGAATCGTGAAAAAATCCCATTTACGTTTTAATAATATATATGATAGTTTGGACAGGTTTCAACCCTTCCGAGGCGTAATACATTTACACAGTTTATATGTAGACTACATTATAACTCATAAAATAGTTCTACAATTAAATGGATCTCCTTTTACAAACGTATATAATAACCAGAAATTTTCAGATCGTCCTTGCGTGTATTTTATGCCACAAATTTTGACGAAAGGCTTTTCATTACATAAACTATACCTATTTACAGTGTTGACCAAACAGTTGGCAAGAAGCATTAATAGATAAGCTATGTACCAAATATGATAATTTTAGCTCTATTGTAATTATGACACAACACGAAGTAACTAAAAGCGAGTTTTGTTGGTGTAGTAAGCGTTGCAGGAGGTCTACTTTACACTGAATCGAATCGACGTTTTGTTTTATTGCTTTTGATCTTCCGGCACTGTTGACTCAGCGAAACTGAACTTGTATTTTACCTTATTTCGTTATATTAAAACTGCTGTTGCATTAGGTCAAATTCCCAATAAGTCAATTGCTTTAACATAGACTACGTTTTTAGCTCGGGCTGTACTATTTGACTTACTGGAACTTTTGATCTACAGACACTGCAAACATTGTAGTTTTTGACCTAGCGGCACAGGTATAAATTATTTGATCTTCCGGGACTGTTGACTTTCAGCAACATTCCCGTAAAAACGCTCTTACTACACTTGTAATGTAAATAGCTACTACACAACTAGGCCTATGTGGTAGGTTTATTTATGTCATTGATTATGAAAACAAAGAAAGACTCTATAACCGTAAGTTATGAAAATTATGTTATTGATGTTAATGTAAACAGTAGGACAATTACAATGTAGGTCATACTTTTTGTAAACATTTGGTGGCTTTTTGTTTATAAATTCGATCTACCTAACAAGTGTTTGGATTAGGGGGTATAGTACATCTTCCCATTGCAAAGCACAGGTACAGCAGCTAATATTGAACAAAAACTAATCTTGAACGAATCAGCTGTGTTTGACTAGTAAGATACCAATAGTATATTACGTTACTAGTCCTGAAAATAAGTGTTTACCGGATGAGTGTGGTCGTTCCCGGGATTACCATACGAGTCCGGTACACACATTTTGGACGAGTTACGTACGATAGTTTACGCTATACTACTAGATCTGTATAGATCCTTTTTGTTTATTACTATTCATTACCACCTAAATACAGTATAATCAGCTGATTGGTGTCCGATAAAACCCATTACAGTACAGTAGTACCATAGACTAAGCAACACAAGTAGACTCCTCATCCCATTGTAAATTTTGAAGCTTGTTTTTTGTGTCTAGTTCATGTACGTCCACACTGATCGCTGGGGTAGGCAACATTTTGTTTATATTATTTTAGGGTTATTTTCATGATTTGTGCTTTATTATTTGGTTATATAACCAGGAGACCAGTTATTGTTTATGATTAAATCGTTTTATTAGTTAAATTATGATTTAAATGACTGAAATAACAAGAAAAAAATTGTAAACAAAACATAACCTCTACAGTTGGACGTACAGAATAAACAATAAAATTAGCTTCAGCTGTTCCATAAGGATGACAAATCTACTAAGGGAGTATGATTTATCTATGGTAGTACGCAATGAAACCCCATTTGAATAAGCTGGCGGCAAACAGCTTTTTTCTAGACTAGGCCTAAATCCTTGCGTGGGAAGTTCGTCAAAATAATGTAGTGTGGCGTAATAGTATATTACGTTACTAGTCCTGAAAATAAGTGTTTGCCGGACGAGTCAAGACTACAAGATCGCGCCACTCATCTCCATTCATACTTGGCTTAAAATACCTACTATGTATGGTTGCCATTTCATTGAACAGTATTGAACAGATGAGGAAGGTGATTGGTTGATGCATGCATTCGCTTGTTTAACAGCCACTTCCTCAGAGAAATGTTTCCAGGAGCAAGTCCAGTAAACATGAAGGATGTTGTGGAGGAATTAGGTTGCCATTACCCACATCCCATCAGTTTGAAACTATAGGTAAAAGGCAAGCGAACACTACTGAAGGGGTGTGGAGCTGACTTGCTCTAATTTAACAAAACCAGACCACAGTGCAGCGTCAAGTTGTCAATTTACAGGGGAAGTTCTAGAATAGAACTTAGTTTGTTTTTGATTAGAGGTTGCAGCAAATTCTGCTGATGGCAATGGCAAAAACTCCTGTCAATGTAAACAATTTCATGCATTTGTGAGTTATTTGTAAGGTTGGCTTGTTAAGTCCTTAATCCCAATAGTGTTAACGTCATATTTTATTTAGTCCAACAGTTGGGTCAATAATAACACAATTTTTTCAATCGAATGCTTTTGGTTAAATACAAGCATTTCATGGCTTTTGTTCTGAAATGCAGGAACTTGCAGAGTGTTTCAATATAGTTGGAATCCACATTTTTTATTTTAGTGAACATTTTAATAGCTTACAGCTATTAGCAATGAGTAAATTTTGGCATGAGAGTATTTTTACTGACTGTTAAATAATAGCAAATTAGCAGCGTTTATAAAATGAACAATAATATGTTAACTCTCTTTTTAATGTTCTAGCTAGTGTATTAAATTACTAAAAATTTATCCTGTTTGTTAACTTATTTCATTTACTTTTCGCATTTTTAAGAAATTAACAAAAAATCTTGTCATTGTATTTTCTCATCTACTAAACAATTTCAAGAGATATATTTTCATTTTGTGATTTTTCAATATGGTAACTAAGGCTTTTACATTGCAGGGATGTGAGGACTTAACACGCCAGCTAGATGAGTTGACAGTCATGAGTGAAATATTCACAAAAGAAGAGTTTTCAAGCAGTTCGGCTTGTGACCAAGTGACAGCCGTGTTTGAAGCTCACGTTCCACTCCCTTGTGACTTTACTCTGTCGCTGTCTCAAGAATCTGGTCGGACCAGTTTTCCGATTAATCACTTGCCTCCGATCCGACTCTGCACCTCCTTCCCAAAGGATTATCCGTCCATCAGTTGTCCTGACTTTTTATTATCTTGTTGCTGGCTTAGTAAGACTAAGCTAGAACTACTTGTTATGGAATTAAATAAACTATGGGATGAAAACAAGTGTGAGATACTTTTTATCTGGTGTTCATTTTTAAAAGACCAGAGTCTAGACTTATTAAATATCACAAACAGTTATGAACTGTGTGAGAAAGATCCAACTCCAAAATCAGAGGGTTCAGAAAGTTGCTTGGACCAAATCAAACAACCATACAAATTGTACTATAGTCGACAAGCTTTGAAAGACAAACGAAATAACAACAGATTCGACCAAAAAAGACAAGAGTACAGTTGGAGGAAAAATAGGGGTGTAGATTATTTTGCCCGTAGTAAAGTCATAAGCAAACTAACCAAGGAGGCAAATGAAAAGTTTATGTTTTATCACAAAGAATGTGTCAAACGACTATTTTTCAACTTGATAGATTACAACGCTTCAAAATCAAAAGATGAGTTTAGCAAGAACATGCAGGATTGCAACGTGTGCTTTAGTCAAGTGATAGGGGAGCAGTGTAAACAGCTGAACTGTGGTCACATCACATGTGTGGAGTGTCTACGACGTCTGTGTCAGGTGCACATAGAGCAAGGTACGATGGAGTGTATAGTGTGTCCTCAGGAGAACTGTGGTCTTGAACTGCCCGCCAACCTCATAAACGATCTGGTGTCAAAAGAATTGTATGACAGATACGACAGATTGATGTTGAACAGAACGTTAGACAAGATTAGCAACATGACTTACTGCCCCCGTCCAGCCTGCCAATACCCCATCTCCACTCAAGACGAGGAATCATTGGCCGTCTGTCCGAGCTGCGGCTTCGCTTTATGCGTGTTTTGCAGAAGAGTCTATCACGGAATAGAGGGGTGTAGACTGAAAAGCGAAGAAAAATCTGAACTGGTCGAAGCGTACAAGAACGCAGATCGTGAAAAAAGGCTCGATTTGGAAAAGCGATATGGTAAAAAACAACTGACAGAACTTGTGAACACCGCTGACACGGAAGCGTGGATGTCACAAAACAGCAAAAAGTGTCCTTGCTGCAATATCAACATAGAGAAAAACGACGGCTGCAACAAAATGATCTGCAGGAAGTGCAACACAAACTTTTGCTGGCTTTGTTTGGCACGAGTTTCTTCTTTAAATCCCTACCTACACTACCAGGATCCTAAATCAAAGTGCTTTAACTTATTGTTTGAAGGAATTGAAGGTATTGAGGACATTGAAGACATTGAAGAGGAAGACGAAGGCAATGAAGAAGTAGTGTTCTTCGTCCCTGATGAAGCTATTGCCTCCGATGATGAAATTAATGACATGATTGAAATGCTTGGTTGAAGTTTACCATAGATGCTTTAAAACCTGGATTCAAAAGTAACATGTAGCCTATGCTAAACAAAAAAAAGATAGACTAAAAAAATCATATTTTTTTAAAATTAAGGTAGTTTTGGATACTTAAAAACACATTAAATGGCTTTACAAAAAAGGTTTATTTAATAAAAGATCATTCATTTAAGTAGACTTTTATTTGATTGAATTGTTAATATTTTATCAGTGTTTAAATTGTCATCAGATATCTTTTTGTGGCTAGTTTTCTCATTATGTTTTCCTTATTTGTGGAAACCCCTAAATTGTATCATATGATAAATGTTTTATTACTTTTTTCATTCTATTGCAATTATTTAATCATATTTTAGTTTTACAGAATTAAAATTTGTTGTTACATTTTAGCCTTATCCAATTTTATTATTTGCAATAATTACTGTAACCTAGCATTTTTACAAATGTTGTAAGCAGTCATGTACAATGTTTTATCATGATAATAATTTAGTCAAACATGATACTATTATATAATACCCTGCAGTTTGCAATTGGCATTTTTACAATTGTTATACTGTATTTAAAAAGTCTCAAGAGTTTTTATTTTGTATCAAGAATCAAGGATTGAAGAGTACATTACAGTTGTTTGTTATAGGCTACTGTAAGTAATTTGTAATCAGTGTAAAATTTGTTTGCTTCAATTAGCAAATATGCTAATTAGGTACCTTGCAGTTTTTCAATTACAATTTTTGCAACTATACTGTATATATTACAAAATCAAACAGTTTTTACAATTAAGAAGTGATGCTTTGAGGGTATGGTACAGTTGTTGCTGTTACACCATGAGTAATTTGTAACTTAATTAGGTAGTGTAAAATTTGTTTGTTTCACATAGCAAATATGTTACTATTAGATAGTAATTACCTTGCAGTTTACTATTATTATTTTTGCAACTTTTATACTGCATATTTTAAAATAAAACATTGTATTTGTATGAAGAATCAAGGCTTGTAGCATACAGCTCAGTTGTAATTAGTATAAATTTGGTTTGTTTCTTAATAAGTTGTTAAGTTTGTTTTTTATTGTTATCTGGTCTGTTTCAGTTAAACTTAAGATTAATATTTCCGTTACACAAGTTCTTAAAATGATACTTCATGTACTCAATTTGTATTTGCTTAAGCATCTCACCTTTATCTTTAATCCTTTTTATGATAATTGTCTCATATTATATTTTTAATCCGATGTTTAATAAAATGTTTCTGTTGACAAGTTTTACTGATGAATCTATATTTGCGTATGACTAGTTAAGTTTTAACCCAGTGACTTTTATGAAGGTAGTATTTTTGGTTTTAGAGAAAACTGGGAAGTAATGTCCTCAACTAAAATGAAAACTTACCCAAGTCTAGTTTACTTAAAAAGTTAGTAAAACTTTATTCCGCAAAACTTATTTTAAATCTACGCTCATTTAAATAAGAGCCACAGATGTTATATCACCAATATTAGTATCCAACAAAATGGAATTTTTATTATGCTGTTTACCTTTTGATTGCCAGGTTCTTGATGAATTAATTTTTTAATAATCTATATTTTTTATATTTTCTATAAGCCCCTAGAGTAAATAAAATACTTTTTTTACATTTTTTAGTTTCTTCCCAATGCTTAGTGAATCAGCTCATTAAAATTTGTTGTGTAAAAGGACAGTCAAAACCTTGATCTAAAAAATCTCTATGTGACATAGACTTTTGGTCAGCCACAGCCAGCATTATATAACTAGCCCAACAAAAAAATCATTTGGGTCCAGAATATATCCTTTTCATTGTGATCGTTTATAATTTAAGACAAGCAAAACCAGGTTTGCTACAAAGAGTAGTTGAAATATGTAAAAGGATATTTTACCTGAGAATCCACTAACGTTAATTTGGAAGTAATTTGAACAGGAACTGTTTACTTGCCACCATATTATAATGGGATGCGACTACAGTAACCCTCTTATCCGGACTCCTCGGGACCGAGGCCAGTCCGGATAACGGGTTTTCCGGTTAAACTGACGTCCCCAAAAACTCGTTAAAACCTACTGTGATATTGTGTGTATTTATTGTGATATTTGCTGAGTCACGTGATGACTGGTCTCAAATCTTTCCCTTGAGAACAGTCATTTTAGTACTGCCCACTTCTTGCCAATCTAGTCCGGTTAAACCAATGTGCTGAAAAAAATTGTCCGGTTAAAGAGATGTCATTTCCGCCGAGTGTAGTCCAGTTAAACCGATATCCGGTTAAAAGGTGTCCGGATAAGAGGGAGTCTACTGTATACTTGGTTAACAAAATTTAGGCAGTTATAGAGGAAGAAATATATCCCCTCCACTTGATCCTATCTTAAAATGAAAGCTCAACAACTGAGGTTTTCCAAAATGTTATTCAGCTGCCACATATTAAGCAAAAGGAGTAGTGGGGGAACTTCCCCTTAAACCGCCTAAATTTTGTGAATGGGCTATAAGTCTACTTAAACCCAAAAACATTGGAGTGGAACAGTGGTGTAGGATGAGTGAATTGCCACTAGCGTCTCATTTTCCTCGTCCGGAACTGATGAGAACCTTTTCTGCGAAGGAGTGGGGGATTGTGGGAGAGCCCCTAACGTCAATTTAGAAAAACTTTCAATCATTTTTTTAGTTATAAAATTAAACTGTCATAACCTAACCTAACCAACCAAACTTGCTGATAGTATAAAAAAAAAATAAGATTAAAATCAAATGAAGGTTTACTAATAAAAAAAATAGTTCTGTTCATAAATCAAACTATTAATGCCTCAAATTCTAACAAAAGATGTACAGTTAAGAAGTATTCGAATTATATCTTTGACAAAAAGTAGGTATCCCCGGCGGGATTCAAACTGGGGACCTCCAGAACACCAGTTTGAGAAGCTATCAACTACGCCACAAACGCTGATGAACTCATATTGTCTCGTTACGGTAATGGTGTTTCCTCAAGAAAAGAGTGATGTCATGCCCCCCACTCCTTCTCTAAAGAGGTTCTCATCCGTTTGTGAGGAGGAAAACGAGGCGCTATAGTGAATGGCCTAGTGCAGCTTTGTTACTAAGATCAGCTAGTTCTTGCTGGTAAATAAACGGCCAGCTGTTTTTTTTAGCCAAGACATAAATTAAAAGCCAATGATCATGAACAGCTGGTACAGTTGCAAACCATCAAAAAGTTACTGGCTTCTAAGGACTGCCATGCCTGTTAGTACGGTGCAATTAGCCAAAAAAGGGCTTTAACCCCAGACATCCAAAGTGAAAGCACATTTTTGACTCTTTAGTGGTTCTGTACAGCCCACAAAAAGTTTGGTAAAAAGTTACATCTATTTGTGTTTGGTTTAAAGGAAGAGTAAAAGTAAAAAACTGCACATTTTTTGTTTTTCCTACTAATATTATAAATGAGAAAGTTTGGATGTATGGATGTATGTTTGTGACAAGTGAACGCGAAAAATACTGGTCGGATTGGGCTGAAATTTGGCATGATGATAGCTCACATTCCCGATTAACATATAGGCATATTCTTATTTCAAAAATCCTTTTGGGCTGCGGGCTCCGCCCCAGTTGCTCTGGAGTTTCCCATGTTAACCTTATGAGAAATGGAATTATTGAATCTTAACAGCTGTTTCAATTAAACAAGTTGGTTCTGTTCTATGATGTTCAATAGCATTAAAGTTACAAGGATTACCAACAGGGTGCAGCACTATTATTTCTTTTACATTTATGACAACAGCTAATTTGCAACGAAAAGGTGAATGAGCGTAGCGAACGAACTTCAACCTGGAGGCGAGTTAGCGTAGCGAACGAGCTAACCTGAAGGCAAGAGAGCGCAGCGAACGAGCTCCAACCTAAAGGTGAGTGAGCGTAGCGAACGAGCTCCAACCTAAAGGTGAGTGAGCGTAGCGAACAAACTTCAACCAGGACGTGATTGAGCCATGCAAACGAGATAATCTTGAAAATTAAGAAGTTAAACGGGGCAAAGCCCGCGGGTTACAGCTAGTATTTAATATCTCAGAAACTAAGCATTTTAGCAGGAAATGCGCCCAAAAATGATCTACACTAAAACAGAAAACAGTGGAAAACTCTTCGTTATCTTGTTAAATTGAAGGGTTACAGAGTTACGAAGCTTAGAAATGGACAATTTTCTTTAAGAGTCCTGGAGGTAGCAAGATATTATAAAGAAGGGAGTGGGGCCTGTTAGGAGTCAGAATACAATCTATAGGGTAAGCATAGGTTTATATGTACAGAAATTTAAAGGTCTTTGTTAGTAAAATACAATGCCGCAAACCCCAACTCAAAACGGGCAACTGAGTCAAAAATGGCAGTCATTCAAAAATGTCTTGAATTTGTTATTTTGAATCTCTGAACGGTTCCCTTGTTTGACCCAGTTGTCCGATTGAGTTCAGGTTTGTGGTTTTGTATCCCGCCAATAAAGTGGTAAATTATACTAATAGAATAAACTGCAAGACATATTTTGTAAAATTGATGTGTATTTAACTTGAGTAAACAAACAACTGAACTCAAAACATATCATTAATATTAAACATGTGACAATAAAACACCAGCTGGTACACTACGGTGTTGAAGTATGTACAGTTACTCAGCAACCTCTACACATACCAAGCCATGCCTACATTTATGATTTCCTTCTGACTTCTATTGGGCGCCCTAAAATTGCAACTTGAAGATTTTTTTCGACAACTGCCATTTTTGACGGACGCGTTGCAGAAAGTCAACAGTCCCGGAAGGTCAAATAATTTATACCTGTGCCGCTAGGTCAAAAACTACAATGTTTGCAGTGTCTGTAGATCAAAAATCCCAGTAAGTCAAATAGTACAGTCCGGGCTAAAAACGTAGTCTATGTTAAAGCGATTGACTTATTGGGAATTTGACCTAATGCAACAGCAGTTTTAATATAACGAAATAAGATAAAATATAAGTTCAGTTTCGCTGAGTCAACAGTGCCGGAAGGTCAAAAGTATAATCTGTTAAAAACAACGACAGTCCTCTCGACGCATGACTTCAATAATTTCGTGTTTTGGTGTACTTAAAGTTGTGCTAAAATTTTGAAATTTGGCACAGAGCTTCTTGGTTAGTCCTACTCGATGACTATTTTGTTGGAACTTTAAACTATTTACCGATCTAATTAATAAAAATTGAAAAATGTATGGTGAAATAGTTTTAAATCGTGATTTCTAACATGAAAAAGTTAGAATGCGAGATTTTTTTTTGTTTTTGGGTTAGAGAGGTTTTGTCTGTGGCAAAGTTGTAGCTAAAAGTGTGATGCGTAAAATATATATTTTTTAAATTTTTTACAATCAGTGGTTCAATAGATAACTTGGGTTGAAGAGGACGGCAAATTTAGCATTTCGCAACGCATGGAAAGAACTACATCGTACGATGGGACTGCTGAGTGGACTTTTAATTTACACTTCTAAGGACAAGAAAAATATGAATATACAAATCACCAGTTCATTCATATTATTTATAAAACATCTTTCTGTATTACCAGCTTACACTTTTCACTTATATTAATAAGAATACATCATAAACAGTGTGTTAAAAATAAGCGGGGAGATATTTTACCTAGTAATTCCTTGGGTCAAAATAAACAGAAAATGAAGGATACCGTAACATTTTTTCCAAAATCGTTTCGTTAACCAGATATCCACCATTTTGTATTTTTTACATACAAATATTTATCTTTACACTTTTCCAACCGATGTTAATGAAACTTGGTATGTATGTTAAGGTAGGAGAGACCCATGTTATTAAAAAAGATTCATCTCTATTAACCTTAAAATTTCAAAATTTAACACTTAACTACAATATAATATACTTTACTACACCACAATATTTACGTATCACCATATAAATCTTTAATAAAATAAAACGTTCACATTTTTAAAATCCAAAGTAAATCAATACAATCTTTCTTTTTTGAAAAATTTAGTAAAAAAATATGGCGATGTTAAAATAACGACAGGTGAGTTTCGATCTGGGTGTTTCAGGTTTGAACCTAGGAGGATTTAACATTAATTAACATTATAGTTTAATCCTCCTAGGTTTGAACTGATTGAGAGGAATACATGAAACCGAAGGGGGAGGGATCACAAGTGCATTAGTACTTACTTTGATGGATTTAACAAAAACCTTTTCTATTTCACTTATTTTCAGCTGTTTAATTTCAAACGATACGTTTTAGCTACATCATTAACATGATTATCATCATCATCATCGTTTGAGTTTGGGTTTGCGGCAACGTATTTTTATGAATAAAACCTTTAACTTGATACCAAACTTGACCTCTGTTGCTATTAATTGACTGTATGGACTATTAATTAACAGCTGTGGACAACCTTATACGAGTGTGAGTAAGTCCAAAAACAGAGTAAGTCCGAAAACAACTCTAAAAAACAATAAGCAATAAATTGCAAGAACCGTTGCTTATATCATTGTGTGTAAACCACATACAGTACACCTGTATTCTATCTATTTTACCTTTTATTTTTCCAAGACTTTATAGAAAATCACGCATTACGTGATCAGTGAAGAAAGGCTGTATCCCATGTGTTTTATAGGTAAAGAAGATAAGGGCGGTCCTAGACATATATTTTGGGGGGGTCACCGGGGGCCTGGGGGGTATGGAATACCCCCCAAAAAGGAAGGGGGTCCTGGGGTTCCCCCCGGGGAAAATATATTAATAAATAAATATAGGCTATACAGGTGATCAACTCAAGGAGGCCACCATTGGGATATCGGAAACGGTAAGAATTAGAGAAAACTTAAAATGGGGGACATTCCTTTATTTTTTGTGGCAGTTAAAAATATGATTTTAGTTTCTTTTTTTTTACTCAGCCGCCATTTTCCAAAATGGCGGCCAAATTTGAAATTTCTTATGGAACACCCTAAATTTTATCATGTTTTCGGATAGAATAGGCAATTTAAAAACTTTTCTATCCTTGACATTTTTTCGATAAACCCACTCGTTTAGGAGTTACAGCTTATGGAAAAATCACTTCCGGTGTACATTTTACATCATGTAACTCCTAAACAAGTAAGTTTATAGCAAAAATGCGAAGAGTAAAAAAGTCTTACAATTGCATCCACATTCCAAAAAAGACCATAAAATTCATTAAAAATATGAATTATATTATTTTAAAAATGGCGGCAAACTTGAAAAGTGGAAAACTTTTTATTTTATAGTCTTTAAGGAATGTAGATGCAATTCTAAGACGAATTTACTTTATGCAATTTTGCTCTAAACTTACTCGTTTAGGAGCTACATGATGTAAAATGTACACCGGAAGTCATTTTTCCATAGGCTGTACTCCTAAACTAGTGGGTTTATCGAAAAAATGTCAAGGATAAAAAAGTTTTTAAATTGCATATTCTATCCGAAAACATGATAAAAAAACTAAAATCATATTTTTAACTGCCACAAAAAATAAAGGAATGTCCCCCATTTAAAGGTTTCTCTAATTCTTACCGTTTCCGATTTCCCAATGGTGGCCTCCTTGAGTCGATCACCCTGTATATATGAATTTGAACGGATGGTGTTTTTGGCCTCTAGGGACCTCAAAACTAAAAATTAAATCGGTCCCGGGTCCAGGTGTTTAGTAGCTTATTCCCTATATGGAAAATTCACCAAAAACCTAATAGTTATATAGAACAATATTACATTCAACCAGCTGTTGGTTAAAACAAATTATATGGGACTAAAACAAATCAATGATTACAAAGATTCCTTTAAAAATTAATTTGAACATCCTACTAGTTTACTATGCATATTTAATTAATCTGCCATCCTCATACCTAAGAATTGAATGTATCAATGGTCAGCATTACACATAGTATAAATAAGTCAACTCTAAATATGTCTTTAAATTTGTGTCACATATGCTGAATGTTTACAGCTGTTATGTTAAGCAAATTATATTGAACTAAAAGCTAGCTTAGAAGGTTAGCGTCGGCTGCTAGACTTTAAAAAATTAAAACTTAATTTCTAAAAAACTGGTACCCTTAATTATAATTATGGCTTTGACATTCCCTGGTTCTCAAAATTATCTTTCTTTCAACACAAAAATAATGAAAATCCGTCGACTGGTTGATTCAGAATGTGGAAAAAACCCCATTTACGTTTTAATAATATATATGATAGTTTGGACAGGTTTCAACCCTTCCGAGGCGTAATACGTTTACACAGTTTATGTGTAGACTACATTATAACTCATAAAATAGTTCTAAAATTAAATGGATCTCCTTTTACAAACGTATATAATAACCAGAAATTTTCAAATCGCCCTTGCGTGTATTTCATGCCACAAATTTTGACGAAAGGCTTTTTATTACATAAACTATACCTATTTACAGTGTTGACCAAACAGTTGGCAAGAAGCATTAATAGATAAGCTATGTACCAAATATGATAATTTTAGCTTTATTCTAATTATGACAAAACACGAAGTAACTAAAAGCGAGTTTTGTTGGTGTAGTAAGCGTTGCAGGAGGTCTACTTTATACTGAATCGACGTTCACTTTTATTGCTTTTGATCTTCCGGCATTGTTGACTCAGCGAAACTGAACTTGTATTTTACCTTATTTCGTTATATTAAAACTGCTGTTGCATTAGGTCAAATTCCCAATAAGTCAATTGCTTTATCATAGACCACGTTTTTAGCTCGGACTGTACTATTTGACTTACTGGGAATTTTGATCTACAGACACTGCAAACATTGTAGTTTTTGACCTAGCGGCACAGGTATAAATTATTTGATCTTCCGGGACTGTTGACTTTCAGCAACATTCCCTTTTTGACTCATTTGTTCGTTAAATTAAGGGTTGTGGCATTGTATTTTACTAACGAAGACCTCTACTTTTGATGTATATCTCAACCTATGTTTACCTTAAAGATTTTCTTCTGAGTCCTAGCTGGTTGCTCGCTTGAGAAGGTAGCGTATCAATAAATAATTAAATAAATTATTTTTGTGTCCAGTGACTTAGTCCTAAGTTTTGTAGCTATATCTTTATAACTTTTTTGAATATTTAGCAATCTCCAGGACTTTTAAAGCGTTAAAGATGGTTGAAAAATGTCAATTTTTAAGCTTGTGTAACTAACTCTGTAATCATTCACTTTAACAAGATAACGAAGAGGACCATTCTTGTTTAGTGTAGAATATTTTTGTATAGGTCGAATTTTTGCTAAAATGCATAGTTTCTAAGGTGTTCAATAAAACTCAAAAAAGTACCATTTTTCCAACTTCTACATTCCTCTCCTCCCACCCAAACCCAACGCTCAAATAGCAATTAACTTTTTACCGAACATTATGTGGACTGCTCTGAACAACTTGGGAGTCAAAAGTGTTTTCACTTTGAATGTCCAGGTTTAGGTCTTTGTAGCATACTATGTGTGTGAACCAAAACAAAGACAACTTCCCAATAAACTTATTATCTTTCCTTAGATGTACAAATTTAGTTCTCTTTTTGTATAAAATTTAAAACTATGGCAGGTATGCAAAAAGCATTGGACCCGAACAATTTATTAAATTATTTATACAAGCTAAGGATTTTCCTTCTTTGAAATTCATTGTTGGTAATGAAGATGATAGAATTTTAAAGGATTTTGTCTCAGAGTCATCGATTTTGAAGAGCTGGTCCAGTTTTGAATCGACCATTAAATAAAAGACGCTCTAGGTATTTGGTAAAAATGATCAAATATCATTTTAAATTTAACTGCTAGTAATGTTTTGTGGCTTTTTTAGGCGCAAACACTTCAGATAGATTTCTTGAGCAAGATCCTGCCCAACTATCATCACCTGAGGAAACCCAACAAAACTCCGGCTGCTGCTATTGCTGCTGCTAACAAGCAGTAGCAGTAAATGGAATAACTTCACTACACAAGCCTATACTACTGCTTTATATTTGTACCACCCCTCATCGTTTGAATCCTAATTCCAAATCTCAAATTTATCAACTACAGTACCGGTACATAGCAAATGAGATCTTCAAATTTTAAGTTTGAAAGTTGAATTTTGAATAAGCTTAAGTAGTGGATTATGTATTATGATTTTTTAGATGAGGTGAAAGCATAATTAATTAAGTGAAATTATCTAGGAAGATTATTTTAGAAAAGGATATCCTACATTTCATTTCATTGCTAACCTCAGAAAATGATGAGTCCAAGGGCTTAAAGATAATAATAATAAATGTAAAAAATCACTTAACTTATTTTACAATACAGTATAACTGTGTAACTCAAATAATTACAATTTACTTTTCTACATTACCTATTTATTTTTGTTCTAAGGATTTTTTACTCAATAAATATGTTTTGACAAATCCTATTTAATTGTTAATCCCAGTTCTTGGAATAATTGTTGGCTACATTAGATTTGAATATTTCCAATTCCAACAGCATTTACCATCATGCTTATGGCCCAGCGTCCATTCATTGACAGTGATGTTCCATTGGTTCTATTTTAGTGTTGTTCTGTAGTATGAACCAAATCGCCATAGATGATCATGGGTGTGGTATTGTTAATGACAGATATTTCCACGATTGACCATCAGACAATCACAGTATTATTGTGATCGTGGGAGCAATATGAAATAATTGTTTTAATTCTGTCATGCAGTTTTACTGCATTCCCATCAAATCCAGAAAAAAATTGGTAATCCAACACGGTCTGGTCCCAAATAGTTTGAAATAGCGGAACTCTCATGTAATAGCAAAAGAGTAAGTTCCACATCTTTACAACTTCTAAAATCTAAGATTTCAGATTTCTGTTACCATTCTTATCGCTCATGGCACACGTCGGTAGTAGGTCAAGGCATCCTTCTTTGTCCGATAAATGAGTAATCGTGAATTTCTGATTCTTTAAATAAATGCAATTTGAAAAAATAATTTTTTATAAAGGGAATATTTTTTAAATCCAAGATTGTTGTAATGACACTTAATAATGAAACATGACACCAACCTAACTGATAATGAATCAACTGATCAACGTATAATATATATAAATGTGATGGTGATGTAATGTCAAAGGAGAAAGGACCAAAGTATTTGATTTGTTATTCGTCAGGGTAAGGGCAAAGGAAACACATTGGAACCGACAGCTAACAAACTTTGAATAACATTTATTTTATTCACATGTACAATAGACTCTCCTAAATGTTATAAACAATACTGCAGTTAATTGTATTAACATCTTATTTACAAAACCCAAAAACTAACCCACCAGCACAACGTCCATCTTACAGAAGCTACTACTACAATCTATTTGAGAGAAAAGTGAGTAACAATCATTGAAACAATCTCCACCAAAAATTTGAATTGTCTATACATTTTTCTTTAATATTAAACACTTTTGCCTTTAGTGATGCTTTTAATGACAATAAAAGGGTTTATTAAAATGAAACTTACCCATTAACAATTTATGACACTAAAATTACAGACAAATTTATTAGCATTTCTCCATCCGACATGCAAATTGAGGTTCACTATAAGTGTATAATACCGAATGGAATGTATTTTCATACTTTGTGTACATCTTGGATACATCCTTATGCTACTTTTATCAGATTATACCTAAGCTTTTCCAGCAACGGCAGGTTTCCCAGTCGTAGTACTTTGCTCCTTTTCCAGTTGTCGTCCAAGATACTCCCTGAAACAATTAACAAACAAGGGTTGTGACTTGTGTGAAGCAATTCCCGAATAAATAAATACAGTAGAACCCCGGTTAACCAAAATAAAGGGGGAGAGTTGTTTCGGATAACCAATTTTTCGGTTAACCCATCATATGCTAAAAATAACCAATGTGTTCCCACAGTATGTGAAAAAATGAATTTCAAACAATGACTATATAACCCAGTATTTTACTTAAACTACAACAATGTTGGGTTAGATAACACTTTAAGCTAAACAACTGAAGTTACTAAATCATTTTACAGCCCTGTATTATTTTATGCAATCATTTTGGTTAACCTTGGTTTTGGTAAACCCGAATTCGTTTAACAGGAGTTCTACTGTAAACATAGCAATAAAAAAATAAAAAACATAAATACTTTGACAAATCACTGTTAAAAACTAAAGACAAGTAAATTAACCTGTACTGTACATACTGCATCCATCCCAATTCTTCCCAGATGGGCGAAAATAATATATTCCATCTTCTGTATTAATGAACACAACAATTGATTTCTTGATACATACATGATTTTTTTACTAAAATAAAAAGATTAGACGCTACTGTCATAAGGGGAGAGAGAGCTAGGTTAGTAGTAGAGCACTGTGATTTAGTCCCCAAGGTCAGGTTCAAATCCTACCAATCCCCAATGGATTTAGCCATTTCATAATGGGACAATTCTCATGTTCTAATCAGAATGTAAGGGCAGAACGGTTACAGACTAGAGCCTAATGTCCAGGAGGGTAGGGCATACTGGCTTTTATACTTGCCAGTGGTGTATATTGTCATTACTCCATGGACATAACAATACTCTATGTAAATACTCTGTTCCCACTAACCAGTTGTGAACCATGAGCTTCTGTACGGCCAGCAGCGCTTCGTATCTCACGTTCGGATCTTCATGGGACAACAACTGCATCACAAGCTGCTTGCCTCCCAGCTGTTCAATAACACTGTTAACAGAACACAACGCTAGTTAATGCATCATGGTAAAACACAGCCCTAATAAAATAGAGAAAAACTAGCATCACAAACAAAAAATAAGGTGCATGCTCAAGAGGTGCTACCAAAACATGAAATATCTTGAATATTTTGTTAAGTTTTTTAGCTGCTGCTATTATTTTTATTTAACCAAAATAATTTTTCATCAAGCTATATTTAAATCATGGTGACAGTGGGACTGCTTCATTAGTTTTTCAATCGGAATAACCAAAAGTACTGCTTACACGTACAGTATTAGCTTACAAGATTTAAAAATACAGTGCAATTTTCCCAGTTGTTTGCTTTATTAAACTAAAAAGACACAAACTTTCAGGTTTATATTTGTTGGAATGAAATTTATTTTGGAAACTGTGAAAATAGAACTTCTATTACTGTTACGAGCACAACACAGTGAATTTAACATTTTGGGGGAAAAGTCATACTTGACTAGCTTTTAAGCAAGTTAGAGGAGTTTAGCCATTTGCTAAGCATGCGGTTTATGTTTCTTAGTAAAGAGCCGGCAAGATTACCAGCCTATTGTAGACCAAAGTTTACTATTTACTTCTTTTCCTTAGAGGTACCACACTACCTCAGCGAGAGGCTTTGTGTTAATATTTATTAATCACCCCTATGGACGAATCAACTCACTGTTTTCCTCGTGGGTAGTGTCTAACGTATTCACCGATGTCGAACGAAGCTACGCTCAAAACTAAAGCATCTCTGCTGTTCTCCAGCAGATGGATGAGGATTCTCAAGAGTTCGTAGTTTTTCTCATTGAGGCGTCCAGCGTTTTCCCTCCAGAACTGAGCGGAACGGTGTACTGGACTCCACTCCAGCCGACCTGACTTTACCTCTGTGGCGTACTCGTCAAACGAGCTGTGGAAGAAGTTAAGTATTTTATACCAACACAGAACAAAAATATGAAAATATCTAATAGTAATATTACAATAGTTATTTGTGTAACTAGAGAGCAAAGTGACACTTTGCTGCACACGAGAGCAACGTTTACACTCACCCCTAACAAACTTGCCAGCGGCTCGTGCGGAATGATCTCGAGTGCAGCAAAGGCCTTTTGCACTCGTGTTACACATTATATTTTTCCTATAGTCACTATAAAGCATATAAATAATTAGTCTCTCAAACACTATACAACACGTTTTTAGGTTCAGCTGGCAACACAAATAGGTGTCCTAGAGAAAGTAGTCCCCGGTCCGTATCACTCTGCTATTTTTTCCTCCGCAAGCAATGAACTCCGCGACTTGAGAAAATAGTTCCGTATATTTTTGTAATTTGCAGTGGTTTCCGCTCCTAAAAAAAATGCTTTAAAGGTATTTTATTGTTTATTTAGATCATAGGAATGTTTTAAAAACGTTTAAAAGAAAAGTCCAGAGAGTTCAGAAATACCGAAAAGAGAACATAAACTATTAACACGAAATGACAGGTTGAATCGTAGTTATAATAATCAATCAGCTGCTCATAGTATTATTATCTTTAAGTGTTGCCAACCTATTTCCAAGCGTACACGGATTACGTAATAGAACCACGCTGTTTTGTGATGTTTTATGGAAATCCTGATGTGCGCCAAAGTATAAACCGTACGACAAAGTATAAATATGCAGCAATTAGCAGCTTTCTGTACTATAAACAGTACAAGGAAGCCAACTTTGTCGGGTGACTGTAGGAAAAATAATTATATTTGATGGAAAATTATCACACTAAGGAACTGTTGACCCAAGGTTAATAGGCTATTAGTCATATTTACCACAGTTCAGGGGCTAGAATGGATGTACAAAAAATACACAATAGGCTTTTTTGCCTTAATTTTATAACGAGACCAACTAGATAAATATTTTTCTAAGGTAAACCAATGTTCCTTGATGTTGTTTGCCTACCAATGTACAATATAAAAATTAACTAATTTTATTTGTGGAAAACTACTAAACTGTATTGAGTACCGGTACAGTTATTTTGGCCTAAAAAAAGATTAACCTATGTCTACAGTAGGATTATAAATGCACTGTTTCATACATTCTGAGGATTTGTTTCAAAAGATATAAAGATAAACTTCTGACTTTTTTGTATTTCTATTAGCCCAATCTATTGTGCCAGGAAAGCTTACTAAGATATCCCTTTCCTCCTAGCCTGACACATGGCTTTCCTCTACAATATAAAATAGTATTGTAGCCTACTATAGCGTCTTCAATCACCTCAGATCTTGTACAGAAGCTTGCAGTTTCTCATTAAGGAAGCTGACGTCCTCGACAATGTCCTCGTCGTCGAACTTGCGCTGCTCCAGAATGCTGAGCTGTTTCAGCACCTTGCTCTGCACCATGGCGATACAGTGCTCCTTGGCCACAGAGCCATCCTCAGGCTTCTCAATCAGGTTCTATAGAAACACGAGAATGTGACTGATCCATAATTATACTACAGTAGAACTTCTTTCATATAACTTGAAGTGGTTCAATGTTTATAATAACCTTTGGTTAAAAATAATGTGATAGTGAAATATCCTATTTACAGCGTAGGGAGTGAAGTTCATTTTTGCTTATGCTCTTACTATTCAAGTGTGCAAAGCAATGTTGCTTTACACTTGAAACCTAGATCCTTGACGTCAATACTGTGGAAGTCTTGAGTTTTTTAATGGCTGTGTTTAGTAATATAATAAATATTCAATAATCTAATGCCCTTTTTATCCATTTTCATTGTTGACAGGGTCTATTGTAACTTTATTATTTAATAACCAATTAAGATTTATTATCAAGTACTTATAGTGGGGATGGAGAAACTCTGCAATAGTAATACTTACTCTGAAAACCGCAAGAATTATACGAGTGACCTTCTCTTTGACACAATCACTCAAAATGTCAGCAAGGATAGGAATAACATTGAATCTGAAATAAACATCCATATGTTTCAGAAATAGTTTATGATAAATAAAAATTAAGTATAATGAAAGGAAAAATGAACTATTTTCATCAAATTCTAAAATCAGAAAAAATCATGATCTTTATACAGTTTTATTACCATAAATTACGGTACCGTACCTAAAAGTGTTGCGAAAACACATATTTTATTTTCTGTTACTACCTCATTCAAAAACAATATCTTTTAAATAAAAATTTGTACACTGACTATATCTCAAATTCATTGTGTAAACTTCAACCTTTTATAATGTGTTCAAGAATAGAGGCATTTTTTAAATCATCTATTTTGCCACTGTTCATTAATTTAAACAAATCTATACAAAACTAACATTTATTTAGATGTTATATGTTCAAAATATACACAGTTCCATTTCAGTATATCAGAATAAAAGTCTCTAAAGTACCTATCAAAAAAGAATTTGTAGGAATAAACGATTAAATATTTAACAAAATAGTCCCGACATACTTGTTCATTCGTTCGGCGAGCTTTGGGTTGAAAGTGAGCACCCAGATACAGAAGATGAGTTGGTATTGGATCTGGAAGTTGACTCGTCCTGACAACACGCTGAGCAGAGTAGAGATGCCATCGACAGAGATGAAAGCAGCTCTGTACTGGTCTATCCTCAACATCATCTGCAGACATCTGGCCACGGACTGCATGTACTCGTTGTTCTGTTGAAAAAAAAACCATTAGAAAGACACATTAGATTACATACATTAGATTTTGTATGTACATTAGTACATTAGATTTTGAAGAGGTCGGTCTCTTTTAACCTTGCGTTTGCCCGTCCACTGTTGATACAGTATTGTATAATTATATATTCTTTGTTTCCATTCCTCTATGTATCTCCATTCCCCTTCCGTTCCACCCTCTAGTTTCATTCCAACTACACACTCTTCCGTCAACTCCTCAACATGTGACCCTGTGTATCTGTTGTGACTACAATGTGGTTTTATTAATAAACTTGTGTTACTAATTACACACTTGTTTTAATTAATTAATATGACCCATAAACATGGCGTCAGGTTATGTTGTTAGTTTTCACTTGTGTGAACAGTAAATTCAGTGCTAGTCAGCAGATTAAAGTGGATTAGTTTTAGGTTAGGTTACGCGAGAATTGCCGTAAGTACCTAGCATAACCTATTACTCAGTGTGGATAATCTTCATTGAAGAATAAATTTCAGTAAGAACTGTTAAATTACCGTGGTAAAATGGCTTCCTCATCATCTAGCCCAAATACAAATGCCAGTATCGATTCAAATATAGGCCCCATAAGTTTAGAAGGAAACCTAGCCCAGAATTGGACGTTTTGGTATCAACGTTTCAAGATATTCCTAACTGCCTCAAACCTTGATAAAGAGGAAGATGAACGGAAAATTGCAATCCTTTTGCATAATTTAGGTGCAAAGTGTTTCGAAATTTTCAATTCCTTTAATCTAGACTCTAATTCATTAACCAAATACAACACTGTGGTAGATAAGTTCCAGGCCTACTTTTCCCCAAAGAAGAACTTGACTGTAGAAAGACACAAATTCCTCACCAGAAAGCAAAATCCCGGTGAAAGTTTTGACTCGTTCTTCACAGATTTGGTTAATAAAAGCTTAAACTGTGAATTCAAAGAACTTCGCGAAGACCTAGTGCGTGATGTAATGATATGTGGCCTCGAAAATCAGCATATGAAGGAAAGACTTTTACGGGAATCGGACCTCACCCTAAACAAAGCTGTTGCCATATGCAAAGCTGCTGAACTGTCGTCAATTCAAATTAAAGAAATAGAAGGAGCCCAAATTGCCCAAGTTAGTGCCTCAAGCAAATTCGCCAAGCCTAAAGTGACACCCAGCGCTCATCAGTCAAATAGCCAGTCTAAGTTTAGGCCTAATCATAAGAAATTCATTAATAGTTGTAGAAATTGTGGTAGAAATCATTTAGTGAATCAATGTCCCGCGTATGGTATTGAATGTTTTTCTTGTAAGCATAAGAACCATTTTGCAAATTACTGTCAATCTAAGTCAAAACCAACTAATAATCAAATCAAAAGCCAAAATAGGCCTACAAAGTCCTTCAAAAAAGTAAATGAAGTAAATTTTGATGAACTAAATGAGACTCAACCTAGTGAAAACCTAGATGAAAATAACCTACACCTTGAGAATTTCACTATTGAATGTGTGAATCATACTCAAACTTCTGCTGATTGGTTTGAAAACGTAGGAATTAACAGTAAAGTTGTCAAATTTAAACTTGACAGTGGAGCTCAAACTAACCTAATTTCGTTTTCACTTTTCAAAGAGTTAGGTCTAGATCAGAACATAATCTACAAATGTAACGTTACTGTTTCATCTTTCACGGGTCAACAAGTAAATGTCATTGGTAAAGTTGATATAAATTGCAAGGTTAAGAACAAAACACACTTAATCTCTTTTGTAATAGTAGATATAAAATGTACACCATTGTTAGGCCTAGAAACCTGCTGTAGCTTAGGTCTCATAAGTAGAACAGTGAATTCTGTAACAGTTGAAAACGCTGATGACTTTGTTTTCAAAGATTATCAAACCATGTTTGATGGTAACTTAGGTACAATCCCTGGTGAGATTAAATTAGAATTGTGTAGTAATTATGAGGCTAAAGTTGAGCCTCCAAGAAGAGTCCCTTTTGCTTTGTTGGAGCCTTTAAAAAATGAGCTAAACAGAATGGAGAAATTGGGCATAATAGTTAAAATAGACGAACCTACTGAATGGGTACATGGTATGGTTTTAATTAATAAAAAAGGCTCTGGTCTTAGAGTTGTACTAGACCCCAGAAATCTAAATAAGTATTTAAAGCGTCCCCATTGTCAAATTCCCAATGCAGAAGAGATTAGTAGTAAGCTAACAAATTCTAAAATATATTCTGTTCTTGACGCTAGTTCTGCCTTTTGGATGTTTAAGCTTGATGAAAATTCAAGTAGGTTATGTACCTTTAATACACCATTTGCAAGATACAGATTTCTACGTATGCCCTATGGAATCAGTTGTGCCCCTGACTATTTTCAATCTAAAATGACAGAGTTATTTGGTAATATTGAGGGCGTAGTGTGCTATTTTGATGATATTTGTATTAGTGCGGCTGATCAAAAATCTCACGACGAGCGACTTCGTAAAGTCTTAGAAATCGCAAAGGCTAACGGCATCAAGTTTAACATGTCCAAATGCAAGTTCCGTGTGCCTAAAGTTAAATTTGTCGGGTTTGAGTACTCAGAGTGTGGCGTTTCTCCAGACTCCTCGAAGGTTCTTGCGATACAGCATATGCAGGTCCCAGCTGATCGCAAAGAGCTGGAAAGGTTTCTTGGTGTGACTAATTATCTATCTAAATTCATCCCTAACTATTCAACAATAACAACACCTTTAAGAGAGTTGTTACGAAAGGATGTTGTTTTTCGTTGGGATCAGCCACAAGATATCGCGTTCCGGAAATTAAAAGAGATTTTGGTCAGCCCCCCAGTCTTGTGTTATTTTGATCCTAAAAAAGCGGTGACATTGTCTGTTGATAGTAGCTCAACAGGTCTAGGAGCGGTGTTATTGTGTGATAGTAACCCAGTGGCCTATGCTTCAAGGTCATTGACTCCGAGCCAGGTAAATTATAGTCAAATTGAGAAAGAAATGCTAGCCATAGCATTTGGTTGTACTAGATTTCATCAGTACATATTTTCTAAGAAAATAACTGTAGAGACAGACCATAAGCCCCTAGTTAGCTTATTCAAAAAGCCTTTGTCACAAGCCCCTTTGAGACTGCAAACTATGTTGTTAAAAGTGCAAAGATATGATCTTGACGTGATCTATAAGCCTGGTAAACTTCTGTATATTGCAGACACCTTATCAAGGTCATCCTTACCCTTTCAAACTAAAGAGGAAATTGATCATACAGATGATGATATAATATGCCAAGTTAATTTGTTCAAAAATAGTTTACCTATTTCTCAAGAAAAATTTAGCTTGTTTATTTCTAAGACAGATGAGGACAGTACTTTAGTTCAAGTAAGAGAATTTGTTAAATCTGGGTGGCCTGAAAACAAAAATAATCTTGACAATTCTGTAAAACCGTTTTGGAACTTAAGGGATAGTCTCCATGTAATTGACAAACTTGTGTTTAAAAATGATAGATTAATAGTTCCTCGCAGTTTGCAAAAAGATATGTTAACAAAACTGCACGAAGGTCATGTTGGTGTAAGTACATGTGAAAAGAGAGCAAAAAATATTTTGTATTGGCCTAGTATAAAGTCAGACATACAGGAGTTTGTAAATAATTGTATGACATGTGCTTTACATTCCCCCAATAACTGTAAAGAACCAATCCTATTTCATGAAATACCATCCCTGCCATGGTCTAAAGTTTCAGCAGACCTCTTTGAATTAAAATCTGTGCACTACTTAGTTGTAATGGATTATTACTCTAAATACATTGAATTAGTGTCTCTAAATGATATTAGCTCAAAAGGTGTTATTAACAAACTAAAGTCAATGTTTGCAAGACATGGAATTCCCCAAATACTAGTAACTGATCCAGGTACTCAGTTCACTAGTCATGAGTTTCAAATATTTGTAAATAGCTATGAATTTAGTCATGTCTTATCGTCACCAAAGCACTCCCAGTCCAACGGACAGATTGAGTCAGGAGTAAAAATAGCCAAAGGTATACTGAAAAAATGTGAACATTCAAACACAGACCCCTACATCGGTTTACTCAATTACAGGAACACTCCTAAGGTAATTTACCTTCACCCGCACAATTATTGTTTTCGAGAAACTTAAATTCATTATTACCATGTTCAGCAAAGTTCCTAGAGCCAAAGGTCACAAAACCAAACCCCAATCTTGTAAATAAAAGAAAACAGTCTGTACAAAAATATTATGACAAACATGTTAAACCTTTATCAGAGTTGAATGTAAATGACAAAGTTCTTTTTAAAAGGAACCTAGATGGTCCTTGGTCCCCTGGTAAGATAACAGCTTTAGGAAATGCACCCCGTTCTTATGTGGTAAAGGATGATAATGGTAGATTGTATAATCGCAACAGAAAGTTTTTTATTTTATCTCCAACTGACAATCCTGATGAAAATGTAAATCCATCTCATCCTAGCACCAATTCTAAGGATCCTAATCATAAAAACCAGAGTCCCACTCCCAACCAACAAAAATGTCTAATTCAGCCCAGTCCTTTGATTCCTCCCACTCCCAGTGGTCATGACGAAAATAATTTTATCCAAAACATGGAGGGTTATGTGACTAAAAGAGGTAGAACAATCAGAAATCCTAGGAGACTTACATTTGATGCTAACTAGTACTTCATTGTAACCTAACTAGATATGAGTAGGCTGAAAATGTTTGTTTAGTTCTTTCACATATTCTTAACAGTAAAAGTAAAAAATTTGTTATTTGTTGATAAGGGAGATGTTGATACAGTATTGTATAATTATATATTCTTTGTTTCCATTCCTCTATGTATCTCCATTCCCCTTCCGTTCCACCCTCTAGTTTCATTCCAACTACACACTCTTCCGTCAACTCCTCAACATGTGACCCTGTGTATCTGTTGTGACTACAATGTGGTTTTATTAATAAACTTGTGTTACTAATTACACACTTGTTTTAATTAATTAATATGACCCATAAACATCCACAAAGGTCTTGGGTCTGTGTGTGGACAATTATCTGCAAAACATGTCAGTACAGGATAAGACCGAAATGTCATTGCTGCCATGGATCTGTAGTCACACTGCCAACTGAGCCACAAACTCGCCCGGACTCTTTCAATGTTTGTAGAGTTTTTTTCTGCATTGACTACAGGTGAATTTTTTTAACACCTCAAATGTTGAAATTGGTTCAAAGCCTACAGGAGAGAAGTATCCTAAACTCCGTTTGCGATATAGATGTTCAAAAAATTGTGAACCCAACTAAAAAATGTAACTTAACTGATTATCTGACAATACAATCGACCCAAAATATTGGGCATATTTTGGTGTTTTTCTTAATACAAAAATTGATCTTTCTGATTACGTAAACTGACAATAATGTTATGTAACCTTGTACACAAGACACTTTGACCTGTAATGCTCAGGTACTAAATAAAGCTGAATTTACAATCCCAAAGCTGAAGTTACGATCCCAAAAACCAATCCCTATAATTGAATAGCCCCGGTTGAACAATGTTGTAGTGACAAAGGTGAATTTTTTCAGAAAATACAAAAACGCTTTGGCCAGGCAAATGCCAATACACAGCCAGTTTTCCGTGCATTCAATTGCATGTAGGTGTTGCCAGCCTATGTATTTTTTTAAACAAAATATCCCACCCAGTAGAGAATTTCATTTGCATTGTTCTTTACAAATCTCAACTTCATAAAATATTTAGTTTGCAACATTGTTTGACGGAGGTATTCAATTCATAATCTCAATTATCTAAGTAGAAAAGTACTTTTAAGCTATTAGTGCTTGTCTTAAAATCTGAAGGTTGTAGGCTTTATCTGGTTTTTTATTGTGCTATCAATTATACCAAAGGTTGGATGGTAACAGATCAGTAGTTTGGCCCATCTCCTTACAAAAACATTAAAATTCCAAATACATAAAAAAATTAGTACAAATAACTCACCTGCACAGTGAGCTGTTCCTTGAGCCAAGTGAGGTAAAACTGCAGATCCTTCTGTTCCATCAGCTCGGAGCCCCAACATGCCACCTTAGCAATGATACGAGCTGTCATGTTGACAATGAAGCCATCGGATCCGTTGAGGAGATTGAGGAACTGTCCACAGATCGGCTCCCGTTTGCGGATAGAATACTCTCTGAAGATCTCTACACGATTGCGGTCCTCCTGTTGAGACATTAAAAATCTATTAATGTTCCGTCCATCAAAGTATATAAAGGCCCTAATTAAAGTATTAAGGCCCTGAAGTATGTGTAAAGATATTTAGCAGAATTTCAAATGGAATAGAGAATATGGAAGACCACTGACCAGGGGAAATAAAGACACGAATCAAGGAATACTTATTGAGGAAACCATACTGCTCACTTGCAGATAACTTTGTAGTGGAAATGGGTGACAATTTTTACTCCCACAGCTTAGTTACGCTTTCAGAGGGAGATTTGCAAGTAGGCCAATCTAAGTAGACAAAGCTGCTGGCCAAAAATGAAAAACATTTAAAAATTTAAGTAATCGGAGAAATCTATGGATTGGACAAAGAAGATGAAGAATGTAAAATCACACATAATAGGGTACCAAGGAACTTCAAAACCTAGATGTGGTTACAGAAGCAAAAAGCAAACGTCTGGACATGTTATAAGGTAGAGGAGCTAGATTTAAGTTGAATATAGTAGCAAGAATGCTGAGAAGATGTAGTTTGGCAAATATTATTGTTGCTGATGACCAATGTAAACTTGCAGTTTGTTGACTTGTGTATGAATTGAAAATAGTGAGACAGAAGTGTACCCTTTCATCAGACCGAATTTTCTGAATTTTCATACGCAAATTACTAGACACCAAGAATCCAGGGGTGTCCCGACCTCTTGTTCCACAGTTCCCTTAAAACTCAATGTATCCAAACCTAAAGAAGAATCTATTGGTGACAAATCCAAATTCTATTAACTGCATCATTTATAAAGTTATTTAAAACACCTACCTGCAACATGTCATCAATCATGACCAGCACGTACTGGATGGTCTGATCCTTGGAAACATGTTCCAACAGGTTTAGGAACGTCTTGGCGCACTGAGTTCTCTTCTCCTTCAGAAGAGCCTCACGACCAGCTGCGTCCGCGTTGTCAAATGCTGTGATAAACGAAAAGTCCTCCTGTGTGATCATCTGTGATCTGAAACAATCGCTAATAGTTGTAAAACATATCATTCCGTTGCAAGAAAGTTAGATACAAAGGTTTAGCTTCAAAGTCTTAAAGGTTGTTATCAACTTGTTAATACAGTAGACAATACTCTTAACCGACTCAAATGGGATTGGACCTAGGTCGTATAACTATAATCATGGAAAACGTCTGCAATAATCCTTTAAATAACATGTAACACTTATGTGTGTAAGTTCTGTATACTAGACTTACTGGAGATAAGACTGCCAGTTGACTCTTTGTCCTCGGATCTCCGTGGCTTGTTGTTGTAGCACACTGGTCGCAGCCAGCATGTCTGAGAACAAACAACAAAATTATCTTGTAGTAAATAAATGAGACAGTTCCAGCTGTAGGCTACATGACTATGGTAGAGAACCTTTCTTTGGCCCGCAACAGCAAACCAGGTTTGTAACTGGCACCGTAAACACTACACAGCATTAGTTGAGAGAAAACAGGCTCTTTTTGAGGCAGCTGGGAAACAGGGTCTTTATTTTTTTACTGTGGAGGGCCATAAATCTTATCTAATCTTTTTTAGGGTGTTATTTCCTCAACTGGTGATTTGGGATGACGAAAGAAATAGGTCCTGCTCCCTTTATAGATTAAGATTAGTCTTGAAGCCTGAAGGTAGTCTTGCAACCAAACTCAGTGTCCTTACCTGTCACTTTTGTGACCCTTTAAGATAACTGGATTTTTAAAGCCAAGTATATCAGTCTTAAACCGAACTAAGTTGATCCTCTGTAGGCCACTATTCACTAGCACAGCAATTACATAAAAAGTCTTATTTTTTAGACTGGACCAATGAAAAAGGGTTTTGGGCCAAGAGAGAAAAGTAACACAGATTTATTTACTGCTGTGGCCTTGGGAATTTGAAAAATTATCTAGGCCTACAGCTTGCGATTTGTGTAACATTTCCCCCACAACTACACAAAAAAAACTATATCTTAAAAAAACTGTGATCTTGAAACACCAAGGTAACATTATGGTAAAAATCACATAACTTAAACAAATTGTTTGGTGACTGCAGTAATAAGATGCGATACAGTGTAAGACAATCTAAAACCAGCATGTCTGATTTATCGGCCCAAGTAACCACAGCTATGGTGTTCGATAAAAGTTTGTCATAGCAACAGGAAGATAAGAAGAAGTGTAGTCAAGTGCATTCAAACTCCATAAACAACAGCATTGCATTACTGTTTCTATGTAATTCAACCATTGTAAATTTTACAATCCAATAATAAATCATTAATATATTAGAAGGGTAATTTAAATAAAATTGTTGAAACTAGAAACACACTATTTATTCCCTCTACCAGAGCGTCAATGATGAAGGCCTATGAAATAAACGGTATCAGCAATCTGACACATAATTTCTCCCATTAGCTTGTCAATAACCTTTATTATTATTATTATTACTATTTTGTTTAGAATTATAATGACCATAATAGAGAAATTCAAATCAGAACCATTTTTCATGGGGTTTTATGGGAAAATAACCTAAGTTACCGGTACCCAATAACTTTAGAACCATAATTTTTACAACAATGGGGGGTTGTACTATGTTGTTAAAAATAAGAAGGACCATCACATTTAATTTTAATCAAAACCGGCTTTTTTTCAAAAATTCTTATTTTTTCTTCAATAACTTCTGAACCGAATTTTTACAGGAATGGCAGTTATACCACTTTGTTCAGAAGTTAAAGGACTACCGCATACTAAATTTTTTTCAAAATCATTCGAGCCCTTTTTGAAAAAATTTTCCTGTTATTTTATGGGGTTTTATGGACAAATCACCATTTCAAATCAAAATGTCAAAAGAAAATTAAAAACCCCTGGAGATACCATGGATTAGTAACTATAAACCAAATGTCATCAAATTCAGACTAAAGGTGTGGTCTATAGCTCTGTACACATCCACACATACAGGCATCACTAAGAAATCCACTTTTTTGGGTTCAGGACCCAAAACGGATCCACTCAAAACTCAAAAGTAAAAGAGGACATAAATTAGGCCTAGGCCTATCTTAATTTGGAAATAGATTTATTGTCATTGGAATTGGTCCCAAGGGGTCAGCAATGCAGCCTATTCATTGAACCTCAAAAATTGAATAAAAACACAATATTTGTTTTTTTTTATAATCATAAAACCAACTCACCTTTGTGAGCTGGGCAATACATTTTTTCGATGTGTTTTGAAGTACTCATTGTACACTTTACAGTAGCCTATATACTCTTGAAACAAATTGAAAAATAACAACTACAGTATGAAGATAATGTGTAGTAGATCTTGGCAAGAAAACACTAATCCACCACAGAGTTCAAAGTGCTCACATCTTTGTCATTGCATCAAAAATATTTAACTGGTTCATCTTATCTGCTGTTAAAATTGGTAAACAAAATGTATTCCTGGTTATTTTGAAACTCTATTTCCTTCTATTCTTGTGAGTAGGCCTGGTTAAAAATAAATCAAACCAACACTGAAAGCACTGTTGTCTTGGGAGGGAGCCAAAAATCTGAGTTAGCTCACAGTTTTGGATACACTTTCTGTGGAGCATTCTTAGACGATTCACACATAGACATTGGTATGTTTTAAGGGCGAGTGAAGTTTATTTATTTGTATCTAGCAGCACTTAAAATAGAGTTTAAACAATTTTTTCTGTTAGATATACCAATTTAATTAGTTTAATTTAAAAACAAGATCCCTCATTATACAAATGAATCAAAGATATTCATCTTTAGATTATTTCCACATCTTTAAATTTATGCATTATTGTAATTTGAAATTAATCAAAATGTTTGTAAAAAAGACGTACGGTAGGCCTAGTCTACTTCCACAACTTAACATAGGACACCATGACATGGGTTTCACGTTGTTTTTTTAATGAAGTATACATAAACATCAGCTATTAGCAACGATATTTAACTTATTGGCAACAATTTTGTTATAAAAAATAAATGTGTGCATATTTAGACTAGGTTGGGAAAAGATAATATTTCTTGTACATTAGGCTACTGTACTTAGGACTAGGGGAATTTATTTCCCTACCCACAAATTGAAGAAGTCGCCTACTTAACTTAAATGTTTTCTGTTATCTTCTAATCAAGTTGCGCAAACAGATGATATGTGGTCTGTCTACATCTAAAATTTAAGTGCTTGTCCAGTTATCACACTAAATTAGTCTCATCTGACATTTTTTTGTTTCTGGTATTAATAAACAAAAAATCTTATTTGTAGAAGTTTTTTACTTTTGATTGCTACATATATCTGTATAAGTAAAATTGACAAATAATAGCAGCATTTCTTGTGGCAGGTGAGTAGATTACGCTACCTAAGTTACATCTTGGCATGATAGGTTGATATTTAACTCAACATAGGGCTAGGCTAGCACATACAAAGTTTTAGGTTACTTTGAAATGGACTAGCCTATTGTTACATTATATTATGAACCTTAACATGGTCGAAATGCATGTTTAAAAACAAACTAAGAACGAGACCAAAGTGTGAAAGAAGTGAGGGTTCCGTGACTTCTTTCTTTTTCAACCATGGTGACCGATTTTGTGGCAGTGCTGGTTCCAATGCCAAATGCGTTGTGTTTTTCCCTAGCTCTTCCCTGTTATGGCGGCAGGTTTTTGCCACTCCGCGGCTCAGCTCGCCTCTCTAGAGTTCTGCTGAAGCTGGCTTCACAGCAACATGACGTAGGACCTATAGGCCTATCTCCATTCTATTCAAGTGCCCTCTCTTTAAATTAATCCTCCTAGGTGTAACTTACGGTAAGTTAGTCCTTATGTTTAAAATCAAATTGCCAGTTATGATGGTTGCCTAACCTAACTTTAGAAAAGGTTAGCCTAGCCTGTAATGGGATAACACATAGTTTCATTAGTACCCAGATGAATCATCAATGATTAATTAAATTTAATAAATTATTTAAAATGAATTTCTCTCGAGAAACATGGACCTTAGCCCACAAAATGACAAAAATTTCTAAACTAGGCTTCCCACTGGGCTTGAGTAATATTGGGCTACAACCTTATGATAAATTATAATAACATACCAATTTTTTCATCAGGCAAATCTCGAAGCATTTCTTTCATAGATACTTGTTTTGGTTTTACACTCATCTTGTATAATTTTTTACACCAATTTTAAATAGTCACAATAATTTCGATCACTCCCAAGTGTCAAGAAGTAAAGGATCATATGATCTCGCAGGGTTGCCAACAATACAGGAACAATAGTTTGACAGACAGTCGTTCTTGCCTTTGATTATGGAAGACTGTGCTACTATGTGGCAAAATCATCAAGGGTTTTTATAGAAACTTGTATATTTAAATTTACATTTGCAAATATACCATACTGTAAATATGATGAATAAAGTATCTATATTATTTAAAGGATTTTTTGGATTTTTGTGTGCAGCAAATTGACTCCTAAATATTTATTTGTATATGCATATTGGGTATCAATTTAAAGGTCTAATCCTTTAGATTTGCCTTTTGTGGGTTTGTTGGATATCCTGTGAAAGCACGGCCGCCTTTCATACTTAGCTCCAGCGATGAGCTAGCTGGTGGTGAGCTAGGGTGATAGGGTGGGAGTGTTGTCGACGCCGATCTCAGAAATCAAAGAACCTCGGTGGACATGCCACTTGACACAGAAGAAGAAGGTGTGCTCGGTAGTGTCTGCAATGCCGGGACGGTACAACAGACAGTCTGAGCTAATAACCCTCCAAATTCTGTGCAAAAACGCCTGGAAGTGCCTGTGAACCTCTGCTTCGCACCTAAGTGAAACCATTGCTCGGGCCGGAAATATAAGGGAACCATTGAGGAGTGCGTCAGTTCTGGTACTGCTCACTAAGCAGCAAAATATCAGCGGTACTTTGCATGTTAATTAAAGAGAACATGGGTCATTTCCTAAAGGATTGGCAGACCTGCAGTGCTTGCTATAAGCACCACAACGGCTTCGGCTTGATCCCGCAGCGTGCTTGACGTCGTTGTTTGACAAGCAAGCTTCTGTGCACAGTTCACAGGTTTCAGCAGTTTCACACCCTGGCCTTGTGATCTTGGCCACCACACTAACTTGAGCAGCATCTTGCTTCTGTCGGGACTTTTGCAGAAATGGCTATGTGGCCGTAACCCAGGCATTTGAAACACCCTGAAGGCTACTATGTAGTTTCATGCGGTTCCAAAATTTCACCCATCCAGCCTTTTAGTGTCCTTCGGAGTTTTTCCCATAATTAAGTTCCTAACGTCAGTAATGCCATATTTTGCTCATGAGAGTTAGCAAGATAAAGACCAAGATCTTTATCTCGGCGGATTCCCTAAGGACCTCCTTATTAACTCATTTATTTATTTATTACATGCACGGGAAACGCCATTTTACAAGAGTGTTGTGACACTGATAATATGTGACTTAATCTGAAATAGATTAGTGTGAGCAATAATTAATGATAGTGTGAAATACGATAACAAAACTGTTTTGATGATTAAATAGGTGATACATAGATTTTCCTGATTACAACTTCCGTGTAGGAAGACCCATCTTGACTCCAAATCAATCTGAGAAAATGGTTATGGACTTTTTCTAGTTCATTTATCACTCCCAGTTGGTAAGGGGACCACACAGTTGAGTTGTATTCCAGAATTGAGTGAACGAGAGTCATATAGAGAGTTATGGTGGTAAGAGAAAAGGGTCCTCTAGTGGCTCTGAAGATGAAACCGAGCACGGAGTAGGACTTGGAGCAGATGCGAGGTATGTGAGCGCCAGGGTGAAGGTTGGATGTGAAGAAAACCCCCAAGTCGTGGATCTCTTTGACAGACTGCAGAACTTGAAGACCAATACGGTAATTGAAATAGTTCCTGCGAAGAGCGTGTGAACTGCATGACCACACACTTTTTCTCATTCAGGTCCATAGAGTGGCACCAATGAATAACATTGTCAAGGTTTCTTTGAGGACGAGCATTGTCATCCTTTGAGGAAATCTCACAGAAGAGTTTCAGGTCATCTGCAAAGAGGAGAAACCTCTTTGCATTGACTTTGGTGCATTGGTCCATTGACTTTGCTGCAATGGAGACCACTTTCTCGGTTATTAGTTCGTTGAGGTCCCTCACTTCCAATGTTGACTTCAGCTCGAGAACTCAGTTTAAATAATTAATAGGCCTCAGCTATTTTAGCACAAGACTTGTGGCATATTTTTGGCTGTGGCAAGAACTCCTAAAAGGTTATTTGAGGTAAACCAATTGTACAATATAAAAGAAACAACCATGGATACACAAACAAACTAGGGTATAGAGTAAACACTTTACAAAATAAGGATTTATTTTACAAAGTTTTCAAGTTTGCGTAATGTGACATAAATAAGACAAAACAGAGTACAAAACAGTCATTTGAAGACAACAGTATCCAGCATGGCCCCGAGACATTGAACGATGTTTGCAGCCATCAAAGTATCGACCTTCTCCTCCAAGTGGCGTTTAGGATCCTGCTTTCCTACATTCTTGATAGCAAGTTGTTCGGGAGTCATCTTTTCTTCCTCTTCCAATGCCTAAATTATAATTAAAGTCATTAAATCGGAAAGAACTGCAATGAAGTGGAGAAGTTGTTACTACTTATGAACAAGTCACCTGAATAGGAATGAGTCCATCCTGGCAAAATAAATTGAACACATTACACTATAGACAATAATAGGAACATTTCACCACTGCTAACAGCATTTTCTCCAGAGGAAGGGAAAAAATAACGAAAAATGCTGTCAGTGACAGTGAATTTCTTTTGGGCCAAGAAGGGTTCTTTCCCATGTAATCTAATTTAATTTTCACAGAATAAAAGCAGAATCCATTTAATTCAATTTACTTTTCACAGAATAAAAGTAGAATGATTCTGAGGTTCGGGAATGAATATGTGAGATGCAATATTTTGGTGAATGACAAGAAGGTATAATTCAGGTAAGTCTGCTATCCTAAAACTTTTTTTAAATCTAGGCCCTTGTACCCATATCACACCATCAAATGAACAAGTAATTTTTAAATCGAAGAATTTTCAAATGGACCTAGTTTTATTTCAGACGTGCGCTCTAAATAAACAAGGCAAATGAGTAAATATGTTGTTTAGCACCTGTTTCGGGATGTAAAATAGCCTACAACGGCTTTTCAAGTAGGAAAGAATCTGTACAACAAAGTAACAAACAGGACATTTCCGATCGTACAAATTAACAGAACAACGGTGTCACCTTGTTGTAGTTTTTCGCCAGTTCCAACATATCATGGACAGTTGTCTCGTTGGTCTTGCAATGGTCCTTGTAGTCTTGCAGTATTAGACCATCCATCCACGACTTCTTGTGCAGATTCAGCAGCATCTTCTGCTCAAGTTCGTTCTTGCGGTAGTTTATACTGATCGAGTAGTAATGCCTGTTGAGCCCGTGAATCAGTGCCTGTGAATAGCTTCGTGTAAACTTGTTGACATTTGGTAAAATATGCAAACATAATACACTGGTAGGTTAAGGTTTAGCTGATATTCATGGAGAGTATTGATTTATCGAGAATTGTGTAGGCCAACTAACATATCTGTACACATCAGTTTATTTGATTCAATAATTCTTAAAAAACGTGCCATGTCCCACCATAGAATTTAAATTATTATTCAAGCGTGAATGATTATAGTGTTTTACAAGTTTCAAATAGTATTCATTCTTTTACAGAAGTTTCAATCTCAACTTTTGTAAACACATTACTTATTCCTATCTCAGGAAATGAACAGCAATTGAATAATATCATATTAAGAACAAAAGCTTGGGCTACATCAAACAACAAAAGACACTAAGCTAACAGTGTTTGATACCTGCACAGAAGGCTTCTGCAGATGACCGAGGTTGGACGTCGTCTGCCTGGGTTCCTGTCCGAGCACCATCATGTTGGGGTTTATCAATCTGAACGCATCAATCACCACCTTCCCTGAGAGCATAATTGAAATTATTGTGTTGCTAGTTAGCCTAGTGGTCAGTGCCACGGACTTCGGTACGAGAAAATATACAATACACAACATCCATATTCCATGTACACAAACACTTAGGGATTTGACACACTTACCAAAAGCTTTATGGTTTTAAAAAATACTTTGGTTCATTGGTATTAGCTGATATAGATTTAAAAAAAAACCTAGCTGTTATCCACAGGCTTCACCCCATTTGACATCATAAGTATTAATAAAACTATTGATTGGTTAAGTTAACCTGAAATAAACAAAATAGGCCTACAGTAAAAGAAACAAATAATCACACCTGATTTTAATAAGGTAAAAAATTAAAATAATAACAAACAAATGAGTACAGCTGAGGTATTTCTAACATTAGGTACCGGTATATGAAAAGTTCCCTTTAGAAAGGAATCACGACCTTTAGAAAGGGCAATTAATGACATAATGGATAGTTTTGCGCAAGGTTTCTCGTCATGATGAACATTTTACGTATATGGTTTATGGGGGTGTGACTTGTAGTTTTATCAAAATGTCATGGATACTTTTGGCTTTATATAGGCTATAGATTAAAATGCAATATCTACTGTAAAATTCAAGCTTACAATAGCCTATATCCAATTACAAACAACAGACTTAATGATTTGTTCCAAATAAAAGGTCCACAATCTGGAGTAGTTTAACATCCTACCTTTAACACTCTGAATAGGGTCGACGACAACGGCCACAGCTCGCTCGGAAAGTGCTTCAAAGCTCTGCTGCGTGTTGATGTCCACACCGGACAGCCAGCAGCCGAAGCCAGGGTGAGAGTGGTACCACCCGACCACCATCTCAGGTCGTCCCGTCTGCTTCAACATGTCTAACATCTTGGCTTGGAACACCGGGTCTACGGCTTCCACACTCACACCCTGTAGTTAACAAACAACTTGTTTTAACAAGTCTATTTAAGCACAATACAGTGAAAAAAAAGGATTAATGAGGGAAGAGAGGCAGAAATCTGGCCACTGTTAACACGTGGCCACATAACTTGCTTCACTGTAACAAATATTGGTAAGTATTTATTTTTGATTTATTTAATCCAATATTGCCAACTTCGTGAAGGTTGTATTTACTTAGTGTAGTACCAACGGATAGTAAAATACTTCAAGTTTAGTTTGAAACAACTGACTACCATCAACAATGAAAAACAGTAGGCCCTATTGTTGTTTTAAAATGTTTTGTATTTAGGAGAACGAATTGTCTAGCATTTGAAGAGAAATCATTTTGTGTGTTTGGGTTTTAAATAAACTTATCAGCTGCTGTGGTTAAAAGTCGATATAGCACCAGTTAAGATAAAGACCCCTCTTGTTCTAAGATAAAGTCTATCTAAGTTACAAATGTGGCAAAAGAAGTTAAAAACTACAGGTTGTTTGGACAAAGGAAAGAACACTGGGAGGCCTGTGATAACTGATGCTTAAAGTTGAGTTGGGCTAGTTTAAATGCAACTGTTGAACTTAATTTGTTCAAGTCAACATTTCTAAAAAGGAAGGCAAGTTTTGAGCTTTAAATCCCACAATCATCGGTTTAGGGAGTTATGAGCAATTAGTTAAAAATTACTAATTATCAATAGACATGGTTTAGCCCCTGAGCTGAATTGATGACTAATATAATATAAATACCTCGTCACAGCTCTGTAGTTTCTGTAGATTACAGCTGTTTCGGCATTAAAATGCCATCATCAGATACACAAATATCCACCTGAATTGGCGTCGTTAAACTGTACATATACACGAACACGATAAAAACATAAAAACAGAAACATAAGAAGCAGTCATCTTCCGTACTCGTAGCAATCATGTACGTGACAGGCCTGTCTCTTGTTTTACGTGTTTTTATGTTTTTATCGTGTTCGTGTATATGTACAGTTTAACGACGCCAATTCAGGTGGATATTTGTGTATCTGATGATGGCATTTTAATGCCGAAACAGCTGTAATCTACAGAAACTACAGATCTGTGACGAGGTATTTATATTATATTAGTATTACTAATTATATGTTGGCACTGATGGTAAAGGAATATCTTGGAACAACATAAAAGTATTGGCTATGCAGCTTACATCAAGAACCCAATGTTGCAATGGCTTCCGTGTGGCCCAGGTTTCACTCCTTGTTATTTAAATTTGTGAGGTTATGTAAAGGAACGGTGCTTGTACCACCTCTCCCATTGAACCTCTTGCAGCTTAAGGAAAGGATTGTCTCTGCAGTAGGTATAGAATACTGATTAGCCAACTTCTCAGTGAATTTGGTCAGAAATCAAATATAGGAATGACTTACATTATGTGAACCGGGGTGCACATATTGAATGTTTATGATAGCCTGCATAGAAAACGTGGACTTGTAACTAAAATATGTATTCAACCAAAAAAGTTGTTAATTTCTTTCAAAATAACCCTGTAGAATAAATAACCATAAGGTAAAATGTATACTTACAGTACCAGTCTGAGGCATGGCAAAAACGTCGATGACCCTGACAGTATAGTCATCTACAAACTCTCCCAACATCAGACCCATGACTTCCATCGGTACCCCGGCTCTGCCATGCTTCAACATCTTGAGAAGCGCCAGAGACGAGATGTACACCTGCTCAGCAGTGTCCACAACAGGCGCGTCTGAAGAAGGCGGGGCCTGGTTCAGGCCCGGCATCCCACCCCCCAATCGCAAGAGTCTGTCCATCTGTAAATCAAGTGTAATTATCATCTGTTCAGCAGTATGACAAGTGATTGAAGATATAGGTCCTCTATAATTTGTAGATTAGGTCTGTGTTGTTTAAAGGTTAATGGTGGACATTTTCCATCACAATGGTAAATAAATACCCACGCCGCGGCACACCAGCAGACTAAGCAAATTTCCATTTGCCTGATTGGATTTACACTAAAATATCTCATTTATCACATTTATTCCCTATTTAACTTAACCCTAGAGGTATCTTACTTAGTGGCAAGGTTTCTGCATGTCTACATTGGGATAGGATGTAGGCTAATTTCTAGAGGTCTTGTCTATTTGGTACAAACGTGTAAACCTACATTTATTAGAACGAGCTTGCTAACCAGCATGATTGTACCATGGGAACGGAGGTTTTATGGGGTTTTATTGGGTAAAAATTGGTTTTTCGCATTTTTGACCCAAAAAACAAAAGAAATTTGCAATTTCTTTTTTACCAATTACCAAAGTTAGGTTGGATTAGGAAGGTAAAATTTTGGATGTAAGTTACTGAACTGATAATTTATGCTACCTCCAAGACTGTTTTTGCACAATAAAAATAGGCCTTAGTGGGTGAAATACAACAAAATAACTTACCGGTACCGTAGAGAACAATATAAAACATTCTTGCTCACTCAGTTAGGAGTTTCACAACAGCATTAACCAGGCCTAGACGATTTAATTTTTGTGTATTTAGTCTAATTTCATTGACAAATTAGGCCTACCCTAGCCTAGGCACAACCTGCCTGAAAAAGGAGTTTTCGGAAGATGTAAAAGGGTTCTTACCTGAGGTTGGGGTGAAGCTTGAGTTTTAAATACTGATCTTTATTGATGCCAACAAAGGCAAATAGTATGATTTATTGTTCAAATAACTTAATTCATGAACAAATTAATTGGACATTCTTAACCATAACCAAAACAACACAAAGCCGAGTCCAAGCCAAAATTGCAATTCATGATGCTACGTCAAAGACTAGCAAGTTAATCTTTTTTACTAGAGTAAAATCCTATGTGCAGGAGTTAAAGGCGGCCGTGGCAGTACATTAGCATTGATTATAAATCTTAAGCCTGTGTCACACTACGCTACTTTACTAGCAGCTAGCGAAATAGCAGCTACTAAGTAGCCAATGTGACATAGGCAGTAGCAGCTACTAAGAGTAGCGCGCTAGTGAAATTTTACTAGCATGGAAAGTTGAACATGTCCAACTTTCCGTGCTACTAAACTGCGCTAGTGAGTCACGTGACCAACTAGCAGCTATCAAGTAGCGACTGTCGCCCAGTGTGACAGCTTCAATAGCAGACTAGCGGCTACTTGCACCACGTGCTGTCTGCCTGATTTGTTTATTCTCGTTCATTTTGAATAATTTCTGAAGTAATCATGAGTGATCCGAAGTGGGGTGGGGGAGATGTGATTAATTTTTTGAACCTGTATAAAAAATATCCGTGTCTTTGGGACATAACCTCTCTTGAGCTAAACTAGTAGTAGCAGCTAGTGAATAGACGCTACCAAAATAAGTGTGACAGGAAAAGTAGCTGCTATTTCAGTAGCTGCTACTAGGTAGCTGCTAGTAAGTAGCCAAGTGTGACACAGGCTTTAGATATCATAGTCAATAACATCAGATACTGCAAATTATTAATCAGTCGTAACATCGTTATTAATTTTGTTGGCCAATGAGGGCAAAGACCATTTATTTTTTGATATTCAACTTATTTTAAAACCATATAAGTTGACATCAGCGCACCCAAAACAGTAAAATTAAAAGAAAGTAGAATAAAACGGGGTGTTACTTAGACCAACACTAACACTGTATACTCTGATTCGCTAGCACTTTACCTAAGGAAGCCTTCTCAATTGGTCGAAGCCACCTCCCTGGCCCTATACAAGTCACAGCCTCGCTTGCCCCTTCACACACGGTGTCTTCACTAAAAAATGTACTCAGTTTCGTGTCATAGTCCATTCGCCAAGAAGGAGTTGAATGATGAGAAATTCCTGCTTGTGGTGTGCTGCTTGTCTTCTTCATCCATATCGTTAACAAGCATTGGACGTAAACCAAACAAAGCTATTATAAATTAGAGTATAATCGAAAAGAAACCAGCCTGAAACCATGAAAGTATCGCCGGTGTGTGCGCAAACAAGTAGACGGCGCAGTATCAACGAGTTTATAGGGAAGGAAATTGGTGGTCGGACGGCAAAACAAACTGCGCGCGCACTGCCAAAAACTAAGTCGCAGCTTCCCTGATATGATGCGAGAGGCTACGTATATTACAAAGGCCCGCTACGAGTTGAGACGGGTCACTAAAAAGCACGTTGGCAGTCATCCCCCTGCAACGCAATATTCTGTGACTTTAAGGCTTTTTTATATGGAAAATCACAAATGTTGCATAAGCTTCTTAAATGTAATTTTTACTGTAATGGGAGGCTGCAATATTTTGTTTACAATTACAAATGTTAATCAAACCCGGTATTAATTGGAAAATAGCGTATGTTACGATAGCTTTTTAACTGCAATTTTTACGGAAATTGGACTTCATTTTGATCAAGATTTAAAGATATATAACATAATAAATATTTACCATAATTGATCTTTGAAAAAATTCAACTTTCTGCTATTTTATGGAAAAATCACCATCAAAAATCAAAATTAAAAAAAAATTAAAATGAACGAGCATTTGACATCAAACCACATTAGGACAGGACGAAGTCTGTCGGTCCAGCTAGTGAAAATATAAAAATGTTGACTAATTTTTTTTAAGTATGTACAGAAATAAATGTTATATTTATATTATTTTGTTTTAGAACACCATATATTTTATTTTCAATATTTTAATAAATGTATAGTAATAAATTTAAATTAATAGTACTCGATTAAAATGAGCGGGTGTCACCTGCCTGCCTTATGGGACGTCTGGTTCTACAGCAGCACTATACTTACAATGTTGCCAATACAATACTATACACCTTTGCGGCTTCCGGCTTGGAGTTGAAGGTAGCCGTTGATGGCAGAAAGATGTATTCCGGCATTCCGCTCATTCAACCTCGTGCTATTCATTTAAATTTGGAATAGTAGTGAATAGTGAGTGTTTCACACTAATTGTTCGAGGGGACTTCAAAACAAAAAAGTAAATCATCACGGGCTTAGGCACGACCACCTTTCAGGCCTTACCAAAGAAGAGTCAAACGCTGAAACTTTACATGATTTATTAAGTATGTTTTAAAAATATTCTGGGGAAATTTCAGCTCTCTAACCCTTGTAGAAACAAAATGGTGGCATATTGAATGTTTGATTAACTAATTATATCAAAATAACTAATTTATTATTATTTATTAATTAACTAGTGATTACTCACAGTTTGAATAATTTTGGACTCTTTAAGTTTTTAATTAGTCTATGCTCTAATTTCCTGATTAAAAAGCATTCTTTCCCTAGGATGTTATTACCTTATTACCTTATTACCATGTCTTCATCTTTTACCCAATAAGGGATTGATGGCGTCAGAATTTCAATATATACAAAAATACATAATAACAAACTGAATTTGAGTAGATACAAACATATATTTACAATAACTTTGGCATGTGGATATGCGGTTTAGCCAGACAATTCAGGAAAACTATCCTCAAAAAAATCCTTTAGAGAGTAGTGCGCTCTTGACTTAAGGAGAGGGACGAGCTTCTTCATGAAAAGTTTACGCTCAAGACGCTTGATCGAGTGAGGCAGCTTATTAAAAATTTGAATTGCCACTATATTATAGCTCCTTTGCGATCTTGCAAGCCTAACCCTAGGCACATCCAGTAGCTCGTGCTGCCTTGTTTGGTGGTCATGAAATGCTGAACGGAGTTGGAGATTGTCGTAATTGTCATATACCAGTAGTGAGCAAGCCAGGATATAATGGCTGAAGACTGTGAGGATTCCCAATCTTGCGAAGATGGGTTTACAGTGGGCAATGCGGTCACTAAAAGTAATGAGTCTTACAGCACGTTTTTGCAGCACAAGGATGTCCTCAACATCCGCAGCATGGCCCCATAGCAGTAGGCCATAGCTCACATGGCAGTGGAACATAGCATGGTAGATGTTCAGCAGGTATGGCTGAGTGATGAAGTTTCGTAGCTTGAGCAGCAGGCAACATACCCTAAAAAGTTTGCTACTAACTTTGCTGATGTGATCGTTCCACGCCAACTTCCTATCCAGATGAAATCCAAGGAGCTTCACTGGCTCGTCCCGTGGGGCATTTCTCGCCAGACTGCAGACCAGTGCCTGGGTTTTATCCTGGTTGAGCTGGAAACCATTTCCTTCAAACCAGCGGGATGCTTCAGTGAGATGCCGGTTTGCATCCGCTGTCGACAGCTCAACTTGGGGTCCCCGTGATATCAGGGTTGTATCGTCGGCAAAGAGCACCACCCCTCCATCTCTATCAAGGTCGTTGATCATTACAAGGAATAGTAACGGGCCTACAATCGATCCCTGAGGAACACCGTACCTGACACTTTTGGGCTTAGATGTTGCACCCTCAACGGAGACCACCTGCTGTCTTCCCGCCAGATAGGAGTCGATCATCCTCAGTGCCACGCTACCTACTCCTAAACTCCTCAACTTTCCATTCAGAAGATCATGATTGACACAGTCAAAAGCACGACTCAAGTCACACATTGTGAGGGTCACTGTATCGCCAGCCTCGAAGGCTTCACCAACCAAGTCAGCCAACCTCTTAATTGCTCCAGTGGTGGACCTACCTTTCCTGAAGCCGTACTGCCTATCTGATATCAAACTGTTTGTCTCCAAGTACTGAGTCAGTTGTGATGATATTACGGCTTCAATGACTTTGCCCAGAACCGGCACTATGGAGACAGGCCTATAACTAGTAAGGACGTCTCGATCTCCCTTTTTGTACACTGGCACAGTCCTAGAGGTCTTGAGGCATTGGGGAAAAACACCATTTTTCAGGGAACTATTTATAACAATGGCCAGAGGAGCAGATATAACATCTATAACCTTCTTCAACCAGGATGCCGACATTCCATAAAAATCTGGACTATTTGAGTTCTTAAAATTAGCGACAATACACAAAATCTCTGCTGAAGAGGTAGGTTGCCAGTGATGCAGGGCAGAAGTGTGCAATCCCCCCCCGGCCACCTGCTGGATGTCTCTGACAGGCCCAAGGTTAGTGACAATGTCGTTCACTGACTCAATAAAATAATCATTGAAGTCATCAGGGCTAGAAGGTAGTCTGTGGGGCGCATAACTACTGGTAGCTGACTTCACCACATTCCATGCGGCCTTGCATTGATTTTTGGCCGATTTTATTTTATTTACATTCGCTTCTTTTTTAGCCTCTATAATACGTAACTTATAGGCTCGCTTTAGGTTAAGGTAGCTTTCTCTGTCCCTATCAGATTTAGACACTAAATACCTATCCTTCAAGGCAAGCATGTCACACTTAACCTTAGCTAGCTCTGGCGTAAACCAATCGCAACCATTGTTCAGCCTACCCTGACTGGTTTTTTTTGTTCTCGACATAGGCTTAGCTGACCTGACAGTGGAAGGGAAAAACACGTCAAAAACTGACCTTAACTTGACAAAAAATGTTTCAAAGCTGCATGAGTCACCATATTGAGTATCTGACCATGATATGTTACCAAGAGCTGCTCTAAATAAATCCATCTTATCTAAATCTATCTTTCTAACTATAAATGTATAATTAGCACGCCAAGAAATGGAGGGACTTACCCGTGTCTCAGAAGTGGACCACCTCCATATGTGATCATACAACAATTTTACACAACCAAAAACACTATTTTTAATGTGTTTAAAGTTTCATTTTTTCTATATACCACCATCATTTTGTTTTTACGAGGGTTAGGGAGCTGAAATTTTCCCAGAACTTTTCTTAAACCTACTTTATAAATTGTGTAAAGTTTCAAAATGTTCGGAGCATAAATGGGCAAGTAGTATTAAATCAAACGTTTAAACCCCTTCGTGGGACACTCTGTACATAAATAGCATTAGCCATGGTGGAAGGAAAAAACATCATTACACTACACTACATACATGGAAGGTTTTTTCCTTCCATCATGAGCATTAGCTGATTCCAAACAAAACAGCTGTTACAACACCACTTGCGACGTTGCCACTTCGAAGGCCATGGCCTGGAGTTAAAGGCGGCCGTGCCCCAGGTCAGCAAACTAAAAATATCGACCAACGAAGCTGCATATCAAAACTAAGCCTACCAATTGCGAAACTGAGACAAAAAACAAATTATATTTTATTTAGGTTATGTTGATTGTTGTTTCAACTTTGTTATTGTTATGTTAGGCTATGATAATGAATTTCTTGACTTGAAACAAACTTTTAATTTTCTAATAAATAGAATTAAGTTACGCCTTCCTGGTAGTGGTAACTAACTAGTATGAGTACTGTAGTAGTTAACTAGTTCGCTTACATTTTTCTAATAACATGAAGGCCAGTAAAGCTAAGAACCATCACAATCCCTATCGATTTAAAGAAATTAAACAGTGGATTGTTTTAACTAGTTTCATTTTCTGTGAGTATTCTCAGTGCAACATTATTACTATGTTATGGTACTACTAAGTTATTACTAAATAGGGCTGCACTTTACTTTAGGTCATAAACTCATTCGAATGAAAATATCGATTATTCGATTGTTTCATTTGATATATCGTTTGGTTAGTTAGTTTAGGTTAACCTTACCTTTCTAATCAACCGATATATTGAATAAATCAATCGATATATCGATCGATATTTTCGTTCAAATGAGTGTAGGACCTAAAGTAAAGTGCAGCCCTAAATAGACCTACAGCCTTGGCTTATTTATTTAACACAGTAGATAATATACCTAGTCTAAGTATTCGAATCATTGAATCAGCAATTTGATAAGTTGCTAATAAGTTGGAGGTCACTACCTGCTGTCACACTCCTCTAGTCCTCTGTAATTTATGTAGAGTCCTCCAGACACCAGCTAGGGAAAGATTTATCAGGTTCACTAAAAGGCTACCAACCGTCATACTTCTTTGTACCGGTATTGTAGAGTCTTCAGACACCTTATAACACTTAAAACATATAGCCTATTTACACTTATACTGTTACTCACAAGATGGTAAATACCTATACAAAAAAGATGGTAAGTGGTGATAGATTTCGATTGGACTCTCCAATCATCATCATACCCAATAGGCGAATGACAAGAATCTTAAATGGCGTCCCTACTTATATCCTATTGGGCCTGATGATGATTGGAGTAGGCTACACTCAAAACACGTCCAATGAAAATCGATCAACACTTACCATCTTTTTTGTATATTTACCGTCTCGTGAGTAACAGTAAGTGTAAATATATGTTTAAGTGTTATTAGACGTTTCTTTTATTTACTTTCTGCTAACTTATACTTCCAGATTTTCTGTCTCAGCTCTGACTCCTCATTTTGGGTACTTTCCTGTTAAAGGGAACATTTATTATTATCTATGATTTCACTACAACTACATTAAATCAACTAGGCCTACCCATGCCCATGACATTAACCACATGAGTAACTTGTGTTTTTTTTTTTCAGTTGTTGTCATATACGCATGCCTCTATGAGAGGAAATTTAGTGAATTATGTAAGTACAGTATTACAATTATTATAGCTATTTTTTTAAATCATGTAGCCTTGGCCTAAGATTAAAGTTTTGAATATTTCGATAGGCTTACTTTAAATGGAGTTTTGTGCTTTTAACTTAAGTACAGCAACACTTTTATAAAAAATCTGTTTCTTCAAGCATCCACTTGTTAAGGATAGAACTTTGTTCGGAAAAATAATTTATTAGCATAGGCTCTACTATGAGAGCAGTCTTTGCTCAATATCATTTATCTTCTTTTGGATTTTTATTAAAATTTAGGCGGTCTAGATCAATTCTCGGCATAGCCTTTAAGAGCTGAAAATATGCTCCAATACGCCTCATTAGCAATCCCAAAAAGAGACCTTTATATATTCCCACCCATCTCATAAAAAGTAGCGATAATTTTAAATCTATCAGCTCATGGTCAAATAGCTCAAATTAAACTCTTAAACTAATACTTACTCTTAAACTAAGAGCCTTATTAAGTCATGCGCGGCCACTCGAGCAGCACAACTGTTCAGTCGCTAGGGTAACCACAGGTGTGGCGAGGTTGTGCGTCTGACTGAATTTTATACAGTCTTGAATGTAGTCTCTCAGTGTGAATGATGTACTTGTCGAGTGAAGAAGATGAACTTTTTAAGATGATCACAGAGAAGAGGACAAAAAGTTTTTTGGGATACAGTTGAACCTCTATAAGACGAATTTCAAGGGATATGGGTAAAATTCGTATCATAGAGGTATTCTAAATAAAGATGGTCGTTATCGAGGTTTAATGCTGCTGTTATTCTTCTTATAGAGGTTTCTCCTCCCTCCAAGATTTCTCCATACAATGACTGAGGAAGGAGGAGGGATGGGTGGGGGTTTCATGTTGAGACAAGCTTCTGTTTGTTTTGAAAACTAAGTACTATAGAGGTTAAGATTATGATGAATTCGTCTTATAGAGGTCACGTTCGTCTTGTAGAGGTATTGTGCTAAGAATTTTCGTTGTATAGAGGTTAATCAGTCTTAGTCCATGTCACAAACAAATTCGTTTAACTTAAATACTACGTTGTATAGAGGTGTTTTTAGCATTGACCTATATGAAAGTTTCAAGGGGATAAAAAAAATTTGTTTTATCGAGGTTTGTACAAACGAGATTCAACTGTATTTCCGAATGCCAAAACGTTCTTTTGGTAAACGTATAGAAAAAATAGAAGATTATCTGTATCCCACAAGAATGTGAATAATTTTCTTTCAGCTAAGGAGAGGCTAGCACCTACCTTAAAATAAAACTAAAATAGTTTTGACAATAATATTAATTATAATTAAAAAATAATTAGGCTATAATACAATTTTGACAAAAAAATTGATTGAGGCGTCCCGGGCAAAAAGTGATGGTGCTCACTGAAAGTGGCATTTGAGCAGTCATGGTCCCGAGCCACTTAAATGGGCACACATAATAAAGTCTTTTTTAATTGATCGTTTGGTATCGTCAATCAAAGAGACCAACCAAATTTGTATTTGTTGGAATTTAATACAGTGTAATGAAGGTAGGCTAGTTTAAAAATATTGACTATAATATAATTGTACAGTTACCTCGTCACAGCTCCGTAGTTTCCGTATATATTACGGCCGTTTCGGCATCAAAATGCCATCCTCAGATACATACATCCATACATAAATACATACATTAAAAATATTGTCAAATAATCTAATCTAATAATTATCATCCTACAGGTGTTCCAGTTGCTGTTGCATTGTTCGTGTTTATTTGTCAGAGAATTTGTTTCTTCCTGCTAGAAATATTCATGTACAGACAGTTTGACATGTATCATACGCTGCAACTTTTGATCCAACCCAGTAGCACTTCTTCTGAATACCCGAATGTGAACGGATTTTGGTTAAGGATTCTAGCATTTTTTCTCTCTCTATCACAGTGTTCTCCTAAGGTCAGTAAGCATAAAGCTGGTTGTTTGAAAATAAAGTAATATAGGCCTGGATTGTCTTAAAAATCACTGGTTCTGTTGAAGTGTTACTTTATTATTACAAATAGGCTGTACCTTTGTCAATACAGTTCAAAAATTGTAACTGTTAAGGCCATTTTGGCATCACAATGCCATCATTATTAGGCACATGCAAATTGTGATTTTGTCAACCATAAAAAACCCTGGAAGCTTAAAAAATTCATAATCAGATCTTTAAAAAAAAAAACAGATGGTCAGATTCAAATTCTTGATTTTTTAAGCTTTTGCAGGCTGAAGAGACATGGTCCTAGAATAGCCCCAGTCCAGTGGGGTTTTGGCTCCCTGGACTGAAACATCACGAAACTAACTAATAATAATTCTAATAAATAATAATTTTTAGAATTATATAATAATTCTAATTATAACTAACTAATAATAATTCTTCTTCTTGATTCCACAAAACTTGTACTCAATGGTATTGAAGGAACGTTGATTCCAATACTTTGTGACTTTGTGTCAGCGGTGATCGTGATCAATCGCGAGATCATATTATTTTATGATTTTAACTTTAGCCATTTAAATGGACGAGAAGTCCCCTCGTTAAGTCGTTTAATGTTTTAAACTGGCCTTATCAGTGTTACACTGCACTATTTGGCCGGAACTTTCATCACCCGTCTTTCTTATTTACAGTTCATAAGTGTTGATAGGCTATGCCACTCTAGAATATAATAAATACATTTTTAAAAAGTCACGAGCAACCACACTCGCATGTAGCTTATACATCACGCTAATGTGGAAACTAAATACTAAGTGATTAACATTCCTAAATACAAAAAATAAAATAAAAAACACTTTATTACATTCCCTGTAGCAGCGAACCTTTAACACTCGTCAAACGCACTGCTATTTAAATGAGGAATAAATCTGTACATTTTAAGGAAATATTTTATTTAAAATCCAACCAGGCAAATGGAAATTTACTTAGTCAGCAGGAGCAGGGTTGGTGCTGCTGGGGTATTTTTATATAACATGATGCCATCTTAGCACTCATCTTCGTCCTACAATTGTTGTTTTTGTTTCAGGAAATCTGGTTTGATAATAAATTTGATATAGTTGTATTAGTCCTCCTGATCATTCTAGGAATAGTGTTGGAATGGGTAAGTTTGAGCAACAGTGTCCATTAAGTTTTACATTATAATTTAGTCAACCATTGACAATGACTTGACAAACTTCAAGTAGACTTTTTAATTAATGCTTGAGTTTGTTGATATACAGGAAAAATAGGATTTGTTGAAAAACAGGATCGCCTGAATTTTTCTTTCTTTTTTTACCGTAAATTTTATAATTTAGCTCTTTTGTTGTGTTGTAGTACCAGACAAGTAGTGTTTTGCAAATATTTAGCTATGATGTTTTTGAAAATAATAAATATCTTATAAACCAAGAGGTATTTGGTTATGTAACAAAAGCCACATCAATTGGCCTGGATAAGGCGTTGCCCCTACAAATACCAAAAGTAATATTAATTTACTTTCTACAACCTCACAATGGTCTAGTCATAAGCAGGTCAAACTATTATCAGGCAAGGGCGCAAGGCTGTATACAACTGTTTAAACATTGATCCACAATGTTCTCGGAAAATTAGCTATTTAAAACAAGATAATTTCTATTAGGTTGTTGACCTAACCAAAAAGAAAATTATTTTTCAATGGAAAAAATAAGTTTATATAGAAGGCTTATTTGTCAACTTACCTTGTGAATAATTACTAATCTTAAATATTACAGTTCAAAGAATTTTCACTAAGAATTTATTTTCCAGCAAGACTGCGCCCTGTTGGAGTCTCGCAGGCTGACAAAGCCGTTAACCTACAGCGGTGGAAGTGCGATGGCTTTCGGTTTTTATCACGGTTACCTCAAGTTGATTGCGCCTGGTTAGTATACTTTTGTGGGTATTTTACAAATAGTTTTGATTAAATTGGGTCAGAAATGTAAACTGCTGGTTTGGGACAGCTTAATAGTGTTGTAGTTTCCTCCCCATACACATTCCTGAGATTTTTAGTACCATTTTTAGACTGTTGGTAAAGAAACAATTTGAAAACCTCTTCAGAGGATTTAAAAATCTTACTTATGTTTTTTTTCACTCCATCTTGTTCATGCTAGTTGTGCTATACTGTAATACACCCCATTATACACTCCACTTCCGCAGCTGTAGATGCGCTGATTTTTTTTATGCACATCATTTGATGTTAAATCAATCAAAAAGGGTTTGTACATAGAGCAAAGTCTACTGGTATTGACTAGATGATTTAATCAGTTGGTTTTGATTATCTTTAGCTTGGCTTAACTCACAGCCTCAATGTAGTCATCCGCTTCAGTGCAAGCGTCGCTGAGAGTGACTCTTGGTATTTCATATTATAAGCAATAATCTAGTTAATTTGTCTGTTCTGTCCAAAAGCACTAAATTATAAAACCGGTTCATTTTTTGCTCTTTAACTGTAAAAAGTGATCACCAGTGTTACGTTTTATTCTTTGCATTCTGTTTCAATGACACCAAGACCAAACAAAAACAATTACCATTGCTACTTATTGCTTTAAAGGGGAAAATAAGTTCAAATTTTATATTTTAGTATTTATTTTAGTTGTAAGTTGTTACTTAAAAGTTTGTTTGATGAACTTTTGACGTTTGTACAGTGTAAATATTGCCAATAAGATCAGTGTAAGATATGACTATTTCATACATTGTAAAACAAGCTTTTTTGGTAAACCTAAATAGACTAAATTACAAAAATAACACCATTTATTAGTATTAATTTAAAAAAATAGATTTCCCAAATATATTGAAAAATAAGGGAGATATGACTTATTCCCAGTTCATGCTAAATCTGTTCAAATTGCCTAACAAGGCCTCTCATCGGGTAAACTAAGTGGGGGAAGCAAAAAACCAATTCATCATAATGTTATTATGCTATTTATCAATTATAATTTTCAGGCTTGATCAGCAGAATAACTCAATTTCAGGACTCAGAACAAATCAAAGCCAACCAGATTCCACAAAAAAAGCTTTACATACTGATTCCATCATCATCATTTGTTTTTGACAAACTTGAAGGCTATCAGCAATGGACAAAAAAACAGGATCTCAAAATCCACCATGTTGCTGAAGTGAGTACTAACTCAATTTTCGGCAACTACAGTGGAATCCCTATAAGCAAATCTCCCCATTAGCAAAGAAGCTATTCAGTAGCTTATCCAGGGAAGCCCGAGGGTGCTGGTGTACCAATTCTCGATACCACTTAGACGTTGTTACCCATACCAGATAATAAAAACACAGACACTTTTGCAAAGATCTTGTGATTGGAAAAATTCCGCTTTTTCCGCAATCAATGATGTTTCTGTGACCGCAGGAGGTGATGATGTCTACACGGCTGCGGGAGATGTTCAGAACTTTGCCGCGATTGAGGATAAGACGATAATGTCCAATCGACCGAGAGAGGTGTTAATGATTTTGTTGCAATCGCGGAAAACTATCATGATGTTTCCGTTACCGCAGTGAACATATAGGATTTTGACCACGGGAGACAATGACAATGTCTTCATGGACAATTGAAGTTATAAAAATTGTAATGTTATAAAAACTTTGGTGCGGCCGTCTTTAAATTGCTTTGCCTACCATGTCCATGTCACTCATAATGTTCTCGCCATACACTTCACTGATCTGTCGATGGCTTTCAATAGCTTTCACATCTTTAGCTCTTAAAAATCTAATTGCAGCGCCCATTTCACAGTCGGCGGCACCATTTTGAATGCGCAAAACCGGATGTTGCTGAATTTCCGGCGCAGGCTTTCCAATAGATGCACATACACAGCACAAATGTCCAAAATGCTAATTGCAGCGCTGGATCGGAGAAATTTAAAGACGGTACTTAGGCTACTTACCTACTTAAAAAACATGCCTCGTATTTGTTTGTATTTTTTGTCTATGACTGTTTTTAATGTAAATTTGCCCGCAATTACTTCTGTTAACATTTTTTCTTTTTAGGAGATAGATTCCACTCTTGATCCCAGCATGCTCTATTCAACAGCTGATTTTAATCGATCCAGAGAGGTATTTACACAAAAATCCAAAATATAAACAAGTTTCCTGAGACTTGTATACTTATCCATTTTACACTGATGTTGAAAATAAAATATAATTTTCTTGTCTTTTGAGCAAAATCTATAGCCTACCTATTTTGTTTTTTACAAATAAGTGTCTTGATTACTCTTTTAAACTAAAATTTAAAAAAAAACTAGCCTACTGAAAAAAATTATTCCTACTGAAACAATTATTTCCTTCCTCTGAAGATAAATATATATTTTTTAGTTTGGTTTAGGCAAGAATTAATTTATTGTTACATACCTTATATTGTGCAAGTGTATCCAACCATAGCCTCTAATAATATTTTAAATACTTTAATACGTTTTATTAAAATGGTGACCATACAAAGTAGGTATTTTAAGCCAAGTATGAATATAGATGAGTGTAGGATACAAGGCCGCGGCGAGAGAAAAGTGGCAACACCGCTGCCCTGACAAACCAAAACAGCTGTTGCATTAATTTATAACGGACAGGAAATGTTAATTTTTACAATTTTGTTATTTCTGTTATTATACGTATGACGTTGCCACACACCAATGCCGCGGCCTAGTGCTAGAGGAGGTTGTGATACATAATACAACTCTTTACACACAGTCCTATCCTTCCCATACAAATTATTAAGCACTAAGCCATTGCTTGGAGTAAAATCAACAAATCCTCATGGTAAATGTTGTAAACAAAAATTTTGTTGCAGAAATTCGAGAGTCACAGACAAGACAGAGTTTTAGTGAGAAACAGAACCTACTCAAATACCATGTATATAGTACAATACAGTGAAAAGGAGCAATATTATATACTCCTTGAAGGGGCAACTCCTATCAAGACATTCTATGAAACATGTAAAGAGATGAATGATTTTGAAAGTAAGAAAAAACCTTCATAACTTTATAGGTCTTGAACAACCCGAATTAATAAAATTAGACTTTTAATGTTACATTGTCTGGATTATTGTGATCTTTTGTTTTTGATGCTGTAAACTCTACGGGAAGTGCTGAACTAGTAGTTTAGTCGTAGAGCAACAGACCGAAAAGTAAGGCGGTGTTTTATATGGGGTTTTAATTAGAGAACTGAGTGAAGAAAAAACATTTTTTTTCGTTTATCACCATTTTCAGAGAGAGAGAGATCCCCTAGACAACTCCCCACCTTAAGTCACCTCGCAGGGTGAAAACATGACAACACCGAATACAAGATTACTATTTTGAATAATAAAATATACAACAGCAGGGTTGTCCAGGGTTTGCGTACATGTGCACCACTTAAAACTTATCAGTTAATTTTTGTACTCTATCGACCCTTGCTCAGTAAAACATAGTTAAAGTAACATGAATGACTGGTGTTCAGTACGGATCCTGGTCACAACAATTACCCAGGCCTGTGAAACCAGCGACCTTCAGATTTGAATGTGAGCACTATAACCACTCAGTTACCCATTCAAGTGTCTTTATTGGTTCAATTTAGCATCCTTTCTTGTAAAACAAATTACTAGTAAAAACTGGATTAATAACAATTTAACTCTTTTTCAGAAAACAAACAAGTAGTTGTATCTTCATTTTATCACACCTTGAAAAAACTCATTAATAAAAACCCAGAGACGAAGAATGTTGTTAAATTGATTTATTATGACGGTAAGTGTATTTTAATTGTCTTTTATGTACGATTATTATTAAAGATATATATATTTGAAGTAAAACCCATTCTGATTTCAGACCTCACTGTCCAGCAAATGTTGTTATTAAATTTAGAACCCATTATTTTTAGTAAAATCGCCTATCGGAGAAAAAGGACTCGTATTTTAAGTGTGGTTAACTTTCTATAAAAATAAAAACGCCTACCTATTAAAAGCATTTAATATCTGTGTATATAACTATTCAATTTGCTCTTATACATTTTCGCTGTAGCACATTTATCGGTTGTGTGCAGGATCTTCCTAATTCATTTACCATATTGAATTATTCAACACAAATATTAATAGACCCGACAGTTTGCAAATTTAATATTTTTATCGTAAATATAAAATTTGGAAGATAAGTAAAAGGAATAGATTGTTTTGTCGGAAGCAAAAATAACAAAAACATCCTGATTAGCTGAAAGAGAACTAATCAACTACAAAGGTATCGGTAATGGATTACTTTCAAGTTTCAATAATCAGCTGGTTTTAATTAGGTATTTGTTTTAAAAGAGAAATGTTACTTAATACTTCTATTTGTCAACAAGTGGTGTAGGTCTGGGGGGGATCACAGGAATATGTCCCCTCACTTGAACATATAATAGGTAAAAAATACATTCTTAATTTTTTTTAAATTTTGATACTGATGTATATTTTTTGCAGTCCAATATGTTATCTTTTTATTTTAGCAAATTTCCCTTTAGGGAAGTAGCTATTACCGTAGGTGGCACGGTAAGACCTAGACCCGGGACCGATTTACTTTTTCATTTTGATGTCCCCAGAGGCCAAAAACACCATTCGTTCAAATTTTTATAAATGTGTATATATATATATAGACTTATATATATATATACGCGATAACTTGAGTAATTTTTGTCCGATTTTGATGAAATTTGGTTTAAAGGTGTAAGGCGGGATAAACTTGAATGAGTTCGCGAACCAGCACGATCGGACCATGAGAACGGGGCTTTACGGGAGGTTTTATGGGGTAAAAATTGGTTTTTCTCACTTTTGACCCTCAAAACACAAAATTTCCCGATTTCTCTTTAGACCTTTTTAAAGAGCTTAAAAAAACAAATAATTTAGTATATAAAAGTATTTTTGTTCGATTATTGGTAACGGAGAAAATTAAAGAAATTGTAAATTTAAAATTCCCATGTTATTCTTATGGAGAATATTGTCAAATGTTGTAGTTTGCTTGTTTATGGATATATTTTGATCAAACTTGGCAAATTTATTTATTTTGTACTAAGCTATCAATATTTTACTCAAAAACACATTTTATTAGTTTCCTTGTAGCAGCAAACCTAGGTACTCGTTAAACCTAATGTTATTAAAATATATTTAACTGAAAATCAATTCAGACAAATGGAAATTCGCTTAGTCGGCAGGTTTGCTGCGGCGGGGGTATTTACCTCTATTATTAAGCTTGTTGTTCATACAGGGTGTCTAGTTTATTTCCATTATAAATTCAAGAAGAGTAGGCCTGAACCTCTGAGCTAATCAACAATCACAAAACGACTATGTAACGCCTAATGCGCACATTTCAGAGAACATATATTCCATAATTTACGGTGTCTAAAATTGTTAGGTTGCAGGCGTAGTAATGCAACAAAAACTAAGTAATTTCATTACTTGTCTTTGAAATCAAATTCTAATAATATATGTTTAGGTTAACATTTTTATCAAAATATACAGTGTTCAAGAATTAAAAAATGTAAAGTTAAATGTATCATATAACAAAAGAGCCTATGTAGTTTGTAAATAAATGTAATTAAAAAACTAGTCTACCTACAACAGAAACAAAAAAACTTGAATTCATAAAAAATATTTCATAGAATTTTTTTTGCTTATTAATGCCAGATTTCACTTTCTAAATGCTTATAAATAGTGTTTAGAGAAGTTTTTTCTAAACTTTTTAAAATTTTTCCTGGTGGAGGACCATCCCAGACCCCACTTCTTCCTCCTGGTGGGTATTCTAGATCCCCCGGCATCCCCCCCTTGAAGAAGGTCTATCTGCACCACTGTTATCGACCAGTTTTCTTGATATTGTTATAAAGCATAAACTTTGTCTTGCAGATGAACAAAGAGATGTTTCCATTCCGGACATCGTTAAAGAAAGAATACTAAAGAAAAAAGACTAAGAAAAAGAAATATAATGACAAGAAACAAACAAAAATAAGGACAAGAAGAGAAAAACAAGTAAAAAGAAAAGGACAAAAAGAAGGAACTAAAGTAACAGAAGCTTTTCTTATATCAGATTTTCATTTTATTATAAAATGACACAAGCAAAATCATCAAAAAATATTTTATTCATAAATTCATAACTTTACTATTTTATAAATCTAATTTAAATTTTGTTAACTTTCTTTGAAAGCAAGACTTTTTGGAGAATTTTTGAAGGTGTGACAAGTTGTAAAAAACATTTGTGAAAAAACCATGCAAAATTTTAAGTGTAGTATTATAGTCGGGACCACGAAAGTTTGCCGTTGGCGGCAGCCAATCACAAGACAAGCCTAGTTTCGACGTTGCCATATCGCCCGTTGACACTAATTAAAATACTAAACAATATTTTCAAATCAGATGGTATTATTAGATTTGGCAACACCGCACTGTCCTCATTGGCTCCTTCCAAGTCACGTGGTAAATAGGCTCCTCCCTCAACTGCAAACTTTCGTGGTCCCGACTTTAGATGATAATTTGAAAAACAGTCTTGTTAAATAATTTTATTGCATTGCGAATGTTCACCACCGTTTAGTGCCATTTTTTTATGGTAGTCTCGCTCAATGAATTTCCAAATATCTCACATTAAGGTATAAAAAAGGGTATAGAAAATTTAGTTTAGTCTTTAGAAAGTTTTTGAAGCCTTGAATAATATGCTCAATATATATTTTAGACAAAATTCATGTTAATAGGAATCATTATTTATGAAAAAAATTTAAATTTACCTAGGAATACACTATTGTTGTGACAGGTGTATTTGTTTGTGACGCAAAATTCTAGGGGGGGAATAAACTAATATTCACCTAAGTCAGGCTAGGCCTACCCTAGAACCAGCCACACTCAAATTTCTTCCCCGGAGTGCTCAGAAGGAGCCGAGAAAAACCCAGGGGTCGATACGAAGTTGTCACGGCTTTGACTGATCAATTTATTTAAATTTAATCGAAGGCTCAGAGCTCTAGAAGCGCTCAGGAAATCCTGCAGACGCTCAGATGGAGCTATATCATCCCAGCCCTTGTAAAAGTGTTTTGGAGAATTTTGCCTAACTTTTAGAATGACTCTGTAGGGCCGACGAGTATCCAATCTTAAGCCAATGTGATATAAATACTCGTAATGAACTTTAAAATATTTAACTAAAGGTCTAGGTAAATAATATAAAATTGAATATAATGTAAATGCAATTCCTACAGAGTCGTCGGGGCCTAATTAATATAATTGGACGGATAATTTGACGTGAGATGATTTAAAATAAATTTAGTATTAATTTACGTAGCTGATTGTTCAACTCCGCCTGCTCCCAAGACTTGATTCTTTCACCCGCCAAAGACGGGGTTTAGAACTTAGACGACAAGTCTCGGGGTATTAAAACGTTGAGTCAATTAAAATAATATAAAATAATAATTACTCGTTATGCGAACGGAGAAATCGCAATTTCGAAACCAGTTAATTAAAATAAAATAAACGATCGTCACCGCTAGTCACTGACAGGCAGGAACTGGCGGGTCAAGACTCGAGTTACGATATTAAATTTGGATAATTCGAATCGGTAATTCAAGAAAACTAAAAAGTAAAATAAGTTAAGTATGCGTATAATAAAGATAAAACAAAAATAACGTGAAACGTAAAAAGGAGCCTAACTGGTGTGTTAGCTAACCTTCATAATCGAATCGTAGGGTCGTATTCGTAAGTCGTGTGTGAGCTAGTCGGCGGTCAAACAGGGAATCATCTTGTCCGGCTCAAATCATGATTTCCTCGGTCGAGGCTTAATCGCTCTGGTGGTGAGTTCGAGAACTAGCCAACAGCTGATCGGAAATTCACCTGTTGAGCCGGTCTAGTTGTCGTCTGTCGTTGAATACAATGAATACAATGAATTTATTTGGCCAATCAACAACAACATTGTTACAGGCTATGTCAATGTACAAGCATAAAATAAAATAAATATCAAGACTTAAAAATCAAACCAAGCAAAAATCGATCAAAACCAACCATGTGAAAAAAAATATGTTCAAGACCATGCACAAAAAGATTCAAGGCAAACAAATGCGGTTCATGCAAAATGCATGCACTATGCAAAAACAGCAAACAGGCTGTTCAGAGGAAAACTTAACTAAATACAGTTTCAAAAAAACTCTTTGAATTTGAAAAAAGGATTTTCAATCAGCCAATCAAATATTGCGGTTTGGAAGTTCTTTCTTTCCAGATTTCTCACATGACCAGGAAGGTGATTGAACAGTTTTATTCCTGAAACAGGGTATGACCTAGCTCTTTTATCAGTCCTGGACCGAGGAATGACAAGCTTAGAACTAAACCTAGTGTCATGATTGTGCACTGAACTGGTTACATGTAAATCATTCATGCTGTTCTTAATACTAACAAGGCATTGGAATATATACATATTTACAACTGTCAGAATTCTTTGTCTCTTAAACAAGGGCTTACTGTGTTCTTTATAGTGAGCATGACAGAGAATCCTTACTGCCCTCTTTTGCAGTCGCAGGATCTTTTCGACATTGGGTGAATGGCCCCACAAAATTAACCCATAGGATATGTGAGGTTGGAAAAATGCAAAGAAGGACATTCTAAGGGTACTCTGTGGCAATTGGTCACTTAGACGTCTTAAAAGATGTACTACTCTACTTAGTTTAGTACAGACTTGGCTTATGTGGTCTTTCCAATTGAGACAGGGGTCAAGGGTTATACCAAGGAGTTTGACAGGCTCTTGGAAAGGAACAATCTGGGAATCACATAGGCTAAATGTTATGCACTGTGTTTTCTCATTATTGAGCACTAATTTATTGTCAACAAACCAATTTGAGGCTGACTCAAAAATCTTCTTAACAGACAGCTCTGCTTGTTCACGGGTCACTTTACATGATATAAGGGAAGTATCATCTGCATACAACATGCAATTACCTTCAAGTCTGGTATAGAGGTCATTGATTGTTACTAAAAATAACAGAGGTCCCATAATGGAACCTTGCGGAACCCCGTGTCTTACAGGTAATGGTTTAGATGTAATACCATTCCAACTTACAACCTGTTGGCGATCACTGAGGTAGGATTTGACCAATCTCAAAGCACTGCCTTCTAGGCCATATTTTCCCAATTTCAGGAGCAAAATTTCATGTGACACGCAATCAAAAGCGCGAGAGAGGTCACAAAGTATTACGGAGGTAGATTTCTTAGACTCAAAAGCATCAACAATTAATTGTACAATAGAATCAACAGCCAATATAGTGGATTTGGCTTTCCTGAAGCCAAATTGACCAGGCACCAGAAGGCTGTGTGCTTCAAGGTGGTCGTACAATTGAGCAAACATAATAGCTTCAAACAGTTTAGAAAATACAGGAATCAACGATATTGGTCGATAACTTGCAACATTATCACGGGACCCTTTTTTATAGACAGGCACAGTTCTAGAGACTTTTAATGGAGCAGGAAAAATACCTACTAAAAAGCATACATTAACCAAATGGGCTAGTATAGGTGCCAGTGCCCACACAATGTGTTTCAAAAGATTAGGTGTCATGCCATACACATCTTTACTGTTAGAGAGTTTAAAGCAAAGCCCATAACAGCATTAATAATGTCTTGGACCGATACATGTTTCCATTCAAAAGTAGGTGCACCATCAGGTATGCTTGACAGGATCACAGGAGAGGATTGTGTTATATTTGGAATGGTTGACAAGATGGACTCAACAGACTCAACAAAGTACGAATTGAATTCATCAGCAGATGCAAAAGACGGATCAAGAATATCAGACTTTGTTTGAGGTCTATTTTTATTTATTAAATTCCAGGCCGCCTTACAGGGATTGGAAGCCCCTGTTATGTATGCGGCATTTGAGTTGATCTTTGCATCCCTCACATTCTTACGGTATTGTGTTCTAAGCAGCTTAAGCAAGTTAGACAGATCAGGTCTTACACTAACTAAATCATTAACTAAAGTTATCATGTTCTTTAGCCTAGAGAGTTCAGGGGTATACCAGTCCTTAACAACAGGCAAACCATTATTTTAGAAACCCCTGACTTGCCAACATGCACCTTTTTACATTTTATTGGGAAAAAATGATCAAAGGCCATGTTGAAGTTGACATGAAAAAACATGAAAGCATCATTTGCCGTCAATGCTTTGATTTCATCAAACCAGAAATGTGCATTCAGTTCTAGGTATTCTATAAGTTTAAATTCTGCCTCCTCACTGTAGACTCTGAAGGATACCACTTTTGAGGACACCTGGTGATGTTGATCCACATTCGGAGTAGTGACCGACAGCAGAACATGCTTGTGATCTGCAATACTGTCCACACTTACCGCAGCCACATAGTCCCAACTGTCCAAGTTGGTTAGAAAAGTGTCCAAAGATGCAGGACCCCTAGTTGGTTCAATGATTGAAGGGAATATATTAAAAGTTCGCATCAAATTTACAAAATCAGAGGCGTAGTTGTCAGAGCTAAGCAAATTGATATTATGATCGGTTCCAATCACCACAAAGAGGCTTAAGGTTGTAAGGTAACTTAGACAAAGTTCAAGCAATTCAAAAAATCTATATACATTACCACTAGGAGAGCGATACATGCTTATTACCGCCATTGAAAGATTTGGCAGCACTACACCTGCAAATTCAACCTGGAGATCCTCAGAGAAACCACTTAAGTCCAAAGGTTTATAATTACCTACAAGTTTGTTACTGAGATACACAGCCACCCCACCAGTAGCTGACTGCCTGCAACGGTATGCTGCTAGTTTTAAATTACTAACTGTATTGTAAAACTGAATTTCATCACTTAAGAGCCAATGCTCGCAAATACACAAAATATCAATGTTCTTCTCAATGCTTAAAATTTTGATTTCATTAGTTTTATTTCGCATGCACTGAATGTTTATTGTGCAAAGATTTATCATAGGCCTAGCAGCTGGCACGGTCTCTAGGCAGAGGTCTGATGTGTTTGAGACTTCCCTAAAAAAGTTCTAGACTGGGTGTAGGACCTAGGTTTGAAGTTAGGCTTCTCTACAAACTTGCATATTAGAGTTCCAGAGGGCCAGAATTCAGCATTCAGAAGATCAGGGGTATGAGCCGGACTGACACCCACCTTGAAGGAGCTATAAGTCTCATATCTGGATCTCAACTTAGTGCACTCACCTTTTATGTTACTACTTAAAAGATACTTTTCAATATCTTCTTTATTTACCTCATGTGCTATGTCGTTGGTCAACAAACACCATTTCGAGGTTAAGTGATGTTGTCATCGGCGTTAAATATTCGTAAAATCGGTCGTTTTAACTTTCTTATGTGAAACGGAGTGCTATTATGAATAAATATATCGTTGTGGGTGTGTTTGTGTACTTCACTGTTATTAAAAGTAGGCCTACGTTCTTTGGCCCATAGCCCAAGCTATGGCCAACACATAGGCCTAGGAGTAGGATGTTGTGGATAAAAATCGGGTAAGTTATGGTGTTTGTTGACTATCAATACGTTTTTTTACCCCCCTTAAAATTTGGTACCTCACATGTTATTGTTTTAATGTTTTACAACAATTTTATACCGTAGTTAGACTTTTACTAAACTAGACCCGCTATAGGTCTTGTTTTTAACATTAAGTATGTTGTTGTATTTATTTATGAGTACAGTAGACCTTAACCAACCTCGTATTAACTGATAACCGGATTATCCGCCCGCACTGTTCTTTATTACCGCACACCAGTATTCCAACCAAACAACACAAAACAGTGTGCTTTTATTATGCACGTAATCCGTTTACGCTTGAAAATAGGTTGGCAACACTTAAAGATATTAAGACTAGGATCACTGGTGGCAGTGTTTCCATTTCGTTCAATGTTTTGATTTAACATAACCTAAAAACGTGTTGTAGTATTTGACTGCCTTTCCTGCACTCAAGAAACTTTACACACTCACCTGAGGCTCGTGCGTAAATATTTCTCTTGTGTGCAGCAAAATTCCACTTTGCCCACTAGTTACACAAATAACTATTGTATTTATAAAAAAAATTATGTTTCTGTAAACAGCTGCAATTTTTGTAATATAATCTAGATTATCTTATCGCAAGAGTAAGCAATCAACGCAACTTGTAGGCAGGGGAGGGGGGTTAACGACTCCAAGATCAAGATAATTATTGTGACTCGAACCTCCAGTGAGAGGCTATAAATAACCATCCTGTCTTCCTGTCTAGTAGCAAAATTGTTACTTGTATCTTTAATTTTGACAAAACGTTCTATATTGCATGTTTTATGATAAGGATAAACTAATATTACAGTAATTTTTATTGCCTACAATAGTAGTACTTCCACTGAGAGTATTTGACTTAATCAAGTTTAAAAACAAGATTAGTGTAGTTTATTTTATAAATAATACAAGTACGACTTCAAAATAATGATTATATAATTCCAAATGAATAGGACTTAATTTTTTCATGCTTTCAGGGATTGCCCATTTTAACCGACCTTTTGAGTTATCCTTGACATAGGTCCGGGTCACATTAGGGTTGGTTAAGAGGGGGTCTACTGTACAATCCTTGTTTAACTTTTTATGAACATTTTTATCGTAGATTAGTATAACTTGAATGTATAGTTTATTTTATTTATTTAATAAGTCAAGTTTGATTTTATGTTTTATGTGATAAATGTTTGAGTTTTAATATTAACTAGGTGTTGTAACCCGTGCTTTGCAACGGGAAGAGAACGTGAAATAGAAACATTTGATCTTTACATAATATGTTGTATAAAATATTTAGACATCCGCCAACACTTAAGAAAGAAAGTTCAACCATACCACTTCATTTTATAAACATTTATGGCTTTTAAATCAGATAAGAAGTGGAAACCGCCATTTTGGTTTGGAAATTTTTTTTTAGAGGTTGGCGGCCTCTTTTAACCTTGCGTTTGCCCATCATAGACTAACCACCTGTGCGTGGAACGTTTACAGCAAAGCAAGGAGTGAGCCGGTACAGTAACTGTGAACTGTACTGATAAATTTTAGTGGCAGTGACCAGGATCCGAACCCACAACATCGCTGCCTTGGGCCCGAAGTCCGCGACGTTACCGACTGAGCCACCGACTCACTAAGTTTAATTGATTAATTTTAAATTTTGTTTATACGATATCAGAAAATCTTACCAACTTTTCCAATAACATTTTCATATACTTTATTCACCTTGTCTCCCTTTTTACTTATCTATATTCGTTATTTTTCACATTTTAAATTTCAATCTTGAAGTTTCACAACTACTAATTATTAACTAATTGTTTAATTTAAATAAACAAATTGTATTAGGTAGGCTACATCAATCTCCTAAACAAATCACAAATCCTTCAACCACTCACAATTCACAATAAATCATAAAAAAAAAACACAAACATCAGTTGTCATCAGCTTTAAACAATATCTATACTATTAAAAGTTGGAAATTATTAAATTACCACGTCAAAATATTAAATAGGTCCAAAATATGGATACTACCCTCAAGCCAAAAAAAAACAAAAAATTAATTTGGAACCATGAATTAGAAACCCCCAAAACAGTTGTGAAACAAATGGAGGGAATGGAATTTGTTCATGGCAGCAAGTTTTTCGGAAGCTTTATTGGCTGTGAGGAAGAAAAGAAAAAAATGCAACAGAAAAGATCAATGCTTGGACACAGCGTGTTGAAAATCTTGCTGGGATTGCTAAAAAACACCCTCAATCAGCCCGTACTGTTGCTACAAAATCATTACAAGCTGAATGGATCTTTTTTCAGAGAGTAGTAAATGTTGAAAGTTTTCATGTACTCACGAATGAGTGTTGATAGTTTTTAATAATAATATGATAAAGTAAATTACATACATAATAATACACAGTAAATAAAATACATAGTAAATAAAATACATAAGTCTGAATACTCCTACAAAGACTTTTTATAAAGAGGGGCCGTGCCTCCACTTCATTAATAAGTTTATCAACTTTTTCGTCTCGCAAAACACTTGCACTTGACGCAGCCACAACGCACTTAACACAGTCTGAGAGACTATTTAGTCATCTATGCCTTTTCAATATGACACGACAGTTGAGTCGGGGAGCAGTCGGCAAGAAAATCGGCCAGCCCCAGAATGCCCCGCCTGTCTGGCTGTGGTGCCTGTGCTCCCTCATATGTTCCCAAACCTCATGACAATGTCATAAAATACTCTGAGGAAGAAAAGAAAAGAAAATATATGTCAGCTTGTGATTGCCGGAATGCCTCTTTCACTATGTCCTAATAATAATAACATCAGTTTGCGGAATCTTAGGCAAAATAAATCATACAGTCATAATAGCATTGGTTGAGACTTGACTATTTCCGGTCGCTCCTTAGCGGGAGCATAGGGCATCCAGAAGAGCTCACCATTCATCTGTCCCGCGCCAGATCCCTCAGCTGACCCCAGCTCTTCCCGACACTCATTACCTATCACCTCTATAACATTGATCTACTTGTCACACAATTTTTGTTTGTTTGTTTTTTTTTTCTTTTTTTTTCCGCACTAAAAACTAGTATTTCAACCAAACAACACAAAACAGCGTGCAAATAATTATTTGCTGACAGGTTGTTTAATCTATTATTTGTTGGGATGGCACCTGCCTTCTCTTAGGCCTATCACTTATTAACTAATAATATAATCTTTTATAGATTTGTTTGTAATGTACTCACCTCCGTTATTTTCACTTAGGTTTGTTTAACAAATTTAGCTGTTTGTCGAATTAAGTTTTGTTTGTGTACCGTTTGAGTGCCTGTAGAATGGAAACAATCTTTTCTCTTGCAGAAAATTTGAGAATAATGACTGATTTGCATTTGCATTTTTCTATCGTTCCTTGTGAGATATTATTGTAACTTAGTTGGTATTTTAATATTGTTTCTAATAAAAATAATATGTGCAATTACTTGGGTTTTTTCACCTTGACTTTTGTACTAGTTTTATCGGTATAATTATTATTATTACTCAAAGACAGTGACAGTAACTCTTATTTGAAGCTTAACATGAATTCAAGGTGAGTGTATAATCTAATTGAGTATGTTTAATCCATGGTATAATGGAGTGAGATGATACATCCTATTTTTCTACACTGTATACTTGTATCCATGTTTACCTATTATGTTTACCACTCACTCACTGATCACTACATCTAAAAAACTACAAGCCATAAAAACTCAGGAATTGGAATGGTGGTTCCAATCAACCTCTAAGTCTGCAATAAAAAGTCATTTTATGAAATTCCATCAAGGCTCTGCCTCAGTGGCTTTTAAAGTTCCCATTTTATCCTTAGAAAAGATTTGTTTACATGAATACTTTTGTCAGCTGGTTATATTTTAATTAGGTGAAATGAAAATATTTAAATTATTTTTGTAACATGAAAAGTGTATTCTTACAGTTACCAGGCCAAGTACCTTGCACTGATTATAGCACAGAAAGTTGCTAATTGCTGTATCTACTTTTGCTACAAAATTTTTTTTTTTTTTTTTTTTTTTTTTGCCGCACACCAGTATTCTAACCAAACAACACAAAACAGCTTGCTATTATTAGGCACGTAATACAAGTACGCTTACTGCAAAACAATAATTATTTGCTGACAGGTTTAATCTATTATTTGTTGGGATGGCACCTGCCTTCTCTTAGGCCTATCACTTATTAACTAATAATATAATTGGTATTCAAGAGAGAAGATCAGAAGTGTTCGATGAGTACAATCTCGTTCATTCTTAGCTAGATCTTAGATTAAAGGTGTCTACTCCTTTTATCTATGGCATATAATGACAATGCCACAATCGTGCAATTGTAGAATGGCGAGTATGTTGTTATCGGAGTTCAATTATTTGGCAGACTTGATAATTAAAACTCATAAGAACTATAATGATTCAACTTGACTATTGTTAAAAACTTGGATGGATCTTTTTTAAATAAAGATTGATAGATCAAGATTTTAAGGAGCTGGAATATAAAAATTTCAATTTGTTTAACATATCAACAATGCATTTCTTAAGAATCTTCAGGTCAAAGGTAGTAAACATTTTATTGTTGTAAAAAGATAAAACTAGGTCCGTTAAACCTGGACTAACATGCATGATTGCTCGTCATGTTACATAAATATCTTTTTTTTCAATTTCTAATATTTATTTACTGATAGCGGAAATCTCTCACGCACAGGCCGTAGCCTATATGAGAGGCATTTCATATTTAATGACTATGTCAGTATACACACATATAACTATAAAACTTTTACTGACAAAGTATTGTAACAATGTATTTTACTTCCTGAAATTAACATGATTTTGATTTGATTTACAATACATGATCAAACAACATTGTGCTAACTAGGCTACGGTAGGAGGGAAAATAAGACACAATGTATTGTGTAGAAAACTATTTTATATGTTTACAAAGAATGATTAGGTTTCACACGGTTTATCATACAATCAATATTTATAAAAAATATCATAATTTTGTTACATTATCACAAAATAGACCTACAGCATTGAAATGGGTTGGATATATATTTTTAATCATTCTATTCCAAAGAGAAGAGCATTATCTCAAAACAGTTAAATACAGTTTTAGGAATCTTTTTAACATTTCCTCTCAATTTAATTTCTAATGGGGGCTGTTTAAGAACGCTGGCAAGTATCAGATTCCGAAACATTTATGTTACACACACAAACTTTATGTACAACCACTAGGTTAGGTGTATTTTCAATTATTGACTTGACGTTGAATGAACTAATAAGTTATAAGGAATAATAAAACAGATATAACTAAATACAATGATAATAACTTACTTTCAGAAATAAAATGTACAGTATCAAATGTCTTGGTGACAAGGTAGAAAAAGATGAGTAAAGTTGTATATTGTATGTATAAAACTGCTATTTATATTATTTTGCAATATCACAGGTACATGGTAAATTACGAGAATTCGATCAGTCTTAAATACTAGCCAAGCTTTATTTTTTTTTCAACAACACCCTCCACTTCATCCATCATGCTTAGGAGCATTTCATCGTCATCATCGTCATCGTTTTGAAAGTAATCATTGATTTTTGTCTGCGACTCTTTCTTTTCTGGTGAACCCTGAAAGATGTGGTTGTTTACTTGTTTTATAAGTACCACTTCAAGTGCCAGAAAATTATAAGAGTAGAAACTAGAAAGGTATCGTCCTTAAAATTAAAAACCTACCTCTGGGATTTTACCTGGACATTAAGGTGGTTAAAGAAAGACAATAATTAGTACAAGTACAGTCTCGCTTGAGCAACTATCTTGTGCGGACATGTCCATTGTGTTGGCCTAGTTACTTTTCCTTGTTTCTTAATGTTCTGTTTTGACTAGCCTGCTATATAATTACCTGGGTGGGTTTTCTTTATTGATTTTTCAGTTTTGGTTGGGTTTTCATACTGATTGTGTTGCATTTAGGTACTTTCCACCTGTTGTTGTTATAGTAGACTCTTAATAATTCAAAATTGGATGGTCAAGCAAATAAAATGTTAATTATCAAGAGGTTTGATTTATTGGTAAGAAAAATAAAGTAGAAAACATTCCAATTACAAATGTTATTTTTTTATACATAAGGTTTCTTTTGTAGTTTTGTATGATGCCTTGCTTTGGTCAAGCAACTGCAGTTCTGACATTGTGTTTGGCACAAAAATTGAAGCTTCACGTTTGACAAATTTTAGCGCTGTGGAAGAATTTTCAAGGAATAAGATAATTTTACAATTTTGGCTTTTCATATCTTTCTTAATATAATAACTAGTCACTCATTGAACCAATTTGTCACCCAAACATTGTTTTAACAGTTAAGTTACAGGGAATTACTGGATGCTTTTAAACACCTAGGCTTTGCGGCTTTTGCAACGAACAAACACTGCCAACCAGTGCTTGGCAGTGGTCCAAACCACTGCTTGGACTTTGAAATACGGAGTGTATTAAAAAATACGTGGTTAACCTTTAAAATATCGAGCTATAAGGACAGTTTACTTTGACTTATCGTAAGTTTTGATTTATGGAATGTTTGAGTAATAAGTATAAGTATAATAGTAATAAACCTGAGTTGTATCTGATTCCAGATCTAGAAATGATATGAAAACTTTTGTTTTTCACTTATCATGATGACATATGTCCACAGTAATAATTTTTAAAAAAACATATAATTACCATTGCAATAAATAACCTGAGAGGATGTTAAGAGGACTAACCTTCAAACACGTATGATCAGCGTCCATGTAACTGTCTTTGCTCAGACCAGCTCTATTCAGCACTTCCAGCTTCGACTGTACCAGAGGCCAGAGATAGTCGTCTGCCGTACCTCTAGCTATCAAGTACTTGACAACGACACAGTCCTCTTGGCCTATACGATGCACTCTGTCTTCAGCCTGCGCTAAATCCTGAAACAAAACATGTAGTCCAATGACAAATGGTATCTGTGTCCAGAATCCACCCCATTTGGAATCCAACAAGCAACCTTCAGAATTGACGACGTCCTCTATAACCTACTCAGCTATATTCATTACCAGAAAAAATATAGTATACAAATTCTTTATTAGAAAATATTCACTCTAGATAAGGTGGTCTGAATAAAAATCCACCAAGGTTACAGCAAATTAATTAACATAAACCTAAAATGTTGTTGCAATGTAAGAAATCAAACAACTGATTGAACCACAACAGGCAAATCTTGGTAAGTCACTTTGTCATTTCTTGTCACTAAAGAATCTCTCTTTTATAAAATAGAAAGGGAAAAATTAAAACTGAACAGTTTCTAGAAACATCTAACATCTTAGAAGTTCATAGTCTTCAGGTAACAACTGTGTGAAAAAATCCATGTTTTTGCCTCGATGTAGTGTCATCGTCAGGTTAAAGAAGACAGACTTGACTTCTGCAACCTGAAAACGGCAGCCTATTTTAAGGCCCAAACGTTAGTGAATAGAAGTGTTTCATGAAGGTCGTTGCCATAAGACTACGAATCAACAGTAAGTGTTTGACGAAACCTATCTCTTGGTAGCTAAGATCTTGTAAGAAGATCCTCTTACCCCTGGGTTCCAGAACAGTTCTGCGAAGATGACCATCTGTGCGGCAGTGAGTGTGAGGCCCGTGTTGGCAGCCTTGATTGACAGGACGGCCACCATCCACTTGTCCTCATACTGGAATTTGTCACACAGCTGTTTGCGTTCCTCAGCACTGACTGACCCGTCAATACGGATATACCTGTTAAATGTACAGTATAGAATCAAGAATCAAGAATTTTTATTCATCGTTAACGCTATGTACAACACATGCAATGGATGAACGTCATAATAGTAGCCTAAAGTTTACAGGCAATAAGGCAAAATAAATATAGACAATAAAATATAAACAAGTGCAGAGTACATGCAAAAAGTATCACAGTCATCTTAAAAATAAAATACTGAAGTTTATAAAATTTATAGGTATGCAAAGACTAGAGCAAACATGAAAACAGGTGCAATGTGTATACAATACATGCAGTGTGTTTAAAATAAGTTAGAAAAAAACATAGCAGGGGCAAGAAAACAGTATAAAATTTAAAGACAATACTAACAAACAGACAGATAAATAACTTATAAAACAACTCAGCCCTTGGCTATATCACAGACAGACAGAATTTAAAATTGAATATCAACAGGCAATACAAAGAATTCATCGAGCTTGTAAAATGGCCTTGCAACCAACCAATTGTAAACAGACAACTTAAACTTAGTGAAAGATAGACTTTTTAGTTGAAAGTCCTGACATATTGGATTCTGCTAATTTAGCCACTTTCCTATCTAACACATTAAACACACATTATTTAACACATTAAAAGCACTTTCCTATCCTAAAAACAATTTACAAATCATTCACAGATGGTTTCCTGGCCATACAAAATTCACCTACAGTTCCTGGTTTCTCGATTGTCTAAAAACTCTAAATGGTAATAAGATGATTTAATTTTCATAAAAAAAAAATAATACTTGCAATCAATATAATCTATGAATATTATTTAAGCCTCAAGTTACTTATTTTACTTTAACTAGGATTTGCTCATAAAACATCATTGATGACTGCAGAAACTAGATCAGGCCACCAGCCTCGTGCCAGTTATCAACACAGACAAAACTACTTAGGTTTTGACAAAACGGTGGAACTTAGGTCTTCCATGGTGTTTGTTTATTCACAAATGTGGTAGAAAATATTCAGAGAACATGTTCTACTTAGTTAATTGTTTTTTTATGTTGACTGTTTGTAATCATTATAGTTAATCTTCATTTGCTTGACTCAACTCGAGCTTATAAATGTATTGTGAATTGTGTTAAATAAAGCCTACTGATTCAAGACAAACAATTTTTATCCTCTAACGACATGTAAAATGCAGTTAAAAGTTGGGAATTTGCATTTAAAAACACAACTTACCACGTCTTATTATTTTCAAGTGTTTGACAAATGGCTTCCAACATGTCTCCGTGATGAGCGAAACACAGGAATTTTCGATTATCTTGAAGTACGTCTTCAATATACTCGCTGAAAAATACATATTCAATTAAAAATGTTTAATATTTTATGTCGTGTTCAAGTTGTGTTTGTGATATTCTATAAATTTTTTGCTAATAAAACAATTTTCATTCTCTTAAAATCTTGCAGACACTTTTCAAAAAAGTTAGTAAAAACAAAGCATTTTAAAAAAGGTTCATTTAAGATTCAAGATCTTTATTTGTCATTAAGTAATACAAGTATTACAATAGACATCGGCAAAAGTTTTTTTAAATATTACATACAGTTAATTTTCTGTTAGAGTAGGCCTAACAGCAAGAATGCACCAAGTGAGTAGCAGCAATCACTCTTTAAAATATAACTGTCATAACTAACTCTAAAATAGTTATTAACTAGTACTATACAGGGTGATCAACTCAAGGAGGCCACCATTGGGATATCGGAAACGGTAAGAATTAGAGAAAACTTTAAATGGGGGACATTCCTTTATTTTTTGTGGCAGTTAAAAATATGATTTTATTTTTTCGAAATTCAGCCGCCATTTTCCAAAATGGCGGCCAACTTTGAAATTTCTTATGGAAAACCCTATATTTTATCATGTTTTCGGATAGAACAGGCAATTTAAAAACCTTTTTATTCTTGACATTTTTTCGATAAACCCACTCGTTTAGGAGTTACAGCCTATGGAAAAATGACTTCCGGTGTACATTTTACATCATGTAGCTCCTAAACAAGTAGGTTTATAGCGAAAATGCGAAGAGTAAATAAATCAAATAAGTCTTAAAATTGCATCCACATTCCAAAAAGACCATAAAATTCGTTAAAACTATTAATTCTATTATTTCCAAAATGGCGGCCATTTTCCAAAATGGCGGCAAACTTGAAAAGTGGAAAAATGTGTATTTTATGGTCTTTTTGGTATGTGGATGCAATATTAAGACTTCTTTGACTTATTTACACTTCGCATTTTCGCTATAAACCTACTTGTTTAATATAAAATATAGCATAAAACATAAAATATAGGGTGTTCCATAAGAAATTTCAAAGTTGGCCGCCATTTTGGAAAATGGCGGCTGAATTTCGAAAAAATAAAATCATATTTTTAACTGCCACAAAAAATAAAGGAATGTCCCCCATTTAAAGTTTTCTCTAATTCTTACCGTTTCCGATATCCCAATGGTGGCCTCCTTGAGTTGATCACCCTGTATAGTACTATACTATTACTACTATAGTAACTCATATTATAGTATTGGATTTACATTTGTATCTTGTTACCAAGAGGTTATTCTATTACTGAGTTTAAGGCTTTTTATATCTACTGTTTATAAAATACACATACCAGACAGCCGATGCTTTGGTCTTGGCCGTTTCTGAGAAGTACTGCAGTAGACAGCCGTGACGTTCTCGTCCCTTCAGCGTTGAGGATTGCAGCTTCAGGGCAAAAGCGTCCATCGAGTCGTTGTTCTTTGTACTTAACGATTTACTGTTCAACGTTATCACTTGCCTATGGTAGAAAGTTAAAAATACAAAAACATAAAAATGCCAGTCAAAAGTTATAAAAACAATAGTATAGTATTTTATTCAACCAAATAGTTATTAACAATTTTCCTCTAACTTAAACTATAATTTTTTTTATTTTGTGTGTTCTATTTTACGCTATAAGAATATTTTACAATTTTTGTAAGGGCTTGTCCATAAGGTCACTGATGAGCTCCCGTCTTGGCGAGGCGAGCTACAGTAGAACATCACTAATCCGACCTCCGATGGTCCGACTCCTCGCTTGGTCCGACCGTGCCGCCAGCACAATAGCCTTCTGCTAACATAACCTCATTGCCCAAGAAAAATACCTTCATAAATTAAAATTGTGTTTTTTTTAGTTTAGTGTGTTGAAATTCGTTGTATATTTAACCATGTCTGCCCATCTATATAAATAAAATTAGAGTTTTGTCTGTACATTGCTCAGAATTATATACTTTTAGGTTATTTTTACGTTTTATACATTAAAGAAGCAGAAACGAGTCTTATCTCAATTTCTGTCTGTCTGTCTGTCCCTTTGTCTGTAACACTCAAGATGGCATTTTACGCAATCTTCTCCGTGAAAACCAGAGTACATATCAAGATCCAAGCCATTTTAATGTATTCACTGGATTGGCGAGAGTGTCTTTAGTGATTTAAATATAGCCTCACTACTTTGTAAATAAAATTACGGACGTTCAAAAATGCAGTTTTGTGCGATTTTTGTCAAATTTTCGTTCAATTTTTATCACAGAATCGTCTATGAAATAATGAACAGCTGTTCGGATCAAGATTATTTTTTCTAGCTGTCAATGACATGTTTACAAATGCTGTTTACAAATACCGCAACTATTTCGAATCACGTTTTGAAAGCAAATCCCAACCAAGTGAGATTAAAAACGTTTTTCTTACATAACGGATTAAATTAATCGCAAGTGCAATAATATAGTCTAATAGTGTAACCGTAAATGAAATTAAATAACTAGACATCGTCCAAATCGGAACCAGAAATTCTTTGAGTATAAAATGTTTCTTGAGTTTTGACAACCAGAAAGAAGAAGACCTTGAATCAGTGTTGTATAGGGCTGTGACACTGAAATGATCGTCGCCAATAGCTTACAAAAAAGGTTTCCACTCATTGACGGCGCTTCAATGGTGATTGTGTAAAGTGTAAAGTAAAAAATCACAACTGCAGTGGGTGATTGTAACAGAGGTTTTACAGAGGAAGTGCTAAACTCGCTTTTCCAATGTGTCACTTTCTGTTTCTACTCACCGTGTGATGCAATCGCTGGACCATACAGCCAATAGGCCCATAGCTCATATCTTGGGTACGTAAGCCTACATATTTATTCATAACAACCTTTTTGACAACGATCCTTGATACCGGTACTTTTCCATAGAATACATGGCCTACCTACTTAAAAAATAAAATTACAAATGACCAAAACCCCAACATTGTGTGATTTTCGTCACATTTCCTTCTAATGTTAGATATACTAATCATTGTTTAGAGAATGCGTAATCTATTAAATAACAAAAAGTTGTTTGGGTAAGGTTGCTTTTTTTTCAAACTGACACCGATAAGTTTACGCTATAACTTTTTACGAGAAAATCCAAAAGCAAGAGATCAATAACCTCGAAGCTAGATATTAATGTATTTAATTGGTCCGATTTACTGTAATTCTTAGGTAGGTTCTTACGTAGGTACTGGTTCTTTTCCTTAGAACCGGTAGTTTACAAATTAGATATCGTTGGTGTTTCACCTTATTTATTAGAGCCGTCCGTATTCAATTTAAGTGATGTCTTAACTCTGTATAAGTTTTGCTTTTTCTGTCTGGATTCCAAATCTTAGCTTACCCGGTATGCTAAGAAAATGATAACCTATTTGAGTAAAACATTTGTTGGGCAAACCATCATGAATTGTTTACGCCTTTATATTGTTTATGTATCAATAGTTCGTGGCCTTTGTTGGATTGTTGTATTGTGTTGTTTTGTTGTATGTTGGTAACGCATTAATGTCCTTATTTCTCAGTGTTTCACGGAATGGACAAGAGCACCTTTGATACTGAAAATGTCAACCGGAATAAAGTGTTAAATGGCGAGGTTGAGGTAGTACTTTAAATACGTTTAAGTTAACCGATGTGGAAAGTAACTTTCAATTATAGGCCTACTTTAGGGCTACGCTTCATGGATCTATAAAACATTTTTAAGTTTAATCATTGGACATATGGACCAACACGATCCGGGCGACATTTAATTGCGAAGCATTTATTTTGGCTTGAACTGTCAGATACTGTATTTGCGAAGGTTTATATATAGGCTAATAGTTTTGCCAGCATATCTGCAAATATGCTGCTCTTAATCTTAATATAAGAAGGTTTCAACTGACTACTATAAGATCCCCGTGCGTAGAACGGGCACACAGCTAGTTATTAATATTAAGTAGGCTCCCTCATTATTGTTTTTGAAAAATCACAGTTCATTTAACAAAAATAAAATAGAAGCAAAACAAAGGAATGTCGATCAAAGCTTCAAGGTCGAGCTATTCCTTTGAACTGACAATCGTCTGTTCTTTAGGCCTACACATGACACATCTGTCTGCTGTGCGCTTGCTATGTCACAACATTTTGTGATTGGGTATTTGGTAATCATGACAACTTTAGTAGCCTGTGACTGGGTGATTAGTAATAGTAACCATGGCAACTTGTTGAATGGGTGAATGAAGAGAAACTCAAGAAATAATAGAACAAAGATAAAAAAGCAACGTTTTTATATCATTGTTTTCTTTATCGGTGTATTTTACGACTGTTGTTATGTTATAAGTAGGCAACTATTATTATTTTATTTTATGTGTTATCTAATGTTTTTATCAACATTCTTCTGTCCTGAAACAGCGTAGCAGTAGCGTATGACTAGCAGTAGCTTACTAGACTTTCTATTGTTCTGTTCTTTATTTTGCTGTACAACGTTTGGCAATTTGTTTGTTTGAGTAAAAGTTTGAAAAAGCTGTGATTTTAAACGTTACAGTTTTTATTACTGAACCAAGGTTAATTTCATAACATAATTATCATAATTGTGCAATAGCCTATGAATTGTATTATTTTTATGATGGAATATGCAAATTATCTCATTAAAGTCCATTCCATACAGTTAGTATTAGGTGTTGTTTATGAGTTGGAAATAACTATTTTATGTCATATTGGATTAACCGTGGTTATCTGTTATCCGTGGTCTGTTGAAAATACAGTTATACTATGTTTTTATTTCAATAAACACAGTCCTCTGATAATCCGACCTTGCTGTTCCAACCATGCTCCCGGTTCCGTAAGTGACGGATTAGCGAGGCTCTACTGCAGTTCAAATCTGACACCTTAGTATTCTTCACTTCATCATCACACTACTCTAGCAATTTTCATGTGACTAATACCCTGAACATAACAGCTGAAAACGAAGTGTAGGAAAATCGATGTTCCCTGCAAAGTATAAATTAGTTTCTGCGATTAGATTCCTTTGATTCATGGTATCAACCACTATTGAAGTCCTTTGCCAGTTGAGCATGTGTAAATTCCTGTAGCCTACATGATAAAATTATAACTTTTTGTTTTTTTTATAGATAGTCTGGAGAGTTTACTCTAATTACAAAAAAATTCCATACCTGATTTTGCCAGGAAGTTGACTCAGTACTTCTGACTTCATTCTTCTAATCATCATTCTTGTTTCCAAAAGTATTCTCAGCTCTTCCATGTTGCTAGAGCCAGAAAAGTCCCAGCCAAATTTATTTTGAACTCCATTGCAATATCTTATGCCAAATTCCTTACTGAAACAAATTTTTACTGAAACTATCTTCTTCTTATATATATAAAATCCAATGTATGTTTGTATGTTTGTCCTTTATGGACTCCAAAACCACTCGACAGATTGTAATGAAACTTTCAGGCATTATTAAGCATTATTCAAGGATGGTTTGTGTGAAGTTTGGTGCAGATCCGTCAAAAGGGCTCCGCCCCAGTGGCTCTGGAGTTTCCCATGTTAACCTTATGAGTACTCATATTTAATGGAATTAAAGAATCTTAACAGCTGGTTCAACTAAACTATCTGATTCTGTGATGTTCAATAACATTAAAAAGTTAATAGGTTTACCAACAGGGTGCAGCACTATATTTTTTTTAATTTATGAGAACAGCTAATTTGCAACCTAAAGGTGAGTGAGCGTAGCGAACGAACTTCAACCAGGACATGATTAAGCCATGCGAACGAGCTCATCTTGAAAATGTACGAGCATGTGACATAAAACCACAATAGGACAGGACGTCTGTCGGGCCAGCTAGTAATGTATAAATCTCCAACACAAGTTTTAATAAAACATAACAAAAAATGTAGGGTGAAAACCAATCTTTACAACTATTATAACACTTTAATACTGTTACTATCATTATAATCCCTTAAATTGTTTCTCCCTGTTCGGTTTAGGGTCTTGTTCAGGGAAAAGATCGATAGTGTCACCATATTTTGGGCTGCCTCATATGTTCTAAGCCTGTCTGTTCACTTTTGGTGTTTACAGACAGGCATATGCTTAAATGAAACTAACAACCTCATTTTATCATAAAAAAGTATATTAAGACAAAATGTTCAAAGTTACTTACAAGTAAGGGAATGCGGCGGGGTCAATGGCCTTGATCTGGTTGTACAGCTCCTGAGGTCTAGACAAAACAGGAGTTCCGCTCAACAGGATGACTCTCCGGCAATGCTCAGCAACCTCCAGAGCGGCCTTGCCTCTCTGCGTCTTGACACTTTTGATGATATGACTCTCATCCTGGAAATCAACAGTGTTAAAACCTTTAACACTTTTAAGTAGTGTTATAAGTGTTAATCTGTTTAGCCATCGGCTTCTGAACTGTGCCATGACTATTCTCCATTCCACGTTCACAGCACAGATTTCACGGGAGTCAGTTATGCTATATTATAAGAAACATCTTGTTTATTGTCATGAAAACTAAATATTAAATATTGAAAATTTTCAATCTCTGTGAAAACTACATAAATAGCCATACAAAAATATGGAACTTTTAATTCATAATTGAATATTATTTTTAAAAGTTACATAGTTCTTTACTGAAATAATTGTTAATTTATATAATACTAGCTGTTCGTCGGCTTCGCCCGATATAATTTTGTGTTTTATTACTACTAAGAACCTACTGAAGGCTGAAACTGCCTTGGTATTTTTTGCTAAAAAGACGAACCAAACTATTATTTCAAAATTATTTTTTTAATAATAACGTAAATTATTATTATGGTATGTTTATTATTATTATTATTATTAGTATGGTTCAGAAAATTGGATCTTAAGCAAGAAATCAGAAAGGAAAGCTATTGTATTTGAGAACAAGATTTTGAGGAAAGTGTACGGACCGATTTTTGAGGATGGACAATGGAGATCGAGACATAATTGGGAACTTAGAGAATTATTTAAGGATCCGGATATTGTCGCTGAGGTACGGAGCAGAAGACTGAGATGGGCAGGGCCTATTCTGAGAAAAGATGACAACTCCCTATCAGAGAACATCTTGAGGAATAACCCAGAAGGTAGAAGACCCCTTGGAAGACCGAAACTTAGATGGTTCGACCAAGTGGAGAAAGACCTGAGGAAGCTAGGGAGAAGGAAGGAAGATGCAAGAAGCAGAGACCTATGGAGGCAGAGTGTTGGGGAGGCCAAGTACCATCTAGGGTACCAGTGGCCACAGCAGTAAGTAGTAAGTAAGTAATAATAACGTAAAGCCTATATTAATGTGTTATAATATGATATAAATATTTTATATATTTATTTCAACGCTGCGGAGCAGCAATGGTTCTCTAGTTAAACTTAAAAACAATTGATTACACTTTAAAAAATTACCAACATTTTACAAACATTTGTAGCATACAAAAACAAGAAATTGGACCCAGGTTCCTTATCATTGGGCTTTAAATAAATGATCCTGACTGATGAACTAGCTGATCTAAGTTAGTAACAAAACTACACAGATCATCTCACACCATTCTACACTCATCCTTCACTCATATTTGGGTTAAAATACGCACCTAGGTGGCGTCCCAATCTCAAGTAATAGATAATTGATAATAATTAATGATCAAGTATCAAAGTATGAGTATCAATTATTGATCCGCAACCTAAAATAATTATTGTTCAAATAATGTTACAGGCCAATGAATATTATCTACCATGATAACTACTCCAAACTGCATTTCCTTGATCAAATCCTTCTTTTTGGCCAAAAGGTCATAAGACAAGATCAGAACTCTTGCTCCTTCTACAACATCCTTCCCAGTGGTCATTACAAAAATTTGATGAGGGTGAACAGAGTTTGGCAGCCTCACTCTAACTTCTTCTTCCCACTGGTATCTGTAACGAGAATGTAAAAATATACCTTCATTGAAACGCAGAAAGGGTTAATTGCTAGAAAACATGTTAATATTGTTACAGTATTTCATAACTGCATGGCAAATAAGTTCAAGTTACAGAGTTCACATTTTTAAAAGTTTGAATGTCAGTGATGGAATTTTACAAGGGAAAACGCACTGAATGTTTTAAAGGGACAAGGTCCATTTAACTCCCACAAAATTGTATAGACATACCAACAATTGAGCCTATCCCTTTCATGCCTACGTGTGAAACCCTACCGACAAGGCTAAGAGCACATTTAACTTGACTGAAAAATTATACAAAAATTTTACAAAGTCAGTTATTTCTCAATCCAATTAAACCAGACCATTACAACAAAGAAATATTAATGTTAAATTCTGCGGCGACTCACCATACCTCATAGAGGAAGGACAGACTATGAGTAGTGGCCAATTGTCTCTGTAGTAGTCAGCAATGCCGAGTGCCTGAATGCTCTTTCCGAGACCCATGTCGTCTGCAACTAGACATCTACCTCCCCGTGTGACCCCAAACCTATAAGTTTACAGGTAATACGGTTGCAGAAGAAAATAAATCACAAGATACAGTCAAAACTAATTGAATAAAACAGGGGATTCATTACTATTGCTTTCAAGTTGTTGTTTAAAGATAAGATAATTTATACTGGTACCCCCGTACTGCCTGGGACATGTTGCTAACACAGTTTCCTTTACATTTGAAACCAGCTGTGTTGACTTTGGAAAGTAATCAGCGTCCCACTATTGTCTCAGAGATTCTCATTCTTTGAAATGAACTTAAATTGTTTTAAACTGGTAGATTGGTAAAGGTGAGCATTTTAAAATTATTTTTCAGTGTTTTTCTCAGTGTTTTAACTGTAGATAAACAGTCTGGAGGTAACAAAAACCAACAACTCTGTTTATTAAAACCTAAACTTGACCTTCCTAATCTAACTTAAAACACTTAACTTAATACAGCCGAAAATTTGCATAAAGCCAAACCGTCCATTCTCACATGACTAGATACTAGATAAGAACAATATGTAACAGTAACCAGTCCATCTATATCTCCATAATTAGACGGGATTCTCTTTAGAGGAAACATTATCGACTACAGAATCACTTGGAAATGTTTCTATAATCATTGATTGTTTTAAATCAACAATATTCTCCTTCTTCTCATCATCTCTACAACTCTCTTCCCCTCACCCACACTTAACTTAGCATTAGCAGTACAGTAACGGTAATTCTATTTAAGTGAAGTGACACCATTAGGTCTACTGCCAACGGAAAACCTCAAAAAGTCATATACAGTAGACTCCTTCTAGATCGGCTTCGGATGTATCGGTCGCCGGATGGTCCGGTTCGTTCTCAGGTGGACAAGTCACATCGACACGGGCTTATGAACTTTGACAGGATTCAACTTGAATGGTTAGTTTCTAATTACAATATACAATACAAGTAGGCCTAAACAATTTATATCAGTTTGGTTGACAAGTGCTTATATGGGTGAACCATCTTTGCATATTGCCTACGCCAAACGGTTGTATTAAGCAATGCGTTTTGATGGAAATTTTGTATCATGTGTTTAGTTTTTTACCGTACAGTATTAGATTATTTTTGGGTGTGAACGTTGTGAGTATACGTGTGTTCTGTATGCGGTTTTACTGTTAGGAAAATGTCTTCTAAAATGAATTAAAAACCTAAACATACGTACGTGACAATGAAATAAAGACTCTGCATTCTAGAGTGTTTTGATAAGGGAAAATCAGTCCAGTGTTGCAATAATAACGTATCTATAGGTGGAAACTAGACGATTCAAGAAAGAGATGTCAGAAGCTTAATTTTGGTAAATAATGTCGTAAAAGAATGATAAAATAATGCTATTTGTTGACTTTTTAGTGTTTTTTACTAATTTAAAAGGAGTATTTTAACCGCCCAAAATACATCCGTTTAGTCCGGCCATTTTGTAGTCCGGCCAGTGACATTCCAAGGTGGCCGAACTAGAGGGAGTCTACTGTATTTGGGTTTAGGAGGTAAAAAACTATAAAATAATACAGAAACAGCAAATATGTGTGAGGAGGCAACTAGCCTATATCAAATAAATACCGATTGTACATTGTGAAATATTTGTCAAAGTATTGCATTTTAAGATTGTATAGAATTAACTACGTTATCACACCAAGGCACTTACTGAATCCCTTGTTTTTGGAAAGGGTAAATAGCATCCTTCAGTTTGGAATCCACCCTGGATATATCAACTTTACTAATATCCGTCTGGTAGTTCTTTGCTTTTGTGATGAAAGTCTGTAAAAATACCACAGCACTTTTAAAGTTTAAATTAATAGTATATTTCATCACTAGGGCCTAAAGTGACTCTTTTCTACCCGAGTTCAAGTTTTACGATCGAGGCAAAGCCGAGGACGAAAAATGAGCGAGGGTGGAAAAGACAATTTTTGCCTGTGTGATGAACTATATTTTTATCATATTGCACCATGACAACAAACTATCCTGCAAAACTAAAATAGTTTTATTCGTTTTCATTCAAAGATAACCTGTCAAAACTAACTTCAACTTAATAGTCTAAACTACCTTAATTTTCAAAACTAACTTCTAACTTGTTTTCAATTTAATTTGTTAATGGAAACAATCAGCTGTTTAGTAAGTGATTCAATTGTTCCGTACGATTGTGTTAGTGTTAGTGACATTATACTATCGATATGTCAAACTATTAACAATAAGCTACAATTAAACAATCAATACATACTTTCGATAAATGTGGTCGTTTACAATTGAAATTCACAACTGAATTGATAACAGCTAATTTTTACTCCCTAGGGGCCAAAAACGCTTTTTACTACCTAGAGAGTAAAAATGCTACTTTAGACCCGCAATGCATGCATTAAAAACGGCTGTTTGCTGCAGTATGAGGAAAAACAAGTTTTTTTTTGTCTTATTAAAAACAAAAGTTAATGTTAACACTAATGACTATAGATAACTTTCAATTTTGTTGATTATATAGAAGTAAATTATAATTTACATAGACTCTGCTAACACAATCACAAACATTCTACAATGATAATTACAACTAGCCTAATTTTATGATGATAACATGACCGATTTGTCAGTAAGAATAAGTTTATACTATGATAGTGCTGAACATCAGCAAACTCAAGCAGAAACAGACATGAAAAACATATTGGTAAAAAAAAAACGTAAGCTTTTTAAATATGATAGGAAGTCTACAATAGGCCTAGATAGATATTTATTTACTACTACTTTATTTTTACATCAGGTTCAGATACCGTATTTATCTTGGATATTGCACAGTCAATGATATATTTTAACTACAACAGAAATTGATCAACCAATTTAAATTATTTAAGTCAAGAACAACTTTAGATAATTTAATTAACACAAGGATATCTCCTTTCGTTCAAAACCCCCAAATTCTTAAATCTACATTCATATCTGACAATTTTTCTATTCCGTCATAGTGAAAATACAGACAAAACTAACGCATTTGACAAAAGTATGCTTACCTCAATAACACATTTTGGTAGGTTTCCAATTATCACATCAGGGGTTAACACGGACACTGCTTTCTTCAAATTAAAATACTCTGTGACAGGAAATGTCCAAAGTTTTGATTTGAAATCTGAAAATATTATCAAAATGTTATTGAATGAATAGTTACCACCTTTGTAAAAACATGTTTCCCCTAACCTTCAAGCCCCTAATGGTAGATTTTGTGTCTGATGACATGATTAACTTAACAGACAGCCTTCATATACTTCCTTCTTCTCCTATACATTAATAGGCAAGCATGTTTCTTGAAAACCTTTTTTCTCTGTTAACAGAAAATCAAAACAAATGGAAGAAATCCCAATCATATTTTTTATTTACATCAAGGGGTTAAAGAAAATAGAGAAGTCTGTACATAACATATTTTTGGTTGAGTTTAAAGCCATGAAATTAAATGTAGAAATAATATTTTGGTATAAAATAAGAGCCTTAATGGCAAATAGATTGATAGCCATTGACAAATGTCCCGGATTGAGACCAATCGGAATTGGAAAATACCTAAGGCGAATCGTAGCTAAGTGCATAGTAGCATTTGCTGATGATACCAAACATGTTTTAGGTACTAATCAACTATGTGGAGGCCTAAAATCAAGCATAGAGGGAGCAATACATTTTATGCAAACTGTTATGTATGAGAACTTTGACAATAAAAATGAATGGTGCATGATATTAGTTGATGCTTATAATGCCTTTAATAAAATTAACAGAGTAAATGCATTGTGGCAAGCAAGGCTGCATTGGCCTAGAGCTGCCAGATTTATTTACAACACTTATCAAATCCAGACCGTAACACTCATTGTTCTATTTCTTATACAAGAATATTATTCACACATCTTCAACAAACTCTATTTCCAAACTAAACCAATGTTTACAAAAACATGTTTACAAAAATCATCTGACAACAAAACATATTTAAACACAAATAAATCATATGATAAAAAGAACAGACTTAATACAACATCCCGCCTCAAGATGTCAACATCTTTATGAACCTCAGTACCGCCTCGGTTTCTTAATGAACCTTCCGTAACGGGTTACTGTGCCAGCTCCTGGACGATCACGTGAGTTGCATGGACGATTAAGGACCATGGATGAACAGTTTGAAAGAATGCCATCTCCTCCGTAGTACGGTGCAGGAACTAAGAACTTCCTGTTTTGGCGAATGGTTCTCTTGTCAGTTTCCACAAGGTAGGAACGTGGTTCGTTCAATTTCCTGACTACCTTACCGTGTCGACGTAGATCTGTGATCCATAAATCATAAATCTTTATTGGTCATTAAATAACATATGTTACAATAGACATCGTTAACAAAAAAAGGGCCATGCCATACCATGCTTCCAACTTCTAATTCACTTAAACCACTCGCTCCATGTCGTTTATCAAATTGTATCTTGTACTTATTCTGGTACTTATTCTCCCTCTCAAGAAAATTCTTGTTTTCCACAGGATTTCCAACCAAAGTAACAAGTAAGTGAAGTAGATGGAAGATTGTCTCTTAATTTCCTTCCAAACATAAGTTCAGATGGGGAAAAGCCGGTTTCAAGAGGTGAGGTCCGATAAGAAAGTAGGGCAAGTTCAAATGTATCCTTGTTTTTCTTCATTAGCCCTTTTGCTACTTTCACAGCTGCTTCAGCTGCCCCATTTCCCTGATGGTGGTGGGGACTACTTCTGAATGTGGAGAACCCCTTTGCAAACAATTTAAATTCACTTGAGTCAATATGGTGAAACTGTGTCCCACTATCTGAATAAACACGTTGAGGAATTCCAAAACGTGAAAATGTGGTTTTGCAAACCCGAATCACATCTGAAGCCCTCATTCGATGCATTTCCTCAGTTGGTAACGTCAGATTCATCATCGGAGTAGGAGTACACATTACTGCATTATTTTCTCGGTTTGTCTGTCCCAATGGAAAACCTAGTGACTCACCTTCAGTCTTTCTAGAATCCCTTTCTGACATGTAGTTGAATTCACTTTGGGCATCGTTCTCAATGTCCTCATACCTTTGCCTACGAGTAGGCCTATTTCGTTTTGTTCTGCCCTTACTTGACATCATGCGTGGTTTTAGACTTTGTTCGATAAAAAATCCACTAAGCTGCCACCATGTTCTATTTCTTCTACAAGAATATTATTCACACATCTTGCTTCAACAAACTCTATTTCCAAACTAAACCAATGTTTACAAAAATCATCTGACAACAAAACATATTTAAACACAAATAAATCATATGATAAAAAGAACAGACTTAATACAACACTCATGTAAAAGTGTGACTTTTGTATGATAATAATAGCCCCGGTAGGCCTATACATTGCAACTAAAAGATAAGTAATTCAAGTATAATCTTACCATACTCTTTCCCATTGATGGTTCGGAAAATATCAATAGCATGCTGGTGGAACGTGATATCCACGGTGAACCTCTCCTTAGACACTAATCTGCATTCTCCGGTTACTCTTGTTTGAGGCCTAGGCCCAGGAGCAGGGATGGAAACAGATGAGCCAGAAACTGTGGGATTAAGCTGTGGCGGGTTCTCAGTGGTTTTGTTTGATTTTGTCAAATTCAGAGAAGGATATTTTGAACCTGGTGGAGTGTATTTGTAAAACAAACCAGAATTCATGGTTTTCTGAAGTGTGCCAGGAGTGTTTGGTTGATTTAATTTGAAAGATTTAACAACGGTACTAGAAGCGTTTGACGCATTATGATTAAGATTGCTGTTCAGGTTTTGAGTGGCATGTTGATTTATAGTTGATGAATTTACAGGTTGTGTTTTAAAACTTGGCACTGATGTTGATAAAGTTGATGATTGTAACTGGACTCTTTTCTCAGGTGATAAGTGAGCTGCCAATCTTGCTGCTCTTTTTTCAAGAGCTAATCTTCGATTTTGTTCAATTCTCGCCCGTTGTTCAGGTGTCAAACTGGAACTCATTTTGGTTGTACTATTCCTGTAAATAAACAAGAATACGGTATTACCTTATCAAAATCATTTGTTTCATAATCATAAAATAAAAAAATAAAACTAACTTACCAGCTATTATAAATTAAGATAATGAAATTATTTAGATTAACCATAGAGAAGTAAGAAACAGAGGATATACTCAATGGTACGGAACACTGAAGTGGTGTCTATCTCTAGTGCTGGTGCCTAGGGCAAAGTCCCTAAACTAGCCTATATGTGTTTGTCCCCAAACCGGAGAAAGACTTCGTCCATTCCGGTAAGGTTTTGATCTACCGGCTACATAAAAAAGTCTGCAGTTGGAAGCTAACTTACAGATCTGAAAGATGGACAGCGGAACCTGTACCGTAACTTATTTGGTAAAAATATTTGCTGGTCAAAGTAGGTATGCTGTGTACAACAAAAGTTTTGAAAACAGGACACCTCTTTTTAGCTTTCCAATATGGGCCACAGGGTTGCCACCCGTTCCGATTCCGTCAGGACAGTCCCGATTTTGGTTCTTTATACCCTTACTATATAAGCCTATGTTAATTCGGGGAGAGTTACATATATTGTAGTTTTACTAATGTAGGCTATATATATATTTTTTATTAAACATGTTTCAATAAATGAATTAACTTAGTTAGCACACATGAAATTATAGCACTTTATGAAAAAAGTTGTATAGGCCTAAACTTGACAAGTTAAGAGGTTGAAAACATTAACCAAATTGACATGAATGAATTTATTTTGCAATCAATGGAATTCAAAAGGTAATCTTCTAGCCTAGGTAACTTAAATACAGTAGGAAATCAATTTAAATCTTAGCAAAACCAGTAGTTTTAAATGGGTTATCTCACGAATACTAGAAAAAATACCAGGCCTTTTCTAGTATTTGAGGGTTACGGTTAACCCAAAACCTAAGTACAATAATTTCGTCTAGCCTATGCTTAGAAGGCAACATAGGCTATAAGATAAACATTTGAAGTGAACTTTCAAACTTGAACTATAAAGGGGTAGGTATTATGAATTTAAAATGTAGGGGTAACTTACAGTTTCTTAACTGGGCTATGCTAATATTGATTGAAACTATCGAATTGAAAATATTGATTAATAATCGATATTTTAAAATATATCTATTATAAAATTAAACTATCATAACCTAACCTAACCAACCAAACTTGCTGATGGTGAAAAAATCGCACGAAGGTTTACTAATCAAATCGATAGTTTCAATCAATATTAGCATAGCCCAGTTAAGAAACTGTACCCAAATGTAGTCGAACCTGAAAATCTGATCGTTTAAAAATAACATTGCCAGAATTAAAAACTTGTGAAACTAATTTTTAGAATGCTGAGTGAGAACGAGAAGTCATCTTCGCTGACAATACGTTGCCTAGCCTAACTTAAGTTACGTTTAGCATAAATGAACTAATATTCTATAAGAATTATCTTGAGAATTATCATTCTTGCAAATGAAAGTATATTATTAATTGCTGTAAAATGGTAATGCCGAAAATAAATAAATACAAAAACAAAATTTTACCTGACGGCCTAACCATAGACATAACATAACCTGGAATTTTGTTTTGTTTTGAATGAAGAATAAATAATAAAAAAAAACAGTCAAGTCAAGACAGGATTGTGTTTGACGTTTATGAAATTGAGTGACCGCATAGAGTACAGAGTTGCAATAGTTACAATTATTGCACATTACATTAACAACTAACCGTGAAGTTAAAAGTAGTGTTAGGGCCCATGGTGGAAGGAAAAACATAGGTGTGCTATTCCTCCCATCGTATTCTGACGTCACTGCGTCACTCGGATTGCAAACAAAAGATCACCTGATTGTAATTGTCAAATTAGTATGTATTTGTTTTTATTTCATTGGTATTGTTTTTATAATAATAAAAAATAACAACAAAATCAAAACAAACACATATACTAATTTGACAGTTACAATCAATTAATCTTTTGCTTGCATTCCGAGTGACGTCAGAATATGATGGGAATAGCAAATGGCACACCTAAATAGTTACAATTATTGCACATTAACTAACCGTGAAGTTATAAGTAGTGTTAGGGCCAGGGCACGGCCGCCTCCTGCCTACAAGAAAAGAATGGGACATACATACATCTTGTTACATGTATGTCATTTCTCATGTATTATTTTGTAAAATGGTGATTGACATTGAAAAAAAAAAAATAAATAGGTACATTTTTGTACATTACATAGGTTTACGACCTATAATTTGCGAGCTTTTACCACGGGATTATTTATGTAGTCTGCTGTATTGTATTGTAACAAACAATTTGATAACATAGCAATGGTTTTCGGTCATATGGGACCACGGCCACCTTTAATTCCAGGCCACGGCCTGGTTGAATTGGCAACGTCACATTCGCAAGTGGCGTTTTAGTGTCAGACGTCCCATAAGATAAAATGGAAGACAGGTGACACCAGCTCATTAATTTGCGTAAAATTCATTTAAATATAAATTTATTAAAATATTGAAAATAAAACATACGGAATTGAAAACCTAAACAATATAAATTGAAAATCTATATAACTACATTTAAAGTGGAGTCAATATTGTCATAGTCCAGTAACCAATCTTTCGTAAATACATAAATACCATTAGCTGCTTCCAAACAAAAACAGCTGTTACAACACCACTTGCGACGTTGCCAGTTCGAAGGCCGCGGCCTGGAGTTAAAGGCGGCCGTGTTACAACCCTACTTGCGACGTTGCCTCTTCGAAGGCCGCGGCCAGTAGTTGCCGTGTATGGGACCCACCAGGTTAAGCTAGGATTTCGTTGATTGTACTCGATGGAATTGTGATTCTAAAAAAAACGATAAATCTGATTGGATTGTCAAATTGTACATTTTACAGCTGCTGTGTTGTGAGAGAGAACAGATCTCGTTCTGTTCTGTTCTGTCTCTGTCTGTTCTGTTCTGTTCTCTTCCCGTTCTCACGTCACGTCACGTCTCTTCTCTTCTCTTCTAAAGTTTCTGTTCTGATTCTGTCTGTCTGAGTTGAGTTCTTCTATTTGCTGTAGCTGTTTCTGTCTGTTACTGGAAGGTAATAACTTTTTCACTCACGAATATTCTGTATGATTAATTTTACACTTAATTACTATTTAAAGTTACATATTTACTTGTTTGTTGAAAGAATTTTCTTTTGTTATACCACACCACTATTAAGTTTTCGATACAATCTCTGTTTACTTCAGTGTTATTCCATCCAGAGGTTATATTTATATTATTGAGTATGTACGTCATTAAAAGTTTCTAGTCATTAAAAGAAAAGCAGCTAGGCCTACGGTAAGTTTATGTTTAAGTTTACTGAACTTAAGAATTTCTTAATCGATTATTTTTATGAGCTAATTAATTGATCTTTTTGGATATTCATTTACCTAAATTGCAAATAACCACAACTTTCAAAAACTAATTCTGACGTTTATGTAACTTAATTGCCTAGTTAGCTAGCTATAGGTACTTAGTCATCAATGGTATGAAGTAGGCCTAATAATCAAGGTATTTTGTTGTTAATTTCCGCTAGTTTATCCAACTGTTTAGTAACTTATTGCTACAATTTGTTTTATTCCTTCATCATGTTCAGTGTTTTTAACTATTGTTGTCTCTTGCCCACTCATGTTGCTGTTGTTTTGTTATTTTATCCTTAAGTACTTACTTATGCCTTTATTTATTCATCCAAAGGTAAATACACTAAATTTACATAATACCATGACAGGTTGTTTGACAAAAACGAGAGCAAGTACCTACGAAAAATAAGAGCAACAAAGTTGTATCAAATAATCCAAATTCAAATGTAGATGTTTGTTTATATGCCGACGATACCTCGCTTTGTGTTTCAGCTAGGGACGTCGCTTATCTAGAAACAATAGAGTTTGATAGCTCCAATTAATAGAGCTTTGCAATGGTTCCAAAGCAACAAGCTTCTTCTAAACTGCAATAAAAAAATGCAGTGCAGTTATTTAGAGGCAGTTTGGGGCTGTGGGAGCGTGGACGAACAAAGTTTGTCTTTCGTCTTCAGAAAAATGCTCTAAGAGCAAGGCTGCTCATATTACCAGATAACCTACTAACTTTACTAGATTACTGAATGGAGGGTGTATTAGGTATTAGAATATCCCGTTGTACTTCTTTCAAGCCTCTCTTCAAGGAAAACAATATTCTTACTAAATTCCTTGTTGATGGCCCCTGGATTACTTCAATTTATTTTTTGTTGATGTGAAGATAAGATTGTTGAAGCTTCGAGCTTGCAACTGCGTCAAACACATTAATAATTAGGCCTATATAACATGCTTTAAAACGTATGTAAGCATAGGCCTAATTTATTTACAAACATTTAGATATTGTTTTTATTATGTTTCTATTTTACATTCTGTTTTTATGTTTGTGTTGTGCGTGTCTTAATTATATGTTTGACATAGTTGCAAGCTTTAAAGATGTTGTCCTCAGAATGAAATATGTAGGCCTAACCCGTTTCAACTGAATTTGACAGAGATAATGTAAATCCAGTTTTTGTCCTAACAGAACAGTTCAGGAGTCAGAAACATGAACTCCTATTCAGATTAAACTTATAAGCCAAATTGTTTGTCTAAATGTAAATCTATATATTAATTTGAAACTGTTTTTCTTTGTCACAGCTATTTCGAGAGAACGGCTGGGCGTAGAAACTCGGTAGAGGTGTCTAAAGAAAGGTCTTGGTCTGTAGATGAGCCATCAAAAGAGAAACATGGTGAATTCCCTTGGGGCTCTGCCCCCGTGGCCTTTAAATTCCCATCCCATGTTATTCTTATGGAGGGAAACGGGGTTTTTGTCACAGCTAATTTGAGAGAACGACTGGGCGTAGAAACTTGGTAGGGGTCTCTAAAGAAAGGTCTTGGTCTGTAGATGAGCCATCAAAAGAGAAACATGGTGAATTCCCTTGGGGCTCTGCCCCAGAAGCCTTTAAAGTTGCCTCTTCAGATTTGTTTACATTACGACCATATGCATAATTCTGCACTACCTTTTAATGCAACAGCTGTTAATATTTAAATTGTGATCTATTGAATTTGTCAAAATGAAGTACAGTATTTGCAATGGTTTTATCTGATTTTAAAATTGATTTTATTCTGCATTGTGTCATGTTTTGCAATATAATGTCCTATTACCAAATCTGTGGAAAATCCTAATATCACAGTAACTTTTAAAATTATTTCTTATGGAGTTAACTTATATCTATTGTATGGGTTGGTTTCTGCCTTTTTACCACTTCTTGGAGATTGTACGTAGGTGATATTCTTTGGCATATTGCATCTGTAGACGAAACTTGGGTTGGTGTAATTATTACAATGGAAAAGAGCGAGAAATCCTGGACAATTTGATATAGGCTAAAAATAAAACTGAATTAACACTGTGCTACATTTCTTGAGCAATCATTGAAATAACCGATTTGCAAACAATGGAAACATAGAAATAGTCATAGAACACAACCAAGTAGAAGAAATAGAAATAATGTTTTTTTTCACACTAAAACGCTCAAAAAACAAGATCAGCTTTTTGAAAAAAAGATAAGATATTTACAAAAGATTTTGATTGTCTAACTTTGTGTAGATCGTGAGTATTTCCATAATCTTTGAGTCGCCTGTAATGCTTCGCAATTGCTCGAATTCGAGCAACAGGTACACTAGTTTTTTATTATTCTGATAGGTACCTAGAAGTCATTTAAACGTGTGCAGTCCCTCACAACAAACAAAAGATCTAATCAACTAAAATTTTATTTTTAAATTTGTTTAGTACCTACTGTATAGGCTAAATGTATTTTTGTAAAGTCTGGCGAAGTTATATTGTTAAATAATTAATTAAGTTTAATGTTCAATAGTATAGCCTATCCTGAATAAAATGCCGTCATCAAAAGTGAACGAAGACATCCAGCGAGAAAGAGAAAATTGCAGTTTTGATGTCAGTGAGCTGACAAATTTTTTAGATGGAGGTCCCGAGAAAACTAAGGAAAGAAAGGAAATGGGTGAGTTTGTGTTAAAAAATAAGTAATCTAACCTGTAGCAATGCACTAAAACCGAGCAGATGCAATCAAACTTTTGTTTAAGCTAAACTTCAAGTGTAATTTTAACCACAGGATTTTGTCATTTGAACCCCCTTGTATTACTTGATAGGCCTACTTACTTACTTGATACTTGAATCCTGCATCTTTGACAGATCTAGTCTGATAGATTGCGTCATAGAAATCAGAAATCAGAAATATTTATTTGTCATTGGACATTACAAAAATGCATTGACAATTGTCATGTGTATATAGCATGGCTACAGTCAGGCTAGACATTACAACTAACATGTCCAATATGTTAATTTTTTTTGGTGTCAGCTCTGTGGATTACCAACAATATGGAGTGTGATTTAACAATAAATACATTTTGTAAATAAATATGAAAATTTAACAAAGAATAAATTATATGAACCAACAACAAAATACAGATATTAAGATAAAAATTAACAATTGCAACAAATTTTGATGGACATTCAAAATATAATTTATAATATAATAAAATAAAACTATATACAATATTTACAAAGCCATAAAAATAGGCTACTATAAAAAAACTATATATTGTACTATATACAATATACAGTGTGATCAACTCAAGGAGGCCACCATTGGGATATCGGAAACGGTTAGAATTAGAGAAAACTTTAAATGGATGACATTCCTTTATTTTTTGTAGCAGTTAAAAATATTATTTTAGATTTTTGAAATTCAGCCGCCATTTTCCAAAATGGCGGCCAACTTTGAAATTTCTTATGGAACACCCTGTATTTGATCATGTTTTCGGATAGAACAGGCAATTTAAAAACTTTTTTATTCTTGACATTTTTTCGATAAACCCACTCGTTTAGGAGTTACAGCCTATGGAAAAATGACTTCCGGTGTACATTTACACCATGTAGCTCCAAAACAAGCAGGTTTATAGCGAAAATGCGAAGATTAAATAAGTCAAATGAGTCTTAAAATTGCATCCACATTCCAAAAAGACCATAAAATCCGTTAAAAATATGAATTCTGTTGTTTTAAAAAATGGCGGCCATTTTCCAAAATGGCGGCAAACTTGAAAAGTGGAAAACTGTGTATTTTATGGTCTTTTTGGAATGTGGATGCAATTTTAAGACTCATTTGACTTATTTAATCTTCGCATTTTCGCTATAAACCTGCTTGTTTTGGAGCTACATGGTGTAAATGTACACCGGAAGTCATTTTTCCATAGGCTGTAACTCCTAAACGAGTGGGTTTATCGAAAAAATGTCAAGAATAAAAAAGTTTTTAAATTGCCTGTTCTATCCGAAAACATGATCAAATACAGGGTGTTTCATAAGAAATTTCAAAGTTGGCCGCCATTTTGGAAAATGGCGGCTGAATTTCAAAAATCTAAAATCATATTTTTAACTGCTACAAAAAATAAAGGAATGTCCCCCATTTAAAGTTTTCTCTAATTCTAACCGTTTCCGATATCCCAATGGTGGCCTCCTTGAGTTGATCACCCTGTATAGTACTAGTATATAGTAAAACTACGCAAGAGTACTATAGTACTAAGTAATCAATAGTCAATTTTTTTACTATAGTATATAGTATTTTTTTATTGTTGTATATATATTGTACTATATATTGTATTGTATTGTGAGAGAGGTGGACTCAGAGTTCTAGCATTTCAACCGAAGCTTATGTGCACCTAAAACCCCTTCAATTATGTCACATTCATCAATTTAAAAAAATAATTTAATAATCATTTAACACTTTGAGTCCCAGGGATTTAGGATCAATGATTTATTTAAGCCTTATAGTAGACATCCAAAATAGGGAATAAGCTATTACCGTAGGTCTCATGGTAAGACCTCAGAGAAAAAATTTAGAGGTAGGAAAGGCGTTGCAAAAACTCAAATAGGCCACCTCAAAGGTATTCAATAGGCCTACTTAACAAGATAAGACATTGTTGATACTATTTTTTCTATTATAACATGTATTATTGGTTTTAGAGGACTTTTTCCTTAATGACCCAGAGCTGAAGGATAAAGTTCCTTCCGAATACTTAAGCCACAAGGAAAAGTACCAGGAAGCGGTTCGTAAATCTTGCATCTTATTCCGGAAAATCGATGAATGGCAAAACATAAGTAACAAAGGTGGAGGCGTCGGTATGTATGAGTAAGTATGAGCATTTAGAATCTGTACTATCATATTTAAAATCTGTAACATGAAATTGGTAAAAAATGTGTTTTCTACAACAGATTCAGATACAAACCAAATCTTTAAGTTTTTTCGCTCAATGTGCACTATATAAGGGAGCACAATTTTATAAAGTTATTATAGTTACTCACTCTTCGCAATTCAGATGTATTGCACTACGTCCATTACAGAGACCCCATTGTCGAATGCGTACACGACAATGAAGTAAACTCTGAAAAAACAGCTGTAACGCATCTGGATTGCTAAGACAGTAACTAATACATCTGTTTACTTACAAACAATCTGACACACTTTAAAATCAGCATATTTTTAGTCTTCCTGTTTAATCTTTTGTTCAACTTAATCGTATTTTTAACAGGTCGGTGTTGGGCGGTGCTTTAGGCAGTGCCATTGTCAAGGAAGGTATCCCATTCTCCCTTCACTACGTCATGTTCGTGCCCACGCTGATGGGACAGGCCACCATGGAACAACAGGCTTACTGGATCGGCAGAGCCTGGAACTGTGAGATCATGGGAACGTATGCACAGGTGAAATAAAATTAGTATTAACTGATTGCGTAGTAAACGGGTGGAATTTGATTATTAAATATTTTTTTTATAAAATAAAAATATACATTTTTTGTCTTATTTAAGCCAGTGGCATCTTTAATTTTTTTTATTTTGGAGCAGTCAACTCGATTTTAGATAGGATCATAATTTTAGCCCTATGACAAATAGTATCTGGCTGAATAATCATGCTTCAAAGGAATGAACCAGATTTCGAAGCATTCACTTTTACTTTACTTCTTCATATTAGTAAGATGAATTTTGTGTTTTATGGCGTTTTTGTGGTGTAGTAGTACAATCTCAACAGTACCTAATTATAATACTGAAGGATATATTAAAATGGATAACGTTGACTCGTTTAGTGGTTACAGTTTTTCAATCAGTTAAATTATGTTCACACAATATGACGAGCTGAAATGCAATATGACAAAACGATTCCAGACTGAATTGGGGCACGGAACATTTATTCGAGGATTGGAGACAACGGCTCACTACGATCCAAAGACAGAAGAATTTGTCCTCAATAGCCCAACACTCACATCGTATAAGTGGTGGCCTGGAGGGTGTAAGTATATAACAAATTTCTTTTGAAATTATTACACTAAATAATTGGTAATAATTTTTAAACTCAAAGACATAGAACAATGATTGTTTACTATGAATCCGCAATATCGGTGTTTGTAATTTCATATCATCAGTGGTTAGGGCGCGGGACTCCGGTTCCTGGGATCCCGGGTTAAAATCCCGCCAAATCACCATGTATTCTATCTAAGTGATAATGCAGTAACGCCTAGGTCTAGCCTGAAGGAATTTGAAAACAATTCCGGGCTCTTGCCTAGCGTCCTAGGAAAAAAAAAGTTCATATCATACTTTACACAACATCTTTGAAAACAGAAAATTTTACAGTAAAATTACACCTCTGATGATTTATTACCTCTTGGCGATGAAACATTCTGTTTTGATTTAACATTTAATAGAACAGCATTGACTTTGGGTACTGAAGTTGTATCAATATTTTAAGGTAACAGTTACAGTAGACTCCCTCTTATCCGGACACCTTTTAACTGGACATCGGTTTAACCAGACTATACTAAGCGGAAATGACATCTCTTTAACTGGACAATTTTTATCAGCACATTAGTTTAACCGGACTAGATCGTCAGGAAGTGGGCAGTACTGAAACTACTGTTCTCGTGGGAAAGATTTGAGACCAGTGATCACGTGTCTAAATACAATGCTCTCATAAATTTAAGTCGAATATCACAGTAAACAGTCTGTTTTAATAAGTTTTTGGGGACGTCGGTTTAATCGGAAAACCCGTTATCCGGACTGGCCTCGGTCCCGAGGAGTCCGGATAAGAGGGAGTCTACTGTAATAGCTTGAGGCACTTAAAGAAACCTATAAAAAAAACTACAAACATTTTTTTCTTATGCCTAAGGCACTCGCCAAGGCTCGTACTTTAAATTTTCTACTCGTGTCTTAAAGACTATACGTGATCGTTGCGTAAAGTACTATTTCATGTTCAGTCTATCTCATACGTAAACCTTTTGTTCAGCAACTACGTCTGGAGCTTGAAACAGATTTCTTAGTTTCCTTATTATGCTTCATTATCCATTTTCATTCGTCAGCTCAAAAGTCTTCCTGAATACTTTACATATTTTCAAATGTTTTAAATTTTTTCACATTTTTTAACATTGAACATTTTTATCATACAGTGGGACACACAGCCAACTACGCCATTGTCATGGCTCAACTGCACTCGGCTAATGTTTGTCACGGCATTCACGCCTTCATTGTACAGCTCAGAGACGAGGAGACACATGAGCCCCTACCAGGTAAAAATATACTGTCTTTTCATTTGTGTCTAACAAATAGTAGCTAGTAACTAACTTTTTCACAGGATATTTGCTACTGTAGATAAATGAATTGTTATAAGTAGTATAAGAGTATCACAGACTAAACTAAACTAGCTGTTGATAGAAGATGATGATGTCCAAACTCCAAACGACTACTGGTTTTTAAAATGATTTTGCCGCGATCCTGCATGCAGACGATGACGTTTCCGTTCTCATCTTCTCTACTCATTCTCTCAAACATTCTTAAACTATTCCTCTTCTCAGCTCTTCATTCCTCATTCTGTCTTGTTTTACCTTTTATCCCTCTTATAAACTTCATCTCCCAGCATGTAGCAGTAGCCTATGGCTAGCACTAGGAACTAGTGGTTAATTGTTGTACATACATTGTTTTTTTTTTGTTTGTGTAAAAGTTTGAGTAAGAAATGTTACAGTGATTGCACAATAGCTTACTAATGATGAAATATTTAAATTATCACATTAACAGCCATTTTCACAGTTTTTGGCTTTTTATGGGTTTTTTAATGTTAGATTAACCAAGGTTACAGTTATCCGTGGTCTCCCTCCCCCGGCTATTACCCCGGGTAATCGAGGTTCTACTGTACATGGAAAAATATTTGATTACTAGTTTTTTGGAGTTATAGTCTGCAATCACTGTCTTTAAGAGTTTTAAGGTGGCCATAGATCAAAAGTTTGTAAAAATTTCTACCTGGTACTAAACTTTTTAATTTGTGCTAATTTTTCACAGGTATCAAAATAGGTGAGATTGGTGCTAAACTAGGAATGAACTCAATAAACAATGGCTATCTTGGATTTGAAAATTTCAGAATACCTCGAGAACACATGCTTATGAAGAATTCAAAAATCATGCCAGTGAGTATATTATTATAAAAAACTTAACTAAAAAATACACTTTAAGAACTTAACTAAGACTGATTAGGGGTGGTTGGGAAAAAATAGTGGTACCGTAATACATTGTGAGCAATTTTTGAACCAAACTAAATTATAAGCTGGTGGGAAATCATCATGGCTGCCAAACTGATACACAGAAAACGGCTAGTTAGCTATCCAAGACTGTTGTGATTAGCCAAGATAAACTTTACATTTTCCCATTTTTGTTTGTAGGATGGAACGTACATAAAGGCGCCCAGTAACAAGTTGACGTACGGTACAATGATCTTTGTGAGGGTCGCTCTTGTAAAGGGGGTGGCCAGTAGTTACCTAGCCAAGGCTGTTACCATAGCAACAAGGTACAGCGCGGTGAGACGCCAGTCTGAGATGAAGCCTGGGTGAGTTACCAGCTGTTTAGAACAAATTAATGAATAACCGTTACTGTAGCTCTGCAGAACAACCAATAGTATGTGTGTTAGCATCCATTTGTTGTGATTTTGATTTAGAAAAAAAACATACATACCCTTTTCTGTTCTAGGTTGTTCTCGACTATCCTCCACATTTTCTTTTCCTCCAACATCGGCTATCCCACTCGTCTTCCATCCTTCAAAACCTCATCTGCCTAGATCTTCCTGTCGGCCAAATTCCCTTTATCGTCATCAACTACATTTTTGTTGGAACTCTTGCTCACAAGCCCTTGTCAATGTAATTTATCTACCATGCATTCTGTCTCATTCTCTTTCGTTTACCTTCCATACTTTTTTCTATAAGTAAATTAAGTTTTTAACATACTGTGGAGCAAGCTGGTTTATTGGTAGAGCTTGGGGCTCAGGTCCCCAGTTCAAATCCCATCAATCATCAATGACTTCAGTCATGTGATAATGCAGGGACCGGGTTAGAGTTTAGGGCTCTTAAACGTGAAGTTGGTACATGTTGCAGTGAGAGAGAGCCCCAGATACTGGACTACAGAACACAGCAGTACAAGCTGTTCCCTGCCCTAGCCACCAGTCTGGCCATGCTGTTCTCTGCTAACTGGCTGTGGGACATGTACAACAATGTCACTGGCGAGTTGGAACAGGGGGACATGGAACGGTTGCCTGAGGTTAGTTATGCACCTGAATAAGACTTTATAATTCGTGTTTTTACTACCCTAGTGCAAAACGTAGAATTTTAAGGCATAATGTGGACAGGATATTTGAAAATTTGACAATATCTTTTTTCAGCAATCACTCATTGCGTTCTCAGGAGATAATGATCTGAATGAGAGACGTAAGAACGATATCTTCTGTACCGAAATTAAAAAGTTATTTTGGTTCTAATGGCAATGCTATTGTGGCAAAAACATTAGAAAAACTTACTTTTATGAAAAAATATATTAATTCGTTTTTTACAAGTTGAGGTGAAAGCCTGAGGTATATTAGAATGACAACCATTGAGCTAAATTTATTAAACATATTTACCCGAATTTATATCGTTGCCCAGCTGCATGCCATCGCATGCTGCCTGAAGGCGGTGTGCACGAGTGACGCGGCACAGGCTATAGAGGTGTGTCGGCGTGCGTGCGGTGGTCACGGCTACATGACGTGCAGCAACTTCCCCGCCAGCTACGGTCACACGACGGCCGCCGAGACTTACGAGGGGGAGAACACTGTGCTGCTACTACAGACTGCCAGGTGTGTAAGAGTAAATTTTCAGTTTTCACACCCTTAGCATTTTTGATTCAAGGGACCGGTCAAAACCATGGTCTTGTTGTATTAACCTTTTTTTCATAAGCATTGAAAAAAAACATAATTTTTGTATTTGAATAAATAAATTAGGGGATGTTTATAGCCCGATGGCAATATGTTGGGGCTATCAGCCGCCTGGTGGCACAAGTGTGGTGCGTGGTTTGGAGCTATCAAACCTGAGATGAGATAACAAACATGATAACAATCCAAATTATTGATAAAAGGAGTTGCTACAATTATGTTTAACTACCACAGAATATTCTTAAGCATTAAATTACCAAACTGAATTGATTACTTGACCAACCGCTAGCTATTTCGCACCTAGTAGCTTATACCAAACGAAATGGCATTCAAAGGGAATTGATAGCATTACCACCTTCTGCCAGTCTATATATTTTGCGCTTATGAGTTTACCAACTAAAATGGCAATGAAGGCTGGGTCCTCTTGTATGAGAAGAATCTTTAATCTATGTGTCCTAGGTACCTGATCAAGGCGTGGCACCAAGTAGGAAGTGGAGAAATGATGCCTCCGACAGTGAAATACCTGCTGAAGAAACCAACGTCGAAACGGTGGGAAAACAAGATGGCGTGCTTCATCAAGGCGTACCAACAAGTCGCTGCTGGGTGGGTTTTCATTGTTTAAATGAGCTTGGTTGATCTGATTGTGCCCTGAAAGGTGCTAACTAACAGTTATTGACTGTAGGTGGTTGTTATACCATGTTTGTTTCAACTTGTTGAAGTCTGTTCACAGTGCTTATGTTAAGTTGTGTTAGCTTGAACAAATAGGCCTACTTCAACTTATATTTTTTAACAAAAATGTGTGCCGGGAAAGTATTGTTTCTGTGTTATAGTGATACTGGCTTAAATACCCATTGATAAGTGGGTCTTAATATGTTAATGAACTAGTCAAGTGAAAATGTTTTGTTCTTCACTCATCTGTCATTCTATTCACCTTAATATGTGCAACCATTTGTGCGTTTATTAATCAATTATCTTATACTGTATTGGTTTTTAATTTATGTATAAGTATAATATTACAAAGTCGTAATTTAAAAAAAAATGTAATTCATTAAGTAACTATTAAAGTTTATCAGGGTAATTAGCTTTATGTAGGTACAGTAAATAATATAACTAATCTGTAATCTGTTAGTAATGTGGCTCGATGTGCTTCTACAATCGAGAGAAAGATCAGAACTGGAACTTCCACAGAAGATGCTTGGAATGAAACGTCAGTCCAGCTAGTGCAGTGTGCTGAGGTTCGTATAACTGCTTGCTATTTAGAGTTCAGAACCTTTTTACTTTTTTGGAACAAAACCAATCTGAAAATTAAATTCATGCTGAAACCCACTCAACTTCTTCTGGAACAGTCTTAATGTTATCCTTGCCAAAAATATGATGTGACAAAGTACTCTGAGGAATATTGTATTTTATAAAATTGCTGAAGAAATTCTGTACTATATAATTTGCAGCTTTATATCTTTTAAAACTTAAATTGTATACCCTCAACCTTTGTTCATACACAATACATTAAGGCAGAAAGTAGTAACTATCTTCAAAAACTTAAGGATTTTTATTTTTTTTTGGGAGGCTTACTTGTGTAAGGCTTACCTGAATGGGAAAGAGTCCAAACTTAGACAAGGGACACAAAACTTAATCGCAGAGGATACGCGTCCGGTAACCGGACGTGGATTAGGTGTCTGGCAGTTACTGTCATAACCTAACCTAACCAACCAAACTTGCTGATAATGAAAAAAATCAAATGAAGGTTCAATTCTCTTCATAACATAAAATTATAAATGGCAAAAATTCTAACAAAAGATGTACAGTTAAGAAGAAATTACATTCAAAGCAAAATCTGGGACAAAAAGTTAAAGAAACTGATGGGTTTCGAACCAGGGACCTCTTGGTTATCAGCCGAGCACTCTATCCACTACACCACGAACAACGCTGGCCGAATACCGTATCGTTGTGGTAATGGCGTTTCGGGACCCCACAACCCGGTGACGTCACTACCGGACGCGTATCCTCTGTGAAACTTAATACCTTGCACAAAACATTAGAATATTTTCAATGTATCCCACAACGTTTTCCCCTAACAAACATATGACTTAAAGAGAGAGTTTTCTTCAGTCCTCTTAAAAAAAAACTCACTCGCTAACTCATAATTTTCTTAATTGAAAGTGCTGCCGGTCAGTGTCTTACGTTTTGTGTAGTGTAAAGTTTTGTGTTTCTTGTGCCTGTTGGAAACTGTAAATACCTAGGCTCTTGTGCCGTATGTTACACCTATATCTTCTAGAACTGTTAGTGAATACAACTGTTAAAAATTTAGTTAACATTTTTCTACAGGATTACGAGTAGCCTTGTTAATTGTGTAATGGTGATTGTTGTTGTAGGCCCACTTTAGAGCATTCATTGTGCAGACATTCGTAGACACTCTAAACACAGCCAAGGCTACCATGTCACCTGAGCTACACGAGGTGTTGACTCAACTTTGTGACCTCTACACTGTCTACAGGATTACGAGTAGCCTTGTTAATTGTGTAATGGTGATTGTTGTTGTAGGCTCACTGTAGAGCATTCATTGTGCAGACATTCGTAGACACTCTAAACACAGCCAAGGCCACCATGTCACCTGAGCTACACGAGGTGTTGACTCAACTTTGTGACCTCTACACTGTCTACAGGATTACGAGTAGCCTTGTTAATTGTGTAATGGTGATTGTTGTTGTAGGCTCACTGTAGAGCATTCATTGTGCAGACATTCGTAGACACTCTAAACACAGCCAAGGCCACCATGTCACCTGAGCTACACGAGGTGTTGACTCAACTTTGTGACCTCTACACTGTCTACAGGATTACGAGTAGCCTTGTTAATTGTGTAATGGTGATTGTTGTTGTAGGCTCACTGTAGAGCATTCATTGTGCAGACATTCGTAGACACTCTAAACACAGCCAAGGCCACAATGTCACCTGAGCTACACGAGGTGTTGACTCAACTTTGTGACCTCTACACTGTCTACAGGATTACGAGTAGCCTTGTTAATTGTGTAATGGTGATTGTTGTTGTAGGCTCACTGTAGAGCATTCATTGTGCAGACATTCGTAGACACTCTAAACACAGCCAAGGCCACCATGTCACCTGAGCTACACGAGGTGTTGACTCAACTTTGTGACCTCTACACTGTCTACTGGATGTTGAGGAATCTTGGTGACTTTTTAATGGTAAACATTAGACAAAATTAACCTTAATGCATTTCCTAGTATTAAATTAAAGTAGTGCAAACAGCTTGAAAACAACTGCAAACAGCTGAGCTTGAAAGCTTGAGTAATCAAGTCGTTCAATTCATGTGATATGGGAAAAATTTCTGTAAAACATGTAATGACCATAATAAATAGCAATCGATAATTTTTTATGGCTCCTGATTGTGAAATATGTTTGTCATGTTGACATAATCTGAGGAGATTGTCACAAAAGAAATTGCAACTAGTAGTTTTGTTGGGAGACGACCTTGCTCAATGTGCTTGACAGTGTTGCCTTATCTTATGTGTTGCCACAATCTCGGGAAAGGATCACAGTGTTGCCGTGTTTGCAGAAGACAAAAATAACCAAACTATGAGATCTGCTAATAGGTATTCTGGGATCACACGAGTTGCTCACAGGTGTTCTGTGATCCTATGAGATACCCACAGGCATTCAGGGATCATAGAGGTGTTCGGTGATTGCATGAAATGCTTACAGGTGTTATGTGACCACAATAAATTATCACGGTGCCACAGCGCCATCAGTGAGATAATTACATGAATGTTTGTTTGCCAAATGAATATATTTCTATAAAAAATCTTTGATGAAAATTCCCTTTTTTTATATTTTATTACTCATTTTGATTTCCAGTCAAGTTTTTAACATTGGTATATTTATTTCAATTCTAGACGATAAGTGAACCGTACTAATCACCGAAAATGCTGTCTATTCAAAATAAATTGTTAACAATAATATTCAACTTAAATCTCGATCTAAAATCTCAGTCTCATACACCTCTAAGGAAAAACACATTTATCAATCGTCAATTTTTTATATCAGCTGGTAATGGTGTAGACACTTAGCAGATTAGAGTGCAATATTTTTAATTGGCTCCGTGAACCTACTGGGTTAGGTATTTCTGTGGTTCTAAGCAAGTCCCCAGGTAGCCTTATGTAAATAAACAATATACTGTAATAAATATTAAGTGATGTTATCCTTGATTGGAACTTAATCAGGATAAAGAAGTAGGGACTGGTCTTCTCTGGCATTTTACATTTTATTTTTTAGTAAAACTTTACCTCCCAAATTAGTTTAATTCAACTTAAGTGAGTGGACTATTATATTCATAGAGAAGACCTTTCTTGGTAATTTGTATATCCATTTAACCCTTAAAAAAATTTTTCCAAACAGTTTTCACCGAATCAGTAGAGATGTTTGAAAGGACTATTATTTTTTAATGTAGCCCTATACAACAAAAACTGAATATTTTAACATTGATTTTTACATCAAACTCCCTCGTTGACAGTTCTCAGCCCTAAAGCCGGCCAATGTCCAAGGGCTTCAGGCGATGCAAGACTCTCTGCTACAAGCCATCCGTCCCAACGCTGTCAGTATCGTCGACGGCTTCGACATCAACGATGCAATCATCGCATCTCCCCTGGGCGCCTACGACGGCAATGTTTACCAACGACTGTTTGACGAGGCCAACAAAAGCCCTCTGAACGAACAGCCGGTAGACGAGTCGTTCCACAAGTATTTGAAACCATTCTTAAAATCGAATCTGTAGTGGCAACAGAAGTTTGCCAAAGTTTCATGTCGATAACAAGTTTGGTTGGTGATGAATGGCCTTTTTAACATTAATAGACAACTTGTCCTGCTCAAAGTCATTCCTATCTTTTTGCAGTGACAAAGTTTTTTTTGTGATTGATCGTTACGTTTTAGATTTAACCAGAATATATCCCTCCAAGTGCATTATGCAGAGTTGTAAATTGTTGTTTAATGTGTAATTAATATCAGGGTTTTGCTTTATGATATCTACAACACCATCAAACAATATGAAAAGAAAACCTTGGGAGTCACACTATAAGTCCTAACATTCCCATGTGAAGAATTTTAAAGAATACATAAATACCAATTCATATATACCATGTTTAAAAAAAAATATATTCACAGAACTAAAGTTAAGGGCATTGAAGTTCTAAAACCTAATATGGCTTTGGTGAATAAATCGCTAGAAATATTGTTTGTGTACTTAAAAAGAGTTTAGAATTATGATTAAATAATAATATATATTTTTATAACTTGGCTGTTGTTTAGTAGGGAATTTAGGTTAGGTTATTTTACTCCTATGTATTATTTCCTTTTTAACAGAATACTATGTTTTATAACTTCAGTAATAATACTTTATTGATATTACTGATATATTAGTACCTTAAAGTGCATTTATATATGTTAAATTTTATTTTATTTTATTTTTGTTATTTTCATACTCTTATTTTCTATACCATTGTTGTTGTTTAGTTAGTTAGACAATTTAATTCTATCTAGTTTACCCATAAAAAGTAGTTTACATGATTGCCAATTATAAATTATTAATCATCGAGATGGGGACGATTGATAGGAGACAATAAAATACATGTTACTATAGGCGTGATGGTTGTTTTATGGTTAACAGGATAAAACTTCAGTATTAAACCAAATATGACTCAGTACAGTATATTTGAATTTGTATTAATAACATAAAACATAACATACCAATGTGTATACCACTTTTTTTACTGTAATGAAAAAGCATTCCATTGTTATTATCTTCTAATTTAAATATAATCATTTGCAATGCTTTTAAGTTTAAGTTAATAAAACTATCCTGCACCTTATAGACTGAGGTTTTTAATTTGTTTACAACAAATGTGTATTTGCTCTTGCATATATGGTTTAGGATTAGCACAACTTCAACGATAGCACTTTTTATCAAACACTGATATGTCATTGAACATCCAAACAAAATATTTTTGGGTGACTGGTACATCATACTGCATGGCTCAATTAGGATTAGATACTTGTTATATTACCAAATGTTTATTTTTGTTGAATATTGAAAAAGGAATATAAATAAATATAGAACATGGAAATACATTGTCTTATTCCACATTTTGTCATTTTGATGCACTAACTTAAAGTTTTTGAACTACATTGATTAGTAAATTAACTTTGTTCCACCATAGTGTATCATAGTTCCACCCCTTGTCTTATAAAACACAAAAATCAAAGCTATTGTGAAACAAATTTTTGGTGGACACTTTTACAGTCAATATAAGCAAAAAGTGGCAAAATGCACGATTTTAAGCAAATCACAACGAGTCCAACCATCCCGTCAACTTTATGAGACCACTGGTTATTGTAAGTAGGCCTTTTCCACAGACCTGACCGAGGTGGGATTTCAACCCTCGATCCACAGTGCTACTACCTCTGACTAGGAAGACAACACCTTCAACCGCTTGACCACTGATAAAAATCTAACAGCATTAGTCAACCAAAAACCGTACAGTAGTAATAAACCATACTCCCCGGTTGTAGCACATTTTAGGTGTAGCTTATAGTTGTTTTTGTTGAATTGTAGTGACATAGATAGTTCAAGCGGAAGTTTGTTGAGGTTAGTCTTTTGCCCGATATATCGGCTGTTGAAGCTCAAAGGGTTGATTTTGTTTTGACGACAAATTGTACTTGATTCGAAGTTTAATGAACAATATCTTGAATAAATTCAAATTATAAAATAAGGAAAAAATTATTATTTTTCTGAAGTAATTGTTATCTATATTCTATTGAAAATAAAAATGAGAACATCTAGGAAAAGTCTCTTTTATTGCTCATTCTCATGTGTGTCACTTTCCGTCAGCGAAGAGGCAATTTGCAATTCAAGTGAGCGATTCACATATCTAGTCACCTGAGGTTCATGTTGGATTTTGGTTTCTTCTTCATTAGCTGTACTTGAAACTCCATGTACAGTTTGGGATATGTTTGTGTTTGTAATTTCTCCTGTAGATAAACAAGGAACTCTGTCTTCATTTGTTTCAGAAGCTGCAAATTTTTCTACTTTTGGCACAGTGTTATTACCAATGCTTAACTCAGTTCCCCTTTCATAATCCCCTGTTGCTTCTTGGATGTTAAACTTGTGGAATTGTTTTCCTTTTCCACCAATAGATTCAGAAACTCTACTGCTTGATTCAGCTTTGAAAAATGTATTTAGATCAGGAGTGGATGAAAATTTGCAAGACATCTTGTATTCATCCTTGTATAAATATTCCCAATCAAGGTCAGGCAAAGATGAAAATTCAACATCTTTTCTCCCATTGTTTAAAGTTTCTTCAAGATGAATCTTGAAGAAATCATTAATATCTGAATTAGATCCTTTGGCGTCAGTTTTTCCTACTCCTACTAACTCATCAACTTCCCTGATAGGTTCAGTTTTCTCATCTTCAGCAGAATCTCTTCCCAGCAGCCTTTGCCAGTCTACTAGAGAGATCATGGTTTTTTTGGCTTCCAATTCATAAGGACTTGACCTGTTTTCATCACAACAACTAAAATCTCCCTTAAATGGTAATGTTTCGATTTCATCCAAATATGATGAGGAGCTGTTAGAGTCAATGTCAAAAACATCTAGTCGTTCAGCTGCTGTCTGACTGGTAACATCAACATCGATATAAAGCCTTTTATCAGATGTCGTTTCTTTTTTTCCCTGAGAGTCTTGGTTTATCTTATCATCACCCTCTTTGATTGTGACTTCATCACACTCTACTTGAAAAGTATCTGTACCGTTGCAACTGTCGTCTTTCACAACCACAGACACAAGATTATCTTTACCTTCAACACAATTGTTCAAAGATCCATCATCATTGTCATCATCACTAAATATTTCCTCAATCAATGGTTTTGGTCGTCTGAAAACCTCCACTGAAACATCGTTTGATTCTGTTATCAAACTTTCTTCCACATTTATAGTTTTGTACTTCCTTGTTGAAATTTCTATTAGATCTGAATGATCTTCTGGGGAATTTAGTGGTGAAACTTCCACGCTTTCAGATTTTTCTTCCTCACAACCATCATCTACTTTAATGTTGATTACATGCTTCAGCAATTTATTATTTTTATTCGTTGAGCTTCTCTTAAATATGTTATCTACTGGTTCCAACTCTTTTGTTCCAACTAAATTTAAATTTTCGGTGGCGTCTTCTTTGTTTCTTACAACTTCGATAAGGGTCCTTGGTGGTTCTAAATCAACCATTGAAGTTGGATTAGTACTGGTTAAAGGCAAAATGCATGCTTCATTTTCACCCGCAGAATCAGTATTACCACAATTTGTATCTAAATACTTTTCTTCTAAATCAACCATTGAAGTTGGATTAGTACTGGTTAAAGGCAAAATGCATGCTTCATTTTCACCCGCAGAATCAGTATTACCACAATTTGTATCTAAATACTTTTCTTTTTTTGTTGAGAACATTTCCTGAGATTTCTCTTTGCACTCTTGTATTATTCCGTTCTTTTCTGTATCTTCAGATTTAATCTGATCCAAACCAACAGCAGGATTCAGTTTTTTTATATTTTCCTCAGTTTTCAAACCCCTGGGTGAGATTGAAGGTGCTATTTCATTTTCCTGAAACAATAAAACTCTTTTTACTAAATATTTCTACTTACTGCTAGATTATAAAAAAATTATTTTTTGTTTAGGGTGAGACTGTACATTAGGAACCATCCCCATTATATTTGAATTAGGCTCTTAAAATGTTACTAACCTACTGTTAGATGATAGAAAATAGTTATTTGTGTAACTTGTTAGCGATGTGGCACTTTGTTGGACGTGAGAGAAATGTTTACTCTCTGGACATAAGAGAAACTGGAAAGTTTCTCGAGTGCAGCAAGGGCACATTGCACTCGCGTTACACATTAAATGTTTTCTACAGTTACTATAAATCATATGAATAATTAGCCTTTTAAATACTATAAAACACTTTTTTAGGTTAGCTTAAATCCAAGTGTTGAACGAAATGGGAAACACTTCACCAGCTGATCGTAGTTGTTGTATCTTTAATTGTTGCCAACTTATTTTCAAGCGTATACATATTATGTGCCTAATAAAAGCTTACTGTTTTGTGTTGTTTGGTTGGAATACTGGAGTCCTGTAGCAAAAGTTAGTAAATGCAGCAATTAGCTACTTTGCGTGCTATAATCAGTGCAAGGAAGCCCACTTTGTCAGGTCATTGTAGTAAAATTTTTTTTTTTTTTTTAGGGTGAGACTGTACATTGGGAACCATCCCCACTATATTCAAATTTATGTTCTTAAAATATTACTAGTATTTTATAAGACATTTGCAACATTTTAACATGATGTATGTATCTTACCTCTTCCTTAAATTCTTTTTGATGGTTTTCAATAGTTGCCTTCTGGATATAATTTCCTGTTGGTTCTGTCTGTGTTTCCTCTCCAGAATTTTCATCCTCGGTCTTTTCTTCCAATGCCTTGGCTTTGCGAGTTTCCTTCAAATGTAAAAGGGCTAAAACAAACAAAACAAAATGTAAAACCTCAAAGATAGGGCAAAATAATATGTTAAATCACATTAAAATAAAACTTCAGACTTTAAAATAGAGTTTGTATGGTAGATTATTGAAAATTTAAAAATAGGTGTGTTTTGTTTTAACATCTATTTACCTATTTACTACGCAAGCAGGTTTTTTGTGACAATTACTCCTCCGAAACTACTGAAACGATTGACATGTTTTTGGTGTCATTGGAAAGAGCGTAATGTGAAGTTGTGCAGTAAACTTTCTTTTTTGGGAAATAATTTGAGAGTGAGGCCCTGGGGCCCTTTAAGGTTTCGTATTTCTCCATAAGATTAACATGGGAAACAAACATTGTTATGAAACTCCAGCTTTTGTCAGAAATTAAAAGTGAGAAGAAGAGCATATGTTAATTGTAAACTAAATCGGTTGAAATGAAATATTACCTATTTGAATTTGGGTTGGCGTAAATATTACAATGGAAAAAAGCGAGAGAGCCTGGATTGATATACTAAAAAGAAAACTGGATTAACACTGTGCTGCATTTCTTAGTAATCATTGAAAAAACCGATTTGCAAACTATGGAAACATAGGAAAGTCATAGAACACCACCAAGGAGAAGAAATAGAAATAATAGTTTTTTTAGAATTTATAATCGTTATTATGGACAACCTAATGTGTAACCTATGAGTAAGGATATTTTTGGAAAACACTAAAAAACAAGATCAGCTTTTGAAGATATTTACAAGAAATGTTGATTATATCGATCTGGTATGTACATCTTGAGTATTTCCATAATCTTTGAGTCAAATATTTTAAAGACATCAGAAGTTATTTGTTTTAAAATAACGCCTGTAATGCTAACAAATTGCTCGAATCCGAGCAACAAGTACACTAGTTCTACATAAAATTTCTAGGATTCCAGGGAGTGCTCGATTTGGAAAGTAGACACAGAATCAGGTTAGTGAAAGTACTGATGTTTCTCACTGTGTTCAAAAGTTGGGGAAGAAAAATATAAAATATAATACAGTAGACCCCCTCTTATGGGACCGGACCTAGGTCGGATGACTCAAAAGGTCGGTTAAAACGGGCAATCCCTGAAATCATAATATAATGAAGTGCTATTCATTTGGAATTATATAATCATTATTTTGAAGCCATACTTGCATTATTTATAAAATAAACTACTCTTATCTCCTTTTTCGTATTGACAGAAAAGTCACAAATAAACACAAAACACGGTTAAGTCAAATAGGCCTACTTTCAGAGGAATATATTATAATACTAGGCAAGAGTCAATAAAAATTAATCAATAAAAATATTTCAATACCGTAACTTTAGTACTGTAATGTATTAATTGATACAGTAAAGAACCTTTTGTGTTTTGTCAAAATTAAAGATGCAAGCAACCATTTTGTTACAAGACAGGATGTTTATAACCTCTCCATGGAGGCTCCAGGCACAAAAACGATCTTGACCTTGGAGTTGTAAACCCCCTTTCCCTGCCCTCCATACAAGTTGTGTTGTATCTGTTTGTTTATTCCAGTGATAAGATAATCAGGTAACGCACACTTTATGATGTTATAAATTTGCCGTAAAGATAACAAATCAGATCAGATGTGCTCGCACTACGAATGATGATGACAAACTGACAATAGGCTATGCTATAATTTTTGCGATTTATACAAAATAATTTATTCTTAGTCATATCCTGTGGAGATAAGCGTATGGTTCAGTTCTCATCGCCCAGCGTGGGAGCGGAAATGCCGAGATTCCTAGAAAGCGGTGGTTAAACCGAACTGCTCTCAAAGCAAGGTCGTTTAAAACAAACTGTATTATTTTACGATCGAAGGCGGATAATCCGATTATCGGTTAATACGAGGTCGGTTAAGAGGGGGTCTACTGTATATTACATTCATGTTGTACAGCCAATGCTTACATTGTAACTTTAACATAACTTTTGGGATTTTGTCTAATCACTGAATCATACATACAAAAGTGGAATGCTTTTGTTTACCATAAACTTTTTTATAAATATTACAATTTTGATATACCATAACTGTTTAAATGTTGTAGTGTACCTTCCACACTCCTCTGTATCTTCAGACGATCATTCTCAATCCACTCCAACCTCACTTTTTCGGAAGCTTCGTATCCTCCTGTTGCCCTGTAGAAAATCAGAGAATCAACCATTTACACTATAAAAACAAAATACACCTTGCTATATCCTCAAGACTTGTATATGTGTTAATGGATATATCTTTGACATTTTACTTGATATCATCATAAATTTAGGAACTTAAGTTTTCTATCCTCGTCTCCCTGAATAAAGCTCCTTCTCTTCTTGACCTTTGAAATTTAAGAAAATCACTCTGGACTACCTTTAGTGAAGTTATTTTTTAACGATCAGTTGTGCAAAAATAGCCAAAAATCCTCTAACTTGTAATTTTTATTAAAAAAGTTAAGCTTTTTTTACTCTTACCAAGCTTCAGCACAAGCACGATCCCTTGGGAAAACTGGACGGTCGTCCAAATACTGCAAGTTTTTCTGGAATGGAAAGAACATTAATCAAGATTTTACAGTGGAGAAAAATATATCTAGAAAATATGCGTACTCTCAAGGTGCAGCACTATCAGAGATACAGTACATGTTTAAATGGTCATTTATGTTTTAAATAGTATTTAAGAAATGGTTTAATTGGATACCAGTACCAAACTGACTTTGCTTTAGCTTTAGTTAAATACCCCCGCCGCAGCAAACCTGCAGACTAAGCGAATTTCCATTTGACTGATTGGATTTACACTGAAATGTCTACTTAAAAATATAACATTTATTCTTGATTTAAATAGAATTAGTTTAACAAGTACTTAGGTTTGCTGCATCAGGGAGGGTAAAACTTTTTTTTTTTTGTAAAATGTGAATAGGTAGTGAGAAATAAAAACATTTTCCAAATTTGATAAAAATATGTTCACAAACAAGCAAACTACAACAGTTTACTTATTCTCCATAAGAATAACATGGGAATTTTAAATTTACAATTTTTTGGAATTTTCTCCGTAACTATTAGGCGCATAATAACGCTTCAATATACTAAATTATTTGTTTTTTTAAGCTCTACAAAATGGTTTGGAAAGAAATTGCTAAATTTTATGTTTTTTGGGTCAAAAATAGGAAAAACCTATTTTTACCCCATAAAACCCCCCGTAAACCCCCGTTCCCATGGTCCGATCATGCTGGATCGCGAACTCGTTCGAATAAACGTACGTTTACACGTTTATACCAAATTTAATCCAAATCGGATCATTTTTGCTCGAGTTATCGTGCTGATGGACACATATATATATACATATATATATATATATATAAATAAATATATATATATGAATTTGAACGGATGGTGTTTTTGAGCTCTAGGGACCTCAAAACGAAAAAAAAAATCGGTCCCGCGTCCAGGTCTTACCATGAGTACTACGGTAATAGCTTATTCCCTATATGGGAAATTCGCTAAAACTAATAAATGCATTATGACAAGAACAAGATTGATGTCCACAGGACTTGCTTTGGAGTAAAAGCCTTTTAAAATGTTGAATTTAGAAAATTAAGGATTATACAAAAATGATACATAAAAATATTCTCAACTAACACATTCAACAGTGATAACATTTCTGTAGTTACGAATCTTCCCTTTAACTGGGTTCCCCATGAGATTAAGTACTCGAAGATTCTGCATCGACGCAAACACCTGCAAACAATATCAACTGATTTAGAAATAAGTATCAAAATAATTTTATAAACAATGATTACAAATCATTGTAAATTGTATGTGGTGTGGGTTGTAGGCGTAAATAACTAAGTAAGTAGTTTAAGTGAGTAAGATGTGGGCTGCCTAAAAATCATGGTTATTCAAAACTGTTACAAGAGATTTATGGCTTTGACCACTTTGGATAGTTTTAAATTTTGAGGTATATAAATCTTATGAAAGACATAAGACCCTCAATTCCTACATCAGTCGACACCGCTGATCTAGAATATAGAGAGCTTTTTAGGAATAAGTAGTTATACCTTTATTGAAAAAAGAACGTCTTGACGGCACCTTTCCTATCATCCATACATACAATTCATCAAAAAATCTTCATCTACTAGCCAGAAAATAATACCCTTGTCACAATTTTCACATCCTCTTAAACAGGATTGGTAATAAACTAAAAATAAAGAGGACCGTAACTAATTTTTCAACGATTCTTTGTGAGAACTAAAGGCTTATATGAGAATGGGAAAAAGTTCAATCTGGCACAAGAAACACAAAAATTGACACGAGAGAGTTGAACCTCTCTTAACTAACAAAAAATCCTAAAACCTAGGCTCTTGTGCTTTATGTCATACATTCTTGATTTTTAATGACCGGTACTTCAATTAGCATGTTTACTCTTTGAAAGAGTTGTTACCAGCATTATAGTATCTTATAACAAAGGAAGAGTCATTTTTTTCCTTAAAACCATGTAGGTATTAAAATAAAAGATTTGTTAGAGTTTCTATGTGTCTTGGAAAATCAAAACAGGCACTAATACAGCTTGTGAAATTTGTCAAGAATATATCACATTAAAACAGTAAGAAGCTTGAATCTTTGTATAGATCTATTACAAATTACCAAACAAATACCTGTACAACTGATTCATCCTGAAGGTTGTTGTGAGAAAGATCTACGACCGACAACTCCACACAGTCTCGCAGATGACTGATATCTTCCACAGTCTCCAACTTGTTGTGACTCAGATTCAATGTGTGTAGAACCGGTAGGATGGCTAGACAGTCAACGAGTTGTAAAGTTTACAACTTAAACTTCGGTTAGTTACTAGCCTCATCTTATAGGGATGTCTACTTCAGTATCCAATAGTCAATGGTGTAAACTATGAAAGGTTTGATAATTACTGTCACTGACGGGGACATGTTTTTTAATCTTGTAGAAATTTAATCTTTGAGAACATACAAGCAATAGGTCAAAGATAAGTGATGGGTGCTAATAATGCCTTGGATGAGTCGCATAGCACGATGGGGGTGTTTTGTGACTTATCCAAGGCGTTTGACTGTGTCAATCATGATATCCTCATTAAAAAACTAGAGTCGTATCCCTTTTCTGGAAATTCAGTGTCATGGTTGAAATCTTACTTAAATAATCGCAATCAGAGAACAGTCATTTGTAAAGATAATTTAAAAGTAAAGTCAGAATGGCAAAAAATTAGAATAGGTGTGCCTCAAGGTTCGATTTTGGGGCCTCTTCTATTTCTTATATATATCAATGATCTTCCAAAAAATGTTTCAAATAATCTAATTCTGTATGCAGATGATACTACTGCAGTAGTTAAAACAGAAAACAATGAGAGATTAAAACATAAAATTGATGAAAGCCTAACCGAATTGGGGAAGTGGTTTGAGATCAATGGATTGAAAATGAATGAAGAGAAAACCAAATTTGTAAGATTTTGTACACCTCAATCAATGGCACTCACTGATCAATCTCAACCAACTGAGGATAATGTAAAATTTTTAGGGCTATATATTGATAAACACTTGACCTGGAGTAAGTGCATTCAGTCGGTAATCGGAAAATTAAATTCTGCCTGTTTTCAAATGCTATGTTTAAGAAATTCTATACACCTGAAAACTTCTGTCATGCTCTATTATGCCTACTTTTATTCAATAGTACAGTATGGAATTGAATTTTGGGGGTTCGCCTCTGAAATTGAAAAAGTTTTTAAAATTCAAAAAAAGTTTATAAGAATTATGACTTTTTTACCATGTAAATCTTCGTGCAAAACAGTTTTTAAAGAATTGAATATTATGACTATTCCAAATTTGATTATTTACAAAACGTTGTTAGCGGTGCATTCAAATTTTGATGACTACATTAGCGAAAACTTTGACCACATCTATAACACTAGATTTAAAAATAATTTCCAATATCCAAGACACAGACTGAAGCTTGTAGAAAAAACACCTAAATACATGGGAAAAAAACTTTTTAATAAACTACCCTCGAATCTAAAAACTTTAATTAATAATAAATCTTTTAAAAGCAGCCTTGCTGATTTTCTGATAAGTAAAACATTTTACAGTGTTAATGATTATCTCAATGAAACTAACCAATCAATATGACTTTTATTTTGTATGACTAGAAACTTATTTTTTCCGTTATTGTTTAACCAATTTTGCCAACTTGTTTAAAACATTTTTTAATGCATAAGACATATTGTTGTACATTAGGTTAAGTTAGTAATAATCTTGACAATGTCATCTGTTTTTTAGCTGTGCTATGATTCAAAACGTTGATGTGACAATAAAGAATTATTTATTTATTTATAAAAGTCTCTCATAATAGTGTACAACTTCTTCGCTGAGTAGTAACAGTTGGTTCCCAGACAGCACGTGAGCTTGGACCAAACTTGGTTTTTACATATTTCTGAATTGGTATGACAAACTTGGAGTTTGGAACCCACTACAAATTTAAAACAGCTTTGGTTAAGTGAACTTGTGTGAATGCGCCAAAACTAAACTTGTTTTATTTACATATATAACCTGGTTGGCCAAGTCCACAATTTAAACACCTACCCAGACCCACGACAAGCTTGTTCATGTGAGTCTAAAGTGAGCAGTGCCATATGACAAAAGAATTTTCCCTCCACCCCTACCCAGAACGCTCCTAAAACCTGTTTCTTTGTGCTGAACCACCATTTTTGTTGGATTTAGACTTCCTCACTCTCAGTTGTCAGTTCTCACTTATCTAGTTCTGGTGTTGTGAGTTACTCGTTTCGTTACTAGTTGTGAGTTTTGTTTATGGTTTTGATACCAAGACGAAGCAAAGAAGAATTAAGGGATTCCTGTAAAGGTAAGATTTAAACTCCATTGATAAAAAATATACTTGTGTTGGTTAGTCTATGATGATATAAGTAAGCTAAGCAAACAATTAATTTCATTGCATCAAGAACCGTAGAATTTTGTTTATAGCCTAAACCTTTTGTGCTTTAACCTTTGACATACTCAGCGCTTCACTGAATCGACAACGTCACTCACTATACTATACTCTAATAGTCTACTGCTGAACTCAACAGAACAGTGCAAAAATTTGTGTTTAACCTTAACCATTATAGTCAATGCCTTAACCTAGTCTACAGATAAAAACAGGCCAAACCATTAGTTTACGTATAAAAGTAAAATAGTAAGAAATAAAAGTTTGATAACAATTTTAAAAACAAAGGTAAGTTAACACCCTGTGTTTGCAACACCAACAAATTCCAAATAATCAAATAATTATAATAACAAATAAAAATAATGAAAAATGATTTAAATGATAAATTTTAATAAACCAAATAATTCTAATGCAATTGTATTTTTTATAGATCTTCTGAAGCAGGCGGTGGAGTTGATGGGTTCAGAAAAGAAGTTGAAGGTCAAGTGGAAGATAGTGGGCATTGTATTTATTATATTAATAAATTGTCTTGAAATGTGAATGTCTTGCTTTCTAAACCTCACATATAACCAATATTTTTTCAAGATCACTCATAAAATAGGCTTCATTTTATCATAAATCTTTCTTGGTAAAAAAATAAAAGAAAAAATGTGGGCTAGCAAATGAATGGTGTGAAACAGCTTATATGTTAAATAGGTATAAATTATATTACTATTACTATAGCCTATAATAATAATAATTATTATTATTATCTCTGATCATGACAGTAATTGAAGTATATAAAACATCGTACCAAGTTCTGAGTGAGTCTATAGGTGTGAGCTTGTTTGCCCAAGTCTAAAATGTGCTAAAACCAATTCCAATATGAGTCTAGGCCAAGTCCAATATGAGCCTACTAAAAGCGGGCTTGGGTCTCCAAGTCCATAATGAGCCTGTTTAATTTATCAGTGTGAGCTTGTTTGCCCAAGTCTAAAATGTGCTAAAACCAATTCCAATGTGAGTCTAAGCCAAGTCCAATATGAGCCTACTAAAATTGGGCTTGGGTCTCCAAGTCCCGAACAAGTCCATAATGAGCCTGCTTAATCCACCAGACCCGTTTTGTATCCATCATTCCAAGCTTAGGGTGGGTTTGTGCCCATGAGTTCACTGTAGGTTTGGGGTTGGGACTTGGGTTGGACTTGGGGAGCCAAACCCATAACAAGTTGAACAACTGCCAACTTCGGTCTCTAAAACAAGTCAAAACCAAGCCTACAGACTTTGGTCCCTGAGTCTAAACCAGGCTTGGGAACTTGGGCCAATGGGCTTGGAACAAGTTCCCAGCAAGCCCATTGTGCTGTTGGGGTTTAGCAAATAACATTGCTTTTTCTAAAATTTGTTTGGGAAGGATTTATTGTAAGGAATTGTTAATTTGTAACTTGTTGAATGTTTATAAGCACACGATAAAAAAAAAGTTCTTATACTACTGAGCTAGAAAATTACAACGGAAGTAGCACTGGCACAGCAACTCAGTTGGAAAATTGACATGCTGTAAAATGTTGTTATGTTGGTACCAACTAGAGGAATCAACCAGCTAATTGGCTCATGGCTTTATTACAACGCCTAGTTCCACTGTACTAAGTACAATGTCTAGAATGTACTACCTATATTAATGTATTATAATGTATAATGTATTATAATTATATGTATAATGTATTATATATGGCGGCCGGCTTCTCTCATTCATTGATTCAGTGCTACCTTCAGCTGTATCCCTAGCTCAGTAGTTCCAACAGATGCAATAATGTTACTAATAACCACAGAATAAAGACCTATGAAAATAGGTCTTTATTCTGTGCTAATACTCACATAAATTTTCAATTTTCTCCACGTAATTGTGACTAAGGTTCAGAGTATCCAGTAATTGAAGCTCCTCTAGATTTTCAATCTTCTTAATAATGTTGTTGTGCAGATAAAGGCATCTTAAGTTTATTTGTTTCTCTAAATTTTCAATACGTAATAATGCATTATTTTCAAGCCAAAGACATTTCAGGCCTGTGTATTCTTCTAAGTTCTCGATTACAGTGTATCCTGTAAAAGTGAGCTAAACTTTTTATCTTTAAATATGATCTTAAATTTTATTCTTGACATACATAAAATAGCTGATACACAAAAAAAATTATATTTTGCATCGATAAGTTTATAATTTCTTAAGTGTGTTACCTGGGAGTAATTGCTCAACATTTTTAGAATATAATATTGAAACTAGCTGAACCGAAAATCTTTGTACCACCTACCCAGGTAGCACAAAAACGTTATTTTCACGTGAAATTCACGTTATCTTTTTCACATTTTCACGTCATTATCTTGAAAAAAAAGAGAAAATCACGTTATTTTCACGCAATAATAACGTAAAAACCGCACAACATTTCACGTGAAAAAAACTTTACAAAAAACGTGAAATTCACGTTTCTCTGTCACCATATATACACATTTTCACATTTTTTTTCACATGAATTCAACATTTTTTTGTCACCTTATTTTCACATTTTCGATATTTTTACCTAAAATTCACTATTTTTTTACCATATTTTCACCTTTTTCTTATATTTTTCACGTGGAATTCACATTTTTTTTACTTTATTTTGACATATTAATACTTTTACCAAAAATTCGCTATTTTATAACCAAATATTCACCTTTTTTATACACTGAACATTAAATTTACGATTTAATGTCACTGTATATTTTTATTTTATACCTCAAATTTTTATAACACAAATTTCACTCTTATCTTAACATTCATAAATGTTGGGAATTTTTAGGAGTTTAGTATCTCCAGAAGATTTTGTGAATGACTTCTATAAGAGTGAAATTTGTGTTATAAAAATTTGAGGTATAAAATAAAAATATACAGTGACATTAAATCGTAAATTTAATGTTCAGTGTATAAAAAAGGTGAATATTAGGTTATAAAATAGCGAATTTTTGGTAAAAGTATTAATATGTCAAAATAAAGTAAAAAAAATTTGAATTCCACGTGAAAAATATAAGAAAAAAGTGAAAATTTGGTAAAAAAAATAGTGAATTTTAGGTAAAAATATCGAAAATGTGAAAATAAGGTGACAAAAAAATGTTGAATTCATGTGAAAAAAATGTGAAAATGTGTATATATGGTGACAGAGAAACGTGAATTTCACGTTTTTTGTAACGTTTTTTCACGTGAAATGTTGTGCGGTTTTTACGTTATTATCGCGTGAAAATAACGTGATTTTCTCTTTTTTTTCACAAGATAATGACGTGAAAATGTGAAAAAGATAACGTGAATTTCACGTAAAAATAACGTTTTTGTGCTATCTGGGTAATAGTCAATTAATGCTGTGTTACATTTCTTCTGATTTAAAATACAGTAGACTCCTGGGAACCGAGACCAGTCCGCATAAAGGTTTTTCTGGTTAATCCAACGTCCCCAAAAACTCGTTAAAATGCATACTGTATACAGTATTTGACTTAAGTTTAGGAGAATTGTATTTAGACACGTGATCACTGGTCTCAAATCTTTCCCACGAGAACAGTCGTTTCAGTACCACCCACTTCCTGCCGATCACATCCGGTTAAACCGATATGCTGATAAAAATTGTCAGGTTAAAGCGATGTCATTTCTGCCGAGTGGAGTCCGGTTAAAAGGTGTCCGGATAAGATGGAGTCTACTGTAGTACCAATCTATTTGAAATCAATACCATAAGTGTTACATATGCTAGATGTTAAACTAAATTATATTGCACTAAAAAACTTAAATTTTAGAGTCAAACTGCTGGACTTAAAACAAATTGAACAGCTAGTCTTTTACTATGTTAATATAAATCACTGGTAGACAAATAGACATACCATTGATTAACAAACGAAATTAACTCTCATTTTCTCAAATGTTGAATTGTCATTTTATTAAATGCTGAATGTTTAAGTCGGTTGTTTGGTTAAATTGAAATGAATGGTATTGCACCAAAAACTAGGCCTAGTTACAAAATATGTTACGTCAATTGCTACTTAAAAAAATTATAGTTACTGTAAAAAAAATATTATAGGTACCTAATTTTACAAAAGCTAAAATTATACATTCTCTTCAGCTAAATAGGCCTATCATCTTTCCTTCAAAAGACGATTCAAAATATTCCTTGTCAAATTGTTGATTAACAATCCTTGGTTTAGAAAACGACTTCTCGTTTTATGGATCGGCCCCAAAATATAAGATAGCTAAAAACTTTAAAATTATTTCTATTCTATCATTCTCAACTCCAAAATACACTTGTTTATTTCACATACCTTTGAAATGTAAATACAAAACATCATTCAGATGTGGTGTGAAGTAAAGTTTGTTTTCTTTACAATGCTTCCTTAAAACTTCTTTAGTTATTCTGTAAAAAAGACCCATAATTTACCTTGTGTATATCAATTCTTTTAGTGTGTTTAAGGTGGTATTGGGCAAAATCTTTCATGGCCAAAAATTAAAATAGTCCTTGTAGACAGCCATAATTGTTGTTTTTCAGATACACATAACACATATAGTACTGTATACTTATTTTTGTACACCAATCACTAGGGCTCAAATGTAAGAATTGGATAAGATCTTGGTAACTAATTAGATAATTGATATTTGCAATCACCTTTTAACTGTAGAATGTACACTTTATCAAAATTACTAACCTACTCTACTACTTCAGATGTAAAAGCTTGTTTATTTACATAATTTTGTAATGAAACATGTCTCATTATCATTAGAAGCTACCTTCATGATGTATGCTTGAAAATGAGGTAAACATTTATAACTAAAACTAAAACCAAACAAAGACCATTTATGATATTTCTCCGAGATTCAAAGGGTTAACTTACAACAAGTTTTTAATTAGATATTTATTCCAAACAAATTTTATTTACCAACAAAGGGACTGTGTGATAGTTCCTATTTGGAACATGAAAACTCTAGGAGTGGATGAGATAAATCTGATATGCAAGCAAAAAAGTAATTATTTACCTTGGCCCTTTTCTTTCCTCTTCTTTTATTGCCTGTAATCTTGATAAAGCGGCCTCCCGATCTTCAAGTTGTGGCATTTTATTTTCTGAAATAACACTTGGGATAGCAAACTAAAGAAAATAATACTTGCATAACCAAAATGTCAATGAAAACAACATCTGTTGCCATAGCAACCGGTGACCAGTTTGATCTATAAACATAATGGAGTTTGTACCAACTTGTGGGGTTTTGTACTTGTGTATTGTACCAAAATCCATAAATTTTAGTGTTTAGGTGTCCGTGTGATAAAATATGGTGGTTGCCGTTGGGTGGGTTTTGACAGATTAAAAAACTAGTTTTAGTAGTTTGATTGCATCCTTTGTACATAAATTCTTAGTTTTCAAATTTTATAATATTCACTAAACACTTTTATTTACATTAAATAATTGTTTAAACACACTACACTACAAAAAAATAATTAAATCAAAATGTAATTTATGAGTTTATATTTTACTTTCTCGCCCTATACATTAATGGAGACTGGAGAAAGTATTGTTTTTGTAAAAATTATTGAGTTGGAGTTTTTGGTGGAAATATCCATTTTGGGACCCCCTGGACCCAAAAAGTGGTTTTCGGATTGTTGACCGTATGATTGTGTGTGTCCTTGTGTCTGTATGTATGTGTGAATGTGTAAGAAGTTCAAATCACATCAGTGGTCCAATTTTGATTAAATTACGTACAGTAGGTACTACTAATCAGACAACATTTTCCCTCGCCCTAAATTAGAGCTTGGGAAACGACTACTTTCATTGATGTCAGCTGTTATCGAAATAATTACTTTCACTATGGAGTCATGATAACTTAATTATTTGTTTTTAAGTTCTTTAATTGGTTTAAGGGAAAATGGGAACACTTATATTTTGAGGGTCAAAAATGAGAAAACCCCATAAAACCTGATCTCGCTCGTTTGCGAACTCATCCAAATTTATCCCACCTTCAAACCAAATCTCATCAAAATCGGACCAAAATTACTTGAGTTATTGTGTTCATGGCCACATCATACTAGTGAAAGTTTGTGTGTTTGTTTGATGTTCAATCACGCATTAACTACTGGTTGGATTGGGTTGAAATTTGGTATGATTATAGCTCACATTCCCGATTAACATTTAAATGTATTCTTATTTCAGATATCCTTTCGGGCTCCACCCCTGTGGATCTAGTTTCCCATGTTAAATGAGTATTCATATTTAAACGGAATTTTGCCAGCTGTTTCAACTACACAAGTTGGTTCTATGATATTCAATAGCATTAAAAGGTTATAAGGTTTACCAACAGGGTGCAGCACTATTAGTTCTTTTTGCATTTATGACAACAGCTAATTTGAACCAAGCCGCAATAAAAGCTGTGAAACTTCATTTTTTTTTGTATTGTTTAGGTGAAATGGTAGAACATTATGGCTATGGTAGGTGTGCCATAGTATACTGTAAATTATGGTAAACCAAATTTTCTTAAAACGTGTCCCCTCCCATTGCAAACGCAAGGCAAGAATGTAACTGCAATAAGCAGTTTATACTTAAATACCAACCCCGTACGAAGGACGGGTACTCTGCTAGTAATCTATATAAATATATAACAATTTGAACAAATAGTTTTTTTAGTATCTGGGCGCATCAAAATGAAAAATTAAATCGGTCCTGGGCAGGTCTTACCGTGGCACCTAATAGAGAAAATAGCTACTTCCCTATAGGAGATTTTGCTAAAAATGGCTGGATTGATTTTGATTAAAATTTAGTATGCTATAGCATTTTTAACTCTTTACAGGTTTACAAAAAGGCACAAAACCACATTGCCACATTGCTATAAAAATTACAGTTCAAAAGTTATTGCAACTTCTGCAATTTTTCCTGTAAAAATAATAGTTAGGCTACCCCCACTAACGATTAAAGTTGTTGACAAGCCAATGGGAGAAAGTATGCGTCAGATTGCAAGCGCCGTTTATTTATCATGTTAGATATTCCAGAGATAACTCTAGAATGGTACTTTTTTCAGAATGATAATATATGAAAAACTGTACATTTAAAAATGTACCAGTAAAGAAAATTATGCATGAAGTTTAATTTACTTGCACATCAAGTTTTTACCATTCAAGTTCTAATATCTTAACTTTTTATAAACAACTTTGAAGATCAGGGTGAATTGCCAACAGTACACAAGATTTCAAAAAATGTTAAATTTATTTACAACATTGTACTTTACATAATTAAACTTATGAAATAATAACAACATAACACAACATGAATAAAATAGGAGTACAGTGTTCAAAACTGTAAATAAAATATAGAGTACAGCTAATAACTAAATTGGTTAGGATATAAATAACTATCTGCGCCAGACTGGTCCAGCTGACTAAAGGGTTACGGCACGAGTTGTGCTTGACACGACTTTAGCACAATGCTGTGGCACATCATAAGTAATCCATACTTACATATAAATACAAAAAGTGTGTATAAAAATAATTAAAACTATAGGAATATTAAATATTACAATAATTGAGAGGGAGTTTATGCCCTCCTGATGTAAAATTCTCATGGTACATATATTTTTAACTTTACAAAAAAGTACAAATTAGGCTACATAATGAAAAAGATGATAAAACAAAAAAGCACAGTACAAAAGCCTACATAGAATTAATGTTTTCTTGTAAATGACCTACGAAATGTATATAAACAAATTCATACATTATATAAATGCATGTTCTTTAAAGAATATATTTTTATTGATACAAAAACGATTACTTACTTTAAATTTATCACAATACGCAAGATAATCTATAGATTACACATTCACGTTTCCAAACAAAGTGCGTTCATTATTGTAAAATACTTTGTTACAAATTTGATACTGTACAGCTTTTTCCTCACCAGTATAAACCCCACTCGAAAGCTCGTCTTTCTATACATTAATTCTACACTTCACAGTAACACTTACTACACACAGTAAAAAGTTAGTAAATACCCTGTCCTCAATTAAGGAATCAACTAAAAAGATATGCAAACAATGTTCGTCCATATTGTATAACATTTAAACCCACTAACATGTGTTCAGAATAATTCAAGAATCACAAAACTCGAGTGTAATTCAACAAGTGTTTAAACTTAAGGTATTACATCACTAAATGTTTTATTTAAAATATGTCTACCAATTTTTAAAGGACTTTGTAATTATTAAAATTTAAAGGTATATGTAATTTTCTTTCCAAATTAAAATAAATTAAATATACACAATCCACAATAACCGGTTATATAGATTGAGCTATTCACCGGGCTACAATGCCTTTGCTTAAATAATTCTACACAATGTTTGAATACTAAATAACTTTTTGACATTCTGTAGTCTGACTTTGCTCGAATCAATAAATGCAACTAATTATAACAAAAATTAGTTAAAATAAAACTACTTATTACTTTTAATGTTCAGCTACCAAGTAATTATTATAATTTATTATATTTCAACATTTCAACGTTTGGCCAAAATATCCCCACACAAGTTGATCAATTACTTATCAAGATGACCAATTTACTTAAAACATTGCTTTATTATTTGTTAGGAGTTATATTTTGTAGAAAATGTTTATGGCACTTAAATGAGCTATGGTGAGATATAGTTTTACAACACAGGTTATCTTTTGATTTCTAGATGGGTTTTCATTATCTTACAAGAGAAAAATATTAGGCCAGGTTATCAATTAACGTTTCTACACAAAATTTGAGCCAAACTCGTACAAATTACTGTATCAAACCAGATATTTAATCAATTAAATAGGTTATGTTAACTTATTTTTAGTACACTATCATAATTCAAATTTTTATTTAGAGCACTGACTTAACTTGAAGATGATTGTTTTACTATATAATAATACACATGAGAAAATGATCCTTTAAATTGAGGAATGTTATGTTATTGTAAACAAATTTTATCGATGACTGGGCAGGATCAAGCATAAGTTTAAGTAAAAAGTTTTATAAATGTAGCTATTTTTTACTTTTACTAGTACAGATTGGTTAGTTAATTTTTCATATATAATTTTAACAGTGATATAATTTAATCCTAGCTTTGGGGTACATATAAAAAACAACAGAGGGTACACATACCACGTAGTGTAATATCTAGAAAACATTGGAAAAATTGTAGCAGCAGAAAATGGCGAACTAAACAAATTGTACATTTACAAAAAATTACTTCTTTACGCTCTATAAAAACATGGAATTTTAAGAGACGTTTGAAAAACATTTCAATATGAGCAATCAACAGCTTAAACGAGAGAAAGCCGTAACATTAACGCAGAGAGTCTGGTTGGTCGTATACATACGTATAAACTCAATCCCTTCTCAGTCAGCTGGCTGTAACATAGAGTTGACAGTCAAGATTTGCGACTGTGTTATACTCCAAGATGAGTCAAACATTGCTGGATAAAGTCTGACTATCTAGTGACCACTGTGACCCTCATGAGAATTAAAATGTACCAGTATTCCATCGTCCTTAGACCAATAGGTCCTTGGTGACAGAAGAAATAAAAAATTAAAGAAGTATATTAAAAATGTTACAAGTTTTCCACTCAATAAAAAATATATAAAATATGAGTTAAATTGATGTACCATCTGAAATGTACTGCAAACACTGTGCATTGTGAACATCAAGCAATTATTTTTTTATCAAAAAAATTAATAATGGAATAATCGCCAATCGGTAAATTTAAAATATACAGTAAGAAATATTTGCACGAAGATTAGTAAATTATTTGTATACCAAAAATTCTAGTGGGACACAAAAGTAACTCTAGTTTGTAGAAACGCATAAAAATGCCAAATACCAGGAGTATTTTTTTTTTTTACTTCAAGTATTGCCTCAAAGACAAGTATTGAACGCTACTGAAACATTCCAACTGGAAATCCAACAGAAAGTATTCCGAGCTAGATTAAATAGAACTATTACATAAGCAATTGTGTTGCTGTTTTGTATTTGTTTTCAAGCAACACTACATCAAAAATGCAAAAGTGAAAATAAAGTAAAAAACATAAAGTAAAATGTATAAAACATATGATAAAACCAATCAACAATTTGAAAAATAATCACGAACAAACTAAGCATCAAGCACAAGCCATGCTTATAATGTTTACTTGTATAGATAACTTTAGTTGATCAATTTAGCTATCTTCAATAATTTAAAAGTTTAATTGTGTAAACAAACTCGTGTCAATCAAAATATCATTTGATCCTGCCCAACCAAGATGACCTTTTATTAAGTTTTTATTTCGTTTTGTACAGTTATGTGTTATGTGAAACTATTTATTTAGTTTTTCAGAGGGGGTACTGCCAAAATAAACATAGTTATCATATGACAGGTCACTTTTTATTCACCATCAAAAATTGTGGGCTCCCTAAGTTAATTCCCAGAAGTGTGTACTTGATGGAATATATTTAAGTACGAAAATATATTAGCTGACTTGTAACCAGGAAAATAAGGATTTTTCTATAAGGCTGTCCTTATTTTTAATGTAATACTGACTTACAAAAAACTACCAACTTTTAATTAGTGTCAACGAGGGCCCCTTATACATTTGTGTTCTACAGCAAATATTGTATACCCAACTATTTCTTCCAATTGTTAACTTCTAATCACCAAATATTCATCAAAACGAAACGGTAAATTTTGAGCTACTTAATAACTTTCTAACTTTCAAAAGCAGGTTAAAGGGAATAACAAGTTTAGAGCTAACAAAATCATAAACGCATACAGATAACAAACATAGGCTTATTTACAATGAAATAACTTGGTTGTTGCATGCAAATACAATAAAAATTAAGTAAAGACATTTGATTCTATTTCCCTGTCAACAATTGTTGTAACCGACAATATATCTACTCAACACAAACTGGCTTTAAAACGTTGTATTTGAAAATAAAATTTAGTACCTCTTGTTTTAAACAACGCCAACAAAATCATGTTGTACAGGTAATCATAATTAGATGATTGTATGGATTTTTTGCCTCATAAATATAATTCATTGTATTTATATCTTTTACAAAATCTGTAGGGCAACTAAAATAAAGAAAAAGTTTAATACATTAGCAGTTTCTAATATTTTTCTATAACAGTATTGTCTGACGTTTTAGCAGTTTCTAATATTTTTCTATAACAGTATTGTCTGACGGTTTAAAGACCAGCTAACTTAACAAACTATAAAAAGAAAAAGGTTAATTTTTCAACTCTGTGGGACAAAGAAGTGTGTTTAACATTACAGAATCGAGTTATATGTTAAATTTGTTGGAGGTATCTATATCTTTTTGGTGTGACAATTATAGTTTTAAGCATTTGGATGTTGGTTGGGTTATCATACTAAGAATAATCCAGTGAGTGTCTTACATATGAACAAAAATAAGCTGTGTAAATAAGTAGATGTGTATTTCAAATTAAGCCCTTCTGATTTTGTTCATATCAAACCTTTAAACTTAGTTCAATTTCCAAATGTTGGAGCTAATTTTCCATAAATTCCATCTACAAATACATTTAAACATTTAAACATATATGGAAATGTAAAGCTAATAATAGTAATATGTAATACTGATTATTTACACTATTTTTGCGCTTGATCAACAGAGAGCATTTTAAAATCTTTACTATTAATAAAAATACAAATTTAGCTGTTATGGCTCTTTACATTATTTGAACATGACTAAGTAATATAATTAAATATAGAATGTAAATGTAGATTGAACTGAACTTGTAAAACTTGATTTGTTTCACTAAGATTTTTTTTGTATTCTACATCTTTTTAGCAACTGTTTAAAAAAATGGTCTCCATTAAAAGAATTTCAGGCAGTTCAAAGCACACCAAAAGTCCACAACAATTGGATATCTGATGAATATCCTATTGTCCTCCTTTAAGGGACGAAATCTATATATTTGATTCCGTAAGCGAATCGGTCCCACGAAATATCTCGAGCTAGGAAAATGGTAGCATGGCTTTTGAGGACCGTGGGAAAAATATCAGAAGTGTCAAAAATTACCCCTGCTCTGTTCAAAGTTTCAGTCATTTTCTAATAGAAGTACTGCTACAGTGTTTCTATAAGCGGTTTTAAATATACCAGCTGATGTAAACATTGCGTATTTGTATATTTATTGATTTTAGAGTTCTGTTTTTAGGTTGGTAATGGTGATACAGTATCAATTTAATGTATCATATTAGGGGAAGACCGTGACTAAATGACGTGTAAAAAGTATGTATTTAATTTCAATTTGTATACATACAGTAACTAAAAAGCAGAAATTGCTGCTATTGTCCCTAGTATAAAATTAATTATGTTGTGAACTTTTATGTGATATCAACTGTCACAAACTCTTTTCTAGGATAAGTTAATTGTGTGTCCATTCCTTCCGTCACAATGTATTCTCAAGCAAAGTGCTCTTTCCAAAAACAAACATTACCAGTGTTACTTTAACTGTAAACATACACTTATGGAAATCGTCTTATGTTTCCATTATAAAAAAGAACAAAACAAAAAACATCGCATGGGGTAAACAATAAGAAGCTCGCACACTCTTACATGACGTCAACAAAGAACTCACAGGGGTTGCCCATGGCCATGCGGAAGGACTGTCGGCTGGCGGAGAGGTCGTTGTCTGCAGTGGTGGGGGCAGGGGGGTGAGGTGGGGGAGGCTGGGGTGAGGTGGTCGCTGTAGCAACAGAGGACCCGCTGCTCCTACTGCCTCCGCTACGACTGTGGGGGTTGTGGTTGGTCTTGTGAGGTATGTCCACTCCACTCTCGCTGGCAGAGCTACCCCCACTCTTGTGTGTGGCTGGTGCGCACACTCGCGAGTGCTGCGACCCGTTGCTGCTTCCTACACACATACATACATCAGATGAAAGGTTGACATTGATTAAGATTTTAAGAAATAATATTAATTTTCCATCCACATTTCTTAAACAGATTATTTGTTGTATGCAAATAACTAGCCTATATGACACACAAATCAAGTAGGCTAGTTTTCTTTACTCTTTCTAGTTCCCAGATGAATAAATTCAAAGTGTATTTCCAAGCCTTTAAAACCAACGTATGAAGAGTGAAGAGGAAAACGGAGATGATGGAACAGAGGACAAAGGCAGAGAGAAGAAGAGCAAGGATGATAAGGTGGATATATGAGGTCAAGGATGCCTCTAGGAAGAGGAACTGTGGATGGGATGGATGAATATGAAATGCTAGAAAACCCTAATTGACGTCTGTATCAGGGAATAACTAAAAGAAGATTATTTGAAACAAGATCTCTTTTACAGACCTGATCCACTGTGTAAGCTTTCATCCCTGTTAAAGCCATAGAGGGGTGTCTCCGTAGTGTAGTTGAAAGGCATGGGAGCGTGAGTGTGTGGCATGTAGGTGCCACTGTACGGCATCTGAGCTGGCCAGCCAGGGTGGGGCAGAGGACCTACAGTGTCTCTGTCTACACTCACACAGTCGTCCAGCTTGAGTGACGACATGGCTGCAACACAACAACGTACTTATACTATCACCTCAGGGTTTGGACACATGGACTTGATCAAGAATGTGAAGGCTGAAGTCAAAGCCCCAGGAATAAGGGGCTTGCAAGAAAATAAAGAGAAAGTTTGGGCGGTTTCTAGTTTAGAGGGGTATCTAAACTTAATATTACATTTTGGTTCATGTAAATTGTACGGGGGCAATATAATATTAAATTTATTATATTCAAGAATTTAAATAAAAAGAACAGTGCAGTGGACTGAAACACTACACTTCTTGATCATGTCACGCCATGGTATGAGCAACATAACCAAATTTGACTGGATTGATAGGTCTAAAATGTTCTAATAATAGAATTCACCTCAGGATTTTTAAAAGGAAAACAATTTTGTTAGTTCAATGGTTCTGAATTGGAATGATAAATTCTTCAATATACATCCAGTCACCAATATATAGATCTTACAGTTAAGTTAAAGATATCAAGGCAATTCCTCTTGTTCACTCAAAAGGTATTTATTAGGCTACAACACAACCAATCAAAAAAGTTATGGTTACCACAAACCACAAAATGACTGGTTATTTTTATAAACTCAACTTTTATTAATATTTTTTTCTATCTTATGCACAACATTACGAATCAAAAGATGTGTTAAAAAAAGTTCTAATATGGAGGCAAAAAAAATCCAGACAAATTGTTTGAATGTGACAAAAATGTGAGATGATGGAATTCCTAAGAAAATGGAGTTGACAGTGACGGTGGGAATGAGGCAGTGATAAGAGAGTATAGACGAGGTGAGAATGTGAGAAAAGAGTTAGACAGTAGACAGTATGGAAAGAGGAACTTTACAGGAGAAGGTGGAAAGGCCTAGATGATATCGAGAGACCTGTGAATAAAGAAAACGGAAGAGGATGTATGAACTAGCTTCAAAAGCTTAACTAAAATAGTGAGAAAACAAAATAAACCTTCGAGAGCTGTATATTCTGAACCTGTGGTGAGCAGTTCACCGAAGATGTAGTAGCACTGCTCGGAGAAGTTGATCTTGTTGACCGTGTGACGGATGTAACCAGCTTTGAGCATCTGAGAGGCGTACTTCCGAGCATCTCTGCGGTCTACAAACCCTTCTACGTGTGTGTCTAGCCAGTCCACTACATCAGCACCTGTACATAGACATTAGTCAGTACACTCAGAAACAAACATTGTACTATGGACATCCCAAAAACAAAACAACCTGCGCAGAAACAAAAAGATCACGTGGTTTTCTCCGGTGGGTGTGACGTACCCTACAAACCTGCGTGGCGCGACAAGTCCCAGGGTTGTTTTGTTTCTGGGATGTCTATAGTCCATCCAATAAGATTCACAGATAACTTCATACATGTAATGATAAACAAGGCTTTATACCAGGTAGGATTTTGTGGTGGATGAGTATAACAGTAGGCTAACCTTACTGGAAAAAATTACAAATAACAATATAAAACATATAATTTTGGAGCTACTAGCTCCTTCTTCAGTTACTACTGAAGAATGGGCTAGTTAATGCAAAAAACATATAAAAACATGTGGTTGCTTACATTTATTAGCATGTTATGCATGCATTGCATGATTGTGGAAAATAAGTCAAAGAATCTAGTTAGGTAAGAGAAAACAGTGGTCAACAGTTGAAAATTTACAACTCTCAGATTAAGAATTTGTTTTAAAATCATAAAAATATGCACAGATGAAATAGTAGTCACATCAGAATAAATAAGTATACCAGTTGGACAAAAACTACAATAATATTGTCTTCAGCTGATCCGTTAGAAGAATGATTGTTGAATAATACTTGCAGGTACTTTATCTCAATTATCGACTTTTGGTACTGAGGTCCAAAAATCCTCTCAACATAGATTTTCTTTTGATAGAACAAACCTGTAGTTGGATGTGTCACTCACAGGGTGCGCTGATGTCGGAATTATTATTTCTTCATTAGTCTTTACTACTGTGACATGAGGATGTTAAGTTACAAAATAACTTTTCTTTTCAGTTTGGCTTGGTTAAACAATTGGCGCAATTGACAGCGACACACTCTGATAGTTACTAATTTAACTATATTCTTTATGTTTTATTTAGAAAAAAATAAAAAAGACTACAGCTTTAAACAGGAAGGAGATACCTACTTGTATCCGTTATCAGAGATACTGGATAAAAAATACCTTTAAATGGTCTTAAAAATTATAAACTTGAAGGGCAATAAGCTTAAGCCATTAACAGATGGTTAACATACCGATAAACGCGTTGGGTATCGTGATCTTGAGCCACATTCTGTCACGTATCTCTAGGCCAGAGTCTGGTCTAGCCATCGCTCTCACAATGGTGGCCATGTCAGTGTTGACCGTCAGGTGTAGCTCGTCAAAGGGCTCTGGACACAGCACATAATCATGTAAAAAATTAGCTTAGTAGATAAATGAAAAGTGTACTCACTAACCGAAAACATCAACTAAACCAATCAACGTTAGAGAGGGTAAATGAATTCAAGCTGGATGGACAATTTGGTTATGTACAAAAAATATAAATATGAATTTGGTTCGACACAAAACATTTTATTAGTTTGAAAAGATCCCCCCATTGAAGAAAATCCTTATACTTTTGTTAAGGATTAGTTTTTTTTTAGTGTTTCCCTTACTCTTGAAGACCCTTACATCACACACAGACAAATATATAAACAAAATTAGAAACTGTCACTAATCCAGACGTATCAATAAGGACTTTGCTTGATTTTAAAACTGAATAACCCAACCACGCCTTAAAACATTGTTTATCTATTTGCCCTTATTTAGACAACAGTTTTAAATTTTCAATACCACGTTGAAATATGAATCACATAATATGAAGGTTTGATCAATGCAATCAACTTTATTTCCAGGCTACAGGAGAAAAATCCCAGAATGCAATGTAAAGACGATTTTCTCATTGTTTAATGTTGAACAATAGCTTATAGCCTTTCAGCCTAGCTGTCAATAAAATAAATAGAATATGTTTTAAATAAATAAAATAAACTCACTCTCTGTGTCTGGGAGACTGGAGGTGATGGAAGAACTAGTGGAAGTCAGAGTTGTCACTGACGGAGGCCTCAGAGGGAAAGTTTCACCTAGAAAACATTTTTAACAATAAATACCTCTGAATCAATAATTTAGGCTATACAAATTCCTTAAATTGTTAGTGATAAAGGATCACACTGGTCTGGATATCTGGACTGATTGTGATCATCTTCCACGATCGCGCCCAAAATCATGAACAAAGATCACAGATATCATGCATGATCTTCTCTGGCCATTGAAGCAAATTTGTCAACATCTTTCACTGCAAAATCGTCCCGTCCCGAAATTCCACAACCATCTTAAATTGAAGTGAGCAATGACTTCCATCCCAACTTTCAAAATTCCCGCAGTCACTTATTTATTAAATACTACAGAAGTACTTGAGGAGTTTTCAAATAGAAAAAGTATATTTTAACTGTTAATTATTGCCTTAAATAAATGTTGTTGAACTTACTTACTGTGCTTTCCAACTAAAGTTCCCACTAACCATCTACGGTTTATCAAACCACAAATTAGCAGTCTACTTACCCCTGATGGCAGCAGTGTGGGCAACCCATGCTCCTGGGTCAATGGGTCTGACGGGTTCAGTTCTGGGGATGGTAAAGTAGCCCTTGGGGTTGGCATCCCAACACTTGGCCACGACCAGCTTGATGGGTCTGTAAAAAGTGATTGTACATTTAGACAGCAACTGAATTAAACTTGCATTTGAGAAATAGTAACAACTAACAAGTCTTACCAAACAAGGTACACCAGTTGTAGAATCCCTATGGTTTTATACGACTTCGGGTGGATTATGACCAAGGTGATGAATTGTCAGGGGACAAATTTGTTACTCCAATCTGACAAAAGCAGTAGTTGGCGTACATCTACCTGGTAGAATTGGGCGTTAATAAACATAATAGGATGATGTTTCGCCTATAACTTTGATCCACAATCTACATGAACTAGACATTTAGAGTTAAAATGTGGCAGTTCAAGAATAGCTAAAAAAAGAAAATTCTACGCAATTCTGTCCATGTTACATTATCTAAAAATATCTAGGTATGTTTATCCTATGATAGGAATAATAATAAGACTACTTCTGGCTTACCCTGGTTTTTGTACAACTTCTCGCAGCACCCTGACTGCCTCATCGTTGGACATGTTCTCAAAGTTGATGTCATTCACCTGCAGTATCATATCTCCCGGCTCTATCCTTCCATCCAGCGCAACTGCACCTCTGTAGCATACGACAATTGATGTTAGAAAAACTAGGTTAAATTTTATGCATTTTGTTGACTTACAGATATGTAACGTCTGGATTCATTAAGCCAGTTTTTGATTTGAATTTAAAAAAAAGTTAGTTGCATACAATTGAAAAATAAATTTACTGAATTAGACTACTAGGCGCTATTTGTATTTTCATTTTTTGATGTTAGCCTCCGGATTACATTGAATAAATAAATGTACCTTTTTTATATTTTTTATGTTTGTGTTTGCGTTTGTGTCCATGTCCATGTTCGTGTATTTTTGTATATCCAATATATATGTATCGATGACCTTCTGATGAAGTGATTTTGACATCCCCCTGGACACCTGATGATGACTTTGTGAAATCAAAACTACTTGCGTCATTGTTACAACATTAAGGATAACTAAGGAGCAGGTATATACCTACACCAATTTTTACTTATTGTATATAACAAGTATAAGGATAGTAAAATCTTTTTCTGAATATAAAAGCTTCTCTGAAAAATCTGTGATATAATTGGTTGCAAAATCTTCACCGAACGCATAAGTCTAGAACTAGCAAATATGCTATACGTTCTTCCACTTTGTGCGGAACATACCTACCATTTATAGCGAGGACTACGGTGTATTTTACTAATTAATATTTATCAGCTCTCACCCTTTCATGATGGAGCCAACGTAGATTCCGCCATCCCCACCCTTGTTGCTCTGGCCGACAATGCTGATGCCCAGGAAGTTGACTGTGTCCATGTTAAGAGTCACCGTGATGATGTTCAGGCTCATCGTGGAGTCGGTGATGGAGGAGAAGGAGGAAGTACGAGACATGGCTAGTGGCTGACGATGTCTACGTCGCCGCTGAGGCCTGCGACGTGACCGGGATACCATGCTGCTTGAGTCTGCGCAAAGTGAAGATAATAGACGCAATTCATAAATTTAAAAGTTATTTGTTAGTTACGTTTTACAAAAAATAAAATGACAAATCTTGTTTGGGTAAACCTTACATTAGTGTATATAAAGGTCTTTCTAACTAACTAGCGAGTTTGGGTCGGTTTCAGGTATTCGCTGAAAATTGAAGTCTGATGTTAATAGTCAATGGTAAATAGTCAATCCTTTACTTTCACATAACATTACACAACAAAATTCAGCAAAGCTGATGTAACAGGTGAAATTCTCATACAGTACTAAAACTAAAAACGCAAGACAACACTAAAAAGATCACATAAAATTACTGATGCATGATGAATGTATGGTTTGTCTGGAGAATGTTTTGACAAATTATATCAGTATATCGTGGCTCAGTTGGAAGTTCTTCTGAGACATAATGGCAGATCATAATGATTTCCGTAGATCTGTTTATTGGTCTGGCTTATCTAATCATTTGCTGGGATTGGTCAAAGCACAGTAACAGACAAATTTTGGTAACATAAGATAAAAATGAAAGATCAAATTTCCAACAAAAACATTGATAGCCAAAGTTGTGTGCTACTACATACCCATTCTATCAATGGAGAGATTGGTTGCGCGGCCGGTGGTGGTAGTGATATGACTTGAAGCGTCGTCTTCGGACTCCAGGAAACTTGTTGTCTCCAGATCAGAGCTCAACATGGACGAACTCTCATAGCCGTGACCACCCGGCATGCTGCGCATCTTGCCGTGGCCGTTGATCCGGATACCTGACATTAAATTTTAATTTTAAATCAACATTAGGCTAACAGTTTTGTACTTTAAAAATGAAAGGCCTATGAATAAGTTGAGTTATTACTTATCGGCTTTACTTACTTGAATATTGTTAAGTCACTAAATAGATCAAATATATTTTATTTCGTATAGTGTCGTTCTAGGAAATTTAAGTTGAAACAAAGACTGTATAGTATAAACTTGGGGGATTTAATTTGGAGCTTTACAGCTCCATTTTCAAATCCCAGAAGATTTTTGAAATTGCCAAAAAATATATAGCCTATTGTTACAAGAAACAAATTAATACAATGATAGACATACGGCAATTAAAAACAATTTTGGTAACCCTATCTCATGACCAGCTGAAATGAACAACTCCAGCTGTATTTTGTAAATTTAATAGTTACCAGTACTCTATCCTGTTTTCTATTACAAACAATTGTCCCCAAACTCACCATTATATTTATGGTACTTCTCGTACTTGTCGACATGGGGACGGGCCTCCTTGTGTATATTGTGATGACCTGAAATTATTTAACAGAATTTTGATATAAGAACACAATATTTGATTAAGCTGAAACTAATTCTTTAGATGAATTAATCTAACACTGATGACATCCTGTTGCAACATGTTAACGAAATAAAAAATAGGTCAATATCATTTTTAACCTTACCTTCAATATATAATCTGAACATGCCTGCTCCTTATCAAGACAAATTTGGTTCCCATTGTGGAGGAACACGTTTCTATTATTAGTATTGTCATAACCCCAGGAACAGAGATATTTTGCAACTACCGTACCAATTCATAGGCTAATTCCAATTAAATTGTTACCAAATCGTCTAGGAATAGATTTTACAATAAGGGAAAACTTATTGATCAGCAAAGCCTATTAAAAAATCTATTATTATGTTTGATAGAATTTGTTGGTATTTAGGCCTAGCATCATTAAATTAGAATTAGCCTGTTTTTAAAAATTGTTGACTTAGGAATTGACAATAGTATATTTGGTTTATTTGTTCCCTTAGTGTATCCCCCCCCCCCCCCATAGACTTAACCATAGACATTTACCCCTATTTGTGTTTATAGGCCTACACACATTGATTGTTTTTTGTTTAATCTCCATACATGTAAAAACAAGTTTGTTATTTTTAAATAGCCAACTTGTTTATTTTTTAGTTGACACCATTCAATGAACCTCATATATGTGTGGTATATGTGTGGTATGTCGTGAATGAAGATTATTTTACTTGATTTGAAACCAGAACTACAGAGATATAAACTACTAAGAGAGTTTCTACTTCAAACCGAAGTTTAAATTCAGAGACAGAATAGTTGAATATTTTGAAAGTTTAGAGGAGGACAAAATTATACAATTTTAAGATCTTTACCCATAAGAAAAATCAACCATAAAGGTTTTAACAAAACGAGAAGACATTTGAACTGTTTAAGTAAGTAAGTCATATAGGCTTAGTAAAAGCTTAACCAAATTTAAAGTTAAAGAAAAATTAGCAGAGTAATACTTACCACCAGGTCGTGAACTTATGATGGATTCAGTTTCCGTACATGTTAGGTCATCTGTGTTTGTGCGAACTGTGTGAGTTGCGTTGATTCTGCAGGGAAAAAACAATCAATAAAGTCTGAAATAATTAGTCCTAATATTTATATATAAATCGGGAAGTGCCGATTTTCCCTGATTTTTCCAATATGGCGGCGGGCGTGGAGGGGGAAAATTGTGCATTTTAAACACCTACTTACCATCCTACATAACATATAAAAAACTGGACTGTTTACAAGTTAACTCCCCCATTTTTGTCTCTATTTACTGGACTATCATGATGAGAATTAAAAGACAAAAACAGGACTGAGATGATTTGGACATATGTGGAAATAATGCAAGAATATATCATTCCTGGGATAATGATACAAGGGAGGAGCTCATCCAAGGAAGAATAAGAAGAACAGTAGATAAAGAAACTGGAGAGAGGAGTGAGATAGCAGACGGCGAAGGAAGTTGAACTGTGGTGGGGATTTTTTAAAAGCCAAATAAATTGGAAAATTATCTAGGCAACAGCTAAGTTATTATACGCCAAGACACAGTTGGCATGGCTTGGCAAACAAAGTGTAATTGAGCATAGATGATGACGACAAAATTTCATACCTGACAATGAAAAATATCAAGTTTAGAAAACCACTGTAGATTGTTTTAGGAAATAGATTTTTGATAAACATTTGTGGATTTTAAAATGACAATAGGTTTAAATAACGTAATAAACTACTGGTGTGCTGGTATCTACTATAAACTCTTTGAACCGATATGGGATTTTATTTCCAACCATTGATTAACTGAAAATTGGGTTGTTAAAAACTGCCTTGACCCCTTTATTTAGGTTGGTTGGGGTTTTACTGCATGGCAAGTAGAATTCTGAATGCTATAAATTTTCACAGACATAACTTACGGAGGTGGCTCAGCGGCTCTTTCAGGTTGGTTTTTACCGTCGGAATGTCCCGCACTCTCAGTGCACTGCGATGTACCATCAGAAACATTACTTCCCTCTGCTGAAACAAGCTGAAAAAAAAGAAAATTTTTAGCTGAAAAACAATTTAGGCTGACAGAAAAAACTAAGTTAGTCATTAACTTAGTTCTTTCTGTCAGCCTAATTTGATACCAAGACTGATTTTCATTTTTCCATTAATTTGAAATGCCTTCCTATAAATCTAAGGCCCTTATTAGAGTAGGTTTATCAACAACAAAATTAACCCGACGATTCAAACATCTTACAAAGCTATAAAACCAAAGGTTAAACAGTTTTTTATGGATTTTTGTGATATCTAATCTAGCACAATTTATCCAACAAATAGCTTAATTAAAGCAACTGAAAGTGTATAACTGGGAGCACTACATACAGTATAGGAAGCACTAAATAGCCTAGATTAGTTATTATAAGCTTACACTTACCCAAGACACAACCCTGCCATTAAAGCATGGTAGATGGGCGTCATCATCTATTATTTCTTCTTTCACCACCCTAAAATAAATGTTAAATATTAAACTTGTGAAAACACTCTCATGACATTGTTTAAGTAGATCTATCAGTTCAGAAATTGATTGAGTAATTCAGTAATTGACAATTTATCTTCATGCATCTGCCTGAGTGGAGGGTTTAAAATTTCTTTAACATAGTTGCAAGTTTCTAAAAGCCTTATCTTTGCAAGTAAAGTCAAAAGTTGTCTTGTCTTAATGCAAACTGTTACTTTTCATTTTTTGAATTGTTAGGTAAAGTACCTACCAAATTGGCTAATTAATTTTAGAGATTTATCTTTTTTCCACTCACCCCTATTTTTTCAATGTATTTCCGCAATATTGAACCTTGAAATTGGTATGTTTTTGTCCTGATTATTTTTAATCCTATTGTTAACGGAGTACCTGTCATTGTGTTGATTGTAAAATGCTTGTACTGAATTAAGTTGTAAACTGGTTAATGACAAAAACCAAAATAAATTGATTGAATTGAACACCTTTTATTCAGATGAAGTATTTTATAGTATAAAAATGGTAGGAAAAAGTTGGGTAGCTGAGTGGTTTTAGTGCTTACTAGTAAACCGGTCACCGGTTCAACCCTCAGAAAATTCGGTGGGTTTTAGATGGTTCAAAACTGAGCCTAGCTGTCCTTGATTCTGGGGCTTTGAATAAATGGTATTGTCTAAGATACACCTAATCTTAATCAGCAACAAAGCTACACGAGTAGGCCTAATCTCTTCCCATTCTATACCATCCTACACTCATAATCAGCTTAAAGTAGGCCTAAGTTACACACTCAGAAAGTGTACATCATCTTGAGATTGATTGTTTGAAAAATAAATGTCTCCACTATTTTGCAGGTCAAAACTCCTCTGACTTGAAACTGCATACTAAAATGTAGCCTTGATTATGTTGACGAGTTCAAAATGTGTATCTTAACATGTTTAGATCTTTAAAATGGAAACTTAAAATTTATGTTGTTGTAGGACGAATTAGGACTGTTAAAGAAACAAAATGACAGGCACATTACGCACGAAAACATTTAACAGTTAAATGTTTTCGTTCGTAATGTGTGTGTGTTTATTTAAATGTTTCTTGACGACCCCATCATGGATGAAGACAAAGCATTCTTGCTAGGATACCACCTGACGATGCCTGATTAGGCGAAACATGTTGTGAGTTCTACACTTAGGCCTACTACAATTGAACTGTTGACGTAAAAAAGTTTAAGTTTAGTTTAAAAATAATGTTGGGTTATACATTTAAGCATGATCTTAAACATTAATATAGCGAGCCTACCCCCAGAAACACTGCAGACCTGCCTGATTGAAAATATTTTCATTAAACATGCCAGATATACCCATTTAGCCTAGTGTACCGTAACTTAAAAAAAATAACATTAAGATTCATAACGAGTAAGTTTACAAGTAGGCCCAAGCTACTTAGGTTTGCTGCTACACAGGGAAAGAAAATTGTTTTTTTTTTTATTCATAGAACAGTACGGGTTGAAACAAAACAACTAGGCATTCAACAGTTTATTTTTGTTCCATAAGAATGGCATGGTATTTTAAAATGTAAACTTACCGAGACAACAGTATTCATTTTGATATTCTCCGTAACCTTTAACCGCACAACAACGATTCAATAAGTAGGCTATACCAGTATAAAAGTAACTTATTTTGTACCTAGAGCCGAAAATTATATTTTGCCGGGGCTAGAGATAATTTTTTACGAACGCTATATTTCACTAAACTACATAACTTAGGCCTATACAAAATTGAGAAACTATTGGCTATAGGCCTACAATAAATGCACATTTAACTTAGGCCTACTTGTAACTTACTATACACAACTTTACTTTATACTTACCTACGTGAAGAAATATTTATTACGGAAAGTAAATAAAAGAAACGTACTTAAAATCACCTAGGCCTATGTTTTGCCTATTGGGTCTGATGATGATTGGAGTGTCCAATCGAAATCGATCACCACTTACCATGTTTTTTTAATATTTACCGTCTTGTGAGTAACAGTAAGCGTAAATATATGTTTTAAGTGTTATAAGAGGTTTCTTTTACACAGAGGATACGCGTCCGGTAACCAGACGTGGATTAGGCGTCCGGTAACCAGACGTGGATTAGGCGTCCGGTAACCAGACGTGGATTAGGCGTCCGGTAGGGGGTCCCGGAACGCCATTACCACAATGATACGATGTTCAGCCATCAGTGTTCGTGGTGCAGTGGATAGAGTGCTCGATTGACATGCGAGAAGTCCCCGGTTCGAAACTCAGCGGTTACTCTAACTTTTTGTCACAGATTTTGCTTTGAATGTAATTTCTTCTTAACTGTACATCTTTTGTTAGAATTTTTGGCATTTATAATTTTATGTTAAAGAGAATTGAACCTTCATTTGATTTTTTTCACTATCAGCAAGTTTGGTTGGTTAGGTTAGGTTATGACAGTAACTGCCGGACGCCTAATCCACGTCCGGTTACCGGACGCGTATCCTCTGCGTTTCTTTTATTAAAAAACTCTACCAAAAATATACACGTAGTGTACCGGTACCCGCATTGAATATTGGATAAGTTACTGAAAGTCTATTCATTCAAATATAGTGAAAGTTTACTTCCTAATTAATTTATGTCAAATATAGTTTAGTTCCTACCTATCTGTTTTACTGTTAACTAAGTAGGCCTAGTGGACGAGTTAAGTTATTGTTTATGATTAGACCGTTTCATTGGTTAAATGAGATTTAAGTTAAGTGACAGAATAACGTTCAAGAAACAAATTAAAATACGACCTCGTCAGTGCACCGGACAGATCTAAGTAGGCCTAGCTTACCTAACAATAAAATTGGCCTCAGCTGTTCCTTAAGGATGAGAAATCTACTACTAGGGTAGGCTAGTATGTTTTATCATTGACTATACACAGAAATATCTTTCTGTGTATAGTCAATGGTTTTATCTATGGCCTTAGTAAAGCTAATGGATTGACTCCTTGACGTAAGCCTTTTAGTAGTCCTAGGACTAGGACCTTTGTTAACAAGTGACTTCTCTGTTCTACACATAGACTGTTACAAAAATAAGTCAAATAATATTCATAGTAATTACTTTCATTCAACTTACCTGAGTCTCCTGGTTGAATAGGCTAGGCCTACCTTGATTTTCCATTAGACTTAAAAGATAGCCTATGCCTAGAGGCTTAAAGGCATAGGGTTTATAATAATTACTAAATAACACAATCTTGACGCAGTTAAGAACGAAAGACCTTTATGCCTAGACCAGAAAATAATCATAAAATTGCAATACGAAAATAAATTTCCCTTTTCTCTTACCCAAAATCATCGTCCATTGACTTGAAGAAATACTTGTAGTTCGGTCTATTGAGGACATTTTTGAAGTCCGCCAAAGTGACTCTCTCAGGAGCGATTGGCAGTTTAACTAAATAAGGAGTTTCTTCTTCGTCAATATGATAGATAACTTTAGTTTCTTCCATGATAACACACGAAAACTACATTTAATTACAAATGTAAAATGTGACACTTAATGAACACGGACTAAATATACAACACAACCTCAACCCACAATCCACCATTCTCTGACAAATGTGCTGCGGTACTCAAAAAAGGTGTACAATTTTCATGAAATATCTAAAAGTAATAGTTTGTATGTAAATTATTAATTTAAAACTTCCTTCCATATTATTATGACAGGTCTTATTTTTTCAAAAATCTAAACAAGATATTTATAAAAGGTTCAGGTTTTTTCTTGAGCACAAAGTCAAATGGGTGTTTCCCACAGTCCTGGCGGACAATTCAAAATTCAATTGCTGATGTGCACAATGCAAGTTTGACAGTCAAAATATGACACGCTTCACAGAACAAAAATTAGAAAGTACATTGAAAAGAATCTCTAATCAGAAAAATATCTCTAAGAATAACAACTATATTTGGATGAATATTTTTAAAAATCAATATTATCTTAGTTAATCTTATACCCTACTGTATTTTTTATTGGATGTTGAATCCTATAGTGATCAGATCGAACCATTAAGTATTGTGTAATCAGATCTTATAGTGCTATTCATACATACCAACTTGTTGAAAATTCCGAGAATCTAAAATTACACTACTGTAACCAGAAAACTATAAAAAAAGTTATTTTAACAAAAAACCTGAATAGTTTATTCAAAATTAAACTTTTAACACAAACTAATCATCTGTTAATCTTACTAATATTATAAATGTGAAAGTTTGTGTGTTTATTTGTTTGTTTGAAGTTCAATCACGCTTAAACCACTGGACGGATTGGGCTGAAATTTGGCATGATGATAGCTCACATTCCCGATTAACATATAGGCATATTCTTATCTCAAAATTCCTTTCGGGCTCCACCCCAGTGGCTCTGTAGTTCCCCATGTTAACCTTATGAGTATCTTGTGGAGTCAATCTCCACAACACAACACTGTTTGAATGTCCCGCCAATCTCAACCCCTACCGCTGCTCGCGCATGCGCAGGGAGCAGGCGGGTAAGACGAGTGAGAAATCGCTCTGTCGTGCACCTGACTTCGGACATCATGGAAGGCTAAGTTCTTTTGGGAAATGGGGGGACGCCCCCTTAAGGTATTGTGTCGTAGTAGTAGAATTAAATAATATGTAATTTCAGATCATCACATCAAATCCAATATATCATTCATTGCATCATTAATTATCAGTCATTTATTCAGATGTTAGTTCACGTTGTGTCCAGTCAACTTATATATTAGTTATATTTCATATGTTGAACCAAGTATATATTTCTCAGATATAAATGCATTAATTAATCAAACAATCATCAAAGCTGGCTCTTGGGGCCTGTGAATTGCGGTAAATTGTCTCCTCTGTTTTATATAATGTGTTCAGTTTACGTTTCCAACAAGAACGATTTGGTCTGGAATTTGATTCACATGACCAGATCACCAAAATGTGCCACCATTATGCCACAATCTATATATTAATTTGAAACTCTTTTTCTTTGTCACAGCTATTTTGAGAGAACGGCTGGGCGTAGAAACTCGGTAGAGGTGTCTAAAGAAAGGTCTTGGTCTGTAGATGAGCCATCAAATGAGAAACATGGTGAATTCCCTTGGGGCTCTGCCCCAGTGGCCTTTGAATTCCCATCCCATGTTATTCTTATGGAGGAAAACGGGATTTTTGTCACAGCTAATTTGAGAGAACGGCTGGGCGTAGAAACTTGGTAGGGGTCTCTAAAGAAAGGTCTTGGTCTGAAGATGTGCCATCATAAGAGGAACGTGGTCAATTCCCTTAGGGCTCTGCCCCAGAAGCCTTTAAAGTTGCCTCCAGATTTGTTTACATTACGACCATATGCATAATTCTACACTACTTTTTAATGAAACAGCTGTTATAATTAAATTGTGAATTATTGAATTTACGCCACACTACATTATTTTGATGCACTTTCCAAACAAGGATTTAGTCCAGAAAACAGCTGTTTGCCGCCAGCTTATTCAAATGGGGTTTCATTGCGTAATACTGTTCTGCAATGAGTTTTACCGGACACCTATCAGCTGATTATACTGTATTTTCGTGGCAATTAGTGGTTATAAACAAAAACATAACCTCTCATGACTAGTGTTTATTAGTCCTTTAGTTGGTGGAAATATATAAGGATTTGTACGGATTAAGTAGTATGGCGTAAACTATCGTACGTAACTCGTCCAAAATGTGTGTACCGGACTCGTATGGTAATCCCGTACTCGACTTCGTCTCGCACGGGAACGACCAAACTCGTCCGGTAAACACTTATTTTCAGGACTAGTAACGTAATATACTATTGTCAAAATGAAGTACAGTATTTGCAATGGGTTTTTCTGATTTCAAAATGGATTTTCTTCTGCATCGTGTCATGTTTTGCAATATAATATTCCATTACCAAATCAGTGGAAAATCCTATTATCACAGCAACTCTTTTCTTTTGGAGTTAACATATATCTATTGTATGGGTTGGTTTCTGCCTTTCTTACCACTTCTTGGAGATTGTACGTAGGTGATATTCGTTGGCATATTGCATCTGTAGACGAAACTTGGGTTGGTGTATGGAATGGAAAAGAGTGGGAAATCCTGGACTATTTGACATTGGCTAAAAATAAAACTGAATTAACACTGTTCTACATTTCTTGAGCAATCATTGAAATAACCGATTTGCAAACAATGGAAGCAGAAAAAGTCATAGAACACAACCAAGTCGAAGTAATAGAAATAATGTTTTTTTTTCATTTATAATCGTTATCATAGACAACCTAATGTGACTATGAGAGGGAAAAATTTGTAGAAAACACTAAAAAAACAAGATCAGCTTTTTGAAAAAAGATAAGATATTTACAAAAGATTTTGATTATATCTAACTGTTGTGTAGATTGTGAGTATTTCCATAATCTTTGAATCGCCTGTAATGCAATTGCTCGAATTCGAGCAACAGGTACACTAGTTCATATTTAAAGGGAATTAAAGAATTAATTTAGTCAGCTGCTTCAACTAAAAAAGTTGGTTCTATGATATGCAAAAGCATTAAAAAGTTATAAGATTTATTAACAGGGTGCAGCACTATATTTTTTTGCATTTATGTAAATTGCTAATTTGAACTAAGCAGCAACAAAAAACTGTCAATGAGAACTGTCAAAGTAGGAATGTTTACAGATGTTTATGTTTTTAACGCCATTAATAATTTGTTATTTTTTGAAAATTTTTAATAATTTATTTTTCTTTATTGTTTAGGTGACGTGGTAGAACATTATGGCTATGGTAGATAAGAACAGTAATGCCATAGGCTACAGTGTTAGCAAAACGGGAGTGCCGATGGAGACCAGGTCAAGTCCCTTCAAACGCACGCACCCCCACAGGTCTCCATCGGCACTCCCGTTTTGCTAACACTATATAGGATTATACTAGGACGCTAGCGGGGCATTAAATCAAATGGGGGCGATTATACTAGGGATGCCAGTGTCGGATGCTACAAAAGCCACCGGACGCTCGAGAAATTTGAGCGTCTAGTGACTTTTCGCCTCCCAGGATGGGCAAAATCGGTTGTGGGGCATTGGTTCAAATGTGGCGCATTATACTAGGCGGCTAGCATCCAAGACGCCCTCTTTCGACATTTGTGCGAATATAGGGAATACGCTATTACCATAGGTCACAATGGTTAGACCTTGACCCGGGACCGATTTACTTTTTCGATTTGATGTCCCCAGAGGCCAAAAACACCATCCGTTCATGTAGATTTAGATATCTGTCTGTAAACGCGATATTTTGAGTAATTTTTGTCCGATTTTGATGAAATTTGGCTTAAAGGTGTAGGGTGGGACATAGTTGGATGAGTTCTCAAACCAGCATGATCGGACCTTGGAAACGGGGTTTTATGGGGTAAAAAAGGGGTTTTGTCATTTTTGACCCACAAAACACAAAGTTTCCCAATTTTTCTCTAGACAATTTCAATGAGCTTAAAAACAAATAATTTAGTATATTAAAGTGTTCTTGTACGGTTATTAGTTACGGAGAAAATTCACAAAAGTGTAAATTAAAAATTCTTATGCTATTCTTATAGAAAATATTGTTAACTGTTGGAATTTGCTTGTCTATGGATATATTTTGATGACACTTGGGCAATTTGTTATATTAATATACCAAGCCATTAATATTTTACTAAAAACACACTTTATTAGCCTACCTGACGCAGCAAACCTGGGCACTTGTTAAACCTAATGTTATTTAAGTAGATATAAAAAAAAGTGACAAAACATTGAAATAAAATGGCAGTCCGAGAGGTCTAGAATCCCTACACAAATCACGTAATTTTCGGCTCGAAGTGGGACGCTAGCCTCTCAGACGCCAGCATCCCGGACGCCAGGTTCCTAGTATAATCCTAGCCATAGTATACCGTAAATTTAAAGAAGCAAATTTTGTCTACCCTCCCCCATTGCAAAAGCAAAGCTTGAATATAACTGCAATAAGCCTTTTACCAACTTATATGCCATCTCCGTACGAAGGATGGGTACTCTGCTAGTAAACAATAAATTAATATAAAACACAGACTGTTAGAAACATTATAGAGATATTACCATAGACAAATAGAATGAATAGACCGGCAGCAGTTCTGTGGTTAGATTATTTTCCGGTGCCCTCCGCTAGGAGTGACGTTTAGTTACGGCGCAAACCGCTGCAGTGTCTGCCGGTAGCACACTTTTTAATACTTTACTTTCCAATGAAATGGCGACACGGCTCCTGCGCTCCTTGCCTGCAGCGGTCTGCGCCGTAACTACACAACACTTCTAGCGGTGGGCGCCGGAAGCTTCCTTTGACAGTCTATATTTATTCTATTTGTCTATGATATTACTAATCTCAACCAGTCTCAACACAACTAAGAGAGTATGTTAAATCTATGTTATTGGATATTGAAGTACCTAGACATCACATCTCAGTATTGGATTTTATTAACAAATGCCTCCAATTTGATGTGCATTAACATTTATCCATGCTTACATTTTAAGATTTTCTTCTGATTCCTGGTGGGCCTTCCCCCTGAGGAGGTAGTGCATCACTGAATAATAGTATTAAAATGGTTTTTTATAGCCAGTATCATTTTCCCAAGTTCTGTAACTCCGTCTTTATTATTTTTTTAAATATTCAAACTGTTCCTGTTTCCAATATTTTATAAAAAGAAACTTCACTTATATTATTTGGTATAATGGTATGGTACACCGGTACACTCACTGGATTTGGTTGGTATAATTTCAAAGTTATTTGAGTTAAGAGTGTACTTCAAGAAGAAAGAGATTTCATGTAAATCGTTTTCTACATTTTTGGTCAGTTGGTCACAATGAATAACTAATTTGGTCGTATTAATAATTTAATCTGCAATCATACAGATTTTATTTCATTACAATAATTTTTATTTCACAATAAAAGTACAACAAATTGGCAAGTTATCACAGCTCTAAAGAAACTTAGCAAACAGGAAAACAACAATTTCTCAGCAATAAACAACAATTTAGGATTAAACCCTAAACAAACAATAATTAAACGCAATGAAACTTCACAAGAATAATTACAAACAATAAGTATCATCGAAAAACAATTTAACGTCAACAAACAAATTTAACCCTGTATTTAAAACAAATTTAACAACTAAAACAATTTTACAATTGCTAGGAAACTGGAACATTCCCAATTTCAAAAACAAAAATTCTCAAAAAAACATTTTGGAATTTCAATTTCCAAATTATTTTACAAACTCCTTCATGGGTCTGTACTTGTAAAACATTATCAGATTGTAAAACTCTATAGTGTCTTATAAAAAAGCCTGTGTTTCTTCCTCTCAACGGTCTAAAAGCGATACTCCCCGTTAAGAATTTCAAAACCCAGTTTCAAAACACTTTCAGCATGTTCTTCTCATCAAAGCCGGCGGAATGCCCAGCATTGCGTACAATGAAGCTGACACCATCGTAGTGCATCCGACGCTCGCCTCGCCGCACAAACAAGTGGGACGTCTGGCCAAGCGAGGCGGTCGTGTGGACAAAGGGCGTTGTGATGGTCGCTGAGCCGTTGGTGGGGGAAGTACGCAACTGGTACTTGTTGCTGTTCCGGGCGATACTGGAACCACAAAGTATAATTTAATCAAATATAAACATAGCATAGGTTAAAGAAGTGTTTTTATTTTGTTGTGAAAAACTGTGGTCAGTGCAATTCTGATAATGCACAATAACCTTTGCATTGTTGTTCTAAACCCACGACTTTTTTTTAAAGTAGCTGTTTCAGTTCAGTTCATAGAATTGAAAAATTTCTCATAACAACATTGTTTACTTTCATAACAGCATAGTTTTACTCATAACAACACGGATAACGGACCAATAAGGTTCAAGGATTGAGAGAGAGGAAGTAAAATTGTAATGATTCGAATTTCAACTAATCAGCTGTTCAGGCTAATTTAATTGTTGAGTGGTGCAATTAGTGTTTGGTACAATGTTTCGTTGCATTACTGTCAGTAGCATGAGAAGTTATTTACAAAACCTCTCTTAAAAGCAGGGGCGGCTCCAGCATGGATTCTCTGAGGGGGCCATCCATGGCCTCCCTGCCCCCCCCCTGGAGCCACCCCTGCTTAAAAGTTATGAGTAGTGACTTTTAGTAATTAAAACACTGTCGTAGGTAAAGTAGTGTATGCAAATCTCGTAAATAGTTTTAACGACACTCGTAGAAGTTTTTAAGGCACTCGCCAAGGCTCGTAACTTAAATTTTGGACTTGTGTTGTTAACACTATGCTTCACGCAATCGTTGCATAAACTATAAGTACCGAAGAATATACCTTCTAGGTAGCTGAGTGGATATAGAGCTCGCCCGGTAATGAATGGATTTGCGGTTTTATCCTGAGAAAGTTCTGTAGTTTTTTTATGGTTCAAAACAGTGCACAGTTGTCCATGACCATTGGGATCTATACAAATAGTCCTGGCTTAAAAACAGCTGATCTTAGTTCAATCTCATTCGTTGAGACATTTTTACGCTTTACTCATTTTTACCTTAAGGGCATTCTACCCGGCAGCCTAAATTTCAATTCATGATGGCGGATTATATATGGATTGAAATATAGTTAGGGGTTGAAAATGCCTCTATTGTAAAAGCTCTCAACATTCTAAAACTATTTTTTTTTCCAATGAGTGTGTGCTTTTTGTGTTCTAAACATAACAGAGCTTGCAATAGCAGGGACAAATTTAATTTTTAACTATTATTTAGAAGTTGAAGTCACACGTGAAAAAGACTAATTTACAGATTTTCAAAATGATTTTGTAAATACTTAAAGAAAATGACGAAGTTTCAGTTCATCCAGTGCCTAGTTTAGATTTTTTTGAATATTTTACAATTTATTTCAACTTGATAAAAACTTTAATACTGCCACGAGGTTCTTTTTTGTAGGACCATGTTTACGTGGTTACAGCCGGCGGTTGGAACCCTATAAATATGTTTCTTAATGTGTTGGAAAATCTACTCTAATCTATTACTGTATGGTTGTCAATTGCAAATCTTTTCTTTGACTTTTCTATCTCCATTACTTTCCTACTATAGGTAAATATCATGAGGTTTGGACTTTATCAAGCTTTAGTCAACATCGCTATATAGATTATTTGAGGAATGTGAAGATGAAGGATATGAATACAGCTTGATAGACGTTGGTCGAAACCCAGGTCATCCAATGCAAAGAAAGGAGGTGTGATGGAAAATGATGAATAAGTGTGATAGCACAAAAACTGTGAAATCAAGGCAGCAATGGCTTGCGGTCGTGTCCCAATGCCACCACTTAAAATTTATCATAGCAGTTCATTCTTATTCTGGCTCACCATTTGCTTAGCTTCATAATAATATGGGGCTCCTGAGTCCCATATGGATGGACAAATTCAAGATTTGATACAGCTACCAATCACGAAATATTGGAAATAAGAGTTTTGACTATGTTTCAAAATAAACCTTGAAACTCATTCTTTCTTGTGTAGTTGCATATATTTTTCGATAAAGTAATGCATCACTATGAAAATCAAAGTGATTGACATCAGGAAAAGCACCTCAAATACACAAACTTATATCTCAAAAATGCTCACAGACAATAATTGAATAACACAGTCTTACCGTAGCAATCCGTCTGGCGTCTGAGATATTCTGACATTGTTGATGATCCAATTCTGCACTTTCTTGTCATCAATGAAGTACTGAGCGTTCTGCAGAAGGTGCATCGCCTCCTGCTGGTAGCCCAGTCCATGGCGACTCTCGTTGTAAAAAACAGCGAGAGAGAAGTCTTGAGACATGTCAGAGAAGCTGTCAGTTGTGGTGCGAGTCCCGGCGGAGTCTACAAGATACACGAGTGCACACTTCTCAGATGTGAAGCTCACTCCTTTGTACCACATCTTGGCAAGCCTATGTGCACAGACGGGACCAGAAGTAAGAGGCGCGCTAATCAACACTATCACAAAAAACTAGGTCTTCTGGATACGAAGGTGTTACGGACAGAAACTTATAACCAAGTACAAAAGTTTCAGCTACGCTAGTGAAAACGTCAGCAAAACGATATTGAGGCTGAAATGTCGGCACTTAGTTATGATTGGCAATCTGTGACATGGTCGTACCTAGAAGAATTGTGAGTGTTGATGTTTGTTCTGTCACATTTTAAATTTATTCGTAATTATATTGAATTATATTCGCAATTAATTTCAATGAATGTGTATACATAAAATGTTTTGAACCTTTTCTTTGCGGTATTATCTCCGTTTCAAAAACATAAAGGGTTTACTTCTGAGACAAAACCCAAAAAATTATACGTTCTGGAAAAATATAAGTTCTTTAGCATTTATATGCCTACTTACTACTTCATACCGGGTATTGGTTAATTAACAGCTGTTTTTAAAGAATATGTCGGCCTTACAGTAGTCACTAACAAGACTGCAAGATTGCGCCACTATTCATCTACAATCATCTCCATTCATACTTGTAATACCTACTTTGTATGGTTGCCATTTCAATGATAAGTATTAAGTAAGTACACAATTTTTACTTGAGTCCACTAAGTATTTACTAAGTAGCTAATTTTACTCATAAGGAGTTTAATTTAAAAATAATTTATGAATTACTTGTTGTTGCCTTGAACGTCGTGTGCCTGAATCTCCACTCGGCTGCCATACTGGTAGATACGTCCATTGGGATGTAACAGAGCAGACGAGGCCCCTGACGCACCCAATGACATTACAATGTTACTCTGAAGGATACAAATCAGAAACATGTTACTTAAAGAAACAGCTAAAACGCTAAAAGTGTATCTCATAATAATGTATAATTTATCTTCTTATTTTCTTTAGTAAATATTCCAAAACTCAGCACAGTTGCATAACATCTGCATTTGCTTGTAAAAATGTTAAATTTTTAATAACAAACTATATGTTACATCATGTTGACATCTACGCAATTGTAATAAAATTAGGTACTCATATTTCACACTTTGAATTAGTGTTGAGTGACTGCTGATCTCTGAGCAAAAATGAAACTAATCAAAAATATTAAGTTTGCATAGTTTTCCAAAACAATGTCTTGCTTTTTCAAGCAATTGAAAAAAAAATGTTTAGTTTCAGGCATCACAAAGTTGTGAATAGCCTATTATCCATTGTATTACATTTAGTTGTCTTTACACGATAGATATTGTATTGAATGTATCCTCTGCTTTTAACTTTTCTGTGGTGATATGGTGCATAGAATGGTGGGTCCCAATGCCAAATCTTTAGATAAAGTTTTGACAGTTTTGCCAACAAGATTGGAATGCTCAGACCTTCAGATTGGTGATTCGGATGGCTCTGTCTATGGTCATGTCCACTCGCATCCTGCTGTGTAGTCTGATGGACATGGTCCCGTGCTCCGTGGCAATCACAGCGCCGTTGTTCAGGTTGTCCACAAAATCTCTGTCTCGCAACGTATCCTGCGACAGGAAATTAATCTCGAGAATTCAGGAGAGTGAACTTAGATCATTAGATTAAATAACATGAAAGCGTACTTTATTCCACAACTAAAATAATTTCAACTGCATCTTGCAGGTTATAATAATAATAATGGTAATAATGATCGGAGGGTGGTTTGTTTGATCCTGTGAGAAGTCAGTAGCTTTTTGAAACTGGACACCTGTCCTTAATTATTGAGTTTTAAATAGTATTGCTAAATAAACAGTTGGTCTTATAAAGTACACTCGTCCATATTACTCATATTTTGGTTAAAATTTGCACCATTTTGTGTCTGCCTGTAATCATAATGATAAAAACAGTAAAAGTGCTATGTGATGAAGACGAAGCCTATAAAACAATAGTAAATGAAAATCACATAAGGAAAGTGAATTAAAACTTTTCATAAATTAAACATATAGTTATTCAACAATTTAAAAAAATACATTTTTCAGCTTTTTTCAGGGATTTCATGTGTAGACAAACTACTCCCAATCCACAATACAGGGTATAGTTAAAAAACGTATTACTAACTTTATCAACAAATTGTACACACTGAGTTACCATGTAAGAGATGGTGTCTTCGCTGGGAACGTAAGGCAGAGACATCTGAGACCGGAGGTTGTAGCGGGATGGGGGTCGCCACAGCGAGCCTGACGAGTATCCGGAAGATATGTTGCTGGTACTCCATTGGTCCAAGTTGGCAGTCACTGGTGGCTCATACTTATACTCTGCTCCATACCTCTGCATAAAATATTCATCACTATAAATATAATATGTCAATTCATTTTTTTTATTTATTTTTTTTTTTATTAATTTGTTGAACAGATGATAACTTACCATTCAGTTTTGTTTGGATCTGATTCCAGTGGCATTTTGGAATATATAATCACAAGTGCTTTCAAAAGAAAACTAGTCAAATTATCAAATTGGATTATATTGCAAATTGGTAAAGACAACACAATATTTTGTAGACTCTATGGTGATGATAACTCTGAATTGATGACTAATTCAAATACAGTAATACAGCATTCTGGTGGGTGTATATGGGATTTCCAACAAATAAAAATACCCCCGCCTCAGCAAACCTGCAGACTAAGCGAATTTCAACTTGTCTGATTACATTTTTACAAAAATATTTCCATAAATAAGACATATTTATTCCCAATTTAAATAACATTTATAACAAATGCTTAGGTTTGCTGCTACCGGGAAGGTAACAAGTGTTTTTTTACTAATTGTCAATAGTATAGGATGAAATAAATAAATTTGCCAAATTTTATCAAACATATATCCGGATAAACAAGTAAACTACAAAAGTTTTTATTTTCTCCATAAGAATAACATGGGAATTTTAAATTTACACTTTTTTAATTTTCTCCATAACCATCAGGCATACAACAATGCAAAAAAAACTAAATAATTTCTTTTTTTAAGCTCTACAAAATGGTTGGGAAAGAAATTCCAAAATTTTATATTTTTAGGGTCAAAAATGGGAAAACCCATTTTTACCCCCATAAACCCCCGACCCATGGTCCGATCATGCTGGTTCGCGAACTCATTCAAATAAATGGAGGTTTACACGTTTATACAAAATTTCATCAAAATCGAATCATTTTTGTTCGAGTTATCGTGCTAACGTACATAAGGCTACATATGAATTTGAACGGATGGTGTTTTTGGCCTCTAGGGACCTCAAAACGAATAAGCAAATCGGTCCCGTGTCCAGGACTTACCATGAGAACTACAGTAATAGCTTATTCCCTATATGGGAAATTCGCTGAAATGGGTCTATTAGCAATTTGAACTTCTGAGAGGTTCTTTAATTCCTTGTAAATATGAAACTCATATTGTTATAACATTGGAAAGACCAGCGCCACTAGGGCGGAGCCCGAAAGGATTTTTGAGATAAGAATAGGCCTTTAAGTGTATCGGGAATTAGAGCTATCATCAGTTATGCGTGATTGAACTTCAAACAAAGAAACAATCAAACTTTCACAATTATAATATTGATATGATAAACTTAAATGCAATGCCAAAAGGTTTTAGCAAACCTACCAACCACCAACGTGAAAATTACAAGATCGTGCAAGGTTATGTTCCTTAATCTTTGTGCATACAAACACGCACGACAAGCTGAACCACAGCAAAACTAAAACTAGCGAATGCGATTTCTTATCATATTATCGTTGAACGATAGAAACAGCTGATTTCAACAATAGAAATAAATTGTAAACAAACACTAGCGCGAGAAGTGTGCAAATGGAGAATTGATTGAGAGCAAGGGAAATCAGCTATCAGATGATCGTTTTCCCTTGTCGGAGTTAAGACTAGCGTCTCATTTTCCTCGTCCGGAACTGATGAAAACCTCTTCTTTAGAAGTTTCCCGTCGACGCACCGCAACCGCAACAATGTGACCGCTCCAATTAAAACAAATGAGTTCGAATCATCCCCGTTTGACCGGACTGGCGAAACGGGATAGTGTGGCGCCGGCATGGCCAGGGACACGTACTTGCCGGCAAAATCGCCGGACGCCGGTTCCGGCGGAACCGCCGGAGGTTGAATGTCAGAACGTTGGTCAGAACACACTGTCCCGGCGAAAACTTTTGCTGGAGCCGGTGACAATAAATAGAGTGCAATGAACTCTGAATCAGTCATGTCTTTGAAATGGTGCTATAAACACCTAATAAATTGGCCGTTTTAAAGTAAATTTATCACCATTTAAAGTTGTTTTAAGTAGATAATATTTTTGTGGGAACATTTGAAAATTTGATAATAACAGTTTACCTTTGAACTAGTATAATAATAATCATTTCTCAAATTATTAGTAAATACATTCATTGAGTTGTAAAACACTTTGATTCCCATGTAAAATATTTTACCTACGACCGTTTTTTAAAGTAGCCGTTTCAGTACAGTTCTTAGAATTGAAAAGTATCTCATAACAGCATTGTTTACATTCATAACAGCATAGTTTTACTCATAACAACACGGGTAACGGACCAATGAGGTTCAAGGATTGAGAGAGGAGAAGCAAAATTGTAATGATTCGAAATTCGACTAATCAGCTGTTCACGCCAATTTAATTGTTGATTGGTGCAATTAGTGAATTAGTGTTTGATTCCTTGCTTCACTGTCAGTGGCAATGAGAGGTTATAAACAAAAACATAACCACCCTTTCAAGTTATGAGTAGTGATTTTTAGTAATTAAAACACCGTCGTAGGTAAAATAGTGTACGCAACTCGCGTAAATAGTGTTAACGACACGAGTAGAAAATTTAAGGTACGAGCCTTAAACTACTATTACTTATCTGTCGATGAAACTGCTATTTTAACTGGTTAACTATATTGTTATGTTAATTATACTAAATTTCATTATTTATTATTTGGAATATATGTCTTGAACAAATAAATGAATGTAAACAAATTATGAATTATTCTAAAATGGTTCAATATCATAATTAATAAATATAGTCTAGGTAGGCCTACTTGTTCAATAAACTGTTCAAATATCCCTAAGTTTTAAAAGTTATCCAAAGCGAGCAGAACAGAAGGTAAACGATTGGCAAATAATTAAATAACAAATAATGTATAGTTTTTATTTTTATATACCAATCGTACAACAAAATTACCGTTAAAACACAAATAAAAAATTGTTAACCTTAATAAAAAATACTATTTGGAAACAACACATTCATTGATGCATTGTTATCAAATTGCACGATGTTTACTGTTTAAATTGTTAAGTAGGCAGTGCTTTTTGCAAAACAATTTTTAAACGTTACAATATAATTTAAACCAATTTAGCTAAAATTAATATGAGTGGGGCAGGAGCAGGTCCGGCTGTTTCGCCGGGATGTGTGTTCATCTCCATTTGTACAATCTACCTGTTGGGCCGGCAGAACAGGCGGTCCGGCAAAGTAAGGCATATCCGGCGGTTTCGCCGGACCGGAGCAGTGTGTCCTTCCCCATGCCTTCCTGTGTATCTCAACTTTCTCCGGCGTCCGGCGATTTTGCCGGTAAGTGTGTCCCTGGCCAGGCCGCCGCCACACTATCCCGTTTCGCCGGTCGGCGCTCAGTCTTTGCCGTTCGAGAACTGTGGGTTGTTGCATGAAGCTTTAGCATTTAAGATAGATGCTAAGATAGATGGCGACCATACAAAGTAGGTATTTTAAGCCAAGTATGAATGGAGATGAGTGTAGGATGAGTGGCGCGATCTTGTAGTCTTGTTAGTAACTAAGGCCGACAATCCTTATAGAAACAGCTGTTAATTAATAGCCCATACAGCTAATGGCAACTAAGGGGCTTACAGTTTATAGTGGAATCCGAACCACATTTTTGCCTTGGTATATACGAATTGGTCTAATTATCAGAAAGTACTGCGGATAGTCGTAGTACTCACTCGTGCGGACGTTAATCCACAACAGGGAGTATCGCATCCACAGTGCATGCCTATAAATGTCCACAATTCGTGACCTCCTAGTATATGATCAGGTGGGGAGCTAGACCTATACCTAAGGATTTATTCTGACTCAGAGTGGAGTGGGCAAAGGTCGGGTCAAACGCGCCGGTAATCAGCTGTGATGATAACGTCGGCCTCATCTACGAGCCTCGTATACCAAGCCTGAAGAGAAATTGTTTGATTCTTAGTTTGAACACATTAATTAAGGTGATTCGAAAAGATTATCATTGGTAAAATATTTACAGATATTTTGATAGAGTATATTAGAAATATAGAAAGAGTTCGTTTTAGAGAAAGTATAGTTTATCTGAAGTGATGAGATACCTACTCGTGAAGAATAACGGGTAGGTACTGTGAGAGTGAGTTATTCCTTGAAATATATTAGTGTGATTTTTAAAGGTGTCTATTAATTGGTTTTTAATGAATAACTGTCGAATAGTAAGAATGGACAATTCCTCAAACATACCCAGTAGGCTATCACTTGGAAAGGGCAAAGTGTTCTTGTGCAGGATGGAAAATGTTGTACAGTAATTCCTGTGGAGAGTGGAGAACAGATGATAGAGGTACAAACCAATAAAAGAGACCTACACGTGGCCCTTAGGAATAATATGTCGATTGTCAATGTTGAATAAATGGCAAAAGTATGCAAAACTACAAATAATATTTTTGTGTGTGCATTGTAATTGTTTGATTAATATTACACGTTGTATTAATACCGCCTCCTTACCTGGAAACAGAAGTTTGGGTCATCGCTGAACGAGTACAGACTTCTAGGTCTCATGGTCGTTGGTTGAAATGACGAAGGATTTTCTAAGAATTCAGTCCTGTATTCACTGTCTTGAACGTTTGTCATTTTCTACCGATCGAAAGTGTAATAATAACAAAGTTAATAATTATTTAAATGTATATGAATTAATTATTAGTAATACAGGAGTTTCACACAACAGTTTTTCAAAAATGAATAATTTTGTTATAGCAACGAGTTTAATGTTTTTAAAATTAGTTATTAACATATGGTTAAATAGTTTGTAACAATAATAAAGAAGTTTATTCCATAGAGGATAACATATTGAGTTACACGTCATGTATTTCTCTACAGGGAAGTATAGCTATTACCATGGTGGCCGTGGCACCACGAGTTTTAGAACAGAAACGGATGGATCACAAACAGAAACAAACGCCGTCACTGGTACGAAATGTTTAGCTACAACAGCTGGTTTGGGCATTTTGACACACACACATTTAAACACACGTGTTGACAGTTCCATTTAAGCATTATAATAAAAGAATGTTTACTTTCTGGCTAGTGACGTCATTTGTTTATGTTTATAATCCACGTGTATGTGTGTGTCAGTGAACACGATAACTCAAGGTCATGTTGGTCGTTGGTCATATTTCGACCAGTGACACATGAAAGAGTTCACGAAACGAGCAAGTTTTTTTTTCTAGTGGGGCCTTGGCAAGATGGAGGTTGTAGGAACGGGTTATAGGGGTTTTGAAATGTTTAAAAATGGTTTTTTTTAATTGTTAGCCATTAAAAATAAAAGTTGCTAATTCTTATTACGACCATCCGCGTGGAGCTTAAAAAATAAAACAGTGTAATTAAAACAATAAAGCGTTGTTGTAGGGTTAAAGGTTAGAGAAAAGATCCAAAAACTGTACATTTTAAAATCTCCTTTTAATTTATTCTTACAAAGAAAATTTATATTGTTGTAGTTTGGTTGTTTAATGTTGATCAAACTTAGCCAACTTATTTAAATCATACCATACTATTTTTTTTTTTTTTTTATTAAAAAACACTTTTCATTCCCTGAGGCAGAAATCCAAGTACTGCACTGTGCTCGCTAAATCTAAGGTTTTATTATAAATAGGGAATTATTCTGACAAGTTAACAAATTAATTTAATCAAAATCTAATCAGATAAGTTAGCATGTAACTTGCTTGTCTGCAGGTTTGCTGTGGTGAAATTTATTGTCCTATTCATATTAAAAAGAATAATAACAATATTATGCATAAATTAAGGGGCATATACAATATATGTACAGTAAAGCACAGCAGCAGTGTGTAGTAGCATTGACTATATATACCTTAGTAGGTAACTTACTGGTAGATGTCAGCTGTATATCGTTCCTATTATCTTTCTATGTTAAAGAACGCACCGGCAACACCAATAATTGTGTAATTGTTGTCATTGTTGTCAATTATTGACAACAATGACAACCGGTACAACAGAGAATTAAATCATCAACTAACGACTTTTGATTACTGAAGTTCTATTTAGGTCAGGTGTATTGGGATGCAACATAAAATAGGCAAGTCAGTAAGAAATACATTTCCATAGGCACATCATACTGTTAGTATTATAGTGATAATTTTATTTTTGAAATAATTTTTACTAGTGAATAGTATTTTGTATTGTTAATTCACACGGAACAAACAATCCACTTTTCTGGAAAACAACTATAGGTAAAAGGTCTAAGATTGTATCTGCAAATTAACTATTATACCATTTAGGCTCATTGCCAATAACTCGATTTCAACAACAATAATGTGTTATTTAAACATTATATCTAAGCCAACCTAATCTAGCATGGCGATAAGAGCAAGATGACAGAAAAAACTAATTTCTTATATACTTTGTACACAACATTTCACTTAATTTAAAACAACCAAGATCAAATCACACATGGTTGAGGAAGTCAGGATAGTATTTATGATGTTGCAATTCAAACCACATCTCAACCTGCCCCACCAGTTTTGAGTTTGCGGGAGGAAGGTCATTCACTAGGTTGGTTTCACAAAGAACACATGGTAGTAAGTAAGGTGTAAACGTAAGATAAAAATGTGGAAGGTAACGCGGGTATTTGTGTTGGTAGCACTGTACAGCTATGTAGGATCTCAAGAGTATTCTGGTTCGTTGAGGTTGGTAAACGTGGTAAGTAACAATGTGATTATTATACGTTTAGTAGTACAATACAAACTAAAATACATATAAACGAAACTCAGCTGGCAAAATGAGCTCAAGGCGTCCTTGACTCACCGCATTATCACTTTTTATCTTCTTGTTGGTAGTAAAAATGTGGGCTATTCATTGACGTACAAACAAAATTAGAATACAGTCCTTACAGTCCTTAAACTTAACCACACTTAGTAGACAATAAGTAGAAAAGACAATGACAATATAAGTAAGGCAAATAAGTAGACACAGAAGGGAATTCTAAAGTATATTTTTTTTCAAAGTGGCTGTTTTCTAATTTATTTTTGCTGTGCAATACCATGTGATACTGTGTAAGCCACGAATTGGTGTGACTTACTTCCCGTTTTCCTACCATCTATGTTTGCCAGTGTTAGTTTTTATTAAAGATTTTTCCAATTAATCATGTAACTTTTTTGCAAATACTTGTTACTTTGGAACTAATTTTTCAGTAATTATTTAACATTTAAATTACTGCACGATTATTTAATGGAAGGATATAACAAATATCAATGCACTTAGGAAATTAATTTTGTGTTGAAAAACAAGAATGATGAGTGAATGAGATGATAAAACTTGTATTGATAGCTTTTTTGACTCTATATAACTTAATCTTTTTCTAATTAATTGAGTAATGTTTAAATACATAATTTTTTAACAGGTCAATTGGTACTATTATATCAATAAATTACAGTAACATTTTTATGTAGTTAGCCTACTAGAATATTTACTACCGTTTTTCAAGTCTTTATATACATTAGTTTTGTCCTTTCTACGTTCTTTTATTTCAGTGGTCGTATTCACCTTATAGCTTTTTTATAGCAATCCCAAGCTTGATTATATTGAGAATAATAACAATCAAGGATATGATCAAGGCCCCACTAGAAAAACAGGCCATGCTGCAGCACGGGCAGCGCAACACTACATCACAGTGGTGGATAGTTGTACTAAACTCTTACCATAAAAATCTTACAAACAGCCAGCTTGTTTATTTACCTAAAACATATTTGAATGGCAATGGCAATGAATTTTTCTAGTGGGGCCTTGATATGATCATCTAAAGTTACTGGAAATGGTAACAACAAAATATTGTAATTAATGTAACATTCCTTCATTTTCAACAATCACCTAGACTTAGGCAAATTTATATAATTTATTTATTTGGCTCAAGCTAATCTCTTGGAGAGGAAATTGATATCTGAAGGAGAAGATAGTGTAGATATGTGTGTCATAGTTGAAGGCCAAACAGGTGTGTTAAGCAGTTGTCTGTGTTACACAATGTTAACATTAAGGATATTCCGGTAATGATTATTTTAATTTTTAAATCTAAGAATTAAAAAAAAATTTTGTTAACACTGATCTCAAATATAAAGATAATTAGTAAATAAATTACATCCTTCTTGCTCTATTACAACCACCAGCAAACTACTGAACACAAAGGATAACTAACAACAATTTAGGCTAAAAAAAAAACTAATTAAAACTATACAATAATCTTGATTCTGATCAGTTAGAGTACAAATTATTTCTTAGGAATGATATTGAAGTTTTCAATGTCACAATGGAAAATTTTCCTTAGATTGTTATCTGTCCAATTTAAATTTTCACAAAATGAAAATGTAAATAAAAAAACTTGTAATGGTCCATCTTAACCCAGTTAATAAACCTATTACTTCAATATTTTGTTAAATTTTTCTTTAAAATATGGAACTGTCGACTCATATCATAATGTATGTAATGGCTCATATATATTTTTTAGCAACGATTTCCATTAGTTGTTCTTGACTTATTTTGAATCTTATGGTTGGTGGTTGGGTCAAAAATAAATCCATTACTCCTTTCCTTATTAATAATTAAAATGTTGATTCTTCTTTGAGATCCACCTTCAGCTACGCATGGCACTTCTTCGTAAACAGTGAACTTTCGTTCACAAAATGAGTCTGCTGAAATTGTCCTGATAAGTTGATGCCTATTGTTTTTTCAAAAGTTCTCCAAAAGGACAGAACCTAAGGATATGTGGCAAAGACTCAAAAGTGTAATTCTCAGTGCTGGAGCAACGCAAGCATTGGTGCCATCCTTGGATCTGCCCTGGATTGACCTCACTCAAGGTCGCACTCACATCACCTATCATTTTCAATGCTTCTTTATATTCAAATGTTATTCCTTCCATTCCGTGTAAAGCACAATTGGGAGAAGAGTATTCCTGTAAAAGGATAACACCTCTTCCTTCATATGATAGGTTCTTCTTTGTTTACTACAATTAAATGTTTTGTACATTTGTTATGTTTTGTGTATAATTAAACTCTATAAATCCTGTTATTTAATTTTAAGCTTGACATTATCTTCTTTATTAAACCTTTTGGCTAGTCTATACAAAGAGTTCCTCAAATTTTAAACAACTATTTTATTTATTATTAGGTACTAAATACATTTTAAGAAAGGACATTATATAATATTAGTCTATAAGAATAATGACGAAGAATCTGTACATTTATCTATAGCCTCTGTACGTTTATGTGCTAATAAACATGATTTTATTTTATTTGAATGTTCCCTGATTAAAGTTTAAGTTGATATACAGATCTTTATCCCTTGAAAATACAGGTGTTCCGGCATGGACAGAGGACTCCAGCAGATACCTACCCCTCAGATCCCCACCTACACCAGACCTTCCATCCCTACGGCTGGGGGCAGCTGACCAATGTGAGTCTTGTATTTAGTTAATAACTTATAGTTGAATTAGCCGCCAACAGAGTCCGCTACATTCTAAAATTCTATCTTCTCCCTTAATTTTTGCTACTGATGTAAAGATGCTACAGCTTACAAATAAGTCGTCTCATCAGTTTAACATATATTTAAAAAGTTTATGTATTCTACAGAAATGAGTCATTTGAACAGCTTCATTTAAAAAGATTCTTTCTATGGTAGCACAGTTACCCCAAAAGGCTATCCCAAAACTAAGCACTCTGTGAAAACAGCAGTAATACTGAGAACTTGCTTCCATAAGAATAAATGTAAAACTAGTTTACTATGTAATGTAGTCACTACTTAATGCAGCAATAGAATTTAAAAAAAAATCTTTTTTTGAACTTTAATTTGGAGATGGACCACTTGTTTTACCTTCTGTTAAGAAAATGAGTTTCTATGAACTATTTTCTAGGAAGGCAAGCGACAGCAGTACGAACTAGGAGAGTTCCTTCGTGATCGCTACGGCAGCTTCATCGGAGATGGTTTCCCCTCCAAAGTAGCCCGTGTGCAGAGTACAGGGGTGGAGCGAACTCTGATGAGCGCACAGTTAGTAGCAGCTGGGTTGTTTACCCCCTCCACTCACCCTCTGCAACAGTGGAACCAAAAACTGGACTGGCAACCGGTGGCGGTTCACTCGCAACCACTAGAAGAGGACTCGGTGAGATAAAACCTTTTGTTTTTTTAAAAAAGTCGGTGTAAACACTGATATCGTTAGTATCTATTGTCAATTTTTCGTTAGATAGCATTGTTAACTGAAAGACTAATACCAAATGGCAGAATTTATTTTGTACACAACCAGTAACCTTAATATTTGAAAGGAGGCTCTCATAACCACTCAACTACCCAGACATTTTAGGTTGACGTTCCTTCATTTATTTCCTTTCAAACAAATTAAAAAATAATTTTGTGCAAGGCATATTTCCCAGCAGACTCGCTATTTGCATACGACGCACTATGCGCACTATTGGGCCTGAGAAATATTTGCCTCCTGCTCCTTGATATTAATTAATCATAAAATAAAAATATTCTAATGACAAAGGTATTTTACGAATTTAGATGAGTATTCACAGCTTAACCATGACTTGCGGAGTTTATGATAAATGATCAAATAAAACATAAATACTAGTGATACAGCAGGTTTTACTCTCAAGGCAGGGTTATCATAACTTTCCTGATTTCCTGGGACCAATAACAAAATTATAGCGTCTCGTTTTCTTGGCCAGGAACCGATGAGAACCTCTTTAGCAATGGATTTGGGGGCGTGACGTCATTCTTTTCTTGAGGGAACACCATTACCGCAACAATACTTGGTGAAGCCAAGTTTTTAATTTTAAATCTTACAAATATTTATTCTCTCCACATATTTATAGAAAAAATTTCTAATTTTTAGTGCATTTAAAAACGTGGAATTTTAAAAAAGATTTTTCATTTATAAATTATTTACTATTAACATAAACTTTTTGTGGAAGGAGTTCTCCACACAGTTATCCCACCTAAAAGATCTAACTTCTTTACTCGCTAGAGTTTGTGAGTCTGCAGCTTAAATTAGACTTCAACTTCTGTTGTCATGGTATTATCGAAAGCAAAGTGGTTGGTGGTTTCTGAATTCAGGCCTCTACGAGAGAAGTCTATATTGATCTAACCACTACACCAGTCTTGCCCCTTCATAGTGGATTCAAATTTGAAGAACCTATTTCAAAATCACAATAACTTTCATTCCAGTATAAGAAAATTCAAATATGTTTGTACATTATGAAAAATATCTATTTCCAGTTGCTGCTAGTGAGGATTCCCTGTCCCAGGTATCATGAGGAGAGAGACAGACTGAAGAGCGAGGGAGAGGTGAAGAGTTACTTGGCCTCTCTTTCAGATCTGTACAAATCTCTCTCCCTACACTCCGGCCTCACAGTGTCTGATCCAGACGATGTACAATCTCTCTACAGCACCTTGCTGGCCGAGGTTTGGAATTATTATACTTAAACCACTTTAAAACGACTTGACGTCAATCATGACTTTATTATAACGTCACCCTGCATTGTTGCCATTTTTTTGTGATGCAATTTACAGTCAAATGTATTACCAGAAAAATTTGGCAACTCCTTTGGACTAATTTGATACAGTTTTTATCTGACAACACTTTTATATCTTGTTTTGTTTTTGTTCTGTTAAACAAGTGAGGATAATAAAGTTGTCGATACTGTACAATCTATATATTTAATACGCGACATGAAACTTTGTGAACAATAAGGCTTTTTTGTTTTAAGATTTAATCCCACATACTATATACCAAAATGTTCGTCTAGGTGTGTAGATGTGCAAACTGGCTTTAGATTTTCGAAATATATCTTTTTAAGGGCATGGGCTGCCCTCAAAGTTCCTTCCATAAGGATTACATTGTGATTGATTTGATTGTTATTATGAATGAATGAATGAATGAATATATAGTTTATTCCAAAAAGCATTGGCTACAAACAGTGATTATAAAATCAAATATACTTAACAGAGACTTATGACACTAAAAATAGTAAAATACATACAAGTTTAATGAGCCAAAATATTCTATATTCTGAAACAGATGTCAATACATTAGTTAAAAAAAAATCCCAGCTTTTTTGTTTGGTTTTGAAATGTAAACAGTTTGCATGTTTTTAAAAATAATTAGAAACCTGGCAAAGAAATGTTACCTATAGGACACGACGGGAGAAAAGTTTTACATTATATTTTCGTTTAAACATGCCAAGGACCCGACGACAAAGAAATATTGCTGGTCGGACACGGCGAGTCAACATACGGCAAGCAATGCAAAACGTTAGGAGCCCAGACGAGGAGCTGGAACAGTTAGTAGCAACGTGTACTTACAAAATTACACTGACAAATACATGAATTCAGCAGCATTCACGTGGCGAGATGGCATTAAAATGTCAGAAATGTGGTGCTCTACATTTTAAAGAAGAACAGAGAGGGCGAGGCGAAGGATTTTCATCCTGCTGCCATAAAGAAATACCCCCGCCACAGCAAACCTGCAGACTAAGCGAATTTCCATTTGCCTGATTTGATTTTCAATTAAATCTTTTCAAATAACATTAGGTTTAACGAGTACCTAGGTTTGCTGCCTACAGGGTAATAAAGTGTGTTTTTTAGTAAAATATTAATAGCTTAGTATAAAATTAATAGATTGGCCAAGTTTGATCCAAATATATGTATAATCAAGCAAACTACAACAGTTTGCTTATTCTCCATTAGAATAACATGGGAATTTTTAATTTACAATTATCTCCGTAACCAATAACCATACAAAAACACTTCAATATACTGAATTATTTGTTTTTTTAAGCTCTTGAAAATGGTCTAGAGGAATTTTGGGAAATTTTATGTTTTTTGGGTCAAAAATGGGATAAACCAATTTTTACCCCATAACTCCCACCATAAAACCCCGTTTCCCAATGGTCCGATCATGCTGGTTCGCGAACTCGTTCGAATAAACGTAGGTTTACATGTTTGTACCAAATTTCATCGAAATGGGATCATTTTTGCTCGAGTTATCGTGCTAACGGACACATGTATATATATATATATATCTTCTAATATATAAAATATTCTCGTGTCACAGTGTTTGTCTGCAAACTCCTCCGGAACGACTTCACCGATCGTTATGAAATTTGGTGTGTAAATTCTGTAGGTATGCGAATCGGACGTAAACTATTTCCCGTTTCGAAATTCTTAAAAGGGCTCCGCCCCAGTGGCTCTGGAGTTTCCCATGTTAACCTTATGAGAAATGGAATTAATGAATCTTAACAGCTGTTTCAATTAAACAAGTTGGTTCTGTTCTATGATGTTCAATAGCATTAAAGTTACAAGGATTACCAACAGGCTGCAGCACTATTATTTCTTTTACATTTATGACAACAGCTAATTTGCAACCAAAAGGTGAGTGAGCGTAGCGGATGAACTTCAACCTGGAGGCAAGTTAGCGTAGCGAACGAGCTAACCTGAAGGCAAGTGAGCGCAGCGAACGAGCTCCAACCTAAAGGTGAGTGAGCGTAGCGAACGAGCTCCAACCCAAAGGTGAGTGAGCGTAGCGAACGAACTTCAACCAGGACGTGATTGAGCGATGCGAACGAGATCATCTTGAAAATTAAACGTAACGGTACTTTCTTTCCATCGGTCTGTCTTAGGGGAAACCTATAACTTAGGCGATACGAAGTTCGCCGGGTCAGCTAGTATAAATATATATATATATATATATATATATATATATATATATATATATATATATATATATATATATGAATTTGAACGGATGGTGTTTTTGGCTTCTAGGGACATCAAAATGAAAAAGTAAATCGGTCCCGGGACTAAGTCTTACCATGAGACCTACGGTAATAGCTTATTCCCTATAGGGAAATTCGCTAAAAGTGAATCCACCTACCACCATACCGAGAAATCTATTATATACAGAGCCTACTTAATGGAACAAATCATTTGAGCAGAAACTACGAAGAGAACATTAGATCGTACAACTCTGCGCTCGCAATGGTCAGCACTTGAGCTAAATTTGAAGTACATAACGGTGGAGGGCCTTTCATGTATAAGGTGCACGACACAATTTATCACTGAATTGGCACCTTTCAACCGTCAGAAGGGGAGCATCCCACATATGCCCAAATTCATATCTACGACGTCGAAACCGCTGTTCAAGAAAGAATGCTAAACAAAGCTAATGGCTCTTGCAGCACTGTACTCATGCACATTTTGACTCAAAATTTTGTTTATATTAATCCATACACGCAAGTTTTCAGCTCCGTCCTGCAAACTACTCCTACTGAATAGCAAAAAGAACTTAGAATGCATATAGCCAAGGATCGAGCTCAAGACCAACGTCGATACATCGACGCAATTTCTAAGACGTTGCTATAATATTCTAATTTATTATTCGTGCGACGGGTTCACCTAGTAACCTTTTATTATTGAAAGTATTTATAGTTTAAGTATTTATAGTTTAAGTATTTATAGTTTAAGTATTTATAGTTTAAGTATTTATAGTTTAAGTGTTAGAAGGAGCCATATTGAGAATCTCAAACATCAATTATAGTTAATTGTAAGTATAAACCCAACATTATTTAAATAAATAATGAAATTACATTTTCCAACAGGTCCAATTTAATCTTACCCTTCCAGAATGGACGAAGGATTATTATCCAGAGAAGATGGCAAAAGTAACCGCCTACAGTTTCACCCTGAATGCGTACAATGACCAATTGAAGAAGCTCAAAGGAGGTAAAACATACTAACTTTGCCGATTGACACAATATGTTTTTTCAAGTTGCAGATTTACTCGATAATATTTTGGTTTTTGAAGGGGTGAGAACATTTTTGATCCTCTGGATTGGTCAATTAATTGGAAATACAATTTTAAACATTCTACAATAGAATTTATCTCTCAAATACTTGACTTTATTTCGAATTATTTAAAATAAACAATAAAAATTGTATAAATTAGTTCTTTAGAAGAGCTACTTACACACTTGGGTGTGTAATTCATGCTGAAAATGAATTGTGCAGGGTGAGTGTAGAATCCTGTGCTGTCTTGCTACTGACCTAATAACAGACAACGCAAGAAAATCACTAACAAAGCGTGTTCATTTTCAGGGCCGCTGTTGAAAGAAATAATTACCAACATGAAAGAAAAGATAAAAGAACCCAATGGACGTAAAATGTTTCTGTACGCTGGCCACGACTCGACAGTAGCCAATATTCTTTTGGCATTGAATGTCTGGGACGAACAAATCCCCGTTTACAACATCATGACAATGATTGAACTTCATCAGTTGAATGGAGTTTATGGAGTTAAGGTATTGCAGTTGTAAAATTTATCATACCAGATGTATGAATTTTATAATAAAAGTCTCTTTTTAATCAAAAGAGAAATCATAAAATTGCTGTGTATATAAATTAAAATGGGACTGAAAATTGTATGTATTAAGAGCATGTGGAAAAATGCTAAAGGTTATAAATACTTAGAACCCGTTAGAAGTTTATAAGGTTAGAAATCGTATCTAGTTCCTCTTGATAATACTTTGCTTAGTTGTTAATATCTTAGTCATCAATGCATTAACAATATTAAACTACACCCAAAAAGAATAAAATGGCATTTTGTCAATTTTTTATAACCATACGGGTAAAAAAAAGTTTAACATAACTAGGTGAGGGCCAAGTGCCTATTGACTTGGGCTTTGTCTAAAATTGTCAGCATAAACAACTTTGGTAGTTTTTTTCTAACACCTTATGTTAGTATTCAAAACTTGTATGAAAGTCTTATAACCACCTCTTCCTTTGACAATCTTGGGCACAATTCATTCAAATCCTGCAGGTCTGGGCGTGAGTTGGCCTCACAATTTTTTCTTTGTTACTCTTTCTCCACCATCTACCATCTCACTTCTACACATCCCCTTCCACCTCCTCTTAGGGTAAGGACATGTTGAGGAGGTGTAGCTCACCGTAACCGTGAGGTGAAACAAACACATTATATGCGCGCATAGTGAGCAGGTCGAGGTGGAGGTGTAGGTCACCGCTTACAAGGTCTAGCCGGATGTTTTTAAATTTCAAGAACAAACTAGTTTGATTTTACCTCGCTGCTTATTTGTGATTGGTCCGTTCATATAAACTAATACAGGTGCCACTACGTTAGCGCAATTACCAGCTGTTCTTCTGGGCAGACTGGGTTTACATGTACGTTAAGGGACATTAACGTGCCAATTGACGTGTAAAATTGACGTGCCAATGTATTTGCATGAAATATTTTCTGGCTGAATAAAGTTCTTATTCTTATTCATTTTAAGATTCTCCAGCTTTGGTGAAATGTTTTGATATATGTAACGTTGCAGGAGTTATTCTTACGTGCTATTACCCCACACAGTTGGAGACAGACTGAATGTAGACTGGAGTGGTGCGGGAAAAGCAGTGCGGTAAATCTCCTTAACATGCGATACCTACCTCCACCTACACCTCCACAACATGTTCTTACATAGGTATTACTAGAATACAAAAGCATCTAAGTAATATTTACTTTTCAATTTCAGGTGTATTTAAGAAATTCCACAGAACACGAGCCATATCACCTCAGGGTGCCTTCTTGTGGCGATTTTTGTCCTCTGGACAAACTTGTGGAACTTTCAACCAAAGTTTTACCAGAAAACCTTGAGAAAGACTGTTTAAGCAAAGATCCAAACTACAAACCTCCACTGCCTTCTGGACCTTGATTCTAAGACATCGTTAGGGAAAAGATTACAATAGTAACAATAGCTAATAAAATATTATTAATTTTTAGACTTTAAGGTAATGAATGTTATTGTTTTTTATGTTTATTTAACATATATGTGATTTTATAACTTAAAACATATATTAAAAGCTCTGGTTAGTGAAGATGGCTTTAACATTACAAGATGTTTTACATTGTAAAAAACCTTGTTCATCCAGTCAAACAAACATATAAGAACATTTTTGCACTAGCCAACAGCTCTAAGCTATTCATCTCGGTCTTACCATCTCATATTACGTATGTCACATTATGTTTTATCAATCTACTGTATATACTTAACACAACAAGGGGGCGGGGATGTCTCTGTAACACCTCTTTTCCAACTGTAGTACTTAACCGATTTTTGGGATTGAGGTGTCATTTTAAAGCTTATGAGCTAGCGGAGAGCTGGATGGTAACTAAAAAGGTAATTTATTTCATGGCTTCGCTCTCCTTGAGTTTGATTTTATTTCTAGCGTTCGCTTTCAAAGATTAAGTGATGATAACCTCTTCATAAAGGTGTGAATGTGAATTGTAATTTTACCAGCTGATGTTTCTGTTAGTTTTAAAAACCACAGTCAGAAAGAAAAAGTTTATGTAAATGGATTTTAAATTCTTTTATGATAAACTAGCTGTAACCCGCGGGCTTTGCCCCGTTTAACTTCTTAATTTTCAAGATTATCTCGTTCGCATGGCTCAATCACGTCCTGGTTGAAGTTTGTTCGCTACGCTCACTCACCTTTAGGTTGGAGCGCGTTCGCTGCGCTCACTTGCCTTCAGGTTAGCTCGTTCGCTACGCTAACTCGCCTCCAGGTTGAAGTTCGTTCGCTACGCTCACTCACCTTTTGGTTGCAAATTAGCTGTTGTCATAAATAAATGTAAAAGAAATAATAGTGCTGCACCCTGTTGGTAATCCTTGTAACTTTAATGCTATTGAACATCATAGAACAGAACCAACTTGTTTAATTGAAACAGCTGTTAAGATTCAATAATTCCATTTCTCATAAGGTTAACATGGGAAACTCCAGAGCCACTGGGGCGGAGCCCGGAAGGATTTTTGAAATAAGAATATGCCTATATGTTAATCGGGAATGTGAGCTATCATCATGCCAAATTTCAGCCCAATCCGACCAGTATTTTTCGAGTTTACTTTTCCCATACACACATACAGCAACCACCTCTTTTTTATAATAGTATAGATTTAACGTGAATCACTCTTTATGGTATACAGAAGATCTAAAATCAACAAATTTAATTTATCGTAAAGTAGTAGTTTTGTTCACCAGCACATTATAATTTGGCATGCAGGTAAATCCTTGCTATGCAGTACAAGCATTCCAGCAAAGTGACAGTACCATGCCAATTCGTAATGAAATGAAATGAAATGAAATGAAATGAAATGAAATGAAATGAAATGAAATGAAATCAACTTTATTCATACTTTGCAAACATGTGCACGAATGGCGTCATTACATTGGATCAAAATCATAATGCTTAATCCTAAAAAAGTACAAAAGATATAATCACTATTGAAAAAGTTCTTATTCTAATATATTATGTAAGAGGAAAAATTCGTTCTTTGAATACAGGGGATTGGTTAAAAAGTACATTTTTAGATTATTTTTAAATTTTGTAGTCCTTGTGTAGTCCTTTAGTTTTGTTGGAAGAGCATTGTAACATTTTATACCCATATACATTGGTTTTTTTTCAAAAAATCTTAATCTATGTGAAGGTGTTGCATAGTTATTTCTGTTTCTGGTACAGTATTGATGAGAATCCCCTACCAGTGAGACATTATTTGAATTTTTGACAGTATATAATATACATTGATAGAAATAATAGCTATATACAGTCATTATGCCTAGTTCTTCAAATTTTTCCCTAACAGAATCTTGCCAATCCAAATTTAACATAATGCGTATTGCTCTTTTCTGGAGAATTAAAATTCTGTCTAAATTAGCTTGTGATGTTCCTCCATAAATACTTATACCAAAGGATAAATGTGAGTGAATATGAGCAAAATAAACCAATTTTAGGGATTCAAGTTTACAAAATTTTGATAATCGATAAAGTGCAGATAGGCCTGTTGACATTCGATTTGCCACATGATCAATATGATCATTCCAGCTTAATTTACTGTCTATGTATAATCCTAGAAATTTAGTGTTCTCAACAATTTGTATATCTTCACCGGCTAATTTTAGTGCTGGGTAATCTGAATTGGTATTAGTTTTTAGATTAAAGCGTGTAAAATTAGTTTTGGAAAGATTTAGTAATAGCTGATGAGCGTAGGCAGCGCCACCAGCGTTGCTATGCTGAGTGCATGGCAACGCTGGTGGCGCTGCCTATGAATTGACAGGCAAAGCTCTCTCAAAACACTCAATGCTTTTTACCATGCGGTTGGCATTCTGGGTTATAGTGGTATGTTTCCTGTGGTCCAGGGGGACCCAAAACGAATATATCCACTCAAAACTCAAACTCGAAAATCTTGACGAAAACAATACTTCCTCCATATACTATGGTATATAGGGAGAAAGTAAAAAGGATTAAAGTAAAACTCAAGATAAAAGGTTGTTTTCAGGTTTAATAACATATAAAGTAACAAATACAGTACAATTCATTCGATTGCTTATGGAAATATACAACAGAATCTTGTAAACTTAAAATTAAATTTTGTAGTGTAGAATTTTACATAATCGTAATGGAATTACGGACATCAGTTAACTTTCTTGTCTACTCTCTTCTTTAACATTCACATGGTGAAAATAACAGATGCTGAAGAGTCTTCAGTAAGCAAATGCGGACTAATTAACTTAGGTGGACTTGGCGAGTGTTTCCGCCTTGGCCACGACCTCCTCGATGGGTCCAACCATGTAGAAGGCTACCTCAGGGAGATGGTCGTACTCTCCAGCCAGGATCTTGGAGAATCCCTACAAACAACAGCAGATGACACTGGGAAAAACATCTCTATACGACGGTTACAAAGTAGAAGAGGTTAAAAATACATGTTATGGATTGAAATAAACATAGAGCGTCAGTCGTCAATTATTCAACTGAAAAGCCATAATAACCACTGTTGCCGCAATCAAGAAAGACGAACATTTGCAATGCTGATGACGGGTGTTGCCGTGATCGCGGGAAACAATTATAGTTGTCGCTAAAACCCCAATATATGGTCACAGACATTGCTACAATCGCAGGAGACAATCAAAACCAGTAAAAAATACAGGTAAGCAGGTATTTGTATTTAAATGTTAACAACAATTGAAGATAAAATTATGCATCTTGATTTTACTGTCAATAACAGATTATCCATAGAAAAACCGGTATCCAAACACCCTCAATCTCCATTTATGTTTCAGATAATTGACTTCTATATGAGTTTATGAAAAGTACTCGAGTAAAAATTACAATTTTCATTTAATACGGACAATTCAGATACAATTAATGTAGAATGATAAAAGTTAATTAAAATACAATGTCAAGTTAAGAGTTAAAAGGTTTGCAGTTAAGGGTTCGGGGTACCTTGTTGAAGAGGCAGGGTTGGTACTTAATTTGGAAAACAAAATTCCCTGAATTTTCCAGACAAAACAACTTGCTTTTCAAGCTACAACTTAAAACATTCTAAACTTTTCTAAATTCATCTTAATACCTTGATGGTCTCCTCGAGGGGTACCAGTTTGCCAGCGTGGCCAGTGAACACCTCAGCCACCTGGAAGGGCTGGGACAGGAACCTCTGGATCTTACGAGCTCGGGCGACTGTCAGCTTGTCTTCTTCTGACAACTCGTCCATACCCAGGATAGCGATGATGTCTTGCAGGGACTTGTAGTCCTGGACAAACACAACCTCACTGACAACTGAACTCAAATAAAATCATCACACATGAGTCGTTAAATAATGTAGAATCTTGTAAAACACAGTAAACCCAGGTTTTTATGAATAATAGAACGGTATCAGCAATCTGACACATAGTTTCTCCCATTAGCTTATTATCAACATTTATCATGAGTAAGCGTAAGGTGTAGCCTAACTGATATATTTTATAGGGAAAGTTACAATAACTTTTGAACCGTAATTTGTACAGCGATGGGAGCCGTACCACATTTTATTCAGAATTTTTAAGGACTATAATACACTAAAGTTTAATAAAAATCTTTCATGCTATTTTTAAGAAAATTAGATTTTTTAAATTTTTTAATGGGTTTTATGGGGAAATTACAATGAAAAATCAAAATTTCATCAGAGTCGGACCACAGGTGTGGTCTGTAGCTCTGAAGACATCCACATGTACAGATAGACACACACACGGACAGACATTACTTCAAAACCACTTTTTTGGGTTCATTGGGGCCCAAAACAGATAGGCCTATATCCACTCAAAACTCAAACTCGAATATGTTGACGAAAACAATACTTCCTTGGCAAGGGGAGAAAGTAAAAAGTTATGGGCATACATTCACCTATCAGGTCAGATGATGAATGGAGTGTCCAATCAAAATCGATCACCACTTACCATCTTTGATATGTATTCCGTCTTGTGAGTCAGCAGTACAAGTATAAATATATAATGCACGTGTTTTTAGACGTTTTTTATTTACTTTCCGAGAATTTAAATTATACTAGGCCTATTACAACAACTATTTTTCATTTCTTAAATTGATATTAAGGCAGGATAAAGTACCATACGGTTACTTCATATAATGAGTGATGACATCTACTCTCCGAAGAAGTCCTATTCAGCTGAACACACCAAACATTGTCGCTGTTTGCCATGTCTTACCTGCAAGATCTTCTGTACTCCACGAGCGATGTTGTAGTGCTCGGCACCGATGACGTTGGGGTCCATGATACGGGAGGTGGAGTCAAGAGGGTCCACAGCGGGATAGATACCCAGCTCAGCGATGGCTCGAGACAGTACAGTGGTGGCGTCCAAGTGAGCGAAGGTGGTGGCAGGAGCAGGGTCAGTCAAGTCATCAGCTGGCACGTAGATGGCCTGCAACATCAGACAATACTTGCGTCAAGAAAGGGGTTTAAGAGGGACTTAGGAAACTGAGACAAGTTACAGGGGTATGTGCCTTAGGTCTATGGTACTACAAGGTTAAGTACACCCCCATTGACATTGGTATCATTGCAGTCTCACAAACTAGGCGAGATGTGGACTGGAAAGGTGCCAAGTTCAAAAAATTGTCAAAACTGACACATCTTAATATTATATTTTCCTTTTATTTCTCTGGTATAGCCTAGACAATGAAATTTACAACACCAGAACGTTGAAAAATATGAGTTTAACCTTTGTAAAAACACAGACGATTTTATTAAAATCTGTAATAATAGTGCTGACTGACGGACTGACTCGCTCTCTAGGCTTTGGTCGTCAGGTCAGATTATGATTTTCCCCAATTAGCAAAAAGGCATTAGAGGTCCAAATGGCACAAGGCAATAGGCCCTATCCTATGGAACTACAGATTTCTATAGTTTTTCACCTTAGTCACTTGAAAAGCTTGTAAATAATACTGGAATTCTTAGTACAAATTATTCAGATACAAACTCTTACCGCTGACTGCTGGCTTATTTTCATCCTTTTATCAGCATACTCGTTAATCAATAATTCCTTTGCCACAAAGCTTTAAACATATTTACCTGCACAGAGGTGATGGATCCCTTCTTGGTGGTGGTGATTCTCTCCTGCATAGTACCCATGTCAGTGGCCAGGGTGGGCTGGTAACCCACAGCGGAGGGGATACGACCCAGCAGGGCGGACACCTCAGAACCGGCCTGGGTGAAGCGGAAGATGTTGTCAATGAACAGCAGCACGTCCTGTCCTTCCTGGTCACGGAAGTACTCAGCCACAGTCAGTCCAGTGAGAGCCACACGGGCACGGGCGCCTGGGGGCTCGTTCATCTGTCCGTACACCAGCGCTACCTGTGCAACCATACAAGGCTTGGTCAGTACACAAAACTATGTGTGAATGTTGGATACAGCCAGTGCCAGTAAAATATGTGTGCTGTGTTCGTAGAAAAACAATTTTTTTTAACTGTAAATTGAGAAAACCAACATGTAAGTTAAGATAAGAGTAGGCTAAGTTTTTAGAAAATCAAGAAAGTCAATTGCTAGCAAAACCAAAATTCTCAACTGTTAGGCCTACATACCAGTATGATTCTAGTATAGTAACCCTTAAAAATGGAATCAGTGCATCCCATAGCATGTTAACAGTCTGCTGTAGTATCTATGAAGATTTAGATGGAAACCAAAAATTACTTAGTAGGCCTACTAGAAATTAGAAATGAAATTGACCTCAACAATAACAATTAAAAATGTAGTTCATGCTTAAACAAACAGAACTTTATCGCACCTTGGAAGTCTTGTCCTTCAGGGAGATGACTCCAGACTCAATCATTTCATGGTACAAGTCGTTACCCTCTCGGGTCCTCTCTCCGACTCCAGCAAACACAGAGTAACCTCCGTGGGCCTTGGCTACGTTGTTGATCAACTCCATAATCAATACAGTCTTGCCAACACCAGCTCCTCCAAACAGACCTGCCAACCCAAGTAGAATTTTTTAATGATTTATGTCACAATAAATTATTGGCAATACCAAATTTTTTTATAGCCTAGAGGAAATACCTAGTTGATCATAAGGTTGGTTGTGAGAGTTATGTAATGTATCATTTCTTTTTTTTCTAAATACTGAAACATGTATGTATAATATGAATATGAATATAAATATACCTAGCCTAATGAATCTTTTTAGTGACCCCCAAGTAAAATCAGAAGTTTTTCAATAACATCCATTAACCTGCTTTAAAACCTACCATCTTCAATCTATTTACGATTTCGAACCACTATTCATCATTCACTAGTCATTCAGTACCTCGTAAATTCTTGGAACAAAAAGGTTTCTTCTAAAATAGCTTAACATATTTCATTAGATACCACAATCACTAATTGGCTAACTATCACCTTGTTTATACAAATTACACACTTAATAATACACTGTGAGTATACTGTAAATCAGGTTAAACTCCTTCAAGGTTAGATGCTTACCAATCTTTCCTCCCTTGGCGTAGGGGGCAAGGAGGTCGACGACCTTGATGCCAGTGACCAAGATCTCCTGTTCGACACTCATGTCCACAAACTCTGGCGCGTCTGCGTGAATGGCTGCGTACTTGTCTGTGTTGATGGGGCCCCTCTCATCAATGGGCTCACCTATAAGGCAAATTAAAATTGTACACAACTTGTGTTATTTGTTTTTTTTCACTTCTTTTTAAAAACATAAAAATAAGGGTTGCCTAAATTCCTAAAGATAAAGTTGTATTCTCTTAAAACTCCCACTGAAACAATACAGGGTGTCCCATAACTAAGTACAAAATATTCAGGAATAGATTTAATTAGTCAAAATAAAAAACAAAATCAATCAAAAATAACACTTTTTCAAATCTTTTGTAAGGCAGATATCTGTCATTGTGTTTTGTTGTGTTTTAAAGTTCCATTTCTGAAAATACTAAGATACATTTATAAAACTTGGTAAGGCCTATAAAACGTTATGAAATCATAATCTGTTAAAAAAATAATCATTAAAAACAACTTTTTTCTGTGTTAAAATGGCGGCCATTTAAGTTTTTGGGTACTCAAATAAAAAAAATGCTGATTTATTAAAATAATAATTAGCTGAGAAATCACAATCTAGTTGTACAGACCAGGCAAAATAAGGCCAAGCGGCAAGGGTTGGCCAACTTATAGTACTTTGTGCCAAAATATTGTAATTTCTCAACTATAAATTATTATTTTATTCTTTTGAACATGATGCCATTTGATAGAGAATTTTTATATGTGTACTTGGCATTTTTTTCTCATATAATCAGCCAATTTTTTGTACGACAACCCAGAGTCCAGTCAGTCTGTCATAAACTAGCTCAGTCTGCTTTCTGTCCAGTTCATGACACAGCTCGTGTAATTGATAGGCCTATCATTATCGTTTTTACTTTTTGAGTCTAAAATGTGTTTATAATTTATTTTGACGACGACTTAAAAAGTGGATCAGCATGTTAGCCTGATGATGGCGGAGTTATATAAATAACAGGCGAAACATAGCCAGCAAGTTTTGATACTACATGTCAAGGGTCGTCTGACAAGGTACGTTTATCCATTATTTGTCAAGTATTTACCGATAACGTTCATGATCCTGCCCAATGTCTCGGCTCCTACAGGGATCCTGATGGGGTATCCAGTGTCCAGAACTTCATGGCCTCGCACCAGACCCTCTGTACCGTCCATGGCAATGGTCCTCACTGTGCTCTCTCCTGCAAACACAATATCATCAAATAAGTAGAGAGAACAAAAACATGTGCAAGAAATATAAAAATAAAAAACTACGTAGTCCCTAGTCTAAAAATTGTTTTGGCCTATTGAGAGAAAATTTAGACAAAAAAGAACAGAAATTGGATAAGTGTAATTAGCTGAAAGATGGAATTTTGATACTTCCGAGTTGATTATAACTTAAGCACTACAAATATTAAACAATGTATGTACCTAACTTACTAAATGAAAAACATATAAAGAGAAAATTGTATTAATAGTGGTGATAAAAAATAATAATAATAATAATAGTAATGTCTTAATTAAACAGAAATCACCAACACCAAAAATTGACTGTGACATAGAAGTGATAATGAATTTATGTTATCGTAGGCCTTTATTTATGCTAGTAGGGAACTGTTGAAGGTTAATCAACAAGCCTTTTGAATAGAGCCTAGAGATTTTTGAACCTTTTGGGCAGTTGTTTTTTATTTTTTTATTTTTACTAACTTACATTACTAAAAAATATAAGTAAGCCTACAGTAGAACTGCGCACACACAGAAGTAGCGTAGATACAAGCAAAAAAGCAAAGGGAAAAAGAACTTCAACTATCCAAATTACCATAGCCTACCAGATTTGGATAATTGAAAGCTCTGATGGTTAGGGCCTAGCCTACATGTGTTCACAAAAAATCAGGGCATTCGATAGAAAATACTTGAGCACTAAGTAAAACTATCTTAAAGTTTGAACCAAGCTTACTATATCTTTTACAATGTTCAAGATTTTTTTAAATTGTTAAAACATAAGTTAGGCCCATTTTTGGAATTTTACAATTAATTTCTAAAAGCAATTGACAATCAGCGATTCGTTAAGTTAAGTGGAGAGTTCTTATAATAGTCTACTTACAAAAATGTACCTACTTAAATGTATTTATTAGGCCTATGTTTATTTAGTACAGGTACCGGTACCTACTTAAGAATTTTTACACTTTGATTAGGCTATTATTATTTAACCAATCCAATTTGAAAAATTAAGTCTAAAGTTACTTTCTACCAATAAGTTAATGGTTTCCAATCAATAAAAAAAACAACAACTTAGTACAAATGTATTTGTACTTATAAGTATCAGTAACATTAATAGACCTAGGCCCAATGTCCACTTTACAGACAACTTTTTAAAATAAACAAAATTTAGTTCATAAGTTTTAGTTCGTACCCAGATGCTGAGCAACCTCAAGCACCAATCGTGGGCTCCTGTTCTTGACCTCCAGGGCATTGAGGATGGGAGGGAGGGTGCCTTCAAATTGAACGTCTACAACGGCACCAATGACAGCCACAATCCTGCCCTTGGAGCCTGAGTCTGCTGCTGGCTTGGCTGCTGCTGTGGCGTAGGCTGTAATGTTACGTTGAGGTTGAAATAAACTTACTACTGACTGTGATGATTCATGAATGCATAAGTTAACAGCAATGGCCAATGTTAGAAGTGTGGAATGGCCAGCCCATTTTGACGATTTTGCAGACCTTTTTTTGAAAATATGTAAAAACTCAACCGTGGAAGTAAACTTAGCCAACCTCATATTTCTTTTGTTCGGAAAGAACAGGAGATTCTAGAAATAGTACCGGTAATATATTATTGATTTAGAAAGTTTCGAATGAATGTAGGACGTAAAGTAAAGTGCAGCCGTTCCCAAGTGTCAGCTGCAAAAGTCGTGCCGTGCCAAAAATTGATTTGATATCTAATCGTCGAGACATTGTTATAAACCGGTAACTGCTACAGGGTTTGTTTAGGTAGGCTTTATAATAAAATGAAAGTTCAGAATGTGATTTGGCTGCACTTTACTTAAGGTCCTACTCTCATTCAAATGAAAATGATCGATCGATATATCGATTAATCGATTGTTTCATTCAATTTATCGTTCAGGTTAGTTAGGTAAGGTTAACCTAACCTAACTAACCAAACGATACATCAAATGAAAGAATCGAATAATCGATATTTTCATTCGAATGAGTGTAGGCCCTAAAGTAAAGTGCAGCCTGTGATTTTTCGAATGGTAGGCCTACGGTATATATTGTTCATTATCAGAGTTGATTAAAGTTATAAGCGGTTTTTTCACCGTTACAAAATTTTGGCCCATAATAGCGTATTACGCTGGTGGCCATTCTAGGCATCAGGGCAAACGAGCGTATTACGCTCGTTGGCCACTGATAGGGTTACCCTAATCCATTCTTTAAAGTCCTAATTAACTTAGCTATGAACAAGTCAGCCTACCGGTGATGGTTTGAAATTCCTCACTCATGTAAGTTCAAAACGAAACAAGTTGGCTGGTTGAATTGAATTGAATTGAAAATGTCTTTATTCATATTATATACAGTGGTATACATCGAATGGCGTCATTATACTAAATTACATCTAACAAACTAATTTCTTTACATTTCCTCCATAAGCCATAAGGTACATATTTAAAACAACAGTTGATCATCATAAACAACAAAAAGTATGGTTGTCAGAGTTCATCAAATTTATATAATGTTTTATTTGTCAAATGCAGTTTTAATTTTTTCTTAAACATGTTTACATATTTAACGTTTCTCAATTCCACAGGTAGCCGTAGTAAAAACTTAGCACCCGCATTTAATGGTTTTTTATTATAAAACTCTAGCCTGTGGAAATCAATGGCAATTTGATTTCTATTTCTTGTAAAATAGGAATGGCTGTCACCTAACCTGGGAACCAGATTGTTTATACTTAGTTTTTTAGCATGAAGTGCTGTGTGAAAAACATATAAACTGTAAACAGTCATTATGCCCAAATCTGTAAAATGCTGACGAACCGAATCACCAAAATTCAAATTCATTATGATTCTTATCGCCCTTTTTTGAAGAATAAGAATTCTATCCAAATTTTGTTTTGATGTACCTCCATAGATTTCAATGCCATAACTGATTGCTGATTCAATAAGAGAAAAATAAATTGTTTTTAATGTATTTACTGAGCAAAAATTAGACATCCTATATAAAGCATACAATCCAGAGGTGACTTTGTTAACTACATGATCTATGTGGAGATTCCATGATAAATTTTCATCCAATGTTAAGCCTAAAAATTTGGTAGAAACAACTTTTTCCAAAGAGTGGTTGTTTATTTTTATTACTGGATTTACTGAATTTTTACTTCTTCCTGCATTGAACATGATAAAATTGGTTTTACTTGTATTTAATAATAGTCTGTGATTATTTAAAAAGTTATGGATACCCAATAAAGCTGAAGAAGAACTATGTTCCAAATTATTTATTGTATTGCTACTAATTTTGAAACTTGCATCATCTGCATATAGACAAAGTGTTTTTGTTGAGCCATTTTGAAAAGAATGTGGAATATCTTTTAGATAGCACAAAAACAACAGAGGTCCAAGGATAGAACCTTGCGGGACCCCATGCTGCATCTGTGCTATCGAAGAATGACTGGTGACTGTTTGATTATTAATGGTACTTTTTATTTCAACAAATTGTTTTCTATTAACCAAGTATGAGCTAATCCAATTTAAAGTATTGCCATTGATTCCCAGGCCTTTGATTTTGTTTAAAAGAATTTTGTGTGAGACGCTATCAAAAGCTCTGCTCAGGTCCAAGAAAATACCTATTGTTTTCTCTCCTTTATCCACAGAGTCAATTACCGAATTAATGAAATCTATGCCAGCAGTAATAACTGATCTATTTGGTCTAAATCCATGTTGTTCCTTATCATGCAAACAATTGGTTTCTAGAAAATGTACTAACTGATTGTAGGCTGCTCTTTCAAAAATTTTAGAAAAGGTTGGTAATAATGATAATGGCCTATAGTTGGCTAGATTTTGTGCATCTCCTTTTTTGAGGATCGGGATTACCTTTGCAATTTTGAGTTTTGACGGAAAGATCCCACTAATAAAAGAGGAATTAATTAAGTGGACTATTGGTTTTATTAGTTGATTACTTGCTTTCTTTATCACTATCATTGGAACCTCATCATATCCAGTTGAAAGTTTATTTGGAAAAGAACTTAAAATTTTTTTAATTTCAATTTCTGTAACTGGTCTAAATTTAAAATTTTGATTTGTGAAATTATTGAAACAAGGCAGAGCATCATTGTTATTTTGACTATTTGGATCTAACTGTGGAATTATCGAACGTTCAACATAACTGGAGAAAAAATCATTAAAATGTCTACAAATTTCCTGCGGATCTTCTAATGTATGGTCGTTATATACAATTTCAATGTTGCTACACTGTTTTTTCTTATTACCAATCTCAGAGTTGAGGATCTGCCAGGTTGTTTTACTAACGTTTTTAGATTCTTCTATTTTATTTTTATAAAAATCTTTTTTTTTATTAATTAAATTCTGTTTGTAATTTTTCCTTAAAGTTTTAATTCTGTTAAACATTTGTTGATCCTTAACAACTCTGGCTTCTATACTTAACTCTACAATTTTCTGTCTATCTTGTTTTAAATCAGGTGTTATCCAACTATCATTACAATTCCTGGACCGTTTTTTAACTTTAGGAAAAACTAAATTGAAATAGTACATAAAAATGTCATGAAAAGTATCAAATTTTACATCAACACTAGCATTATATACACTAAACCAATTCTGTCTTTCTAATATCGTACCAAACAATGACAAATTGCTTTCATTAAACACTCTAGTTTCTCTTGTCACATATTTATTTTTGTGCTTAATTTTGGCTTTATTTAAGTATTCTCCAACAGAAGGATCTACAGATACCATTAGCCCATCATGGTCCGATAATTGTGTGTCAATTCCCTCGACTCTAATTGAAAGCTCATCAAAATTAGTCAAAACATTATCTAATGCGGATTCTGTAGTACAAGTTATTCGGGTAGGAAAATTAACTAAAAATCTCATATTGTACAATTGCAAAACATCATTGAGCTTTTGTCGATTTGAGTCATCCAAAACATTTATGTTAATGTCACCTACAACTAATACAAATTTGAATCTCTTAATTAATACTCTTAAACAAAAACATAATTTTTCTAAAAATACTGATACGCTAGAACTAGGAGATCGATATACTGCCATTAAAACAAAATTCAACCCAACTGTTTTGTACTCAACAACACAGCATTCAAATTCTTTTTCTAAAATTATGTTTTGAATACAATTTAAGTTTACTTTTTTATACTTCATGCTATCCTTACTTAAAACCATGACACCACCTCCAACAGATAAAACCCTTGAAAAGGAGGCATTTATACTGTAATCTTTTAAGTTGAACCTTTCTATTTCAGAATTTACCATTTTATGTTCATTTAAAACTATTATATCAGGGTTTAACTCATTAATTGTAATTTCTAGGGACTCTATTCGTGATGGCAGATGTTGAATATTAATGTGAAACAAATTTAATCCTAACCTATAATTTACTGTTGAATTAACATTACTCTGAATTGATTTGGTAAATTTACAGACATTGTGTAACCTTAAGTTATTTTTTGTGGCACAAAAAGGTCGTTTTTTTCATTTGTTGAGCCAGACAAAGAATCAGGTTTTAATTTTGATGATGATGTCTCAGGTGACATTAGGGAGACTTCGCACACAGGTAACACATTATTGCCCTTTTCACTGACACTTTCACTATCACACTGTGGTGCTGTGTCGCTGCGGCTGGTGGAAAAGGTTGAAACTTCGTTGTCATCACGCTGCTGCCTCTGGGTGGTGGGAACGGTCGACACTTCGCTGTCAACTCGCTGCCGCATCTGGGTGGTGGACTCCACAGCAATTGCTTGTTCAAGATTTCTCAGGAACTCAGAATGCAGGTGTTTGTTCTTGTACTTTTCTCTGTAGTATTCATCAGATGACACTATGATAACTGTTGCATCAGTGGACCTCTGGAATCTGACAATGTGTTTGGCAAAATGAAGAAGTGGTACCTGATCTCTTGAGCATCCTAAAGGCGAGCAAATTAAAGTTTTTAATTTATGCTTATTGAATTGATCAATGATTTGGTCAAAAGCAGCATCATAAAAAGCATACTGGTTATTTTTTGGTTTCTGAAAATATTTTAGTTTTGTTACTAGGCTAAATACATGAGCCCCATTGTCAATTGTTTGTAAAGTCAAGTTAGGTTCGCAATAATCATTAGCTGTTGGTTTACCAAACTCCTCTTTAAAGGCAACTGCTACCCCTGCACTCATATTTCTTTCGTGTGTGAAATCTGCTGATATGCAATGTGCAAAGGCTGTATTTTTCTTATTCAAGTTTTGTTTGATAATTTGTTTCATATCAGCTTCCAGTATTTTTACAGCAGCGTCCTCAGAGTTTGTTATTTTCTCAACAAGTTCCATTTTGTTTGCTGAAGTAGCCTCTTGAATCTTTTTGCACCAGTCAGTTATAGCATTAACAATTAACAACGCTACCTTTGACTTCCCTCTGTTATTAAGGTGCAGGCCGTGTGTTGTAAAATCAAATCTCTGCAGTCCATCCAAATCTATTAAAAAGAGGTTGTCAATCCTATTGCTTAGCTCTCTTAAGTAGTTGTTTAATATATACAGATCCAGGTTGACCGGGTGGTTTAGAGATTTGTCATATCTTGCTAGTACACTGCACAGAAACACTGGTCTGACTTTGCAAATTTCCAGCAGTTTGCTCTCGAGGTCACTATAAATGCTAGTCAGGTCACATTCAAGACTGTCGTTAGTGCCTCCTAAGACGATCAAAGGGCTATTTTTATCGATGGATGAGGAGTTCAAGACTTGGAGGAGAGTGGTGTTAGCCCTAACGTAACCGAAGGTATTTATTCTCTTAGTGCTGTAGCTTTCTACTTTAGACGCTATGTGTCTGCCTTGACTATCCGAGCAAAGTGTTACTTTTATATTTGGATAGTTATTTCTTGATGCGTTTTCGTTTTTCTTATTGGTATTATGTCTCAGGTTTCTTGTGTGTTTGGGGAGGGGTTCTGTGAAGGTCGGCTTCTTTGTGTTTATATCCATGTTCTCACCCTTTGGGCAAATACTGTGAAGAGCATCAAATTTATTTGATATTTTCAGAACAGGTTCAATAATACTTCTTTGGCTGCTGTATGTTTTAGTTTTTACTTGAGTCCAGGCATTGTTTTTTACAGAAATCTTCTCAGTAATTTTCTCACCCTTGGTTTGTTTTTTTCCAGGTACTGGAGTTTTTCCATATTTTTTTAACATTAAAAAGTGAAAAGTTTGACTGTTTGTAGATGGGGGGTTGAGAATATAATAGGATATTAGTGATCGCTTCTGCACCGCTTCCCATTCTGACAATTTCTTGTTTTGGATGAAATTAAAATTTAATGACCCAGACGTTATGATATCTTCCACCAACGATTCAATAACCCAACATGTATAAATTCCACAGTCGTGACCATTAGGCTGCTGTGGTCCATTTAATATTACAAAGCCCATTGACAGTATATCACAACCCAAAAGTTCTGCTACTTTTTGAGCAACCTTTTTTGCATGTTTTAGGTTGTAATTATCACGGGAATCGTAGTAGTAAAATTTGTTTTCAGTTTTATTTAAGACCAGAGTGCTCCAATGAGAGCCACTAATCCCTTTACACAACTCCTCGGAATCATTGACAGGCATGATCAGCACACTTTTATTTGCCAATGTTAAGGGGCACAACAAACCTTGAGGATCATTTGAGTTTTTGACAGCATGAACAAGAAGAGGGTTTATTATTACACACTTGGTTGAGTTTAAAAATTTGTCATTTAAGATCTGCAAATAAGGGTTGAGGGTCAGATCTGTAACCCAATCGGTTCCCAATAGTTCTGAAGTAATCATTGCTTTATTAACGCATGAATTTTCAGTTTGAGTTCCTGTAGATGTAGCAATTTTTGTAGTATTTTGTAAAGGCTGTAGTAGGTCATACGTGGATGTTGATGAGGTGGATGTTTCAGGTTTACATTGTGTGGAGCAGTTTATCATTTGATGTTCGATATGCTTAGGTACATAATCTGGAACAGGGAAAATCTCGTCGGTGAATTCCATTAAACGAGTGTCCGACTCGATGGAATGGTCCAAGACACATCTAAGCTGTTTATCTAGGGTTTCAACATGCTCCTTAAGTTGTTTATTCTCTTCTTGAAGTCTCAAAACGTCAGGTGAAACTTCTTCATGCAGTTCATTCAGGATTTTATTAGTCAGTTGTAACTATACTTAACTGTGGTGTTGACACTTCAAAAGAGCCATTGTCAGTTTTTATTATAGGACTATGAACAGGTGTTTCTTTAGTTGATTTTTTGGGTGTCAATAAAGACCTCATTGTGATAGGATGAGGCCCATTGTGCTTAATGTTGGTTGATATTATTTCTGATTTACTAGCATTAGTTTTAATTGTTGAATTACAGTTTTTTCCCAGGCAGCGCCAAGTAATTTCGCCACTTTTAGATGTATAGCTATGCCTATACTTATAATTGTCATAAATAATACTTGGCTTCCCATTTTTTGCTTCTTCAATTTTAAATTCCATTGTCAAAGGCTATTGCTAGAAGTAATATCTCCTTCAATCAAATAAGGCTACCCCAATAGACATCTGTGTGGGCTTTGCGTTGACAAAATTGAAGGCGCTAGAGAATACCGGCCGCGACACAGTCCCTCTAGTCGGCGGCTCAGAGCGGGAGGGCTTTGATTAGCAGGGATATTAGTCTTTGCGCAGTTGGCAGGCGAACGGATCACCGGCCGCGCTCAACTGACAAGAAAGTTGTTATCAGGCCTGTTTCAGATGCTATTAGCCATGTAGGTTAGTCACGGTTCTATACGAAAATTTACTTACAACTGAAAGTTTCTTTAGATCCTTTAAATATTTATCTTATGATTGTTAACTGAACTGATTAAAAGGCACTTTAACATAGATTGACAATAACTACCCTGATAATAACTGAAATTTCTAGACACAGTAATTCTAACGTAATTTACCGGCAGGTCAGGCCTACCAACTCTCATAAGGTTAAGTAAGTTAGTTAAGCCTACCTTCTTACTGAAATAATTATAGACCTAAACTTAATGTGTCCTAAGAAACTTAAGTTAAGTAGCCTACCTAGGCTAATTTCACAGCCTAAATCAAAGTTTCAAAAAGGCCTAACTTAATAGGCCTATAGATTTTAACATCCGAATTTAAAGAAGTGGGGTATAGATCCAAAACATAACTAGGCCTAGGGGAAAGTAGATTGCTGTAACCAAAAGGCTAGAAGATAACGTCATGGCCCTAGCTACTAGGGTTGTACCCTGTAAAAATTGTAATTCACTAATAAAAGCACCTTTACAACATCCGAAGGTACATGTATTTTCGATATACTAGGTCAAACATAGGAAGAGTGTTTTTTTCTTTAACAATAAAGTACTTAGGCTAAGTAAGTTACAAAGTCATTTTCATTTTCTAGTCGGACGACCCCTTTACCCTTGAGGTGTAATGGCGAGCGCCGCTCTGCTCGACATCGATAAGTCGATAAATTAAACCAAATTATGAATAATTTTTGTACTCACAGGTCCCAGTGAGGGCTCCAAGGATTGTAGTTGCCTCATTTTGGAGAAGTTGGGGAGTTTTCGAGGGTTTAAGGCCCTTTAAAACCCCGGCAGCCGATCTCGTAACAGCGTTGAACATGACGACGATGAGAGTAGGACGAAGAAGACGACGAAAATTGATCACGTGACCTTTATTTCCAATCTGAAACCTGCGCAGTCTGCCACATGTTATTTGCGCTTGCTCGACCTTCTTCCAGCACATACGCAATGCATAGCCATTGATTAAACCTTTTTAGTAAAAAGTACTGTACAAAAATTGGTAACATTTGTGATTTGTCATAAAGTCAATGGTAAGGCGTTTTATTAGATATTTATGTTTTGATATAAAATATACAATATTATGTAATACGTTGTTGCGGGGTTTCTCTTCCGCTTCACTCGAGGACTCTCCATTATGCTTTGGTCTTGGTGTTGCTTTTTCGTGCACTGGTTCGGTTCGTCTAATACTCTGGACTCATATCTTCGCTGGAGAGAGTTCAAGTCCGTTTCATTAGGATTCTTGTCTGTTGAATGGGATATCGCTACCTTGATGCTTCCGCAAAACTCATCAGATCTCAGTTGAGTCAGTTCAATCTATGCAGCTTGGAAGATCGTAGGAAAATTTCGGACGCATTGTTTCTCATGAGGATTGCAAATGGAACCATCAACTGCCCTGAGCTTTTGTGAGGGATACCATTCCACGTTCCTGCCCGTACAATATCCAAGGATACGTTTGAGTGGCGGCACTACAATACTGTATATTTGCAGCGAAGCACTATCCCTCGCCTGTTGCGGGTCAACAACAAGGTTGGCGCAGTGTTGGATTTGGATTTTCACCATTCCAGTGTGGCTGCTTTCCTCTCCAATATGTGCCACCTCTTCTCTGTAAATACTTTGTAGTTAATGCCCACATATGAGTCAATTGCTCCCTTTGCCCACTAGTTGCACAAATAAATATGTTAACGAAATTATAAAATTAAAAAACGCCCATAATTATGATTTTTTTTTATTTAAAAGTATAACTTTTCCCCTATTAAATCTTTTAATTAACCTAGTTTAAATGCAAGACAAACATGCAGAAATGGGGTCTCTTACCAGACGAAGAAAACATCTTGTGTGCGTGTTGTGCTGTTCAGGATCCTGGCCATCTGCTGATCTGTCCACACCTACCAGTCTTGCACATTAGATGCTACTTTACAAGCGAATGACAAAGCCATATCGGCCTGCAGATATTTTATAATGTAGGGAATGGCGGACATTGACTAATTATTTAAAGAAAACCTGTATTTAGCGCTATCAGTAATGCGGCCGACTTTAACTCAAGGCCGCGGCCTCGAAGTGGCAACGTCATAAGTAGTGTTGTAACTCTGCTGTTTTGTTTTGAAGCAGCTAATTGGGCATTAGCGAATTTCCCATATAGGAATACTCATGGTAAAACCTAGACCCGGGACCGATTTACTTTTTCGTTTTGAGGTCCCCGGAGGCCAAAAACACCATCCGTTCAAATTCACATACATATGTGTGTGTGCGCGTGTGTTTATGTGTGCCCGTTAGCATGATAACTTGAGCAAAATTGATCCGATTTTGATGAAGTTTGGTACAAACGTGTAAACCTACATTTATTCGAACGAGTTCACAAACCAGCATGACCGGACTAATGGAGCGGGGGTTTTATAGGGTAAAAATAGGTTTTCCCGATTTTTAGCCCTAAAACACAAAATTTCACAACTTCTTTCCATACTATTTTGTAGCTGCTTAAAGAAACATATAATTTAGTATTAAAATTGCCATGTTATCTTTATGAAGAATAATTCAACTGTTGTAGTTTGCTTGCTTACGAACATATTTTGATCAAATTTGTAGAATAGATTTTTTTAATTTTTTACTAAACTATTTCTCATAATAAACAATTTACAGCATTTTTTATAACATAAAAAACACTTTTTAGTTTACCCTCTATGTTGCAGCAAACCTGAGTACTTGTTAAACTAATTCTATTTAAATAGGTAATAAATGTGATATTTTTAAGGAGACCTTTTAGTGTTAATAAAATCAGGCAAATAGAAATTCGCGTATTCTACAGGTTTGCTGCGGCGGGGGTATTCTTTAAAAGCACCCATTGTAGGGTAGGCCTACTCTTTTAATAAATAACAGGGCGGTTAGGGCGGTTCGCCGTATTTAATCTATTGTGGTCTGTACTATATTGAAGATGGCAAGTGAAGAGAAAACTAATATTCCGTCCGTCCGTCAGACAGACCGTCAACGACTCAAGCAAGACTCAACGTCAAATAGAAAACCGAAAACAGAATGGAGTTTATGCCTATCCTATAAGGATATAATGTAATGGTACTGTGCCCAGTGAGTGAAAGAGTGGTACTATCATAAATTTTGGGTGATGTTGACATATTATTAAGGCATCAAACCGTCTGTAAATTAGGTTATGTTAGCTGTGTTTAATGATTTATTTCAATAATCTTTAAGCCTTCTTGTATTGAAGATAATCAGTTGATGTGGTCACAATTCTAATGGCAGCACACGTTTCTGAAAATGATGAACTTAAGGATATAATTAAACTTATGTGGGGTACTAATGTGAAAGAAGATGTTTTCCAAAGATGGACTCAGGGTAAGCAATATACATTTATTTTTATCCTGGTATGATATAAATGCACTGTAACTTAAACGCGAAAAATGTCATGGAAAGTTTTACGGCTAAAGTAGGGTTAATGTTATATTAGGTCTAGTCAAAGATGCTATTAAGCTAGACCAAATACCTTGCTCTGCTTTTATGTGGGTTTTAGTTAACTCTCACAATTTAATATGTAGGGCCTAGGCCTATCCCACAATTATTATTCTGTCAACTTCTTTAACACCATCCTACGTGTTATGATCGATAGCCCAATGACAAATAGTAGGCATAAGTTATCTAGAATCAGAATCTTTCTGTTGCCACACAAAATGGTAACTTACAGGGCAAAAGTCACTAAAACTAGGTAAACAAAGTCAATAATTGACCCTGCTCAGTGGCAGATCCTGCCAGAGGGCACGAGGGGTGTGCTGCCCCCCCCCCATCTTGGACGAACACATTTGTAATTATTGAGTAATAATATCTTCAATAAGTTAATGTTGGACCTGGCCTACACTCTTACCAGATAATTACTAAACTGCCAAATTCATATGTTCAAACCTATGATTCCTTTTAGCGAATTTCCCATATAGGCCTAGGTAGGGAATAAGCTATTACCTACTGTAGGTCTTATGGTAAGACCTAGACCTAGGGACTGATTTATATTTTTGTTGTGAGGTCCCCAGAGGCCAAAAACACCATTTGTTCAAATTCATATTATTATTTGTCCGTTTTTTCCCGTGTGTTTTTAGCCTAAAAACACAATAGGCCTAGGCCTATTTCATAATTTTTCTCCAACCATTTTGTAGAGATTAAAATAAGAAATGATGATGGTGTATATTGAAGCGTTGTATGCCCAACGGTTACTGGTACGGAGATAACTTAAATAACATTTTAAATTTAAATTTCAATGTTATTCTTATGGAAAATAGATTTTAGTGTTGTAGTTTACTTGTTTATGGATATATTTTAACCAAATTTGGAAATTCTGTTTTTTTCATACCAAGCTACCAACATTGCAATAAAAAAACCTCAATATCTCCCCTGTAGCAGCATACCTAAGTACCGGTAGGTACCTAGGCTACTCATTAAAATTAATGTTATTTTGATAGGAAATAAATCTGACAATTTCTAGCAAATATTTTAGTAGAAATCCAGCCAGGCAAATGGAATTTCGCTTAGTCTGTAGTACTATAAGATGGCTTAAGTTACCTTTTGCGTCAAACGATCCTTGATGTAGTAAGTGATAACTACAGCTGTTTCATGCCGCTGGGGCACATCTTCAGGTTTTAGAGCGTCAAGATAAAATAGCTGTCATCCGTGGATGATTTTGTCAAAATAAATAATTCTGTGTAGGTATTTAAATGTTTTCTTATTCGTGTTTTTTGTGTAATTTATTTATTTTGACAAAATCATCCACGGATGACAGCTATTTTATCTTGACGCTCTACAACCTGAAGATGTGCCCCAGCGGCATGAAACAGCTGTAGTTATCACTTACTACATCAAGGATCGTTTGACGCAAAAGGTAACTTAAACCATTTTATATTGCAATTTTCGATCCAGAGGCTAACCCATCATGAAACTTAGTCTGTAGGTTTGCTGCGGCGGGGCTATTAACTTACAACCCTGTAAGTGTTATTCAACTGAATGGTTTCCATTGGTTTCCATCTGATAGTGAAGTCCAAGTTACCTTAAGTAATATGTTAAGTAGGTACCTTAAGTACGTAAGTTGATATGTTTAAGTTAAGTTACCTAAAGACAGAGGTGTTTGTTTCTAAGACAAACCAGATTCGGTTTGTCTAGACTGACAAATCAACTGAGAGTCTCGTCCTCCAACACATTTCAAATTTGGCACCATCATTCAGGGCTTAGTCAATTTTATTGACTAACTAGGTTAACCGTGTCAAATTATAACTTTGGCCTACCACTGTAGCCTATTAGTAAAAAACATGTCACAGCCTAGGCTACAAAATATAAAAAGTAAACTTAAAATTAAAATCATGTAGCTAATTAGGCCTACCAAATCCCTATACATTAACTACCGTATCCACTAACTAAGCTTAAAAAAACTAGGCTATCAGGAAAATAAAATTAAATAGGACCTATGGCTGTTGTTTATTTAAAAAATATTTAAAATGTATAACACAATTTATTTACCATTATAACTTGTAATTAAAGCAACAAAATTGTAAACAACAAACATTTATTTGGATCATAAAGGGATGGAACAATATCACAAAAACCAGCTGTCTAAAGCTGTAGTCTATTGGTTGATGCATGATCGTTTTTGTCTGGTTGACAATTGTCTGATAAATGATGGTTGCCAGCCTCCTTCTGTTGCCTTTGGTCTGATTGGCAGCGAGTTTTATTGAAATATGATACTTAAGAAGTGATTTCCTGATCGCCTCGTTACAAGACGCTCGGCACTCAAGCTATGATAATGGACCTTCTCGGAACGAATTGCCACGGTTCTCAAAGGTTTAAAGGATATTTTGCGCTAAATCCACTCCAGTCTCTGTCAACTAGGCCTAGATTGAATATTTGTAGGGGTATGTTTAAAGTAAGGTTATGGGGGAATCCTAGCTTACTTTGTGTTTCTTTTGTAGGATTTCATTTCAGCGCAGATGAACCAACTGCCCTTGTACAATGGGAGGGAGGACCTTGCGCTGTGTTGGCTCCAGTCCAAGCTTTTATCATCAAATCCCTAGTGTCAGAATCATGGACAAGCAACTGGAAAGAGGTTGGTTGCTTAAACTTGTATTAACTTTTAAGACCAAGTGGAAATTTTGTTTTTAGAATAGATTAAATAATAACTTACCTTGTCATGGGAATGTGGGCAAACAACAAAATCTAATAAATTTTGAAATATACCTTGAATTTTGGGTACAGTAAGGGGTACAGAAAGCATTATTTTTCTAACAGTTTAGAGGGGTTTCTACAAAATTAGTAGTCATAAATAATCAACTAGGCAATTGTATTTCTGTCAAAACTTGTATATATAATAGTGAGCCAATTGCCTATATAGAGATTAATCTAGGCCTTTTACCGTAGGTCTCATTGTAAGACCTAGACCCGGTACTGATTTACTTTTTTTTTATGTCCTCAGAGGTCAAAAACACCATCCGTTCAAATTACTATACATACATTTATATTATGGGAACACAATTTTATACCGGGGTGAAAACTAAAGTAAACTGTTGTAGTTTGCTTGTTTATATTTTGACAAAATTTGGCAAATTCATTTATTAACATCTTAACTATTTAACATTTCACTAAAAAACTTATTTTATCAGCTTCCTTGTAGCTGCAAACATAAGCACTCAATTAACCTAATGCTATTTAAATATGGAATATATATAGCCTAGGCTATCATGTTTTAACAAAATATCTTGGTGAAATTCCAAACAGGAAAGTGGAAATTCACATAGGTAGTTTTTGGCGTGGGATTTAAAAATCATTCTTTGAATTCAAAATTCTAACTACAGTACCCGCATCCATCCATATTCTGCAAACGTTTACAATCGTCAAATAAAATGAAACCGTACTCATTGCTTTAAAACAGTTTTGCTATATTTTTATACGTAACAAATTTGCCCATTCCAAACAAAAAAAAAATGTTAATTACAGCAGCACCATATTAATTAAGAATCTTCCCCTTGCTTTGCAAAAGAAACCAAACATTGTTCACTTCAGGTGCTTAATAACTTATTTTCTATTACTACATCATGAGACTTTGTACCATTGACTGTGAACCAATTGAATCGTAAATGTTTCTAAGATTGAGTGATGTGGATCCAGTAGATCAAAGTATCAATCCAAAAAGTATAAAAAATGTCTTGACATTGAAATAGCTGTTAATTGTACTAAATAAAAACCATTCACCATATTCCATAGTCTACTATATAAACAGATGGGTCAGAAACCAAGATTCAGAATCTTCTCAAGCCTTGTTTCATTTAACTACAGGTGGAGACGGAGAGGGTGAACAGGTTGCTTATCCGAGCTGCCTGTGAGATTCTCTGTCAGGCTTATGGAGGTCAGAAGTACCGTCTGGTTCACATGAACGACCAAGAACAAACACCCAACACAGAGACGAAACAGAACACTGAGTCTAGCTCAACAGAGCCAAAACTGGACCACACCTACTTTCACTCCCAGCTTAGGTAAGTCTAAAAATAATAATTTGTAAACTATTTAACTAAATTAACTTGCACACAACCACAGAAAACATACTACTATAACCCAGAATGCCAACCGCATGGTAAAAAGCATTGTGTTTTGAGAGAGCTTTGCCTGTCAATTCGTAGGCAGCGCCACCTGTGTTGCTATGCTGAGTGCATAGCAACGCTGGTGGCGCTGCCTACGAATTGACAGGTACTCTCTCAAAACACTTAATGCTTTTTACCATGCGGTTGGCATTCTGGGTTATAGTAGTATGTTTTCTGTGACGCAACAAAGAAAGCTATTACAGTGGTTGTCATGTCTTAAGTCCAAGGTCTGGGACTTCTTTAAGTGGTTACAGCATTTGTCTATTAATAAGAGACAGGTTGAATCTGAAAAAGAGTAGCTTCTGATGGTTTGAAACTAAGCTGTTCTCGTTCATTGGGCTGATAGTTCTGGCTATAATAGATAGCAAGCTATTCTTAGTCAGTAACTAAGCTTTAAAGCTCATCACACTTTGTTTGATATTCATCCTGCATTTGTATTCAGTTTAAAATATGTGTACAACGAATAGTAGTGTCTGAATTAAGTGATAAGGTGATAAAGAAAACACTTTTCAGTAAATTTGTCCAATTATCAAGTTAACCCTAGATGGGTATCGCATGTAAATTTGACATAGGGCAAGTTATTTTTAGCGTCCCACCCCACACCCCCTCAACCGACGCTACCCTCCTTCCAGAAGTGCTCTCAGTAGTCAATTGCCTGGTGATGGCTGCCTTGGTTGGGTCGTAGTGTGTTTCTTTATGTTCCTTACTAGTCGGTTTCTTGCTAGCATACGTCAAACTTACGTGTCAATACCCTTTGTGTATATAGTAAAATAGCCGGCAGTACGTCAAATTTACATATTGATACCCTTAGCGTCACACATTATAACGATACCTTACAATGCAATTCCTATGTAGGCCTACGTTAAATTTACGTATTGATACCCTTAGCGTCATGCTGAATGACGATACCTTTCTAGGGTTAATCAGTAATACCAATGGTTATCAATTGAGTATATAAAGACTTTGATCAGGCCTGTGCTCAAAACAAAACATGAGACACGGTGATAGCTTATTCCCTCTATAAATTCGTTACAACTTATTATAGTCAATAAAAACTATGTTTTTAAATTTTTTCCAGAGTGCACAGTGTTGACAGCTCAGATGAAGTGGAAGCGTTTTATCTGGAGAGGATACAGATGCTGCGAGAAACATTTGGAGTCTTACTGTTTCTTTACTCTGTTATGTATACAAAGGTATGGCGTTTAAAATATTTTGTAATTCAGTTTATTTACAATATAACTTTAAAGATGGGGGAGCGAGCTGGTATAGTGTTAAAGCGTGGACTTTGATCCTTAAAGGTTCAAATCCTGCCAAATCACCAATGGGTTTTATCTAAATAATGATGCCACAACTCCTAGCCTGGAGTAATGTGAAAAACAATCCCGGATTTGTACATAGGACAAAAACAATATATAACTTAAAAGAGTTAACATTTGCTTTTTGAATTAAATACCTACTCTTGAAACTCTCATGGGAAAGATTAATCATATTCTAAACACACATAAATACTTGTTTGATATTATTTAGTAGCAATATAAGGTTGCGTACATCTGTGCATGTGCATAATATCATCTGTGTGTGAGCACATCCTAAATATTTTTTAGTTTCTAGTATTTTTAAAGCATTTATATTTTGCATATCTTATTCTAATCTGCAGTTTTTGGCAAGTTAAGCTTCAACATTTACTTAAGTATCTATTTATTAGTGTATAGACAAAGTGACTTTTCCTCGATAAAGTAAATTCATTATTTACCTCCTTAACTAAGGAGTGAGTAGAATTTTGTAGGTTATCTTATTAATTAATATCAGCTCCTACAAACAAGCTTTGCTTCACAGACACCTGGTTTCATAGTTAAGTGTTTTGTATAGTATGTAACTTAATGTCGCTATTTCAGAATAAATATAATTTAATTTGGTCTGGCAGGGACTGGAACAGCTGAACACGGAGGTGACGGACATTGGAGAGCCGATGATAGACGGAGAGTACGGCTACGGCAGTCAGTGTCTCATCAACCTGATGATCACAGGCCGCGCCGTAGCCCATGTCTGGAACCACGACCAGGATGTCGGCGGCCTCAGTAAATGTCTTACATATATGCATAAATAAATAGTCTAGCTAGTAACTGGGTGATTAGGTTTGCGTGAAAATTTGTGGGTGGATAGTTGGTTATTGTGCTCCCTTTCAAATCAAAAGGTAAATGTGAACAGGGTTAGAAGATCCTGAGAAAAGCATTAAAATAGATGATTTGAAATGTAACATGTCTATCATTGGTTATCAGATATTTAACTAACCATCTTGGGAATAAGGAAAGAGTTGAGCTGCATCAGTGAGAAGACTCTCCATCCTACTCATTTATAGGCTACTCAAAAGTCAAAACATACATATCCTCTTTTGCTTTGGTCGATCCTGGATCTCGTTAATTGTAACTCCACGATTTCTCTACCATCTTCCCTTCTGTACCTCCTCACCTCGTCGATCCTCTTTCTTCTCTTAATTTCCTTCCATAACTCAACATTTCCTCTTCCTCCACGATCCTCCACTCTCCTCCACATATCCTCATCGCATCCATCCACCTTATTTAGTCTTCCTCAAGATCTCATTCCCTCTATCACTCTTAGCTCTTCCTATGAATTCTCTCCACCACTGGTTGTTATACTACAACAATACCCCCGCTGCAGAAAATCTGCAGACGAAGCAAATTACCATTTGCCTGATTTGATTTTCACAAATAACTTTAGGCTTAATAAGTAAGTACTTAGGTTTGCTGCTTCAGGGAGGGCAATAAATTGTGTTTTTTACCATAATATTAATTGCTTCTAGTATAAAATAAATCCAGTTGCCAAGTTTGATAAAAATATATCCATTAACAAGAAAACTTTAACAGTTTACTTATCCTCCCATGAGATTAAACATGGGAATTTTAAGTTTTCTTTGTAACCAATAGGCCTGACTGTACACAATCACTTAAATATATTAGATTATTTGTTTTCTTGAGCTCTTCAAATTATTTTAGAGAGAAATTATAAAATTTTATGATTTGAGGGTCAAAAATGGGAATAACCCATTTTTACCACATAAAACCCGTTCCCATGGCTCGATCATGCTGGTTTGCAATCGCATTTAAGTTTAGCCTTTTGCCAAAGCCTTTTAAGCCAAATTTCATCAAAATAGGACAAAAATTACCCTAGTTATCGCAATCTTTCAGGTCAGGAATATGCATAGCTTGAAAGTAATCAAATATGTAAATAATTTCTACTCAAAGCTTTACTGAGTAATTTAATATACCTAATATCTAAAAGATAACTTTATGTAACCTGGTTATAAGCTAAAACTATATATAAAAAAAGACCTAAACCACTTTACCCTACTTGGATTGTTTGTTACAGAGTTGCGAGGCATAGACAAGCAGAGCACTGTAGGATTTCTGGCGCTTTTAGAACATCTGAGGTATTGCGAGGTCGGGTCTTTCCTCAAGAACCCCATGAACCCTGTGTGGGTCCTTGGCAGCGAGACTCACCTCACGGTGCTCTTCTCCTTCGAGAAACAGCTGGTCAGCGCAGAAACGCCTACGGAGGTAAGCTTCCAAGAACTTAAGTGTATTTCTTTTTAAATTTTACAACGGAGACTATAGATTATCAGGACCCAAATATGTGGGAGTTAGTCTGGTGGTGTGACCGTACTATTGAATTACACGCACTTTGTAAATGATATCTCTTTATTGTAACACCATAGATGTTTCTAATGTAATGTTTACAAAACTAACAATAAGAAGTGTGTAATATTTAATATTTACTAACAGCTGACTATTTAGAATTGAGTAATATAACAAGATTAATGACATCTGGTATAACAAGTGTAGGCCTAATTGATTTTGTTTCTGAATGAAGGTGGCGCGACGGGTGTTCAAAAGTTTTGACCCTGAGGGTAACAACTTCATCTCTTCAGACCTTCTACAAGATGTCCTCAGCATGTTGAACTTAGTCTCTGACCCAGAATAGTGAGTAGCCTAATAAGCTTTGTTTAGTATTAAACTCTTATTAATAAATTCAGGTGAACTTTCATACTGATTATCTCAAATACAAGAAAATGACTTTTGAAGCAAATGGTAACTTTAAGTAGATATAATTGAGAAAAAATGTACAAATTATGAATGTTGAGCCAATTTTAAAATGTAGATCCCTGTGCTTCCTCACGGTAGAGAATAAAAAATTACTGTAATCAGCAAAGCTTTCAACAGCTGTCTTTTAAGAACCCAGCCAATAATATATTTATTTATGGATTCACAATTTTTACATGGTGATTCCGTACCAATACTTAAAGTTAGGGTACTTACGTATTAAACGGAGGCCACCTAACCTACAGATTCAATTTGATTAGTAAACCTTCATGCGATTTTTTCACCATCAGCAAGTTTGGTTGGTTAGGTTAGGTTAAGATAGTTTAATTTGATAAAAAAACATATATTTATGATAACCCAACCTAACATAACCGCTGCAGCGCGCTGTAAAATATGTGGCCTCCGTATAATACGCAAGTTCCAAAGTTAGGAATAAAATTAAAATGGTTTTATCATAAGTCAAGAAAAATTAATGTACCAGTAACATTAGGTGTACCCTGTGGGCATGTGTGTGTGTACTTTATTTATTCATATAACTAAGTGTTTTTATTTTTAACAGTGTAGAAATCATGAAGAAGAGGCTGGACCCAGACAATTTAGGTATCATACTTCTCAGTGCTTTCATGGACGAGTTCTTCCCTGAAGAGTCTATTTCAGTGCCTGACACGTTCACTCTTTTTCATTACAACGGGCTCCCTCGCTCTTGTCCGAGTAACAAGGTAAATCTTTGTTGCGTTTTCAGAAAGATTAAAAATATATATGTTTCTAGTGTCAAAACTAAATATCAAATCTCAAAACCATCAAAACTTTGGAAAAGTTTCTGTTTCGAGATTCGATCCGCAAGTATTGTAAGTTTCGGTATTGAGATTCTACGAGTCGTAAGCATTCTGTTTTTTGTTACCTCTTCACTAGTGATGTTGATACAATCATAATCTATTTTTTACCTTGTCTGCTCTCTAAATATTGTGCAACATCCTTACAAGGATATCAAATTTGTTTGGCATTTTCTTCCTCACAAGTTGTAAAGATTAGTTGCCATTCATTATTAAGCTTTAAGATTTGAACTTAAAGTGTTTAAGCTGGCAGTAATGGAGCTAACAGATCACAACTGACACTGATGAAATAAGTTTGTATTCTGAACTGTTAAGTTATCAACTAATGTTTCATATATAAATATAACCACTCATATTCTCCTTGTGAATGTTTTAGTAGTCATTTATGATGGGCTAAAGTTTGAGGACTGTTCTATTCCAATATTGAATTTCCAGTTTTAAAGCTAGGGATGGGAATATAGCAAATCCACAAAGATATTGAATTTTACAGAGAGAATTAGCCAGCTTATCTACCGGTACTAGAAAAATATAAATATTTTTGGACAAATATACTGTCAATACTGTCATATAGTGTTTTCATGTGTCTGTCAAGGCATAATTTAGGTTATAGATGACCATAAAATAACCACTAGCTGCAGACAATCCTTGTGAACCTATTTGCATTTAGTCTATTCAATTACGGTAAAAAGTGCAAACTGTATATTTATCCCATACAACACAGCACTGATTTGTATGAAAAACTGGATTTAGGTTCTACTTGCCCTCTTGCAAGGGGTTGACTTTCCCCTGAAGTGGATGCCACCCCTTTGGGCTGGGTAAATACCCAAAGGGCGGGGTAGTTATAAAAATATAGTGGTTTACCTATACCACTCTCCTGAATACAAAATGCTAAATATTTTGTCAACTTATTCAAATGTGAACAATTTTTGTAGGAAGACAACACAAGTTGAATACAAGTAACAAAATTTGGGCAACACAGTTATTTAGCCTAATTCAAATATATTTTTGTTCTTGCCTAGTAGATTACGTATCTGAAAAATATCACTGTAAAAACTTACCAAATCTTTTATCAAACTCAAGACATGGACGTGGCCTTTAGTTTCAATTGAAATGTGGGTGTACCAATAGGACCATTAATTATGTTTTTTTAAAAATAAGCTTAATCAACAAACCCTTCTCCCTTTAATTATACATTAACATATACCGATAAAGTTTTTATCAATAGTCTACTCACTACATTTGGGCAATAAAAATCCAAAGAGCCTTATTAATACAGTAGTTACACATTTAATTTGCATTACATGTTCTAATCTAATAATAATTTGATAAACTAAAATAAAAATATGCATGATACAAATCCTCCAATTTAATTTAAAAGGAAAACACTAAATTAAAACTTCTCTTTAGTGAGTAGTTGAATAATGATAAATACCCCGGTATTTATGAAAAATAGATATTCACCCAAGTAAATATCCTGGATATTTACATGCAGTAATGAAATACCTGGGCATTTAAAAACATTTCTAGCCTTTCTAGAGGGTGATGAAATTTTAATATTTTTCACGGTGATTACACTCATGATTTGAAATTTGATTCCTATATGATAACTGTTTGACCGCTGTTACGTAGTTGGAAATGTAATGTTGGAATTACGTCCGGAAAAACTAAAGGTGATAATAATGAAGATTTTGTTTACCGTATACTTTGGATAGCGAAAATAAATTATTCATAAACCCATCGGCACACCTGTAATGATAGTTTTGCATTTAACACGTTCGCTGCTGAAATTGCTGTAATAGACATTGGTATATGCTGAAATATATTTTTTTTTATTTTACTTACCAAACGATGTTATATGGTGAATATCAACTGGAAAAGAGATCCCGATGCTCAAAACATATGTTTCCGCCATTTTGGATGTTTGACGTTCTGGAACGTCGGCAGCTCCTGGGGATGGTGTTCCAAGTTTCAAGACGTTCTGGAACGTTTGTAGCTCCCAGAGACGTATTTTTTCATGGGTCATTGCTTAGCACGATAATTAGTTATACTATATAAAAGGTGTGTGAAAAACTATGTACAACCCCTCCAACCCACCCTAAAGAATACTCAATGGAACAAAAGTGGTTTTATTCAATTCTACAAATAAAAAAAAACTACATTTACACGAATAAAATATTTCTCAAATTCACATTTACACAAATTCAAATTCACATTTACACAAATTCAAATTCACATTTACACTAATTCAAATTCACACGCAAAAAGTAGATAAATATGTCATGTTACACTTCCCAATGTACATTACTGATGAAAGTCGTCGAAGCACTTAGGGACGCAAAATCCCGGGCTGCCTTCGCACTCTAAGCAGTGCCAGGTTACGTCCTTTCTTCTTCCGTTGGAGGAGCAGACCTTGCAGCGCTTCTGCTTTAGCCGTTTGCCATCTGGCTTCAGCTCAGTGATGCGCGTTGGCGTGTGCATCACTGACTTCCTCTTCAGGGGGCGCTCAGGCGGTGCTGTGTCTGGCAGCATTGCGTCGACGACTCTCAGGCGGAAATCGTAGAGGGGCATTTTCTTTCCCCCGGCTGCTACTTCAACTTCATTATACAGATAGTGGGCGTTGGACAGCAGCATCTGTAAGACATGTATAAATATCTTTTTGTACCACCTGATAGTTTTTCGCTCACAGGGGTAGTATGCCATCATTTGATCGGCACGATCCACTCCCTTCATAAAATGATTGTACTGGACGATGGGGAGTGGTTTCGTCCTCTCAAGCCTAACTCTGTTGAGGGAGGTGACCATTTCATTGGTAAATTCAGTGGAAATGTAGGACACAACTCTTTTATCTTTCCACTTACCCACCATGACCCCCTCAGAATACTGGCAAACTGTTTCACCCTTTTTCAGCTTCTTGTTCTTGACTGCAGTTGGATTGTACTTTCTGTCAAGTCTTAGTGTACCTGTACAGTACGTGTTCTTACGCAACAGCGCAGACGCAAGGGAGAAGCTGTTATAGAAATTGTCCAGGAATAAGCTGTGTCCACAGTCCAGCTTGTTTTGCATCAAATGAAGCACTACATTTGCTGCGTGCCCTTTCCCTCCAAAATCATCCAAAACACCACAGTACATAAAGAACTTCACTATCAATCCATGGGGGTCACACAAGGTGTACAGTTTGATTCCGTACTTATGTCTTTTACCCTTGATGTACTGCCTAAAGTATAGGCGCCCACGCCACAAAACCATTGACTCGTCAACACATAGTTTCTTTTGAGGGTAATACACCTGGTTCATTTTGTTGTTGAAGTAGTCCACAAGAAACTGCACTTTGCTGGCACGATTACTTGGATCAGGTCGAACTTCAAAGTTTATGCATCGCATAATGATTAGAAAACGATCCCTGCTCATGAAGGACGAAAAACAAGATTTGAACAGTTTGTTATTTTTCCAATAGTCCTGGATTTTGGGCAACTCAATAACTCCCATATGGATAACTAGAGCAATAAAAATCTTCAGTTCTTCCACAGTTAAGTCTTTGAACTTCGTGATTCTTGATCTTGGGAGGGTCGACGGTCCACAAAATAAACCTAATGCATAGGCGTTTGTGGCCTTTACAATGTTCTCATAAAAAAGGTCGTCCACCAGTAGATTAAAAAAACTCACCGGCGATTTTTCTTCTGGTAATGGCACCAGAAAACCTTCCTCTTTTGTGAAAGGAATTTCTTTCATCCCAATGGCACAATGATTGCTCCAGTTTGGAGGGTTTTCTTCGTAATTTGGGTCCTCGTCTTCAGACACCAAACCAAACTCCAAATCATCCAGATTGTCGTTGTCTGGATCGCCCGGGTCGTCTGGGTCGTCTGGATCCAAGTCCAAGTCACTGTCATCATCCAATGTGCGTGTTCGAATTGGATAAACCACCCCACTGGGACCTGGACGTTGATCCATATTGTACCAAACAAAATAAAATGAAACAACACTCTCCGAAAGGTAAGTTGTACGTCGATAAAAAGTTTTAGGTTACGCCAAAATGGCCTTTCACACCCACAAGTTTATGAACTTCACACGTAAGTTAGGCCTACTAATGAAATGAGTTCAAAACATTATGGTGGTTATGAGTATATAACGAGCAATTAACTTTTCACTAAAACCAAATAAAAACTAACTAACTAACTAACTCAACTTATGTAAATAAACAACTTGGAACAAAATGTAAATAAACATGAAAAACAATGGTTGCGATCAGCGCGCCCTCTGTTGTCAGCTAATTTTTCAACCACCCGTACCCACAATTCAACCACTCGTAGTTACGGAGATTTCCGCAGATACTAGATAGCAGCACTAATCAGGTCAAGAAGATTCCTATTTTATGGTAGCGGCAAACAGCGAAATATTCGGGGGTGCGATTTGCGCGCCATCTGTTGTCAGCTAATTCTTCAACCACCTGGACGTGGTTACGGAGATTACCGTAGATAGCAGCACTAATCAGGTCAATAAGATTACTAATTTTGTTTCTGTAGCGACAAACAGCGAAATATTCGGGTGTAAACAATTTCTCAAAATAGTAACGTGCGTTACGTAAACTTGTTATTTATATATTTATTTGACAAATGTAAAAAAAATGCTATCTAAAAACTGACATTGCAAAAAATGCGGGAAAAGTACGTCCCCACAAGCGGCAACAATATTGTGTGTGTTCCTGATATGCTGTGTTGTCCATAGCAACTTTAATAGAACGTTGCTAGGGAACGTTCCAGAACGTCGCCCGCTCCTGGCGCTCTGTCACGGTGACGTTCCGGAACGTCGGCCGCAGCGAACGTGTTAATAAATGGCTCTGATCAATGAAACAGCTGATCTTTTCAGTAACATAGCTACATAGGCCACTCATATTTAGGTTGACGTAGGAATATGTCCCAGTGTAATGACATCTTGTTTGATCGTTACAGGTAGTCTATCAAGAAGGCAGCGCTGTGTTGCTAGAATGCAACATGAAGTGTGTCCTGGACAGCAACCCGATGTTGACTTGCCTACAGACCAAGTGGCCGAGCATCGAAGTCCGGTGGTTGTCAGGGGCCACTCCCTCTCTCAACTAGTATTGGTAGCTCTACACCACACACAGACACATATTGTATTTATTTCCTTCAAAATCCCGGTTTCCATTGTCCACCCACTACTAGTATTATTTAATTTTGTAAATTATACATTGCGTTGACCAGTCGATGTATGTTGTTAGACTCAAAAGGTTGATGTTTCAGGAGGGTGTTACTGTATATTTGTAGAAATGTTTATTGTTGGGTCGATATAAAGATGGCACTGCATGTTCGTTTCATGCGTAATTTCTTAATTTTGTAGTAATTTTAATTAAATAGAAACCTATATATTGATTTGTTTATGCGTTGAATGTGTAATGTATTTGACAAATACCAAAGATAAAATTATTTTACCTTATTTATGTCGTAACTTTATATTTAGTGTTACACCCCCAGTTAATTGTTTGATTTAAAATATTACACCAAAACAATTAGGTCTTTTAACAATTAGTTTAATGGTGCATAAACATTTAAGGCCAACGTTCGCTTTAATGAAACTCTTAGACCTTTTCAACTGAATTAAGCTACAATTTTATTTGACTCGAGATCATTTTTGCTTGGTTGAATTTTACCTTCTATGAAAAAGCTCAACCAAGTGTGCATATTTGGCACTATACATACAAATGTACCCTTGTTGCAGCAAACCTGCGAATAGCAATTGTGCTTATTCTGATAAAGTTTCTAGCTAGAGACTTTTTATTTATCAATACAGTACTACTGTACTGAATAAGATTGGTGGTTAGCTAAACTAGTGGTAGCTCACAGGACGGCCTAACCTGAAGTAATGTGTAACGGTTCCGGGCAAGAGGCTATGTCCTACGTCCTATCATCGAAGGTGAGACATATAAATGCTCCCGCCTCAGAAAACCTCCAGACAAAGCAAACTTGTTTGAGTACTTAGGTTTGCTGCCACAGGGAACGTAATAAAGTGTGTTTTTTATTGAAATGTAAATAGCTTAGAATGAAATAAATAAACTTGCCAAATTTCATCAAAATACACCCCAAACTGCATCAGTTAATTTAATCTCCATAAAAATAACATAGGAATTATAACATTTACAGTGTTTATTATTTTATTCGTAACAATTAGATGTACAACAATGCTTTGGTGTACATGGTTACTTGTTTTTCTATTTGCTCTACATAATAGATTGGAAATAAATTGCAAAATTTTATGTTTTGGGGGTAAAAAAATGGGAGAAACCAAATTTTTCTGGGAGAATCCAACATAGTCCAACAATGCCGGTTCACAAACTTGTAAGTTTAACTGTAGGTTTAATTATATTTACCCAATTGAATAAAAAAATTATGGCTTTAATTTTAGTTATCATGCTAACAAACACACACAAATAATATATGAATTTGAACAGATGGTGTCTTTGGCTTCAGGAAACATCTAAACTAAAAATTTAAATCAGTTCCGGGTCTAGGTTTTTTTATGAGACCTACAGTACTAGCTTATTATTTATATGTGAAATTCGCTAAAAACTATTATTGAGCAGGCATGTATGTCTCCCTAGTTTTCTTATTTTTTGGTGTGTATATCAAACCCCCCAAGATATAGTTATAACTGTTTTAGTAACTATTCATGTTATTATTTTAAATTTGAAAACATAAGCAATGGTTATGTTACCATTTAAGTTGTAATTAATTATTACGTACAGGAATTAGGGGCAAAATGTCATGGTTGAACAACTAATTAAATATTGTTAGTTCAAAACATTTTAAAATCTTTTTAATTTTGAAACCGAATAACAATTGTCTTTGAAATATTCAGAACATTATAATTTAATAACAATGTTATCACAAGGGCATTGCTTGTTTTTGACTGTTAGTTGTCTAAAAAATGGTAATGTATGTTGATCACGGTTAATCTGTTAAAATATAAAAGCTTGAGATTTTTATGTTTTATTGTTGTCACAGTAAAAAAAATTACAATTTATTTATTTTGAATATTTAGGTCTTAATAGTGAGATTAAAAATACTTTTTAAGTAACCCTTACTTTTAGATCCTAGCAGCATACATTTTAATGTAAAAAAAGGAACGTTTAATACCTAAACTAGGAAGTGTTATTTATGTATATATTGAAATACGATTTTTCTCAATGAAATACAGTTTTGAAATTAGCATGCTTTTTTATAACTTGTTATACCTCTTCCCAGCAATATAAATAACACTTTAAGTGTTGATTAGTTTTATGATTAGAAACAGTGAGCAAAATTTAAACTTTTGAAAGTGCATCAAAAGGTTGGTATTTTTAAAATTTTGTTTGTGTTTTTCATAACGGGTGCGATTAAATGAGTTGATGACTACTTCATGGTTCTTTCTTATTTCAGGGTACAATAACACTATGAAATCCACTATTAATGTATGAGACAAGGACAAGCAGTTACCAAATATGTAGTATCAAAAACTTACCTTAAGATTTAATTTAAAAATTCAAAATTCTTTATTGAGTGCTCTTATACAGCTTAAACAGCCAATTACAAGGCACTAATAGACAATAACATAAATTACATGCATGACAACTATCCTACGGCAAAAATCATAAAACTTTGATGCACATACATTAAGTTTTTAATACGGAAGATGAATCTATTTTTAGTCCCTAATCATGTTTGTTATTTTATTTTATATACTTTCAAAGAGGTTTTATATTTCCTAGGGTTTCACTTTTTAGTTGGAATACCCCTAAAATTGCATTCAAGTTAAGTTCAAAAAGTAAAAATTCTCTTTTCAAGTTTGAGGGGAGTAGTCAGAAAAATATGGCTCTGAATTTAATCTGATATATGAAGCCAAAAGACAGATGTATAAAATTGTTGCATGTGTAATGCAATTTGGTGTTCAATTTAACCTGAATGAAATTTAAACGTCATTCATCGCCAATTATTTTGGAACACCTCTCTTGCACCTTACTGTTATATATACAATATAAACTGTTACAATACAAACAGAAGTATGAAATTTCTTGGTTAACACTTTATTCGTAATGTACAATACAATTATACAGCAATGTAAACAAATATATACCATCATAAAAATCAAAATAAATTCACAACCACAACAAAAACTTGACCTGCATATTAAAATAAAATCACTATGAATAAAAGTGTCTTCATATTGTAAAACTGGAATGTACTTCCAAGTATACTTATATAAAATCGATATTCTTATGCTGTTATCATATACTTTAAGTGTAATAACAAAATAATACTAAACATAAATATTTTATTTTCTGCATAGTTAGAATAGATTAAATATTCTTACTAGTATAAAATATATCCATGCTAATATAAAACTTCGTACGTTTAAAAAACTATAATTTTCAAGAAAGAAGTAATAGTATATTACGTTACTAGCCCGGTAAGTGGTGTTTTACGTGCGAGCACAACAGTTCCATGAGTTTGCAGGATTTTCATGCGAGTAAGTTAAAGCTAACCTGGCAAGTAACCTACTTTACATCATAATACACAGAAAAATTAGTAAATTTTAAACGCAAAACACAATTAATTTACATAAATTATAATATTTTTATATTAGGACGTTGCAGTTAGCTATTTATTTCATCAGCTGACTAAGTGCACGGCAAAAAGTTTTTACCATGCAGTGCACGGTAAAAGTAAATAACGTTACTTTTCCGTATTTAGGCACGGTAAAGAGCAACTTTCCAGCCTATCAATAAGGATGGAAAAGTACCAGTTACTTTGTAGTATGATATAAAAATATTTAACTGCTTGTAACTAACTACAATGAATGTCTAACAGCAAAGTCCTGTTTAAAAAGGTTATGAACACGAATAGTGTCCTTTCATTCAAAGCAGTCAACACCACACTGAAATATTGTCTACTACAGTAATTTAATTTTAATCCCAGAAACAACAAATTTGGTTTACATTCCAATGTTGTACAATAAAAGCTGGTTCCCCTCTCTGTTTTACAGTCAGTTTTCCTTACTCGTGAACTTTGATTACATGAAATAAATAAAAAATTGTATTATGGTATTATCCACGAATACTAGAAAATACCGGTATGGATCATAAACATAAACAAAATTACGTTTTTGGCCCGAAAGTAAACAAAACCAAATTAATGCTATTAGTATAGGGGTTTTGTTTACTTTTGGGCCAAAAACGTTGTTTGTTTATGTTTATGATCCATACCGGTATCGATCATAAGTAATGATTAGTTGTAGTGTTTTATCAGCTGGGCTTTGTTTACTTATAATCTGATGTGAGTGACATGATGAATAGATAAATACTACCAATAGGTTGGCTCAGCTGTATGTTTAAAAACAAGATGAAAGTCATTTGGGAGTCAAATTACAAAGGTAAACCCAATTGGTAGTGAATGGTACACAATTGTTTTGTGTGAATTTGTTGACAGTGTAGCAAAAATAGTTCATCACACAGCCAAAAGTTTCAATTAACTGAATTTTGTACTCGTTAACATTGAACTCACGCCAAAAAGTTAAATTACAGACACTATTTAAACTCAGATTTACTATTTAAATGTACAAGTTCAAAATTGTTAAGAACTTTGCTGTTGAACAAAAAAAACCTATTGCACACTAACTAAATTAACACTATACATTTATTTTTCTTAGTATACAACATTGAAAGGCACGCCTAGATTAACAGCTGAAGCAACGATGCTGTAATATTGTACTTAGGACAAAAATCCTTAAATAAAATCTTTGAAATGTATAATATAATCAAACATTTCTTTTTACATAAACAACACTTTTTATTTTAATAAAAAAAAATTGATAATTGTATATTTTTACAAGCAATTATTAAGAGATAGTTTTTAAAAGTAAAAAATTACCTTTTTCAGTTCTTGTTGAATTAATACTATTTATTTAAACTATCAAAATATAAGCTTAGACACTATAAGCAGTAGTTAATTACCTTAAGTTCATATACCTTTGGTGTTCTAAAGTAAAGGGAACAGACTATGTTCTTAATCTCAGACTAAAGTGATGTTATTCAAATATATGGCAATGATAACTATTGCACAAGTTTATTTACAACAATGAAATCAGTTTAGGTAAATATATCAGTAGCCTACATTGTTTGGATTAATCATTAGCATCCACAAAAATATACAGGGTGTCCCGGATCTCTCTACCAATATTTTAGGGCATTGATCCTGGGTATGAAACGCACCTAAATATCATATTTAAATTGTCCGGAAGTCCTTAGTTACTCACACAGCCGCCATTTCGTTTTTTTCAGTTATTAATGTTTTTCTAAAGAATGGTTAAACATACGAAATGGAAACTTTGCACAAACATTTATGACAACTAGACAAAGCTACAAAAAAATTATGAGGATTTTTCAAATTCATAAAACAAAATGGCGGCCATTTAAAATTGTCTTTCTTAAATAACTCAAAAACCATTGATTTTACATAAACTTTAAATGGCCGCCATTTTGTTTTATGAATTTGAAAAAATGTGATAATTTTTTGGTAGCTTTGTCCAGTTGTCATAAATGTTTGTGCAAAGTTTCCATTTCGTATGTTTAACCATTCTTTAGAAAAAAAATTAATAACTGAAAAAAACGAAATGGCGGCTGTGTGAGTAACTAAGGACTTCCGGACAATTTAAATATAATATTTAGGTATGTTTCTTACCCAGGAGCAATGTCCTAAAATATTGGTAGAGAGTTCCGGGACACCCTGTATATCTGCCCTTCAATTTCCAGCAAGTTAATACTTGGCATAACATCTTCAATACCAAACATCAGTAGAAGCGACTTTTAAAACGTTGAATTTGATTCAATACCTAATATGAAGAGGAACCTTGCAAAAACAAACAAATCTGAATCGAAAGGAATCCAAATGTACACAGTTATGATTACATTAAAATGGTTCTATGCTTAAAAAATATTTTTTTTTACTTATTGGTTTAATGTACATTTCATTTGATTATACTCAACTTATGGTAACATGCCTGTTTAAAACTATAATTCAAACGTATATTTAAATTTAAATATAAACATTACACATTTGAATAAAATTAATATACATATAAACATGCAAATCATCCTGTAAAAAATTATATGAATATTTTATCAGTAGAAAATAATACAAATTTAATCTTTTACTTTCTTACAAACACACACATTAAGTTTCTTCTTAAATACATTTTATACAACAAGTTACTAACATATATCTTTAAATACATTTAAACTGTATGGAAATCAAATAATGCATCAAAATTAAAATATAATGAATTCAAGAGAACATCTTGGAATGCCTTTGTCATAACTAATTTAAATTTATAAAACAAACGTTCATGATAATTTTACAAGCTGCAAATACAATATCAACATGGTTTCTTATACTTTTTTAAAACAACACTTAATGTCAATTTTAGGTATCTGTAAGTGATATCCCAAGTTATACTGAACAAAACTCTTTATATCTCGATTTGAATAAACTTTTACAACTGTATTTTTTTATTATTGTTAGTAATTTTGTACTGTAAATAAAAAATTAAATTCTGTCGTCTTTGTGTCATTGTTTTCGTTTATCACAGTTTCCTGAACTCAAATACATTCGTAGACATTTCACCACTCAATCAATTGTTACAATATTAAGCTTGATTTGTTAGAAATTTTTTTTGCAGTACATAATAACAATAACCAGCATAAACAGCTTTAAAACAACTAGAAACTACATCTTGTTTGAGTAGGTACTCAATAACCAAAGCATTCAACCAAATAGTCTGACCTTAGAGTCAGTTCCAAGGATTGCGTAAGGATAGGAATCTTATTCGATCATAGAATAAATGGTCAATGGTTAAAGATAATCATTTAGAAAACAGAGATAGTTAATTTGTTGTAGGATAAAACTCATGAACATATTAGGCCATATAGACAACAATTAGACCTGCAATGATTTAAGGTTGCTCATACTTTTTGAATACGTTAGTAAATGTGAGAAATTTTGTATCTACGTTCTTTCATTACAAAACAGTCATAACACTCAATGGGTCTTTGACTATGGATACATTCCATTCCCAATTTTACTTTCTCCCTCTATAGGCCTACATAGTAAATGAAGAAAGTACCGTACTGTTTTTCTAAAAAAATTTGAGTTTTGAGTGGATATATCCAATTTGGGTCCCCCTGAACCCAAAAAAGTGGGTTTCAAAGTTATGTCTGTGTGTGTGTCTGTATGTGTTTGTTGTGTACAGGGCTACAGACCACACCTGGAGTCCGATTTTGATGAAATTTGGTATGTAGGTACTAATACATGGTATCTCCAGGTGTTTTTGGAATTTTTTTGAAATTTTATTTTTAATGGAGATTTTTCCATTAAACCCCATAAAATAACGGAAAACCCAAATTTTTTTTTTAAATGGCCTTAACGATTTTGATAGAAATTTAGTATGTTATAGTCCTTTAAATTCTGAACAAAATGGTGCAACTCCCATAGCTGAAAAAAGTATAGTTCAAAAGTTATTGCAGCTTATACTATTTTTCCATAAAAAGTCGTAAAATAACGGAAATTCAGATTTTTCTAAAAAAACCAGTTCTGATTAAAATTTTTCTGTTATGATCTTTATAATTAAATATTTCAATCCCCCATTGCTATAAAAATACAGTTAAAAGGTATTGCAACTTTTTTTATTTTCTTAAATATCATAGTTACACCCACCGCTTACCCATGATAAAGGTTTTTGACAAGCGAACGGGAGAAAGTCTGAGTCAGATTGCTGATACATTAGCTTTTAAATCAAAAGGCATGTAGTTTAATTTAGCCCGAGCCAGAGTGTACTGTTGTCGATCAGTGTTTTATTTCTCTTGTCAAACTTTTTAACCAAGCCAAATTAAAGTACAACTTGTTGTAAACTAAATAAAATGTTGTATCACTGACAGGGTTATTTAAGGTTCATTCAACTATGGTCTGTTTAAATTTGAAAACTTTCAACTTTTTCATACATTACAGAAAACAAAGGAAAAGTATATTCAAGACCAGGTTCCTATAGCCTGATCTTCAATACAGTCATGCAGCATAAAACAAATTAAAGAAGACCAGCTGGTGAGATGGAATGTCTACTATAGTATCCAAAGCCAAAGATGATGCCTATGGTAACCTTTCAAACCCTTGACACTTGAGTAATGAACATGACACAAACACAAACAGTTCACCAGCTGCCAGTCAGATGGAGTGCGATGTTGAGACTTCTCTCTACCTGTCACAACTGGTCGTCTTGCAGTACGTTGCGTACTCTCTGCGTCAGAGGGAACCTCGTACGGCCATCACAGGTAGCGTCGGAGTCGTCAGTGTTGAGGGAGAAGACCATCACGCCCCCAAAACCTTGCTCTTTGGCAAACTCCGCCTGTTACACAGATATGTGGGAATTACACATGAACTTAGGTTATTGATATAGGTTTAAATTCATGGAGTTAAGGTCGTTAAAAGTTCCTCTGTTTTTATATGATTGAAATACAGACATTTTTTGTCTCACTGCAGTGGCACTCAGTATTGGTGGGTGTGTTGTTAACGTAGTAGTTGTTGTCTCGGACTTCAGTGCGAGCGGGATGTGTTTGATTCCCAGCTAGTGTACGGTATTTACAAAAATGTTTGGTGGTGCATACGGGAGGGACTATGGCTAAAGGTGTGGTGACGTCATATCTCTAGTGGCTAATGTCTTCTCTTGAGGGAACACCATTACCGTAACGAAACGATGTGATTCCAGCAGCGTTAGTGGCGTAGTTGATAGCGTCTCGGACTGTTGTTCTGGAGGTCTGTAGTTCGAATCCAGCAGGGGACATATACTTTTTGTCAAAGATTTTGCTTAGAATGCGAATACTTCTTAACTGTATATCTTTTGTTAGAATTTGATGCATTTATAATTTTATTTATGAACAGAACTATTTCATTTTTTATAGTAAACCGTTCATCTTATATATTTTTTATATTAACAGCAAGTTCGGTTGGTTAGGTTAGGTTATGACAGTTCATTTTATAATTAAAAAGTTAATTTTATAACTAAAAAATTATAAAATCAATTTAAATTTTTTTCAACTTAGCGGTTTTAGCAGCGAACGCTGACACTACAAGATATGACGTCACCACACCTTTAGCCATAGTCCCTCCCGTATGCCCCACCGCAAAAATGTTAGGGCTTTTGAGTGTTTTCCCTTAAAAGAGTGTAATTCTTACAACACTTTGCGAAAGCAGTAGATACCCATCAAATTTATTCGGATATGTAGGAGATCAAACCTGTCTTTCTCACTTCAAAGTCCGAGATAATAACCACTAGGATCCCACACACAGATTCTAGTCTGTTCGAAATAATTTAAAACACAGATTATGCAAAATTTTTCATTCAGGTCAATTACATTTGGTTTAGGTTTTTGAGATGCCGACAAATCAGGGTGTGTATTATAAGTGAAACCACATTCTAAAAGAATCATGACATTAACCGAGAGTCAACAAACCTTATAAGCGACGCTCTGCTCGTTGTCAAACGATATCCACTCTTTGTGTCTAAAAGCGTACGGAACTTTGCTCTCAAAGTCAAACACCGACTGAGCGTTGGATTGAGTCATGAAGGAGCAAACATCGTAGTATGCGACAAATCCGTCCGTCCCAACAGTACCGACACCGCTACTGGGCGCTTCCCATCCATGGTTAGCTTCATTATCTAACCTGAGAAGAATACAAAAAATTAAACTTATGAAGAATAATATGCACGTGCTCAGGGAAAGAGCTGTTTACTGCATGAAAACTTATTCAGAATGTTATCACTCTCATCCAATTGGTAAATTATAACAATCTATTTCTTTTTCCGTCAAAGTCCAAGAATTATATAGAGAAGTGAAATTTAAGCTAGTAATACTAGATCTGAGATGTGATGAATTGGTATGGTCCCCGAGGCTTTGGATTTTTCTATAATAACAGCCTATTAGATGTGTGTTGATGCAAAATGGCATTGAACACCAATGAGATATGGATGATAATATAAAAATGGATACGAGTCCATAAAAACTGTATTTAATAGTGGAAAATAAGTTCATGACAAATTAGAGACTCAAAATCTGCCATCCATATTCTCATCAGATAAATATTTATCAGGCCAGTAAGGAAAAAATTTCCCATGCCTTAAAACAAATTTTAAAAAAAATTCAGGATGTAATCTACAACCTGAAAACACATCGATCAAACAAATTAACCGTGGGACCAAATCTGTACCAGTTCAAAAACCTAACAAGAAGCAGCTCAAAGTCAATATGTTTGTGATCACTTATAGATTTAAAAAAATATAAAATGATCCAGAGATAAAGACTCAAAATTTAGTTTTCTTTTTTGTTTGTTTTTCTTTGTTTATTGTTTCATATAAATAAATCAGCCGTAAGTAAAGTTAAATCGTTTTCAATTGATCAGCCATCTAAAAAACGGTGTTTACCTTACACCCAAATATCACGTTGTTATAAATGAAACTTGAGATCAAACTGAAACAATCTACTTTTTCTTTAACACATTGTTAGGAATGCATTTTGGATTTTAAATTCCAATCCGATATTTTAGAACAAAGTTGACTATGAACATATGAGGAGAGAACGAAAATTTCACTCACGTAGAAAACCAATCCACGTGGATTTTTTAAAAATTAATAATTTAGACTAAGTACCTAAAGCAAAACTTATTTAGATAACACGGCTTTAACTCACGTGAAGGAATGGCCGTAGGTGGGTATGCCGATGATTAGCTTATGTATCGGCATACCCTTGTACAACCAGTATTCAGCCGTCCAGTTGGTGTTGAGAGTGGTGAAGACACCTTGCTCTGCAGGCCTTTGGTACAACGGCGCATTGGCTCCAGTCAGAGGAAGATAGCTCTGGTACATGTGGTAGTCGTAGGCCATCACATTGACAAAATCTATATATCTGTCAGAAAAAGTCAATGTCAGCTAGTTGGCCTATTACAATGACTTATAAAGTACAGTAAAGATACGGTGCATTGGCTCCAGTCAGAGGAAGATAGCTCTGGTACATGTGGTAGTCGTAGGCCATCACATTGACAAAATCTATATATCTGTCAGAAAAAGTCAATGTCAGCTAGTTGGCCTATTACAATGACTTATAAAGTACAGTAAAGATACGGTGCATTGGCTCCAGTCAGCAACAGGTAGTTCTGGTACATGTGGTAATTGTAAGCTATTACATTTAAGTCTAAATATGTGTCAGAAAACAATCAATGTCAACTCGTAATACAAGTACAGCAAAAGTTATCCATTTAATTGCACCTCGGTTATCAAAATCTTGGTTAATTGAAACCATAACAAATTATTAAAATTAATTGGAATATTAGATAGCTGAAATAGTGCACCAGGGTGTGGGTTGTCAACCAACAGAAAGTAACGGAGCGGTGAACAACACAGATCGAATACCGTGATAAGGAAAAAGCTCAGACACGATTGTGGATTATTTTAAGAAATAGATTTTTTCATACATTTGTTTGTGGATAATAGTATGATTATATAATTAAAATAACAAAAACAAAACGAAAAACAATGAAGATCTCCTTGAACTGAAAAAGCATTTTTATGTTCCAAACATTGATTAACCAAAAATAGGTCATCCAAAAAGCCCCTTTATACCGGTTATAAGAAGTTTTACTGTACCGTACCTAATTAAATTTTCCAAACAACATCAATAAACACTAAATAAGCCTCGGGAATGCAGATTGAAGTCTGTGGTGTTCAGAAAAGTTGTATGGTTGATTTTTGACACTATTTTAGCTGCATATATATTTTTTTAGTGTCCAACCCCAGTTGCATTTTTAAAGAGGATAATTTAAACATTTTTAAGGGAAAGCTGTCCAATATCTTTTAAATTGTTTGTGGAAATTTTCATAATATCTTCTTCTTCGTGATGTTTGTAGTGAGCTGAAACCCTACTGGACTGAGGCTGTTTTAGGACTCTGTCCTCTTTATTGTTGCGTTCCGTGTTACGATCAGTTTACACTCACTCGGCCATGGCAGTGATGTTGTAGGACTGGTCTATGATCTGTTTGGGCGCCCCTGCCGCCACGCTGAGTGTCATTGGCGGGACTGTAGCATGCAGCCTTTCTGATAGCAGCCGCAACAACTCCATGAAACAGCTGGTCTGGTTCTGTACCACCGTCGGCCACGAGGGGAACTCCCAGTCTATGTCTAGTCCGTCCAGCTCGTGCTTTGTCAGAAACTCAACTGCGTTGTTTACAAACCTGTTGGACAAAATAATAACCTTTTACTGCTGTGGATAATTTTACGTTTTATTGAAAACATTGTATTTAACAATTGTAACTTACGTCAATCAATCCAGTTGTGTATTGGAGGAAAATTGTATTTAAGAACAACTAACAAAACCGGCAACCTGTTTGTAACAAATGTAAATATTACATACTAAATATGACAAGATAATAAGTATTTATACAATAGTTTACATTATATATTTCATGGTATACATAAATGTAAGTTATGTTTAAAACTCCAGAGACAAATAATTTGACTTTGGATATTTTAAAATAACAATATTATGAAGGCCTATTCCAAACTTTAACTAAGCTAGCAAGTTAGTTTTAATATATGGTTTTTGTTTGGTTGTTTTATTCCTGCTGTCCTAGTAAAGATTGCCTTCTGGTTTGTATGCAAGATTTTTATTGTCTGTAAGTTTATCAGGTTTCTTCCTTTTACCCTCTTGTCGTACTTGACCATTGACATTGTTTATCAACTCAAGTTATCCTGCCCAAATTGGACGCTGTCTAAAAAATAAAAACCTGCAAGACCTCAAGTATCTTCTCAGTCAAGAAAACTGGCTTAGTGTTACCTCAATAAACAATGCCGAAGAAGCTTTTAAAACTTTTAGTAACATAGTGAGAGTAGCTATGGATGCAGCCTGCCCCCAAAAGAAGATAAAAATACAAAGAAAACATAAACTAAAATTCTCCATGGACCCAGAAGCAGTGAGACTTAAAGCCGAATTTCTTAAAGCTCTAAGAAAGTTTGAGGTGACGGGAAATCCAGATGACAGAAGGGTTTCTATTGAAAATAAAAAGAACTATGACCTGTACTTGAAAATGATGCGGAAAAAGGTTAACTCTGACCAGTTGATGAAAGCTGAAAATAAATCTAAAGCTATCTGGGAAACAATAAACACAGTGTGGTCCAAAAAGGAAACATCCCTAAATGAAATAACCCTTCAAGTAGATGGCCAACTCATAAGTAATGTGACCCATGTTGCAGAGCATTTGAATACATTTTTTACACAAGTAGGAGAAAAAACAGTAGAGAAACAAAAACACCTAAAGACCACAGCTCAAACTCCTGACGTAACTCAAACAGGTCCACTGTTTTCCTCCTTTCAAAGCACAGACGAGAAGGAAGTTAAAATGATTATAAACAAACTTAAAGCAAAAAACTCGTCTGGAATTGATGAAATCTCGTCAAAAATACTTAAGCATTGCTGCAATGAACTAGCACTACCATTGGCTGATTTGATAAATAAGTCCCTAAAACAAGGCATCTTTCCTTCACTACTTAAAATAACTAAAGTATACCCGAAATTTAAAAAAGGTAGCACATTAGAAGCAAGCAACTACAGACCAATTTCCCTCGTTTCCACCTTCTCCAAAATATACGAAAAAGTTGTTTTAAAAAGACTTTTAGACCACTGCACAAATCACAACCTACTAAACAACCTTCAACATGGATTTACAAAAGGGAAATCCACAACAACAGCAATAATTCAGATGGTTGAGTCCCTGATTGACAGCCTAGATGAAGGAAATCTAACAACAGGAATCTTTCTTGATTTCAGTAAGGCATTTGACTGCCTTGACCACCAGCTAATCATTAAAAAGCTGGATTCCCTGGGGGTATCAGGGATAGTAAGAGAATGGTTTCAAAGCTACCTTACAGACAGGAGTCAGTTTGTAGAACTAAGGCACAGAGATAACAGCCTAATAAGAAAAACAAGATCAAATTTTCAACCAATAAATCGAGGAGTTCCCCAAGGTTCAGTTATGGGTCCGGTACTGTTTATTCTTTTTACCAACGATTTGCCGCAACAAATAGGAGACGCCTGCCTTACTCTTATGTATGCTGATGACACAACCTTAGTGTTTAATGAACCACTAGCTGAAAATCTAGAAGTAAAATCCTATGTGTCACTCAGTATGGCCTACCAATACTGCTATAACAATGATCTCGCAGTAAACACGTCTAAAACAACTCAAATAGCTTTTGGCCGTAAATCTCAAGAAGTGCCACGACTCCCAGATGTAGAAGTGGAAGATGAAGCTAAGTTTTTGGGCATCACACTCGACAAGAATTTAACCTGGACCCCTCATGTGGACAATATATGTAAAAAATTAAGTTCAACCATCTATGCTCTTAAACATATAAAAAATGCAACAGATGACATGACAACAAAAGTAGCATACTTTGCACTTTTCGAGTCGCATATGAGATATGGACTTGTAGCATGGGGTGGAACCTCTGCCACTAACATGCAAAGAGTTCTCAGAAAACAAAAAAAGGCAGTCAGAATAACTGCAGGACTCCACAGACTCGACAGCTGCAGGGAAGCATTCAGGTCACTCAAAGTACTTACCCTTGTAGCACTCTACATCCAGGAAGTTGTGTTATTTGCAGTAAGAAATAACCCTACAAGGCGTGGCGAAATGCACCAACACAACCTGAGAAACACCATGCAGTACAACCTTCCACAACATCGCACGGCACAGTTTGAAAAGAAACCTTCATACGCAGGAATGAAAATCTACAACAGGCTACCTCCAGATCTAAGAAGCAAGTCAGAAGATGACCTCAAACCAGCTTTGCATCAATGGCTCATTAATCAACCTTTCTATTCCTTAGAAGAATACCATCAACAGGTCTTTGACTAAACAACACCTCAACCAAACATTTAGAAAAAATTTTAAATTGACGCTACTACTATTCTTAATGAATGTGTAAATAAAGATTATTTGTCTATTGTCTATTGTCTATTGTCTATTGTTTTTAATTTAGATTACTCAAATGATAGAAAACTTCAAATTAGAAAAAATCTCACAGATGAAAAACCGTACAATTCTCATAAAATATTGCTATGCATGAATATCTATAATATTAAAACGCGACAGGGTTTTTTTATTTCACGATTCTGAATCAACCACTTGACGGATTTTCATGATTTTTGTGTTGAAAGAAAGATAATTTTGAGAACTAGGGAATGTCGAAGCCATAATTTTAGTGTAGTGTCCCAGTTTATTAGAAATTAAGTTTTAATTTTTTTTAAGTCAAGCAGCCGACACTAACATTCTAAACTAGCTTTTGGGATGATATAACTTGCTTAACATAACAGCTGTAAACATTCAGCGTTTGTGACACAAATTCAGCATTTGGATGAAAATGAAATGATATACGTAGAATTGACTTATTTATACTATATGTAATGCTATAATCATTGATACATTCATTTATTCGGTAAGAGGATGAGAGATTATTTAAATATACATAGTAAAATGCTAGATATTCTAATTTATTTTTTTGAGCAGTCTTTAAAATATTTAGTTTGTTTTAGTGCAATATAATTTGTTATAACTAACAGCTGGTTGAATAATAAAATATTATATAGAACTATGAGGTTAGTTACTCTGTGATTTTGTCATTGATTATAGGTAATAAGTAAGATTCTATAACCACTGCTGCTGTATACAAATCGAAGCTTACGAATCTTCAAAAGAAAGCTTATGAAAATTATTTTACTACTCGACTTTTTGAGGAAAGGTTGGGAAAATAACAATGAAAACATGTTTTAATTCATCATGCAACTTTTTCTTTACTATAAATTTTGAACTACTTTAACTATGCTTGAACTGAATTAGTAATAGGCACGCTATATACAGTTTTAATGGACTACTCTATTCCCGTACCTAGGACGGGCCAACAGCTTGTATTATTATATTACAAGACATAAATAAACTATGTACTATTTTACTAGTTTCCTACCTCGTTCTGTTCTCTTCAGTAGACACTATCCAAGCAAATTCTCCAGTGCTAGAGAACCATTCAACCGATAATATCACTTTTAGTTCAGGATTCTTCTTCTTCAATGCCACAAGCGCTTTATACTCCTGTAAACATCAATATCCACATTCATTACACTGCAAATTTGCAGACTAAGCCTTATTTTTAGTTGCATTGTTCAGTTTGCATTCAAACAAGTTCATAAAAAAAATGAATTACGCTCATCAGTACATTAACAATACATTAACCATCAGTACCTCGAACGAGGAACACGAAAGTTGTTATTTTGACCACATTTCAAAAGTCACCAATGAAATAAAACAATGATTTATTATTGAAAAAAATTCATAAACAAGCCATCGAAATGGTTGGTTATCCGAGTGAATACAGTGCTCCCTAGCAATCATTATGCCTTGTAATACCAGTTTGATCCTGATAAAGGTCAAAAGCTTTTTTATTCGAAGCTGGACCCAGCTGTGCTTGATGATTTTGGGATTTTAATGAATGGTCCTTGTTAAATAAGTATCAAACTATCATCACATTCATTCAAAGCTCCTTCACTCACTTCTAATCTAATCATTACCCATTGAAATTTTAGGGATTTACAAAACATTCCCTTAAAAGCTTATCACCAAACTCTTCTCATGCCTACAGCGTGGATACCAAAACAACAACCATAAGTCACCAACCTTAACATCACCGTCAGCGGTAGGTGAGATGGTGCCGTTGGCGACAGTGGCAAACGCAATGTTGATATGCGTGCAAAGCTGAGGGTCCAACTTGTCTGGAGTCAGCGGGTGATAAGCGTGTGCTGAGGGCGGCAGACTGTAGTAACACACCAGCTTGTATTGTGCAGACTCCGCTCGAGGCTTACTCCGGGCAGGCATCTGCGGGAGACTCAAATTGGCCGTTTTCATCCGTAGGATTGCATCAGTGTAAATTGCACCTCGGTGGTGAGACGACCGCTGATAACTGGCTGTCAAGAGAAAATTTGGTTAAAAAAATGTTTATGTGTGTGAGTGCTTGTGTTTTTGTGGTGTGATGACTTGTGATCCCAGGGAAGATGATCTTTTTTAACTTGGTACTCTGCTTGAAATTAACTTTTAGGCTCTACACTATGGTATTTTAGTTGAAAAATACAATTACTATACAGTAAAACAGGTATTTTTAAGATTTTATTTGTATAAACGTGATGGCGAGGCTAAAAATATTTTTTAGATAAGCTTTTGCAAAGTATTTTAACTTAAGGTAAAGGTAAGTACCTAGTAGGAATAACATGTACATTTTTCTTTTATAAATAACTTCTTGATCAGCATTGTACGGAAATTAAATAAAAGAAACATCATCTAGATTTGCCTATTGGGTCTGATGATGATTGGAGTGTCCAATCGAAATTGCGTCTGAAGAGGACGAAGTCCTAAAACAGCCTCAGTCCAGTAGTGTTTAAGCTCACTGGATTGGAACGTCATGAAGAAGAAGATCACCACTTGCCACTTACCACCTTTTTTGTACATTTACTGTCTTGTGAGTAATAGTATAAGCGGGTCATTTTCAAACTGGATGCAACTTTACAGTCCTAAACATTTTAGGATTTAAAAAATATATATATCTTAACAATTTTAGTTAAAAAAAAGTTTTGAGTGAAGAAACACATATATAAGAACACACTTTTGAATTGTCATTGATTTTTGAGTCATAATTTCTTTTATATAAAATTTTGAATCTAGGTAAGTCATTGTTTTACTACTGTCCTTTAACATGAACTTAACGATATAACTTTTAATTAAGCTGTTTGCAGCAAGTATATAATGTAAATACCTTATTAACAATGAAGTATTTTAACCATAAAGAAACATTGATAGCAAAATTCAATTTTAATATGCATATATTTTTTTATAACAATTTTTGAACAACTGTCCCCCACAATCGGTCCTGAGTGTTACTTCAGGAATGTTACCCAATGAAAACAGGGAAAAAAGGGAAATTTTGTTTTGTTTTGTTGGCAATAAGCAGCCATATTGTTTCTAGTTTCCAGCAATGTGGAAGTTTATGATTTAAGTTAGAATAATGATAAGTATTTTAATTCATTGTCAAGAGTGTTACTATTTTTTTAAAGTGATATGCATACTTTAGAAAAGTTTACTTAATATCAGTTGTTTAGTGTTGATGTACTATGAATGTAAACCTAACCTCCAAATTCTGGTCTTTACCCAGAGTCCACTTTTATAATTGAATAGTAACATTAGTCAGGAGTGTTACCTGTCAGGAGTGTTACCTACAGTCATGAATGTTACTGAATATAAAAATAATATAACTGAATATAAACTTTTATATAGGCCTATGTACTTTTTTTGTTAGAAAATACACTTTTATAATTAAAAACTGGCTTTATTTTATTGAATTCCCAATGTATAATTCAGGAGTGTTACTTATTGTCATGAGTGTTACCTACAGTCATGCATGTTACTGAATATAAAAATAATAAAAACTAGTATAGAAAACTCTAAGTTTGTATATTTAGTCGTTTGTTTATATTAAGGAAAGATATCAATACACACTAACAACAATCATTGATAATCGATTGAAATTTTCTTGGTTATGTTGAGTAAATTAAAAAAATATAGTTTCTTTTCTGCTGTCAGGTAACACTCCTGACACATAAAAGGTTAATAACAAAAAATAAAATAAAAAAATTCTAAAAACAATATATTATAAGGTCTAGTAAGTTATTTATGACACCATGTTGTTCCAGTATAAAATTTTTTTATTCAAAGAAACAGTTTTTCCATAATCTTATTACAGTAACACTCATGACATTTTAAGGGTATTACCCAATAAAAAACCGTAAAAAATCATAAATTACTGGATAAACTGAAAAAATTTCTATTAGGTAGTGTTTATTAATATATGTTGAAATGTTGTTTGTAAAAACAAAGGGGCTCTAGCAAAGTTTTTATTTAATCCATTCTTAACTTGAAAGTTGCATTCAATTTGAAAATGACCCAAGCGCAAATATATGTTTTAAGTGTTATAAGACGTTTTTTTATTTATTTTCCGTATTTTTTCTAATCCATAGACTTTAGGGTTGGGCTAGCATGTTTATGACATTAAGACACTGCAAAAGTTCATTGGGACTAACAAAAATTGACATGACGATGACGTCATCATGGGTCAACCAGACTTAAGTACCACAGTACAAATACAAATTCTTTATGCTGTAGTCTGTTGGCAATTTATTTTACCGGATTTATAGAATTTTACTCTAATTGTTATAGAAAGAAAAGCTTCGGTAATAAAAAAATAATTCTTTCGCCATTTTGTTCACAGTAAAATTGTCTACAAAAAAAGTAATTGGATATCCAAAGAGTAAAACAAAAAAATTATAAAGATTATGAAATTAAAAATTTGAAAAACAATTTTTTAATAGTATAGGTAAGTTACTTGATTTACAAATTTCAAGATTAATCCAAACACCAAATGACACTTCTGTTATAAAGTTCAATTGATTCCCTACTTAGAAAAATCACAAGTTGTTTAATTTATAAGTAATAGCATAGACAAATTTCAGATTGGTAAAATCGGATGATATTTTGCAAATTACCAAGGGCTTAAAATGTATCAACAACTGATAGATTAAACACTAGCTTAGTTTTTGATATCTTATCAAAATATGATATGATATCTAGTAGAGTATTCTGATATCAAACACTGTAATAATTCCAATAGATCCAATAATTGCAATAGTGCCCACACTGATTTAAAAAAAGTCCATATATTAATAGGCGACCCCTGTTTTATTTAGAAGACGGTAAGAGTTCCTATACTAGAAAAGTTACGACAAAACCACTGTGTACAGCTCCCGTCAAATACTGTAGTTACTTATTAGTCACAAATCTGTGGAATACCACAAATACCCCTGCCGCAGCAAACCTGCAGACTAAGCGAATTTCCATTTGCCAAATGCCTGATTGGATTTACAATTAAATGTCTCCTTAAAAATGTCACATTTATTTCCCTATTTAAATAGAATTAGTTTAACGAGCACTTCTAGGTTTACTGCAACAAGGATGGTAAAAGTGTTTTTTTTTTTGTAAAATGTTAATAGTTTAGAAATAAATAAATGTATTTTCCAAATTTGATAAAAATATGTTCATTAACAAGCAAACTACAACAGTTGACATATTCTCCATAAGAATAATATGGGAATTTGTAATTTAAAAATTTTTTAGAATTTTCTCCGAAACCAATAACACAAATTTGGACGGATGGTGTTTTTGGCCTCTAGGGACCTCAAAACTAATTTAAGTAAATCGGTCCCGGGTCCAGGTCTTACCATGAGTACTACGGTAATAGCTCATTCCCTATTGGGTAAATTCGCTAAAAGCGGATGCATTTACAAAATCAAAATGTTCCCACGATGATTGATTCCTTTGTTACAAAAAATGGAAGTGATGGGATGGGTGTACTTACCTAGATAAGACTTCTTTGGGCCAATCATAAGAAAATCAACATTGTCCCCATCTTTTGTAGCACCGAGCATATGTTGCCATGCTAAATATACTCCTATTACTGACGAACAAATTACTAATATAGTAAATAGCACTGCTGACCATAAGTGGCTCGTTTTCACTGCAGTTCTGAAAAAAATTCAAAGATAATGTTAAAATTTGTATTTAATTGTACAGGGTGCGGCAAAAAAATGATCTATTTTATGCAGCCCACTGTTCAGCGACAGGTTATCAGAGAGTGGTGGGGTAAGGCTCTTTGGAAAACCTACGCAATCCCATTATCTGTGGTCATAGAAAAGTAGTCAGCTGAACAACGTGTGTTTGTTATCTACTGGACTCAGTCACCATCTAACATCGGCAATTAATCAATGCTGTAAACAACAGGATGGCATTAAAAATAAACCGGACCAAGGTTTGTATCTTTAACCTACGAAAAACATTTAAATACACACATTGAAAAAACACTTAATCAGTTAGGCCTGCAAGTATTTTCTTAGGGAAATTTACACATGAACTTATCAGATGACTTTCTAGATGTTTTAGTTTAAATCTATAAAGACATAATCCATAAACCTTATAGTAAAACACATAAAAGACCCTCAAAATATCCTAGACCTTTATTTAGCCTGAATCAAGACCAGATGATAAACAGTAAAACCTTTGACTAATAAAAGTTAATTCATAGTACCGGTATGTAAAAGGCTTACCTACATGAGAAATTGATATTGCTGTACAGTGATTTGTCTGGGTAGCCGAACAGTTAAAAACAGCGCTGCGACAAGAGCAGGGGCCTCAAAGCTTATTTACTAAAGAGCCAGATTATAATTTTTTAGAGGAAGGGCAGGCGGGGTCAACAATATTGCAGTACGGTATAGAAAGTTAGGCCCCCACTAAATAAATCTACTAAAAAATGAATTTTATTTGACATTTAAGTTAATGGCGATTAGAATAATTAACAATTTAAATCAGTGTACAATAGCTGTAGGTTAAACGCTTAGTAATGATATTTATTGTTTTTACTATCCTACTTAAGTTGTCTAAACTGTACACTTTTGAAATAAAACAGATTTTGGTTTATTCCTTTCCATTGGTTCTATTTCAATGCGTAAGGTAATCGTGATTACCGGAGTTGATTATACACACGAAAGTTGCCACGATCGCAGATGGCGATCACGGTACCACTGACATAACAATATATCGGTACCGTACGAATATTTCTGCTATTGCAGGGGACGATCAAGGAATTGCCTTCGATGCAAAATATGCGTCAGAGTTTTTTGTGTTTTGTTATTGGTTGCATCTTGTATGTTGTATGACTTGACTACTATACAGTGTATAGGCTTCTTGACTGCTACTCTCTCTAGTGAAGTCCAACTTAGGTTGGGTGCTTTCTATTGTTAGTTGTAATGTGTTAGGTTTTTTCACCTGAGAACGGGATCATATTTCAGATCCAGAAATGTTCTGTATTGTTTTTTACCATTGTGATGCAATAAAACTTTAAACATGCGTATGAGTGTTTCCGGGGACTGCGAGAGAGGCTCACGAGTGTTGCCACGATCGACTGTGACGATCTCAGTATTGCTGTGAAAGCAAGATATTCTTACGCCAGCACTCTTCATGGCGCTGTTCAGTGCAATGGTATAGGAACATCGGCATTAAGTTAGCAAACATCGTACTGAGAAATCCGAGCTGAGGTGAAATAGAGCGCAACCTAAATCTCACCACCTTAGTTTTTCAAAGAAGTTTTGAGAGATGGTAAAATAAAAATTGAGTAACTTATGTGTAACTTAAAGGCTGCCGCTAAATTTATCAAAAAACTAATCTAGGCTGTCCTACAGTATTTAAGTTAACACAAGTAGGCTAACCTTTGCAAACCCTTTGGTAAAATATAATACGGATACAGTTTCTTAACTGGGCTACGCTAATATCGATTCAATTAAGTAAACCTTCATTCGATTTTTTCATCATCAGCAAGTTCGGTTGTTTAGGTTATGTTATAACAGTTTCATTTTATTATTTAGGCCTAAGTAATTTTAAAAAAATCTAATGAAGGTTTCCTACTAATCAAATTGATATTTTCAATCGATATTAGCGTAGCCCAGTTAAGTTAAGACACTGTACCCATTGAAATTTGTAAACTGTGGTTAACTTAGTTTTGGTTTTAGGAATAAACTCACCTTGCATTTTCTTCTAATAATTCATATTTAACCTGAGGTCCAGATCGAGGTACTGTCATGGTTAGGCTACTAAGTTAGCCTAGAGTTCGATACACAAAATTAATTGACACTAAAAAATCATTTAATTACAATCCTAGTTCTATTAGAAGTCAATGACTCGAAGTTATGTTGATTGTCTCTTATTCAACAAACTACTCTGATTACTGATTAAATGAATTTATGATAAACAGCCTAACTGAATGTGAGGTTAATATTGGCTTTACTAGTGCGTAGTTAAGCGCGTCAATAATTATATTGTCCTTGTAAGCTGGCAAACAATTTCAATAAAGACGATAAAGGGAAATTACTACTGTAACTTACTACAAAGAAAGATAGAATTCAACAAGCTGATTACAAATTTATTTTGTAAACACTACACAAACAGTACCACTGACGTGAAACGCAGAGCAGACGTCATTACGAATTATCACAAAAAGTGCTATGAATTAACATATGATATTAGTCAGTGCTGCCAACACTACAAGATTGTTATCTGAATATGATAAGAAATGGATGTATGCAGTACAAAATATTGAAGAAACAAGACAGTATAGCATTTGGACACCAATATAAAGTTCAATTAAATAGGGCTGGGGCAGTGTTCCGTAAAATATTTACGTTGATATTATCTATGAATTAAAAGATAAACAAAATATGAAAATTAATTTACATCCAGTGTATAATCTAGAATGTGTAGAGAAGGGCTCTCTATTTTGAATTGAGAACAAGTACTGTGCGAACCCTGAGGGCTTATTTAATATACGTTGACTTTATCTTAATTAATTCGATTAACTTCCACTGAATCAACTTAGTTGGATTTGGATAGGATCACGGCCACCTTTAACTGCAGGCCGCGGCCTGGTAGAATTGGCAACGTCGCAAGTAGAAGTAGGGTTGTTTAGTGTCAGACGTCCCATAAGATAATATGGCAGACAGGTAACATCTGCTCACTAACTCGCACTTTATTGGCTTAGATTTAAATTTATGAACAAATTTTATTTATATTGAAAATAAAACACAGATAATTGAAAACCAAAACAATATGAAATGAATTGAAAATCTATATCTGTACATTTAAAGTGGAGTCAATGTTTTCATAGTCCAGTAAAAACCAATGAAAACAGCGGTTACAACCCTAATTGCGACGTTACCACTTCGAAGGCCGCGGCTCGAGATAGGCACTTTTAAGGTGGCCGTGATAGGATACAGTGCTTGCCTTAAAATAAGAAGGTTTGATCTTGCTTGGTGAGAACAGTTAGACAAAACTATTTCATACTGTTGACGGCATACTATGGGCTCGGCTCATTTATCCTCACTTAGCATACCCATTCCTATTTGGGGACTAGAGTGACAGCAGACTAAAATGTTGTTTGAACTCCAAAAAATGAAAAAATAAAATAATAAATAAATGAAAAAATGAAAAATATTTTTTTATTCAAAAATTTTGACACTACCATCTAACATTCTTGAATCTTTAACATTTGTGAAACAGGATTTTTCTTAATTTGACTTTTCTGTACAAAACCTATACACATTGCCCAATTTACATACATTACCAACTCTTAAACATTCAACAACTATTTTTCAACAAGCACTTGCTGTACAATATGGCATATAACACTTGTTTAATTTACTTCCACTTTCTCTTAAACTTGAACCAAACCTATTAAAATAAAAATAAAAAAATTAAAATCTTTGTTGATAAAGTTTACCTGTTACAGCGTCCATGAATTTGCAACTAAAATCAGTTCCAAGAATAGTGATGTAAATATTTATACAGGGTGACAAAAAAGTCTGGAAACGGCTTAATATCTTTTTAACTAAATCCGTTAGTAAATTCAAACCTTTCACATCAACTTACATGTATAACAACTACTTTTTCCAAGCATTTTAATTTTTTTACCTCTACCAGGGGACGACCTATGAGAAGTAGGTATACATAATCTTTAATATAAGCATAGGTTGATATGCACATCATTTTAAAGGGTTAGTCAAGTGGAGTTAATTGCCGGAAACCGCGTCTCAAAAGGTTCATCCGTTACAAAATGGCGGCTGTTCAAAGTTTTTGTGGAATACCTGCGCACAGGCCTTAGTATTGGTAAATACTCGTATTAAGGAACGCGGCAGCATTCCGCCCCGCCAAGCCCCCCAGTGGTACACAGCTGCTGCAGTGTATACATAACGTCACAAAAGTGGCTTTTTTACTTGCCTATAGCTCTGAAGAAACAAAAACTATTAAAATAATTGTTCATCTACTGGATAGGGGCACTCATTCTCAACAAAATAAAAAAAAAAATTTAAAAAACGGTTGTGTTTGAGCCAAGAAAAACTAGTTTGAAAATTCACAAATGTTCCGCGTTCTCCTTCTCCTCCTTCTCCTTGAATGTTGACGGACCTACAGCCCAAACCACTAGCTCAATTTTAATGTTTTTTGTGTTGTTTGAAAGCCCTTAACGTGTAGATGTGCCTTTTGAGGGTCTCAAGTCGGTGCGTTGACCCATAAACCCTTGGGAAGCCCTCAAAGTACGATTTTGGCCCATTTAAATAACATGGGATTAAAATCAAAAAAAAAAGGACCAGCTGTGATTAAATCTCAATTAATTAATTTAAATGTTAGAGAAATTCATAGGAACAGCTGATAATTATTTTAAAACTTTTATAACCAACTTAGTTTTCCTATTTAATGCCTAAAGAATCAGTGTACCAAATTTCAGCCTCCTAGGTAAGTGGGAAGTGGGAGAATTAGTGATGAGTGAGTGAGTGAGTCAGTCAGTCAGTCAGTCAGTCAGTCAGTGAGGGCTTTGCTTTTATATATATAGATTTTTTCAGGTATACCAAATGATTTGAACTACTTGCTATATAAAATTACTTAGAGCCAGAGCAGTGATATTCCCTGATACTTTCCATTGAAAAATGCAGTGTACCGTCATTTTTAACAGTTTAATACTACTTATCTTATCAAAACATATGAAACCTAGGAACTTGAAACGTAGTACTAGTACTAAGGTTTGTTTTATGTTTTGATACACTAAAAAAAATAAAACAATCGGGAAAATCACTCTAAGTATGTTAAACAAGCAATTGAAAAGTGATATGTAAATTTAGGATAAATTAGTTTTTCAATATTTGTTTTGCCTTTTGCTATTACTAACAAACCTAAACTGTTTGATTACATTTTTACTTCTATAATTAGGGCCAATTGGCCAATTTACACTAGTCTTTAGATGTGCGGGTTTAATTTTTAGAACACTTATGTAACACCAACGCATTTTATGTTGTTCAAGATGAACATTGATGAATTTACAGCCCCAGACATAGAACCTATGTTAATTGATGATGACTAGATTAATTTAATGCAGTTGCAAAGTGTGTGTTTAGTGTAAAATGAACAATATTCATGACAAAATCAGCAATAGAAAAAACCACCCTGTTGACTACATGTTTAACACGTGTTTTCAAAAACTTCAAACGTAGAAATTTGAAACTGAGTTAAAGCCCAGAGGGTTTGTTAAACAGTAATGTGTGTCAAAAGTTGTTGATCGGTTTAAAGCAGATAAGACCAAAAATGTAGAATTTAGTTCTTCACAAACAATATTATTGAAATTAAATGATATGTAGTTGTGCCGTAGTCTATATATTTCACACAAAATGTTTATAATCATTTTTAATTTAACTAAATGGCCCTTTAATTTATTTCAATAAAATGCTTGCAATAAAATAGATGGAGATTCTTTTATTCTTTATATTGGAAGGATATGCCTTGTATATAAATTTTCAAAAAAAATTAAACATATACTTACAAAAAATAAAAATACCCCGCCGCAGCAAACCTGCAGACTAAGCGAATTTCAACTTGTCTGATTACATTACAGTAGAACCTTGATAAGAAGACCCTCGATAACAAGTCACCCTTGATAAGAAGTGTAATTTTCAAATCCCCTTGATTTTATTTTACCCCTTATCATATGTTATTAAAAACCTTAATAAGAAGTCAACCTTGGTAACAAGTCTGATTTAATAATCCCCATGAGAGTCTTGTTATCGAGGTTCTACTGTATTACTAAAATATTTCCATAAATAAGACATATTTATTAAATCCACCGAAGCTGTACAACGTTACCAGCTAACGATTAAAAAAATGATGTCAAAATTTATTAAAGCAAAATTATTAGTGGTAGGTTTAAGGGAGAAATACTGATGATTTCATCCATATTACCCTCTGAATTTAAGCAACTACAATTTCCTTATAGTGTCTTGCTTTCGCAATCACCAATATAAGGCACCAGGGCAATCCCTGACTATAGTCGGTTTAAATGTAGAAAAAACATGCTTTTCACACAGACAGATGTATTTTGTTAGCGCAGCAACGCGCGCCGGGTAACTGCTAGTATATATATAATTAAATATATATATATAGTGAATCTGAACGGATGGTGTTTTTGGCCTCTAGGGACCTCAAAACGAAAAATTAAATCGGTCCCGGGTCCAGGTCTTACCATGAGTACTACGGTTTTAGCTTATTCCCTATATGGGAAATTCGCTAAAACCAAATGTTAACACACACTGTGAAATGAAGGTCAATTATTACCTAACCCACATGGCAATTTAGATAATCTAGTGAATCTAAATACCATAATCACACTATCTAAGATTACAGCTAATCCATAATCATTAAGTGTCTTGAATTTTATAGTAGAGAAAGCTTGACATATCCATATCGTATTATTTTTCTAACATTAAGTCACTTATCTTGCTAGACACATAACCTTACCAGATAACCACTATAAACATGACCCTGCATCTTGGTTCAGTGTTTTTCTGCCTTGTGAGTTATAAACACTTAGAATGTTACAGAATTTTGCTTATTAACAACGTTTAAGATTTAGCAGTTGTTTTACTATAGTAGGTAAGTTGGAGTGCAATTTTATTTTGCTATGGCGATTGAAAAAGCTGTTATTTAACTTTTCGTACAGAAATAGACAAGCTAAGAAAAGAAAAGTGATGTTAGTGAGGTATGCATATCAATAGTATATGTTGACATATATTTTATTTATATACAGTATGCACTGAAATGAACAGTATTTGACATCAATTCAGCTGTAGTTTGCTAGGTTTACCAGTATTGCTAGTGAGGAAGACCATTAGATCTGATTAAACTTACTTTTCTTACTTACTACTCATGAGGGATTGTGTGAAACCACCTAAATTAAACAGAAGTTGATGGAATGGGTCAATTTTTTTGTTAGCTGCACCTCTGATTAAAAACATAGTTCCTGGGGACCGAGCTTTGCTCGTAGAAAATCATAAGTATACTCTAAGAACAATCTTCGGTCAATGTAAAACGTTGACACTCCTGCTAAAGATGATCACCCTGTTGTTAATCATATTGCTCACCTGCAATTATTTCTCTACTTTCATTTTTCGATGTGCGACTTGGTCGAGGTTCTGTGACATCAGGTGAGATTTATGAGCTGGTTGAAACTGGGTCGGTTGTACACAAATAAAATAAATATGATAAAATTTGTTTCCTAACGATCCCCATAAATTTGTAGCTTTTCTCCCTTTAAGATTCTGTATAAATTATCGCTTTGGAGGTCTTCCCCGTTTCATTCCTTGAAAATTAACCTTAAAAACATTTAACACTGATATGTACCTAATAAACCAAGCTTAGTATAACTATTCTTAAAAACGTTTAGTCTAAACTAACAAATACAGTTATTTTTGTTTAAACGTCATATCAGATTATGACAATAAAAATATTCTGTATTAGCTGTTTTGTTAATTACAGCTACAAAAAAGGTATTGATGATAAATGGGCACTTTCAAGGGCTGTAGGACGTAAACTGGATTTTCCAAGCCTTGTGACCAACTCCAATCGATTTTTGTGGCCAAATACCCCATTTTAAACAAAAATTAGAGGGAATTAATTTTTAAAATACAAAAATGTCACATTATTATTATATTATGAAACAGAAAAAAATATTATATATATTTTTCTTGAGTAAAGTTATTTGAAAATTCAAAACAACTTAGTTGGGTAACAAATTGTGACTACATTTGGTTTATTTATAGTGTGGGGGGGGGGGGTCCAAATTGATGAAATAAGGTTTAATTAACTAAGACATTTTTGTGAGTTATAAGGTGTGGAAGCACAATTTCTCATTATGAATAAGTACAATTAAAAGATACTTAAGGAGGTTAGTTTTAAAGTGTAGCACACATCCAGTTGTAGTACTAAATTTACAGTACCTAAGTAAAATAGTCATAAGTTATGATCTTTCAGGCATTATGGTAATCCCGTCTTCATGGCTGAATGAGAAGTATTTAAAAGACATCCTTAAATCAAATGAAGAGTTTGGAGTCAGTAATGGAGAGTTGTCCATACAAAGCTACGTTACAGGCCCGGGGGTCGAGAGAGGCCGTAACTTTGCAAGTAATATTACTAAGGTTGAAATTGACTATAATGTCGACGGTCTCAAAGATTCTCTCAAAATCTCACTCATGATCAAAGTGCCTTTGACAAACGATAATCTGGACACTCTTGCCCAAAATGAGCTTGACATGTACAACGAGGTGATCCCATTAATGTGTGAACTAGCCAACTTAACAGTTACTCCCAAGCGATACAAAAGCTCCATACCCGAATACTTGGTATTGGAAGATTTGAACGCTGCCGGATATACAATGTGCGATTCAATTAAGAAACTGGACTACAAACACGTCAAAGCGGCATTAATTGCTGTTGCCAAATTTCAAGCAGCATCGATCACTGTGAAACACAACTCACCGAGACTCATTGAGCAAAATGGGGCCGAAACCGTTTACACTCATGATCCACAATACGCGGAAATATTCAAACCTCAAATTTTAATGAGACTCTACGGTGTTGCGAAAGTGTTGCAAACCATCAACGGGTGTGAAAAGTTTGGAGACATCTTACTCGACACGGGAGAGGAATTTTGGGATTTGATTGTGGAAGTGTTTAAACCGACAAACAAACTGAATGTGCTAAACCACGGAGACTTTTGGACAAATAATATTTTGTTCAAATACGACAGTTCGGGTTGTATCAGTGACGTTAAACTGGTTGACTATCAGTTGCGGAGGTTTGGTAGTCCTGCGATAGACTTACTTTACTTGTTCTGGACAAGTGCAGACGACGGAGCGCGCATGAGAATGTTCGAGTTGCTGGAAATGTATCGCCACACACTAAATGGCTGCCTTGCTGAGACTGGATGTCCGGAACGCCTCGGCAGACTAGAGCTGAAGGAACATGTGTCCAAATGTAGCCCGATCATCTTACTCCTCTGTCTCTACCTGCCTTTGATATTTCCTGACCCTGAAGACCCTTTTGACGTAAGTAAGATAGAAACCTTGGGTGAGAACAGTTTGTCCAGTTTTGACTTTGACACCAACCCTCTTTTAATACCCTTCAAAGCTCAGTATTACCGACAGGCTTTGCCAGAAATATGTAAAGAGTTGGAAACTCTGAAAATATTTCAGGTGTTGATGAAAAACAAGAAAAAAGAAAGCTGATATGTGTTTCAACGACTTACTGTAATCAGAATAGTAATTAAGATTGTATTATGTTTTAAATACATTTTAGCCTTAAGAATAACTTTTCTCACACATATATTTACACTTAAAAGTTTTTTATAGACAAATTTTGATTTTCATAGTATGTTATAATTTGGTAAAGTGTATACAAATAATTAACATAACTTAATCAAGAGCATTTAGTGATGTACATATTATAATTTACAGTAGGTTAAAATTATTAATTTCAACCCAATGCTGTACTTTCCATTCATGATTATCATAATTTAAGTATATATTATGTAAAAGTATGTAAAAATAAGTAAATAATGTAGAAAATAAAAATAATAATACGTCACAGAGAAAAAAAAAACAACAATTATGTACAAAACATTACAAAAACTTTTAGAAATTAAACTTCTTTTATCTATTCTTCAATGGTTTAAATGCAAAGATTTTTGGTTGTGTTTGTTATATTACAGTTAAACATTTACTAATATCCTCCTCCAATAGGGAGGGCCAAACAATGACTCGCCAGTCTATTTCCATAACACAGAGAAGCACTGAGGAAACATTGATGGTACACTAATGTGGTGTCTATAGTGCTGGCGTACCCATCCCCCCCCCTAACCATCATGTCCTACAACACTTACGGTGGAGAAAGACCCTGGTGTACTGTACTATAGGAATTTCAGCACAGAGCTTGCCGCTCGGGCTTTTCCTAGCTCGTCACAAGTATATTTCCCGCACATCATAGAGCTGAGCTGAAAGTTCACAGTGTAGTCCCATAAGTGTGTTTCCTTTGTGTTTGTCCTTTAATTCTCTGGGGTAATGACAAACAAGTAAACATTAGCATCACACATTCGCTTCATGTGAACTAGTTCTACAGCTGTCAAAGTATGCCGCTTTGCCATTTTTCTACCATCACAGCCCTGTATTAGAGGCGTCCATGCAAATAATAATTTATATGAATTGGAGATACTGTTTGTAATAGGATTTGCAGAATATAACATTAATGGGACATATGTTGGTTTGAGATAAGGGTCAGGTTATTTTGAAAACTCTATGAGGTATCCCTAGGTAAATTATGAGTGACTACAAATTTTCCAAAATACCGTAAGTTTGACAAGATTTTCCTTATGAGAAGAAGTAGTAGTTTTTTTATGATTCAAAACTAAACTTAGATGATTTTGGTCATGGGCCTTTTACAAACAAACAGCTACACAAGGCATCCAACTCCATAATACACTCATTTAACTTAAATTGTGTTGCTGTACTAATGTTGAATGGTGAACTCGTGGTAGAGGGTGAGAAAACCACAATTAAATCATAAAATATGTATTGAAAACAACATAAATAAGAGATGAGGGTAGAGATATTAGCCACATGAAACTTAACCATGAAGGATCGGTCGTCTTTTGTATTCTGGCCTGGTTTGGAAGAAAATAACCATAGCAGTAAATACAGCAATGCAAATCCCACAAATATTCATCATTATAGCTTCTTCTGAGAACTTGGGTCTGCAAAAGTAAAATGATAAAGTTTAATATTAAAACACAGTGCTCCTTCGCTCTTGTAGAAGTTCATTGCAAGGAAGTTCAAAGTTAAAAGCCAGTCATGTTAAGAAAATAAATCTTCCATAAATGTAAAAAAAAAAAAAAAAAAAAACTAAGACAACCTTTTTAGTATAGGTACATGTTACACTCAATCTCCGAATTCGGACAATGTCCGAAATTTCTACCCACTCCGCGATTTGGATAGTATGAAATACCCACGTCGCGGAGTGAGCATTTTATTTCGGACATTGGCCGAAACGAAATGCCCAGACCGCGTTGTGGGTAAACTGATTTACTCAAACGCCGAAGTCAAAACCTTCTTCGGCGATTGAGCAAATTCAAAATACCCACAACGCAATGTGAGCAAAAGTGATTGCCGCAGTGATTACCCTCAATGCGGTCTGGGAATTTCACTTTGGCCAATGTCCGAATAAAATGCTCACTCCGCGACGTGGGTATTTCACACTATCCACATCGCGGAGTGGGTAGAAATTTTGGACATTGTCCGAATTCACAGATTGAGTGTAACATACACAACAACTACAGTATGTTGAGGGAGGATCCTATTTACCACATGACTTCGAAGGAGCCAATGAGGACAGTGGTGTTGTCAAATGTAATAATCCCAGCTGATTTGAAAATATTGTTTAGTATGTTTTAATTAGTGACGAAAAGTAGTGAACGGGTGATGTTGCAACAACACGCCAGTCCAGTCTTAGTATTGGCTGCCACCAAATGCAGACTCTCGTGGGCCCTAGTATAGAATATTTCACGGTCACCAGCAGCATTTTTAACCAAAATTGTTGTCAGTGACAATTAAATTATTTTTTCCATGGATTCTCTTCCATGGAAGGATTCTTTTCCATGTAGCCTGCCTGCTCTCTATCTTACAATAACTAAACCTGAAAATGGTTTGATGATGATGGTTTATGTAATAAGGAACTGTCACTGTATGGTAATACTGTAGGTTTATAAAAATCTGTACTTACATTTTCTTTATTTCCTCAAACAATCCTAGAAGAGTTGTAGTTACACCCAAGACGAATGTAGTTAAGCCGAAGAACACATGGTAAGGCAAATAAGCTCCTCGATGTGTTGGCTTGGTTTTTTGCCATAAAAATGAAACAAAGCCGATGAACCCCTTCAAGAATGTCAACACACAATTAATTAGACATTACACACCAAAAACGAGCTTCAAAATTTACAATGGGATGAAAAGTCTATTTGTGTTGGTTACTCTATGGTATAAAATTGTTTATTGTGCTTTATTTCAATAAAATATTATAAATCTAAAAAAAATTGGTACATAAACATAAATAAATACCTGAGCAAGATACAAGACAGTCGTGATAATTCCCATCCAGCTGTGGAAAGAGTAGAAATTTGGTCTTCCTGCATGAACATCAAGAATCGACCAGTAGCCAACAACCAAGAGGAAAATATTTGGGACAAGAAATCCAGCATGAATCACCTTTAGATACTTCTTTCTTCCATTCCGTAATACACGGAAAGTCATCAACTCTGTTATGAACAGTATAGTTATTAGATCAATTTTGTTGAGGTATATAACAAAAAGCCCATTAAACTTTGCGTATATTGTTTCTGGTTACTTCCAGTTGCATTACCCTCCACAGTTTACTTAGAATGAAGACTAAGATATTTTAGTTCCCCTTGACATGATGGAATGGCCTCTGGATTGTCTGAATTAACTAATAGCAGTTTAAATTACCTGGTTACTGTCAAAACGATCCTTGCAGTTTACAAAGACTACAGCTGATATTTGATGTGGATGGAGCTGACGTGCTACTATACACGACATGTGAGAGTCGCAACTCACCCACTGCAGCGATAGTTACCAACTGGTTGACCAGCTTTAAATGTTTAGTTTTGGGTATTTTCCGTGTTATGTCCTGTGTTATTTGTATAGTACAAAGCTTCTGACCAACTCCACCATGAAGAACATTTATAAAAAGATGCTGACATTCTGACCTGACAATGTGCTCTATCTGCAGCACGGAACAGCTGTAGTATTTGTATACTACCAAGGATAATTTTGTCACCAGGAAATTTAAACCTCTAGCCAACCCTATGAGTCGTAACAGTTAGTGAATGATAAGTGTGTATAACTTGTAAATAGACCAACCCATTCACATAATATAGGCTGCTACACATTTCTTTAGTTAGCTTACGAGGTCTGTTCAAATTACTTTTTTTTCTAGTAATCCAACAACCGCATTGACTCCGCCTGGCACGTAGATCAAGGCAACTGTAAAGCACGTCACGTGACTTTGACATGGCACCAGTTTGTTGTCGGCTGCCGAACATGAAACTGTGTACATAGTGTTTGTCGTGTTTTTGTGCTGAGCAAAATGACAGAATTGGTGGAACAGCGATACTGAATTTAACTTTGCCAAACACTGGGTGATACCCAAGCTCAAACGATTCAGCAAGCCTTTGGAGAAGACACTATGTGTGTAGCACAGATAAAAGAGTGGTACAACAGATTCAGATTCTTTAGCCAGGATTATTTATTTTAAGCCCAAAACTTTATGTAGGTTTGAATAAATATCGATAAATTTTAATGAGACAAAAATTAACTAACCGAAAGCGACAAAATACACCATTGCTACAGTCATGGCCAGCACGTGGTAGTTGAACTGTTGCTTGGGCTGAGAGCTCCATGCAACTCCTCCCTGGTAGAAGAACACCCAGACTATCATCAGCAGCAGAGCTACCAACCCAACAGAGAGAGTAGCAATCAACATCCCTCGGTGGTGGGGCACCCTGGGAGACATGGTGTAGGAGTCTACATGTCAACAAAATACAGTGAGATAAGTATAAAATTGTACTTTTGTCTGTAAAGGTTCTATTTTTCCTGTCAAGGTATAAAATAAATTTTGAAATAAATCAAACATTAGTTCAACTTTCATCATTAATTGTTTCACTAACAACGAGTAAAGATTGACGCAAGAAGACTTGAATATCATTCATACAGGATCATCTTTTTGTCGAGCCTGTGTTTTTTAGCCAGGTTAGTTTATTAAGAACAAACAATTGGTCATGGACAACTAGGATTTTTCAAGCTTATTGTGTAACAATTCGTGGGTTGTGATATACCAAAAGAAAATGTCCGTGCCAAATTATCAAGAGTATGAAAATATTAGTATTTTATGCATTTACTTCAAAAAAAACATTTTAACAATAAAGAAGCTAATGAAACTATGTTATACAACTGATTATCGTACAACTAACGAGCATATTCTGTAATTTTGTATGAAACTTGACGTGTAAGTTACCAAAAAAAAGCTTTGTAAAAAAAGTATGTCACAACTACAATATGTACCGTAACTTAGGCCTAGAGTTCTTTAAAAATGTTGTAAAAAAAAACAGAAACTTTCTTTCTGGTAAACATACCCATAGTACACTAGCGTAGTTAGAGGTGTTAGTCATAGTTTTTCCTTTTTACTGAGCAGTGCAGCAAACCAGTTACTAAACCGCAAGTTACAAACAACGAACTATTGTAAAATATCTTTGGTTAGTTGCTTTTCAATTATTTTAATTTTCTCAAAAACATTGCCTGACTAGTAACACATATAGATTTGCATAGTTTTTATTCAACACTGTAGACTTTTTACATACATTTTTGGCCTGGGTAATGACAAGCAAAAGAAAAATGAAGGAAGAAAAGTATTTAGAACAAAATTTAACACATAAAATTCAATGTATTTTTTATATTTAAGGTAGGTAAGGGAAAGGTAAAGTAACATGCTCACCTGAAGTAGCAGTTGAAGTTTCTGATGACATTTTGTGAACTTCACTCCACTTTTAACTCTTTTGAAAGCTGTATAAAAGTGGGTTAAAATGAAATAATTATGACTCTTAAAACTGAATGTTAAGACATTAGCTCTTATAGGTATTTATATCCATGGGTCAGCTTATTTAGACCATTTTACGGCATGTTTGTGCAATATAAACAATTTGATGACATATTACTATACTAATTAGTAATTAGTAATTACTATACTAATACTATAAATGTAATAGAATAATTATACAAGATATGCCAAATAAATATGCATTTTTTCCCAAAACATTGTGGTCCATTACTGTAATATTCTGATCAAAATACATGATGATGTTTGCTATTTATTCCTTGTTATTTCATCAACTTATTACAATTTAGATTGAATGATTTATTTGTCAACTATTTTGTAATCTATATAATTAAAAACTGAAGAGCACATTACACATTTATCCTAAAGTTTGTTAGAAACATTTAGTTGAAACACACATTAAAACATATTTCATATTATTTTAAAACATGATGAGAAGGCATACTAAGCAGTTTTCAAAATTTATGTCAAAACTTAACTCTAATTCAATTAAGCACTTAGTCCAGTTCAATCTAAGAGCTCAAGTGTTGTACCAAATAAACAGGTAATCTGCCTTATTTAATAAGACTAAAAAAGTATTTAAGTAATTAAAACTCTGAATCAGCTTACTTTTTACTCAGTTTTTTAAGTAGCACTAATACAATCAACTGCAAAAATAATTAAACTTTAAAATAGATCTACCCAATAAAGAAAGAACTTACTCCCCTCCGAACTACAGAATGATATGAACTTGCTATCTGTTTTTGATGAAGTGAGTTGGAAGTTTCATTATTTTAAGTGCAGCTTACAAAAATTTAGTTATCCTCTAAGCAAAACTTTATCACAAATCACTGTATTGATAACAAGGTGGATTTTTTCACATAAAACAGTGTTGTGAAAGCCAAGACAACCCGTTGAATGGACTTAAAAATACAATTTTATTTCACTGTATTTATCTGTATAGCTCAAAAGCACCGGTATGTTCAAAGTTCAAGCACACTTAAAACATTCTATAGCAATTGAGAAATGTGTGCATTTGGTCACGTAGCACTTATTATCATATGGAACTTAAGTATTAGCTTAGTGTATAAGTAAGTACTCAACTATTGAGTTCAAACATTTGTTTTTATCTTAAAATACTTTAAAAAATCAAATGCTCTGTTTGTGGGACATACACGTTAATACTATGAAGATTAAGAAAAAAGTTTTTATTTTAAATGGAAATTTGGTGTCATTTAAAAGTCTAAATCAAATTAAAACTACTGAAAGGTTAACACAGGTATTTAAAATAGTAATTTTTAAAAGCTATTTTAATGCATATAGCCTATTATTATCTTCTTAGTAATTATAATGAATAAATAATATAATCGGTTTTTGAAAACTTTAAATTGAAGTGAAATTGAATTTTTTTTAATCACTTTAAATGGTTGCCATTAAGAGTTATAGTTTGATTTTGATTTGATTATTTTTTTGAAAAAAGAGTTTAGAATGGATTACTTTTAGCATATTTTACAAGATATACTGACCAAATCAAAGATTTTTACTACAAGAACCAAACATTACACATTAAAATAACTCTACAGAGTGAAATAAAAGCTAACCAATATTTTTGGAAAGAATTAACTAGAACTATAACAAAAAACTTATGTGTACCTTGAACAATTCAATCAAACTGCATACAGTGTTTAAGGCCAGAAACTTTCCTAGCCAATAAATCCCACCCAATAGATTTGTTTGTTTACTTTGTGTTATCAGTAAGCAGAAATAAAGGAGGAAATATTAACATTTTAAATACTTGGGAATTACTCTTGAAGCTAATTAAAAATTTTATGACTAGGTGATAATAAATAGAAAGGTTTCAGAAACAAGTAAAAAAAAAAAAAAACATAAGTTAAAGGATTTTCCTTGTCAATGAAAATATGAAAGAAATACATAATAGCTTATTCCCTACATGGGAAATTCGCTAAAACTAAAACAGATACAAATTTTCTTACAAAGACAGCTATACGTTTATTTAAGAATTTTGGTTACAGAAATACACATTCCACCTCCTAGACGGTTATAGCCAGTAGTATACAGAGAACCTGATTGAATCAGCATCTCATAGATTGTACTACTGTTTAAGTTTAATTTAATCTTTGTTTTTCATACAATTTGATTTTTTTTAAGAGGTTGGCCGCCTCTTTTAACCACACGTTTGACTGTCCACATAGGCCTCAGGCCTGTGAGTGATCTACCATTAGTGCGCGGAAGTCGGATTTTTTCCCACAGCAATTGTCCTTTGCGATCGGAAATCAAACAAACGCTCGGGCATCCAGCAGGACTGGCCAACAACAATGTTTTGGTTTGAAATATTCCAAACTGACTGGATAATGCCTGTAAAGCGATGCAACCGAGAGAGGAATTGTTAAACTTTGAAACGATTAGCATGCTTGCAACATTATATCATAAAAATTGTGGTGAAAACAACTAAAATAAACACCAGCTGACCAGCTGTTGCTCTGGCACAAGTAGTGCTGTCATAATCATCATTGTTTTGGTTCAGTTTTACGTGATTTTAATAGAGTTTTCGTGATTTTCTAGAGAGATTTGTGTTTATTTGTAGTTTTAATTAAGTTTAAGTGTACATTTAAGGTGATTATTAGAACACTTGTACGTTTACATATAGGCCTACACTTTTGTTATAATTAGGCCTATAATAAAACTGATTTTTCTCGTACAACTATTTAGCAGTAAGAATGGGGTTATGTTTGTTTTGTTTTTACTCCCAAATATTTAACTAAGTAATAATGGACGATTGCTTAAAATCAGACGAATTGAGAGAATTATTATTTGCTGGTGAAGAAGATGTTGACAATCCCGATATTTATTATGGATCAGACCACGAAAGCGATGTTAAGTGTTTTTGTAAAACTTGTTTGAACAATCCAGGACTTCATAGGGGCAAATGTTTTGAAAAATAGCACTAAGTGAAAAAAATCAAAATTAAGAGAACTTTCAACTTGTTTGTATGAGTGACAAATATATGCCTACATATTTTACAACATTTAATGCATACGTAAGTCATATCACTTTTCATTTTCAGAAAAATGTATATGTTTATATTTGATAACGCATTTGTTTTTTAAATGAAATAAAACAGTTGTCAGTATGAAATTACACAGCCACACTGGCTTTTCTCCATGCTTTTGGTATATGCATTTGGCTTACGCACATGTTCATGAGGCTCAACAACCACTGCATGGCAATTTTACCTTGGTTCTTTAGTTGTTTGAATCTGATCTCGTCAATACCTGGAGCTCTATTAGTCTTTAAGCTAGTAATGACTGCAGTTAGCTCGGACATGGTGAATGGTTCTTCCAGGAAGCGATTCTAACTTGCGACATCACGCACAACAAGCTCCCGGTATTTCCTTCCATAGGTTTTGCCATTAAAAAAAAATTCTACACAATGTAAGCCTACAGACAAAAGAGTAATTTTCTTTATATATGTTTGGAAGGGTTACTGAAACAGGTTCTTCTATCATATACATTTATTCTTTGCTAATCAGACTTATAAATACTGCACAATAAATATATCTGTACAAAAAATATAGTAAAATATTTTCTTTAAAGTTCAAAATTGACAAAGTATACATAAGCTTAACTAACTTTTATGAGGTAAATGGTATGTTATATTAAAACTACAGAAAAATTGTTCTGATTTTGTGCGAAATGATATTAAACTAATATTATGGTAATGTATTTAAGATTCACAACATAATTAGGAAAAGAGAAGTCATACTCTAAATGAAGAAGAAGACATTTGGATAATGGTTTTGTACCTTAAAATAAATTGTATAAGAAATAAATAGCCTACTTCTTCAAGTAACTAGTAAATAAATCAAGCTTAATTACAATCACTGCAAATTTAAAGAGAATCTACCAAAATTGAACTATCGCTGTATCAAGTGAAAATTGAAAATTGAATTGATTTTATATTAAAAATGTTAGCGATGTTAATAAAATGTAAAACTACTGTCTATGTAAAATGGTAAAAAACAAATGTAGTTTCTTATTTGTGATACTTTATGTAGTTAGGATTGTATTTATGATACTTTATGTATTTATGATTGTATTTTATTTATAAAAATTTTTTTACTGACTTTGCAGTCTTTTGTTAATTTTTGAACTGCTACACCACCAATATAAATATATAGTTTTTGATAAATACATGTTTGATTTGCGTTAAAACCGCTTACACAGTGGTCCCTAAGAAGTACTAAAGCAAACTACATCAGCCTTATGAAGTACATTAATAACACATATCATCAGAATAATGTGAAACCAGAAAGAGCACCCATAGTCCAACATACATTTAAATTTAAAAAATAAATAAACCGACATGGAGTTTTTAAGAACCTCTAAAACATCAATACATAAACAGCACCAGACACAGTTAAAAATTCAAACAATCAAGTGTGCAATAGGCCTAGACAAATCGTTTAAAATCACAGAAAAACTATCTCGCAAACATAACGTTCACAATATACACATTTAACTATCTTAATGCTTAAACGTAGGAGAAATATAATACACTGAGTTGAAATGGTACCAGATGGTTTACTCAGAGGAGCCTGAGAGAAGTCCACCATCTTCGGGACGAGGGTATCTCTTGTACTTGGGCTCAGTGGCGAGGTAGACGACCATCCCTCCGAACAAAATGAAGATGAGGCCCATGAAGTTGATGAGGTATGTCTCCCCACTAAAAGCTGAGTAGTCCTTACTGCAACATGAAAACAGCAGTGATTTAACGTATTACAGGGGGAAGGGTGTTTAACATTTAACTCACTTAACCCTTACCGCGCTACAGATATGTTCGGTGGCCTTGACCGCAATGCTACATATACCTAAAAAATATTTTTTCCAAAAAGTCAAAGCTGATTATTTTTTTGATAATTTTAGGCCTAAAACCAATATAATAACAAGCTCAACGGAGAAAAAAGTATCCCGCAGAGTCTGCGAGGTTACTAAACACTTGTGAGTTAGTCCGTCCACAGCGCTGCGTCTGTCATAGAAGAGACCGGCAATTGTAGTCATTGCCGCTCTCAAAATGTACAATTTGCACTTTTAATACACAAATAGCTATTGTTGTGAATTTTTAGTCCAAGCCACTTACACAGAAAAGAGAGCTTTCTCGGTGAGGCCAGTGAAGGCAGTAGCAATGGCCAGGACAAAGGCCAACAATCCCATGAAGGTGTGGATCGGCATGATGGCTCCTCGGAGATTCTGAGGGAATCCTGGGTAGAGGAACGCAGCGAACCCAAACACCCACTGTAGCAGCACACACATTAACATGACAGATGGAACTTGTATAGGATGGTCTTGGATGATAGGTGTTCCACAACCAACAGTTTGTTAAACACAGCAGTCTTGACTTTTAGACACCAGGGTAACACCATATGTAGCCAGTTCTTTGTGAAACACCATTTAAAAATGCAGCACAAATGATCACAAATAAATTTAATGTACATAATTATTGTAAATAACACATTTAACGCAAAATCACATGGTTTTAGACATATATAATAAATACCCCCGCCGCAGCAAACCTGCAGACTAAACAAATTTCCATTTGCCTGATTGTATTTTTACTCAAATCTCCTTAAATTTTATATTTATTCCTTATTTAAATAACATTAGTTTAACGAGTACTCAGGTTTGCTGCTACAGGGAAGTTAATCAAGTGTTTTTAGTGAAATGTAAGTTTAAGTTTAGTATAAAATATATACATTTTCCAAATTTGATCAAAATGTGTTCATAAAAAAGCAAACTACAACAATTAATAATTAACTTAAAATTAATTTACAAGAAAATACCATGAGAATATAAAATAAAAAATTTACAGTTTATTGGAATTTTTTCCTTAGCTGTTAAGTGCATAAGAACGCTTCAATATACTAAATTATTTGGTTTTTTTTAAACTCTACAAAATAATTTTGAAATAAATTGCGAACATCTTTATAATATTTTATGTTTTTAGGGTCAATAATGGGAAAATCTAATTTTACCTCATAAAACTCCCTATTAACCCCTGTTCCCAATAGTTCAATCATTCTGGTTTGTGAACTCATTAAAAAAAACTAGTGCACATGTTGCTCGAATTCGAGCAATTGCAAAGTATTACAGGCGTTATTTCAAAACGAATAACAGTCACAAATTCCGATGACTGAAAGAGTCAACTCAAAGATAATGTATTTAATCAATCACTCCACTCCAGTTATCGAAACTGAAAACAAACGCCCTTATGTGTATCATGTGCTTATTATGAACAGCTGTAATTAATACAAATTTTTCGTCTGTTTAAGTAAACAAAATCTTTTCTTCATAAGAAATACATTGGGATGTTGATGGCCTGTGGGGCAAAGCCTTAGGACTTTTATTACAGGAATTGGTAGAAGGGAGCGTCTACACAAAAAATACTTCACTTTGACACCTCGTTTGTAAAAATCCGTCCATTATTAACGGAGGAGTAGTGTTTGGTAGAAATAGACACGAATTATATATAAGGATGTAGGTTTACACTTTTATGCTAAATTTGATCAAAATTGAACTTTTGCTCGAGTTATCTTGCTAATAGGTTAAAACACAGAAAAATTACAATTTTTTCAACTTAAAACCCCCTTCACCCAAAACTCGGTGCTCAAAAAGGTGTAACTTTTTACCATACAATACGGGGACTACACTTTGGATGTTGCGGTTTATTTATGGATTGTTTAATTTCAGACATTATTGCGGTCTAATTGCACAGTACTACTGTATTTGTTGCTGATACTGTGGCAAAAAGCATCATACGTGAGGCATTTAAACCGTAATCCTATGCTCATGCTCATACCGTGAACACCTATTACGTCATATAGGCTACTATTACAGAATCCAATCAACGTCAGTTTGTCCATACCTGCAGCACATAGATCAGCACAGTGACGATACCCAGCCAGCTGTGCAGAGAGTAGAAGTTGGGAATGGCGGGAACAGCGAGATTATGGGAGTCGAGAACTGCGATGAAGGCGATCAGCACAAGCACAAGCACGACAAAGTGGATGGCCGCGTGAATCAGCTTCAGCGTCTTCTTGCGGATAGTACGCAGCGCTCGGTACACCAGGATAGCTGTGGAGAAGAACGGTAAGTTAGAAAAAGATACTATTTTATATTTTACCTTTTTTTGTTCCTCATCTATTTTTCATGTTTAAGTTTCTGATGTAAATAATACACAACAAAAGGAGGGAATATTGAAGCTATAGCCTGTTGAATTACAGACATCTTACAACCATTAAACAGAAAATTACATCCACAACCAAAGCAACCATTTATAGAAGTGCTAGTCATTAGTTTTGTGTGGCAAAAATGACTAATGTTTACACAATGACTAATTGGTAAACAATATCAGTGTGTGATACACCTTGCTTATCAAACCAGAAAATCTGAATTGTGTTGGTCTTGCTAACAAATCTTAAACTATAATTGTCGAAACTCTCACTAGGTTGAGTGCTGAAGTTTTGTCGTCATTGCAGATGTCCATTTTCAAAGCAGTATCGCAATACTACTCTAATAAGCTGACAATCTAATCAAAATTTTGCTGGTTTTTAGTAAAATTCAAACAAATTATCTAGGTTTTGTTTTATTTCTATTTTCTTGAACTTGAACCCGTAGGTAGAATAGTACAGTTCTAGGACTTTTGGCATTGTGGTTTTAGAAAGAGCTTTTTACCTCTTGAAATTATGTGATGTAAAAACCCTGGGGTTAAGCAAACACTGATATAGAACAAGATATGTCGAGCTCCTAGCAAACAACAATTTGTTCCTGAAGTATGTCAAATCTTCTTGGAGTGGGAAGCATTACGATACAAAGTACATGTTCTCTAGCAAAATGTCTTAATAGTTTTGGATACAGGCAGAACAACAACTTAAGGTGGGGTTTCAATCAATTACTACTCCACACTATCACAAGTCAGTGGTACTAAGCAGGATTAGAACTTAAGTTTCCAAGACTAAAGGTACATGCTATACAACTAGTTAAATGGTTTTAAAATTGATTAAGTAACAAGAAACAAATAGTAAACTTAAAACTGTTTTCAGCTTTACCATAAGGATGACGGATCTATAATGAGTATTATTGACCCCAAGAACTAACTGCTTTACTAAATCATTTGATTTATCATTTACAGCCACAGATTTGATTTACTAGATATCGTAAACGCTGATATTCAACTAGAAAAGCTGTTCAAAAAGAATAACGGTTTACAAAACTTTGCACTTACAGTTAGCGAAGAGGTAGATCATGCCGATGGTGTTGAGCAGAGGATGCCAGTTGAACTCCAGGCCAGGGTTGGACCTCCAGGCGAACCCTCCGCGGTGAAAACTGGTCCAGATCGCCATCATCACAACTCCTACTAGACCTATGGCCTGCAACAACAGAGGATAGGACTAGACATTTCATTCCCTTGTTAGAGTTGTAGCTGATGTTAACTACACACTCACACCCCTCCTGTTTCCTTAGTCCGATCATGCTGGTTTGCAAACTTCATTGGTGCTAGATTTGCACCAAATTTCATTGAAATCAGATAATTTTTACTTCGAGCTATCGTGCAGACAAGACACTTTGTTCTCTGAGGACATCAAAACGAAAATTAAATCGGTCCCGGGTAGGTCTTACCACGAGTCCTACGGTAATAGCTTATTCCCTATATGGGAAATTCACTGAAATGAACTTAGTTGGATTGAGCAAATGACAGAGTGTGACTTTACAAATTCTGATCTCTGTTTAAACAACCAACTTTTTAACCAAGCCAAACTGAATGAATATCTTAAGCCTGGTTTACACGGGTAGAGTTGTGGGTAGAGTAGAGTTTCTAGTAGAGTAACTCTACCCATGTAAAACACTCACTAGCGCCTACTAGCTAGTATAGTAGATAGTAGGTGGTAGAGTATAGTTACTAGCAACATGTGGCATAGTAGCTCTACTCTACTTCCCCCACTACTGCCCAAATTTTCACTTTCCTGAATTCCTGCACACTATACCCGTGTAAACGTGATTAAGTCAGTAGTAGAGTTTTCAGTAGAGTGAAGCTGTCTTGAGCTGTATTTGAGACTTGTATTGTTGACTTTCGTGTGTTTAGGCGTGTTCTGTGTGAATATCATTGTATTTGTATTTTCTTCACAACAACGCTCATTTTGAGGAATTTAAAAACCTATCACCAACACGAACAGTGAGGCACACTATCATCGACACTCTACTGTGTGTGAACAGCCGGCTTCTGTAAAAACGGTAGAGTGAACAAGATAGTGGCTCTACTAGGAACTCTACTCTATCCACAGCTCTACCCATGTAAACCAGGCTTAACTATACAGCGTCCTTTAGGTAACTTAAACTATCATAGTAACATAAACTGAAGGAGGAAAAGAATTTTACACTGAAGCACAAACTGTGAGTGGCTCATTAAACTATGTTTTTTTAGTAAAAACATGGCTACAGTTGGTGCAAATAGATGTCTAATTTACTATGCAAAAGCCGATGGTGGAGACCACCACAATAAGGCCCACAGCACCAGCAAAATACGTAAATTTCCTCCGTCAACATGTTTTGATGTTGGTTTGTATAGTCCCGGCCACGTAAAGAGAGAAAATGTCCAGGTAGACCCGGTCAGGCCCAAGCCGCTGTTGTCAAAACATAGCTATTGTTTTGAAACCGAGGGGGCGCGCTACCCCATCTCAGCGGTCATTGCTACCTCAGCGGTCATTGCCTGCTGCATCTCAACATCGACTAGCCAATGAACGAAGTGACGTAGAATTGCGATTCAAATTTTGTGATATTCGTCTTCACTTTGTGAATAAAATGACCTGTCATTTAATTGTAGGCGATCACCCGTTCGATTTATAGAATTTGTACTGGCCCGAGTTATTTCTAAGAATTAAAGGGAGGCAGTAGCAATGACCGCTGGGATGGGGTAGCGCGCCCCCTCGGTTTCAAAACAATAGCTATGTTTTGACAACGGCGGATTAGGCCTGACCGGGTCTACCTGGACATTTTCTCTCTTTACGTAGCCGGGACTGTACATCACTGCTCCATGTTACTTGTTTCAGATTTCTCCGTGGATGCCACTTGCTTCCCTTCGCCATTGCTTTTGTCTTTTGCTGGATTAGACACATGATTTCAGTATTGCTTGAGCCACCATTTAATGCAGACATTTCTATATTCTATAACTTTTTGTACCAATTGTGGTTTTCTTTACAGATTATGATTCTTGTTTGATTCTTCTGTGTACAGTAAGTTACTTTTGTGATTTCTAGCTTTGGTTTAGGTACTATTTCACCTAAGGAAGTGATCATCATCATATTCTATATCCCATAACGAGAATACTTGGTTTTTTCCAATTGTAATGGAAAATATCCACAATAGTCCCAAGCGCAGGAAGTAAAACACTACGCAGTATCATTGACTATTCACAGAAGTCAATGACAGTACACAACCCTACAGGATTGTGCAATATAAGGCTAGATTTGATTTAAATGTGTTTCCATGTATGCAGAGTGCTAGTGTGTAAGGTTTGTACCAATTAATGTCTTGAGTCTTGACCATCAAATCACAATATAAAAACCAATTCTAGAAAACGTTTTTTAACATTACTTGATGTTTTTACACTTATACCGGGTTTTGTTAACTAAACTTTAATTTTAAGTATGTAATTTAAAAACATAAGGCTAACCTCAGTGATGAAAAACAGCAGGTTGAACCCCCGCAGGTCTTCCGGCACGTCCATCTTGGCTCCGGCTCTTGCTGCAACAATACAAGCACTTTGTATTATCTTTGTTATCACTATGTGCTCTTAGCAATCACACCTCCTACTTTCACATCACCTGTCACTATCGTAGATAACAATATAGAGGTTTGTCAAATTCTTTTAATGTCATGGTATTTTGTCCATCCAAACAAATACATACACGAAGAGCTTGGAATAGAATCTGTGTTGTCCTTCATTGTAAAAAAAAAACAAAACCCCATCGCAGCAAACCTGCAGACTAAGCAAATTTCCATTTGCCTGATTGGATTTATACTAAAATGTCTCCTTAAAAATATCACATTTATTACCTATTTAAATAACATTAGTTTAACGAGTACTTAGGTTTGCTGCAACAGGGAGGGTAAAAAGGTGTTTTTTTTGTAAAATGTTATTATTTTAGTATGAAATGAATGCATTTTCCCAATTTGATCAAAATATGATCATAAACAAGCAAACTACAACAGTTTACTCATTCTCCATTAGAATAAACGTAGGTTTACACATTTGTACCAAATTTCACCAAAATCGGATGATTTTTGCTCAAGTTATCGCGCTAACGGAACCATATACAAATATAGGCTATATATATATATGAATTTGAACGGATGGTGTTTTTGGTCTCTAGGGACCTCAAAACGAAAAAGTAAATCAGTCCCGGGTCCAGGTCTTACCATGAATACTAGGTAATAGCTTATTCCCTATAGGGGAAATTCGCTAAAAACACCTTAATATTTCTAAAATAGCCTGGCATTCAATCTTGGTGGAACGACAGAAAATAGAAGGTTACGCCGAAGGCTTCCCCAAGACTTCTTGTTGGACAAAGCCTAAAGCAAATTGAACATGTGACCTGCATCTAAATTTACAATGTTACAGGGTGTCTCAAGTTTAAGCGAACCTGCAATGTTTTTTTCTTCCTATTTTGTTAAAACTTCTGTGTATAATCATTGACTAAGTATAACGTAATATTGAACTAGAAATAAATGTTGTAAAAAAATTGTCCATTTTACATTCTCGGACTCAGTTTGAAAGTCAACTATTATTTACTAGTACAGGTAAAATTATACTAAAAAACCAGTAGATAACATAAAAATTAGTCCATTCATGAAACTTGCAGAAAACGTAGTAATTACCATTAGGTTTTGAAATCTGAAGAGTCCCTAGTGATTGTGGGGGTGGAAGTACCATTTTATGGGGGTTAAAGTTTATGGGGGTAGTGATTTTGAGAAAATGTTTATTTATGGGATCTAAGCAAGTGAGGTGTCGTTTTCATGTTTCTTAGGATGCAGAATCGAACAAGAACAAAATAAAAGCAATACAACTGACGGTTTATGAGAAAAAGACTAATTTATTAATGAAAAACTAAATATGACAAATTAATTAAGGTAAAATAATTCAGTTAATATCAATTACTGTATTACAAAATTGACTATGAGTCTGTGTCAAATGTTAAAGTTGTGAGGAAAATTAACCAAGAAACTGGTAGTTTCGCCTCTTTAACCACCACGTGTCATATATTGTTCATCAGCTACTGATGCATCATCACCATCCATGGAATGGTCAGGGTCTCTAACTCGTTCTTCTCCATCGTCCGGCTAAGTATGAGTAGCAAAAATATTTCAGTTCTGGCGGTGATCCTGCAACTTAGGGTGAAGATAATATATAAGACCAAGAATGTAAAACCGCTCGGACCCCAATTTTTAAGGACCTTGGTCGCCCGTAATGACGTCATCATACGGCGCTCGTAAGAGGATGCTGGGTCGCTATGAATTAATAAATGCCTGAACCGATTTGAATGAAATTTGGCTTACAAGTGCTTGAATACGATATATAATCCCAGTTTGTCAATGGTCGAGTTTGATTAGGCCATTTCAAAATGGCGGCCGTTAATCACTAAAATAATTAAAAATTGTTTAGTGTTTTGTTTTATCAACTCTCTCCAGAAATCTGCAGCAATTTTCATTTTCCTTGCAATGACAGGTTGTGGATGCCGTTTCTGCATTTCATGGAATAGGCAAAATACCCCCACCGCAGCAAACCTGCAGATTAAGTGAGTTTCCATTTGCCTGATTTGATTTTCAATTAAATCTATTTCAATAACCTAAAGTTTAATTAGTGTTAACTAGGTTTTCTGCTACGGGGAGGGTAATAAAGTGTTTTTTAATTAAAATATGAATAGGTTAAAATAAATAAATTGTCCAAGTTTTTCAAATTTAATTACCTCTATAAAATTTAATTTACGTAAATATTAGGACAGTTCCGTTGTCAACTACGGGCCATTCGGTGTTCGTGTTCACATCGACAACGTACTGCGTTTGACGACTACGCTAGCGCTACTAGCATGTATCACCCTAACTAAAGTGCGCCAAAGTTCGTCTATTAACCACTAGATGTCACTGGGCCTAATCTATAGAAGTGTGTTTATTACACAAAAATCTGAAATTACAAAGGTACAAAAAATCTATTTAGTTTAAACTAAAAGAAACTACGATTCATTAATGATAAGTATATGGAAATTGTCTCGATTTAAAGCCAGGGTTGTTTACTACGAATACTCTGTATCTGTTGAGTCTCGCAGTGATATTTGAGTAGCTATTTGACTACACCTCGTAAAGCAATTCATTAGTTCAACTTCTAGCTCCATGCATTTGATATAGGTATTCATATTGTTTCCAAAGCCGAGAGTCGTGTCTCTTACCTGAGACCGATGATTGGCTTATAAAATTGGTAAATATAGTCAATGCCTAAACTCAACCATTGAGTATACACAATGACTCAACTCAAATAATTCTGTTAATAACAATCCCAGATGTATATAGATTTAGCTGTGGTTTGTGGGGCTTTGATAAATGGTATTGACTAAAAATGCTGACCTTAGTCAGTGTAAGAAAATAAAACTCTTCAGTGCTTTTCTACGACCTATTTATATTTTACGAGAGGTCGTCCAGTGGTCGAAACTCGACCAAAAATATGTAATGTACTCACTTCTCTATTTTCACCCCATACTGTAAATAAAACATGTGATTGGAGTTTCTTCCATTTGTTTTGATTTTCTGTTTATATTTCGTTGTTATTTCGTCACCAGCATGGCAACGCATAAGATCCATGTTAATTTTTTCAAATTTTTAAACTTATTTTTTATGCTTATCTTTGACCCTATTTAAATTTATAAAGGGATTCTGCACACCTACAGGAAAATTGCTTTCTAACGGTATGCGCAGATTTACCCCACGATGCACACAAGCTGAGAAAAAAGGTTTTAAAGAAACATGCTTGCCTATTAATATATAGATAGATAATTCAAAATTCACAACAACAAAAACAAACACCACTTTCCCTTTAAATCAACCTCTACAATAACAATTCAACATGTAAACATAATCATCAAAACGTAAACAAAAACCCAACTATTAGAGTATGTTTATTAGTCACTCCTCACTTTAATATGACTCACTCAGTTTTTATTTGGGTTTAAATAATAATTAATAAATTATGACTTACTTGCGTCCCCATATCAAAGCAGCAATTAATACAGGTACTCTATAGTGAAATGTATATTTTGAAATGGACAAAGAGTTTGGTTCAGTTTTACTCTATTAATTTAAGCTTGATGTATATTTCATGTTATTGCCTTTAATACCAAAACAAGCTTTAGTATTAGCACATCATAGTTGGAATAGTAACCTAAGACCATTTAATTGAAAGAAATAAACAAAATTTGAATTGAACCATTTGAAATAAAGGAGCAGCAAAAAGCTGTGATACACAATGAGAACATTCAAAGCAGGATTGTTTACGATTATGTTTTAAATTTAATACACAATTTGTGTTACTCACACAATTAAGGTGTTTTTATTTTAAGTGCCTAATTTATCAACTTATTGACCATCTTTTTGAATTATAATTGGACTATTATGTAAACTAGCTGTTATCCACAGGCTTCACCCCGTTTGACTTCATAAGTATTAATAAAACTATTGATTGGTTAAGTTAACCTGAAATTAACAAAATACAGTAAAACAAACAAGTAACCACACCTGATTTTAATAAGGTAATAAATTGAAAGAATAACAAACAAATAAGTACAGATGAGGTATTTTTAACATTAGGTATATGGAAAGTTCCCTTTAGAAAGGAATTACGACCTTAAAGGGCAATTTATGAAATAATGGATAATTTTGCGCAAGGTTTCTCGTCATGACGAACATTTCAAGTATATGGTTTATGGGGGTGTGACTTGTAGTTTTCTCAAAAGTTCATGGGTACTTTTGGCTTTATATATAGACTAGCTGTACCCACGGGCTTTGCCCCGTTTAACTTCATAAGTATTCGCATGGCTCAATCACGTCCTGGTTGAAGTTCGTTCGCTACGCTCACTCACCTTAGGCTGGGGCTCGTTCGCTGCGCTCACTTGTTTTCAGGTTAGCTCGTTCGCTACGCTAACTCACCTTCAGGTTGATGTTCGTTCGCTACGCTCACTCACCTTTTGGTTGCAAATTAGCTGTTGTCATAAATTTAAAAAAGTCATCCCTTTTATTGTTTATAATACTTTGATAACGGTTTTTATGCTTTAATATTTAACATTGGAGAATTTTAATGTTGTTAAGTGCACAGGTGTGCTGCGATTGGGGTTTAATACATTTGGACTTATTCAAAAGTAAAATAGTTTTCTGTGCTGCACTCTGTAGAAACACTGTGGCACTATTTCAAATCATGACTAATGCTAATACAGAATGTTGTGATTATTCAAACCTACAAAACAGTTGGTGAAAGTAAACATCTGCTTTTAAATTATATTTATTTGTAAACATTGTAGATCAAAAAGTCTGACATTGGCCCACTTAAAACCCTCTAGGGCAGAGCCCTTTTGACGGATCTCCACCAAACTTCACTCGAACCATCCTTGAAAGATGCTTAACAATGCCTGAAAGTTTCATTACAATCTGTCTAGCGGTTTCGGAGTCCATAACGTATATACACACACACATACATACATACA